GAGCTCGAGCAGTGGCTTACCTCATGTCGAGTAAACATTGTCATATGTTGCCCCCGGCACCTCTCCAACCCAGCTTGAGTCTTGCAAGGGTAATCCCCCTTATCGTTCCAAATATTACAATAACCCTGGTAAGTACTATATATACGTTAAGCTTAATCTAGAACAAAACTGGAAGTCTTTACTTACTTTTCTGTCATAGTTTTTACAGCCTCGGTCAAATTCGACCCATCAACGTCCCCACGTCCTTGTCGTTTCGGGAGGTCAGCATGCAAGCTTAACTTCACTTTATCGAACGCTGGGCACGGAGTCAAAATATCCTTAGGAGCTGCTCCACAGACTTTCACTCCTGTACGCTTATAAGCCATGTGCCAGGCAGAGTTTAACGACGTATCATTGCTGTCTTGGTTTAGACGTGGCGACCCAACAAAGAAATCGCCCCACAACGAATCTCTGCCCCTGTCATCTAATTTCCCGCCCTTCAACTTCAACACAACACAACTTCATCAATTCAGGCTCGAATAGCTTCAAAATACATCATGTCGAACCGTCGAGAGCAGTTAATTCAATCTGCAATACTTGCAGTTGAACAGGGCGCATCGCAGAAGCAGGCCGCGCATGACTTCGGGATCCCTCCTTCTACCCTCTGCAAACGCATCCACGGGGCAGAAAATCGAGCACAAAGTAAACAAGCCGAAAGAAACCTCTCCAATGCGCAGGAAAGCTTCCTAGCCGACTGGTGCCTCAATGAGGAAGCTGCAGGCAGGGCTCCTAGCCGTCGTCAGGTGCAGAGATTCGCTCAAGCTATACTCAATGAGGCCGGCACGAAAAAGACCATTGGGGAGCGATATGTGGACCGCTTCCTACGCCGCAACCCGGCGGTAAAGATGAAGAATTCAACCTTGTTGGAATCCTCTCGAGTCTGCGGATTTACTCGTGAAGCTTATGAAGCTTTCTTCAAGCGCCTGGCCTTCCAAATCAAGGATAAAAAGGTCATCCCGGCCAACATCGCTAACATGGATGAGCACGGCATGCAGGAGCTCGAGACCCGGGCCGGAAAGGTCATAGGAAGCTCCCTGACGAACCGAACCTACGTGAAAAGCTCTGATGCAACAACCTGGGTTTCAGTTATCGAATGCGGCACTGCTGAGGGCGTTCGTTTGAAGCCCGTGATCATATTTACCGGGGCCAGTCTTCAAGGACAACACTTTCCTGATAACTTCAACCTGACGAAGGAATTCCGGGAATGGAAGTACGATTACTCAATTACAGGCTGGAGCAACGCCAGTATTGCGCTGAAATGGCTCAAAGAGGTCTACCTGATCCAAACAAAGCCCCAAAGGCCGGGCGAATGGCGTATACTGATCCTTGACGAACATTCGAGCCATATGAACGAAAAATTCATGTTAGCGGCCTTCCAAAATAAGGTCCAGTTCGTCTATTTACCTTCTCATACATCGCACAAGTCTCAGCCTCTCGATCGCTCGGTCTTTTCACCTTTAAAGACCTATTTTAGGGAAAATACCAAGGCCCTCGCGAGCTTCACATCGTCAGCTCCTGTCAACAAGGTTCGGTTCCTTTACTGCTACAGAGATGCCTCGGGTAAAGGCATGAGTGCCCGTAACATCATGTCGGGCTTCAGTAAAACCGGGATTTGGCCCTTCAACCCGGCTTGTTTACTTGATGACCCTGAGGCGGTCAAGGACAATGAGGCACTCCCGGCCCGGCCTTCAACACCGCCGCCGACGGCCCCGAACGACGATGACAGGCTCTTCAAAACACCGCACGGCAGTCAGGACATCAAGAAGTACCAGGACAGTATTCGGAATGCCCTCAGTCCGGCTCAGCGGCGTGTGCGGGCCTTGTTTACTAAGGTCGGGAGGTCCCTGGATCTGAAGAATACAGAGATCGCGTCTTTGAAGGCACAAATTACGCATCTCACAACCGAATTAGAGGCTTCAAAGCCTCGCACGCGTAAGAGGGTATATGAAGATGGAAATGAGCGATTTGCACGTATAGAGGACATCGCCAAGGCACAAAAAGCTAGTCAAATACCCCCAAAGCGGAAAAAAACGGCTCGGGCAGAAAGCCAGCCACATGCAGTCGAAGAAGCCCGGGAAATAATCGCCCGTGGGCTCGAACAATATAGACAGGCCGAAGAAGAGGATTGAGTATTTTTTTGCTAGTTATTTTGTGTAGAAATGGATAATTTGCGCCCGTGGAGTGGGTGTGGGCATGGCGTGGGCCAATTTCGTTGTGGGGCGATTTCTTTGTTGGGTCGCCACGTCTAGCATAAACTTAAGCTTAGCTTGAAAGATACTTACCTTGAGAATTTCAGCTTCGTTTTTAAAATTGTTGCAGTCGTTCTACCTTTAAAGGTGGTGTGAAATTGAATCTTCATTTATCTCTATGACCCATGTTGAGCTTTTTCAGGGTTAGGTTTTTTTGACCCATGTTGGGCTTTTTATGACCCAAGTTGAGCTGCGACCTGCAAGAATGAAGATCGGCCTGGTGGTGTCGCCATGCCGTTTTCAACGGACCTAATTAATTCATCCATGTTGAATGGCGAGTTTTGTCTGGGCTGGTCGCTTAGGCGTAGGTGGCCAAGCCAATCAAAGATGCCACCGGTCTCGTGTTGGGTGGAAACTGAAGGCGTTTACCCGCCGGAAGCTGAGCTCGGTGAACTTGGCCTCCGTGACGGGAATTGGGACGGCGTCAACGAGATGGACGGTGTGTGGCGCGGTGAGCGAGAGATGGCCGGGGCAGGAGTTGTGAAGGTTTCTGGGTATCTCTCGATGGAAGGAATAGGGAAGTCCGGACCACCCTCAACTGATTGAAGCACAGATGGCTGTTCATGCCCAACGAGCAGAATTGAATTGACGGCCCCTGTTTGTGCAGCAGATGGTTCAGGGGTGGTGGAGCGATGACCAAAGCTGGTCCCAGAACGAGAATGGTTTGAATCGGTGGATGAAGTAGTAGACAAGCTGGGGCTATTCGCAGAGGAACGAGCGCGACTTGTTGAAGTGTGGACTGGACCTACGGAGTGGGGCTGAGAACTTGCACGACTGACAGTGCTTGCGAGCGCTGATTGACTCGGGGGAGTGAAAGCTCGTGATGCAGAAGCTGAGAAAGAGCCATGACTGTGATGGCGATATGGGGCGGTGCTCGTAGTGCCAGGAGTTGTCACATAATTTACAACGCTGCTAAATTAAGGGCAAAAAGGTGCTTGTATTCGGAAGGAAAGAACAGTGGGCGTAGCCTAGATACCGTAGTTATGCGGCATTCGGCTGACACAGCCTAGGCTGTAAGTGGTCTAGCATGCGCGCCACCTGCGCCCACATGTGGCTCAGATGCGGCTCCTTCTGACAGGAGTCCGGGTACCATGAGACCATGGAGAAGGCGAATGCGCTGTATTGTTGCTGGGAGGTTGAGGTTGAGAGCTGCGAATGGAAAATTGGGGGCCGTTGCTTGGGACTTCAAAGCCCTGAAACCCAAATTGGCCTCCTTGCAGTCCCAAGAAGCCAGATAAGGATGTCGGAACAGTGTTGATTGCGCCAGCCATTGGCTGAGAGGTGGTGGCACTAGTGGGCCCCGGACTCGTAGACCACCGGGAAGGTGCGCCGGCCATGGACGCGGTGGTACTGGCGGGCACCGGGGCGGGGATTTCTGTAGACCACGGGGACGATGTGCCGACTACTAGCAGAGAGACGGGTCGTGTCGTGGTGTGGGACTCCCGTATACCACGGGGAGGACACGCCCACCAGAGACGCGGTGGCACTGGTAGGTCGTGGGGTTGGGTCCTGGGGGGCCCGTAGCCCACGAGAGGTAATGACCTGTATTCATCACGGAGGCGGGATCTCGAGAGCCGAACTGCCCCTGGGGGGCATGCCGGCTGCAGACAAGTTGTTGGAATCCGAAGACGATTCATTGTCGGATGAATGGAGAGGCTGCATTTGTCAAGGTTAACTGGTCCGTACTCCGCAGCAGCAAACCAATGAAAATGTACGTAATGAAAACACAACCTACCGGCCTAGTGCTCATGGCGACGATCTGGATGAGAGTTGTCGAATATGAATATGGGCGAAATTGGGCGTGCGGTACCTATGAAACAAGTGGGTTCACATCCGAAAACTGTGTGTCACAGGCGGAGGGAACTGTGTGTCATAGGCGGAGGGAACTGCGTGTCATAGGCGGAAGGCAGGATGGCTGAGGGAAGAAGCGCCTCTTAAAAGCAGCAAGCACCTCAATTGTCAAGCGGAAGGTCCGCGTTCACGCACTTTTTGTTCCTGCACGGGGCATCAAAAGCGGCCTACGGGGAAACGTTCCGCTTGACTAACACGTGCTTCTTGGCCCGTGGGTGAGACCTCGAAGCTGTCCCTTTGACCCAGGGGTCGATGCATGGGGGGGCAGCGCTTGACCATCCCTGACAGGCTGCTATTGGCTGACCGCGCTACCCTGCCACGATGGTTTTCGTGAGACATCGCATTCCAGTAAGTGCGTATTTCGACGGCACACTATCATCTCCGGCAGCTCCTGCCGCAGTCTCGCCACTGTGTCGAGCACAGTGCGAGGGTGGAAGTCGCGACCAAGGCGCAGCTCGGATGAAAAGAAGGTGCATTATCACGGGGACGTAATGCCCGGGCTAGGCGAAGATAGCGCTGAAAGGTGCATAGGTAGCTGTCGCCCACTTTTGAGCCACATTATCAAGCCACTACCTGCATATCCCTTTATTCGTGACTTTCAGCCCTGATCCCTTTTTCCGGGCTCCTGGACTTCTGAATGCCCTCTTTTCCTCCCTTGGTACGGCTGAGTCCCTTACGTAGTACGACTGAACAGACTGTTGAACCAGGTTTCCTTTGTTCTTTTCTTGGAAGCATAAAAGGCCTTCGTTCCTGTATTATTAGATTAGAGGGGGACAGACAATTCAAGACCCTTCAAGCCACTGTCAACTTTGATCACGGGCCAGAGTAGGAGATAACGGCAGGAAGACAGAGGACTCCAACGCTTCGTGTAAGTTTCATTCGGCCCGACAATTCCATGACTACCTCGGAGAGCTACCAATGTACTTTCTCTTGCAGTGCGAAACCGCCAACTTTCCCCATGACTCCCGTCTTTTCTCGTTCTCGCGGTGAAAGCTACCAAACGTCTGCCTTATTTCCCGCGAAAGCGAAATCGGCCAAGTGCTGCACTCCCCCCATCCGGCCCCATAAGTGGTCGCCCAAATAGGGTGAGCAGTGGCCACCCAAAGAGGGTGAGCAGTGGCCGCCCATAGAGGGTGAGCAGTAGCCGCCCAAAGCTGATTGAGCCGTCACCCTCTTGGGCTAGTTAGCTGCACTCGCCCAAGACTGGTACTACCTACCTGAGCTGAACACCTGCCAGCCAATTGGCGAGCTGGTTCACGCCACCGCCGATGCCCGTGATCCTCTCCGTGTACGTGTTGGAGTCGTTGGGCTTCTTGTCCGACACCTTCTCCTCGAGCACGCGGACCAGGTCGGCGTAGACGCGGCCCTTCATCTTGCCCTGGATCTCGCACCACGACTTGCGCTCCAGCTCGGCACTGGCCGGGCTGTTGTTCTTCCTGTCGACCCACATGTCGGGCAGCCGCCAGTTGGTGTACGTATTGGGGTGTCCGGCGCGCACGCGCACCGGCGTGGCGATGATGTTGAAGTACTCTTGGCAGAGCCGGCACGTGGGCTTGCTGGTGCCGATGTACTGCCAGTTGTTGAAGAAGCGGTACGGCTGCGTGCCGCCCTCGGTGCGAGCCAGCCAGTCGTGCAGGAGCATCTCGGCGTGGACGACAGGATCGAGCTTGTGGCTCCATTTCTCTTCCAGTTTGGCATTCAAGTCGTAGCGCTGTAAATCCGCGGCGTGCTGTTTGTGCGTGCTGGTTTCGGCCGGCGTGTAGCCGGGAGCGCGGTTTATGATGGCCTCGGCGCTCTCGGGGAGGAGCTTCAGCGCCTCGGCAGGATACGGCCCGCTGGACCGGACAGACTGGACTTCGAAGTCGCGGAATAATTCCGTGTCGGCCCAAATGTGGTGAGCGTGGACAAGTGTCTGTGCCGCGTACTGGTACGACAGGAGGCGTCCTGCGCTGTGCTGGAGGGTTGCCCAGCAGCCGCCCTTGGCCATATTGTCATCCTCAACTGCGCGTGCCTCGATGTACCTCTGCAGAGGCGACCTCTTGGATTCCTGAATGGCCTTGATGCATTGGATCATGGAACCGATGTCTTTGTTGTTTCGCCGAAGCTCGTTAGCGGCTACTCCCAGTTTCGGGATTCGGGGGGCAGCTCACATTTGTCGCTCTTCTGGCCGCTTGTGACGTCTGGCAGGAGGCTCGCTAGCCTCTGCAGTGCTTCACCTGCACTTCTCCCTGTTTGTAAAGTTCTCAGCTCTTGTTTGTGATATGCTTTCCAGAAAGCCACCTACCTTCCAAGTCACTGGTATTGCATCTCTTGATGCACGTCTGCAGCTCCTTGGAGAGGGAGGTGAGATAGGCCCGCACGCGGACATTATTCCAAAACAGAATTTCATTCAAGAGGCGGTTTTCCATAACCTCGTCAGAGTCGCACATGTTTGCTTCGATGTTGACTTTGAGGATGTTGAGGACGGCGGAAAGACCTTCACGACAGTTCTTCAGCGGTACTTTGGTCCTGCGGTTGGACGCGAAAACGTAGCATATCCGCCCATTGTCTCGGATGACAGCGAGTGCAGTGACGGTGTTACCCTTGGGTTCGAAGTCGCATATCTGGGCTAGTTTGTTGACCAGTGTTTGGAACATCTCCTCCGGAGACTGGTTTGGATTTGGGGGTGCATCGGATGCTTTCCGAGACGGGCCCCGGGGACAGATCTCGTTGAGACATCCGAGGAGAATCAGTGAAGGAAAGAAAAGTTTCCGCAAGTTGGTTTGTTGGGTCTTATCCAGAAGCACAATCGTGCCAGGGAAGTCTTGGACTGCTGCAGACGGACATTAATTACCAATTTAGCTCGTAACTAACAACGAAATATACGCAAATAATATAGGTAGCTTACGGCCCATGCCTCTCGTGATAAATTCACCACTGCCTCTCTTTTCCAGATGATCTTCTGTCCGCCTTCCGTGAGTAAAAGGGCTTGAGTCTCCGCGTGAGAAAAAGCTAGTTGAAATGAGTCATGCGGGACAAGGAAAAGGGGACCGACCTAGTGACTGTAGCATGGTCCGGGGGCAAATACTCGACGAGGTTTTTGAAGCCCGAACGGGATGCGAACATGCAGGAGGCCTACCTTTGTTGCATTTGCGACTTGCGGGTCGACCAACTTCCAGGTAAAGCGGTTGGGCCGCGTGGCTCTCGATTTACCAATGCTGCAGCTCAGAAATGCCGTGGAACATAACCCGCATGGGTAGCGCTGTAGGCCTCCTCCCAGCGGTACTTCATTGGCTGTTCATTGCTTGACTCTCTGCTGGAGCCTACGGGCACGACCTGTAAAAGGAGGCGGAGCTAGGTCCAAACTTACTTCTAGGCCAGGCCTTGGGGCAGGCGGCAGATTGATTGGCCTTGCTGCTTACCAAAGTCCCAGCTTCTGCATTTTGGATGTGCTGCTAATTGTTATTAAAACGTGACGGGATAAGCCGATTGCTGAGGGGTTCTCCCATCCTCCAACGTCGCTCAACCCCTCCTCCGCCGTATTCGTGACAGCCAACAGCCGCTAGGATGGATCTAGGTGACGACGGCGAGGATGATCGATGGCGGTTCCGGGGTGAGTTAACGTTTTCTCGGGCCCCACAGTCTCGCCTGATGATTCTGACGAGGAAAGATTGCTTCACACCCGGACTGGTGACTGCCGAGCTTGGCCCATTTGCCGATGAAGGCTTGGCCGTCTTGAATAGTAAGTCTGGCCACCTATCGACTTTCTCGGGACCTGCTGACATGGCCTTGTCAAGGCCGCGGCATCCAGAACGAACCGACGGTCAACCCGAAAGATATTGCCATCGGTCGAGACTCCGGTCCACCGGCAGTCCTCACCGCAGAAAGAGACCAGGATTATGACTCACAACATACCACTGCATACGACCCAGGTCTATATGACACTCGACCTTCAGACGACCAATCGTTTTACGACGACTATGGTCCCGGTGTTGCCTACGACGGCGTTGAGGCGGTCTCGGCGCATATGGGAAGCCAAGTTACTCCGCATTAGTCGGGGAGCTCAGTACTACAGCCCGGGGATTCATCTCCCCAGTCGCCGCAGTCTGGCTTTTCTTATAGCTCATGGTCACCCACCGGCGAAACGTACAGCCAATCTCGTATCTCTTCTCCGACCGACGCTCATTTTGTTCCGACAATGTTTCTAGACAAGCCCCCGGACGACACCACGGCACCATTTCAGTCTCCTCAGTCTCCTCCTCTACGCCATCGTACGGGACCAGGCAACACAATCGTTTGCATTGAAGGCTCCTGTGCTCGAAACCCAAAGACATTTACAAAGGCCGGGGAGTACAGGCAAGCTACTTCCAGTACACCTTTGCTCCGCATCTACGAAGACTGACGTGGTTAATATGGCAGAAAGCACACTAAGAAACACACCCTCCCGTACCTGTGTCCTGTTGACGGCTGCCCCCGGGGCGTTCTGGGTGCAGGCTTTTACCAACGCCGGGATAGAAACAAACACCGTGATAGCCACTCGGCAGCCGCGTCGTTCCGTTGTCCGGTCGAGGGCTGTGACAGCACCGCGACAAGAGACTACAATATGGTCCGGCATATGAAGGACCAACACAAGATCAAGATCAAGAAGGCCGACTTGCACGCCTCTGCCATCGTCCGTAGTCGTCACCAACGGTAGATAGCTTCATTGTGAAAGGGGTGTATGTTATGGGCTTGGCCTGCCTAGAGTGGAGTGGTTCGGTATTTCCTATTGTCGTCGGGATGTAGCCATCTATCATTTAGCACTCTAGACCTCTCACATCCCGATCCTGCCTACTATAATATCTTCAGTGCAACTTGAATTGGCTAGATGCTAACAGCCCAATACGACGATGTACATTGACGTAGGTACACAAATCATTTTTTCCAGCATCTGTCACAGCTCGCTCCACTTCGTGGCAACCAGCATCACGACCAGCCCTTGCACACCCGTCAACCACGCCCCGATCCCGAACCCGCCCTGGACGTCGCCGCGCGCAACCGCATACGTGACAGAGATGACTCCGCTCGCCAGCAATGCCACCAACATGGCAGCAAGAATCGTGACTTTGTTGAGCCCCTCGACGATATGCACGCCCCAGCCCACAACCAGGTCATTGGAGCTCCCGCCCTGCAAGATGCTCTGGTGAAGTTTCTGGGGGATCCGGTTGCCCCAGAGCAGGCGCCGGTGCCCCGCCTGGTGCGACAGATGGTGCAGGAAGATGTTGGCCGGGACGGGCGGCGGCTTGAGTGGCCACGGATGGTAGCCATATCCCTCGGCAGCCATCTCGGCCGCGCTCGGTATCGCCATTGGCTTGTCGAGGATACCCACTCGATGGCGGTCTTCTAGGGAGAACTTTGGAGAGTGAGCGAGCGGGAAGAAAATTGAGAGGAGTGTGGAAAACGACGTACCTGAACAAAATGGACGTCCACCGGCTTAATAAAGAAGTACTTAACCCGGAAGCTGCGGGCTTCAAGGTACCGTTCCCGAATTCTGCAGAAGAACTGACCATCTTCTTGCACGTCTGTGATGTCGATCTCGGCGAGCTAGTGCTAGAACTCGCCCGTGTTAATGCACAGCTCGATGAAGCGCTTCTGCGTCGCTCCCTTTCCCGTGACATGAGGAGGCTGCGCCGCCATGGCAGCCGGCTGTTGTCCTTGAGGGTGGCCTCCTGATTCTAGATCTTGGTCGAAAGACGGTAATTGCCGGGAAAGAGACGAGGGTGCTGGCCGGGTGGCTGATGTTGCACCGCCCTGTACGGTAGGAGGGCCTCGAGGCGGAGGCTTCTCTGTGGTATGCTCGCGCTGGTTGTCTTGGCAATGCAACATGCCCCGTAGTTGTTGCAAGGAGTCGACATCCGACTCTGGAAAGTCCGCATAAAGATCATCTCCGCAGTCCTAGACAGGAAATTGTCGATTAGCGGCGGAATCTAAAAGGCTGGAACTCAAGGTCTGTCTTGTACTGACTCACGCAGATCCAGTCCAATCTTTGGTACCCCTTTTTCACAGGGGGTCGAAAGAAGCGAGAGACTGATCGCAATACTTTCGTATAGGCCAGAGACATGTAATCAGATTGAGGACTCGTCCTCAAAGCTTGCCGCCAAGAAGAGGGCCCAACAACCTGGACCTCTCTACTTTCCAGCTCAGGAGTTGGATGCCCAGAGACGACTTGACGCAGCCCAGCAGCGTCGACGTCTCTGCTTTCCGGTTCTGGGGCGAGATTTCCAGAGACGATTGGGGACGGCCTAGTAACTTGGACATCTCTACCCTCTCGTTCAGGGGTTGGATGCCCACAGATGATCGGAGACAGCCCTGAAACCTGGATCTCTCTGTTTGCCGGCTTACGGGGGACCTGTTCAGAGATTTCCGGGGCAATTTCGGCGGGAGACAATGCACCCCCCGTCACGAGGCTAGAAGTGACACTAGGCCAGTCAACCCTGCTGTGGTCGTTCGAATGCCGGGAAAGAGGGCTGCTGGGAGCGGGCATAGGTTTCCCGGGTTCCTTTGCAACCTCTGGCGGCCCACGTTCCGGCCATTGCTTACGGCCACACCACTCCACGTGGGCACTGTGCGCCTCTTTGTCGTGAGACATATCGCCACACCTGCAAATATAGGTATTCGAGGGCATGTGTAGATTCTTGCATTTTTCGAGGTGCCGGCGGTACAGATCTTTTCGTAGGTTGGTGTAGCTACAAGTACATGTGAATTTTGGTTGGTTGAGGCTGCTGCTCTGGAGATTTTCCACGTGTTTTTTACTTAGGACATGTCTTTCCTTGTTTTTTCTGCTGGCAAAGGTCTCGGCGCATAGCGTGCACATGAATCCGCGTAAATGATCCACTTCTCTTGGGGCTGAAACAGCGCGAATAGATTGGCCACTACAATATTTGAAGTGTTAGAGTTATACCACTGCAGTAGGCACGCAATGTGACTTACACTACGGCGGGAAAAGCGGGAAAAGCGGAAGAGCTCGCGAGTGATGGAGTCGAGTTTTCTGTCTGCTGATAGGTATCCCACTCGAAGCCACTTGGGGGGTCGAATGTGTCAATCTCGAGGTGGCCTATGTCACAATCGAGCAAGGGGGAGACCGTCAGTGGGTAATCTGGGGTAGTCTCTTGGGATTTCTCTGCCGAGCTATTTGGAAGGAGAAAAGGGTGGGACCCCCATTCCTCGTACTCGTACTGGGGTGCATGATAATGGTCCGCCATTTTTAATCAATGTTCGCCGAGGTCATTGGGGGAATTTGGGTGACAACAGGAAAGGAATAATGTGTCAATCGCTCCATGGGCAACCTTACAGTTATACGTCGCTCATTCTACAGTGATTACATTGGCTGGTCTCTCCCCAACGGCCCAAAGCTTTCCTCTCTCCTCCTTGGGGCCAGTAGAAAGACGCAGTGACGTGGGTGATTTATCTTGGCGTCGAGGTTGTGCTGCATTTGTACTACCGGAACCACATCATCACTGCAGCATTGGAGCCTTGAAGTAGGGCCTCACCGCTTAGGGATGGAGGTTTTTGCGTTGCTAATATAGTACATGCAAAGTACAACCAGCCCCTCACGTAAGGCGCCTCAGGTACCTAGGTAGCTAGCTGATTCGCCAGCAGAGACAGAAAAATGCCTTGAAGGCGACTACCCGGCCTGTGAATCTCAAACTCCAAAACATAAACTGCAAGATGACCACAGCCTCACACCCAGTGGCAAACTCTCTTTTATGTACCTAATTACAGTACCATGCACTTAGAAGCCGGCGGTGCCGACATGTTGTTACACTGCAGCCACTACCACCCTCCCAAGACCAAGCTCCTCGATAAAAATATCGGCAGCCTTCTCGCCAACGGTAAGGGCGGTATTGTTGGTGTTGGCAGTAACATTGCCCGGCAAGACGCTCAAGTCGGCAATCTTCAGCCCCTCAATCCCGTAAACCCCGAGCCTAGCGTCCACGACACCGCACTTCTCATACGGCCCCATCTTGCAGGTACCCAGCGAAGGCCAGGTGGTGCCGACGCTCTCGCGCAGCAACTGCTCGATAACGGCGTCGTCGGTAGCCGTGTACTTGATATCCTGCACGTCACCCGCCAGCGGGCCGTCTTTCTCGACGCACGCGGCGCCCGACGCAGCAGCAAACGGCGGGTGTCCGCCCGCGACCTCGCCGCGGTAGGCCGCCATCCGCCGGACCACTTCGCGCTGCTTCTTGTACGCCCACACCTGCTTCCTGATGTCAAGGCCGCGCGGGTCTGAGAAGAAGCCCGTCTCAAAGTCGATCGCACCACCCAGCTCCGGGCCCGTGATGTGAATGTGCCCGCGCGAGTATGGGTGCACGGTGAAAGTCGACGTGGATGGGGCCATCATGGCTGTGGCGGTCTTTCGGGCCTGGGCCGTGATAGGTTTCGAGCTGCAAGTCAGATTGGACTTGTCAGCAGGTAGCGCGGCTTGTCTCTTGGATATTCACGGTCTCTTGGGCTGCGTACCTTTCGCAGGTAAGGCAGCATGTCCTCAGCCGACCAGCCGGGGGTTTTCCACGAGTCAAACTCTGAGCGCTGCGCACGGCTGTACATCACCAGGTTAGTCAGCGATCCGCCGCCGAGGACGCCACCAGAGGAGACAACGGGCGCTCTGCCGGCGAGCTCCTTGGCCTTGTTCTCTGGTAAAAGATGTTGGTCTTGGTAGCGGGTGAGAGGTTGGCCATGGCAAGGGCAGGCCATGGCAAGGGCAGGGATGTAAATGGTCGGCGAGCATTATTGGGGCCGCCTTCAATGACCAAGACGGACAGGTCTTTGCTGGCGTCGGCCAGTCTTGCAGCAACGACACATCCGGCGGTTCTGCCTGTGGGAACCAGTCAGCTTTGAGATTTTTAATCGCCCTGGGTCAAGTAGGGGTTGTTTTCCCGTCTCACCTCCGACAATGATGACGTTCACCTCCTTGAGTTCACTGGGCAACTTGGTGTAAAGCCCCATTGTCGCACATTGCTGGCCTGAAATTCTGTATTGTGTGACTGTTTTCTGTTCGGGCTAGAGATATGGTGCGAAACAACGGCTGGGCCAAAAACCGAGTGCCGGCTGCAGCACTTTAAGGAGGTCGGATTGATGCAGTAGGCCGAGTTACGCAAGGGTACCTAGGTAATTAGTTTCAGTCAGCAGCCGCCCCACAAACAACCAACTCGCAATCCTTCCTAAATCCCGGCGGTCTGGTTGGAAGTCAACAACAGATATGTGGACACGGCGCAGTCAAGACCGGCCGGGCTAAACACGCCCCCCTGCCCGCCGGCCCGCCCCGAGGCCCCTTTTCTGGTTGCAGAACGGATGGAAACATTGGACCAAAATTTGACCTGATGACGAAACAAAACATGGACACCAGGCCAGCGCCAATAGCTGCCAGATAGTCAGCCCATGTTTGTATTAATCTGGATGTGTCCTGTGGGACGTTGGCTCTTTGCCAAATTCGGCGCCATAGTGAAGGCGGGCAGAAAGAACTTGGCACTCCATCATAAAATCGGCTTGGTTTGATCCGTGTTATTGATGACGGCTTTGGGCATACGGTCTTGGACGACCCAACCTATGACCGGACGACCGGAGATCAGACTAAACACGCGGGCCTGGATCCCAGCCATCCCTAATAAAGGTCGCGGCTACTAGGGCTGCAAGGGATGAAGCGATAACTATTCAGATCGTCTGCTTGTTTGAGAAATAACCACATGGCCTGCCTGTTCCAGATTCACCCTCGGCCTAAAGGTGAGCACCACACGCCGTCCGACCTGCCGACTGTATATGAGGACCAAAATAGCATGCATGACCTTGAGCTTTCGTCTCCCCTTATTTCAACAAAGCTAGACTTGGCACATAAACTAGTCTGGAATTAAATTAAACAGAACCTCGACTTCCATCTCGCCATACCAACGGTGTGTTATTGCCGAGATTACCTACGGAAAAGCCGCGCCGACTGCATAGTAGGCATCTACTGCAAGACCAAGGCCTGACGCTTCCCGACCAAGTCTGGGCGAAAATAGTTGAGCTGCATCCCAATGTAGAGGAGTATATCGATGCAAAATTCCTCAAGGATGTTCATCTTAAAATAAGTGACCCGATAACAACGCATTGGAGTTCAAGTGAGCTTCTAGTATCCCAAATCAAGCTTTCATTTTCTTATATAAACTATTAATTACTAATATCACACCGCAGAGAGGTAGTCTACGAAAGGCATCGTCTTATGATTTGGATCTTGATTACGACTATTGGTGCGTCTAAGCGGTAAATATTCAGGTCCAAAATCAGCCGCTGGAATATCGACTAAATCCTTGGTCTTCAATCCCACCACAGCGACACCCTGCAGAGTGATTTCCTTCTCTCATCTTTTTCAGCTAGGCGAAATTATTCTACCTGTAGTGCGTCTTTCCAAGCCATAATCATGTCTACTCGAACTCCAGAAGACAAGAAGACCCTATTAGATACTGTTCAATCATATCTCCTTAAAGGATTGCATAGAAATTTAAGTAAGTGGTCTCGAGTACAATGCAGCGCCGATAGAAAGTCAGGTTTTCAGGTTAGGGGTAGCGGGGCAGTACGGGCGGTACGGGCGGTAGTCATAAGCAAGCCCCACTGTTGCTAAAAATAACTTGACAGGAACGCCTGTTTAGCATAGTGGCTAATGCGTTGCACTTGTATCACATCGACGATATGCAAAGATCACTGGTTCGATTCCAGTAACAGGCAATCATTTAATTTTTGCTTTTTTGTTGCCCGGAGCCAGATAAACATTCCTTCATTCTGCTACGTTTCCTACACTAGTATTAGAGGATTTTATTTAGTTTTACATGATGCAACAGCACGGTTTGCTAAAGCCGCCAGCGCACGCTTCCTCGAGTGCACTTCCCTGCAAGCGACGCTGATAGCCGCGAGCGCTGGTCAAGTCGCAAATTGCTGTTGATCCCGAATTAAGAAGTGACTGAGCGCTGGTGCATTAAATGCACGCACGACCTTGCGGATCTCGGCAAACCCTGGGGGGCAGGCATCGAAGTCTCGAATATCTGGGGTCATCACCCGTTCAACGGACTCACCCCGATCCAGGTCGTCTGATGCCTCCTCCTCGTCTGAACTTTCACTCGTCGCGGTGCCGCCCGGGGATTCCATGCCCTGGGCTCTATGATTGCGGTATCTGGCGACGTGGCAGTCTGCGCAGGCGATGGTAGCGCCGTACAGGAACTCGTTGCTAGGGAACTTCGGCCAATCCGATTGGTCAGTATGCCCCATCCCAATCCCGAACTTGTTATGCGACTCGAGAATTTCGATGAGGGGCTCGAACTTGGCGACCACGTCGATCAGCTCGTCGCTGTACCCAGAGAGCGCGTGAAAGCTGCTCCGCGGCTCCTTGTCGACCCTTCGATACTTGGACTGGGACCCTGGGTCGGACCATAAAGTTGCACGTCGGAGTCTAATGCAAAGATGAGGTGCTTGATATTGCGGCCAAAACGAGCCTTGTCTCTCTACATCGCACGCTCTAGCATTTCCGTCGACACAGGTTTGCATAGCATGTCACTCGCCTCGTGATCTGCCTCGAATGCTCCGCCAAAGTCTCCCAGAATCACCAATGACCTGCGGGAAGTCGACTGAGCATCCTCTCAAGTTCGCATCCTGCGCCATCTCATCAGCCAATGGTGAGTGCAGCCAGGCATTGGATTCGTGGCCGTCCCAGTGACAAATAGGCACCCAGTTTGGGTTTTGTGGTGCTGCCTCTTACGCTCTTCCAGGAAGCGGAAAGTGACCCGTGTGCGAGTAGCACAGCGCACGGCAAAGCTGTGCGATAACGTGCCAGATGAAACCCTCGGGAACCTTGCGTCGAGCTCGCTTTTGCAACATGATCACGTCGTAAAGTGTACCGCCGTTGTAGAACTTGTACAGGAGCGTGGCATCGCCGGGGCCATGGTACTGGAAGTTGAGCAGTTGGGGAAGCGGTGTCACGGGTACGTCCAGCGGCAGCTGTCGCTTGGCAAGGACGTACCGGAGTGGGCTGATGGTAATCTCGGCCGAAATCTTATCACGCGCGTATGGGCTAGAAATATTGCGTGGCTCAGATGAAACACTACGCAGCTTAAATGAAAACCCTTTTATATTTTTCAGGGCGATCCGCTCGTACGGGGCGTCGACTGCTGAGAATTAGTTGAACTGGATCATGGCGAAGCCGCCCGGGCGCTGGTGCAGGTATCGTGAAGGCCAGAGTTGGTCCGAACGAAAGAGGTCAGGCTATTTGAGAGGATGCACGATAATGGCATGCCCGCCTTGGCTGCTCCATAATGGATGATAGTGTATTAGCGAGGTTGTGTGGGGGAGAGGTTGTGCGGGGGAGAGGTTGTGCGGGGGAGAGGTTGTGCGTATTCGAAGTCAGTGAAGGTGGGAGCCAAGAAGATCGTACGCACGGGTGAGTAAAAAGGTACGCACAGCTAAGCAAGAAACTACTGACGGTTGAGGAGGAAGATACGGTTGAGGAAGACTTATCACTAAGACTCATCACTTTCCTTTCACATCGCGACTTTTCCTTGTTTCAAATGGAAGGTCAGCTAAGCAGTCAGCACAAAAGAAATTTGCCTGGTGATAGAATTCGGGTTTAATACGTGTGCGGGTGGGATTTTGGAACGGAAATACAATGAATACCAAGGACTTGTCTGGATAATTATGGTGAGCTGAGACCATCATCCTAACACGAGATTTATCTCAGTATTTGAGCTGATCGGCTTGGTTGAAACCTGGATTCCATCCGAAGATCCAAACTTCCCTGATGTTGCAAGAATGACATGATCTTGCAGCTTGCGAGTTTTAAATAAAGCGGCAATGTTTCAAGAATATGGCCCTCGGTCGCAGACAGTGTGCTCACAATAAAGAGTGAAATCGATCAAAACAAGCTCTCTTTGTGGGATAATAGAAATAGAAGGAGACCACGATTAAGGAGATATCAACAATTCCATACACTGGCCTTCCATGGATCCATTGATAAAGAATTTAGCAAGCGTTTGCATTGACTAAAATAACTAAAATCACTCGAAGATTTGGAAGCTGGAGTTATTGACGGAAAACTCAAGAATTAGGTCGATCTCACGTACTTTCCTAGGTCGATTAATAGGTCAGCTTGAAGCGTAAGATGGGGTGGCTGTTTGGAAGACTGTTTGGAAGATTATGCTTTTAATCATATGAGGATAATGAAGCTATTTCGCAGAACCTGCAGATGATCGCCGTTACTTTTAGCTATTAATCACCAATCACCATTTCTCACCGGGACTTGATGCATTGCAAGTGGCTCAACTCAAGATGTGCTCAAGATGTGCAGTGGCTAGTTCCCTTGCCAATACGGACGGGAGGTTATCAACAAGCCCTGGTGAGGGGAAGCGAAATTAGTGTTGTCAGCTTGTGCCTTTCCATATCCCACCTCCGCCGTCCTTGGACTTAAAGTTCCTACCATAGAACCTAATAGGAAGGGTCCGTATCTTACGCTATTAGGACCCGTATCTTACCCTTCATTTAGGGCCCGTATCTTACTCTTCATTTACTACCAGTATCTCAGTCATACTTTCCCTCCAACCATAGATAAAAGCCGAGAACATAGATCCGAACCAAGACAGACAACTAAGCCAAGCATAACCACCCTAGGAAATATTCTCAAATCATAAGCCCCGTCAGCCCGCCCAGCACCATGCCGCCCAGCATGGGCGCCACCAGGGGGAAACCTAGCCCGCCGCCATAGCCGTCGCCCTTGGGTCTGCCGTATGATGCCCGTGGAGCATCCCAGCGGCCGCCACCATACTTGCCGCAACCGTAGCCACCATAGCCGTAGCCATACATGCCGCCATCTGGGCGGACATAGCGGGGCTCGCTGCTGCCGGCACTGCCATGGCCCTTGTCGCTGCTCTTCCGGCGGACGTCACCATCACTACTGTGACCATCCTCGCCCTCGTAGAATACCTCGAGCATGTAGGGGCTCAGGGGCTTGACGTGGGAGACGCCGGGGAAGGTGTGGCCGGGGGGCTCGAGGTAGACGCGGTTGCGGTCGTCGTCCTCGCCGAGCAGCTGCGGCTCGCCCGAGGCCATGGCGTCGCACATGCCGCGGCGCAGGATCTGGTGTTGGCGGTAGAGGTCGCGCTCCATCTGGGTGCGGCGCTCGCGCTCGGCGGCGCGCTCCTCGTGCGTCGTGCCCGTCAGCCGGTCCTTGAGCTTGCGGCCGAAGCGGCGGTGGCCCCCTCGCCTGCCCGACAGCTGCACGCCGGGGTCGCTGCCGCCGGCCTCGTCAGCCAGAGCCGCGGCGTGGGCGGCGGCGGCCTCGTCGTCGGTCGACTCGATGGCAATGTCGTCTTTGCTGGGGCCGCGGCGGCCTAGCCCCGTGATGCCTTGGCGGCGGATGCGGTCGCGCTCGGCCGGCGGCAGCGAGCTGACGTACTGCTCGTCGTCGTAGGGGTGGTGCCAGATGGAGCGCGGCGGGCTAGTGTTGACATCGACAAAGAACTGGTGCTGCGACTTGGGGTCGAACTCGCGCACCCATCCCGCCGGCAACGCCCTCAGCTCGTCTTCCATGCTGCGGCGCGCGCGGAGGGGGATCCCGTTGCATGTCCGCGACGGGAAGCCCGAGGTGGAGGCGGCGCTCGAGCCTGAGCCCGTCGCCTGCTCGTACGAGGGAGGCCGGTCGGGAGGTGTAGCCATGGCTGTGTCGTCCCGAAGCAGAAGATGAAGGTCCTGTGTGTGCCAGTAGCCAGTTTCTCTTTTCGTAAGTTTATTGAGCCGATGTTGGTACCGTGGCGAGTTGAGAGTGTCGAGAGTGCGGGCGAGGGCCACCAAAGGATTGAACAGGATGTGGACCGAGTTGATGATGGCGATGCGCGTCACAGAAATCTAATAATACGGGTCAAGCTGGTTGATGGAAGCTGGTTGATGGACACAACTGGGGCACAACTAGGGATCAATTACAGTTCCATGACGATTGCTGTCCACTTTTACTGCTGTCCACTTTTACTGCTGTCCACTTTTTACCGCTACGACTAACAAAGGCATTGTTCTGAGAAAAACCGTAGTTGCAGAGTCGGGGGCTTGGTTATAGATGAAAAACTCCAATCACTCATTGGGCATCGAGGCGTAGAAACAGAGTGGGATTAACGCCATGAGAAATACGGTTATCAACGTGTTGGTTATCTCCGCCTCACTGCAATGGTCTAGACTCTACAGGAAACGATATCGGGAGATGAGGTTCAAATGACAAGCACCAACATGGAAGAAAAAGGCGAATACCTAATAGTTGAATCAATAGTTGAATCAGGAATATAGCTGTTGGATTCACCAGGGTACCGGTACTGGAATCAACAGGGCGTAACTGTACGCCGAAAAGCTGGTGGTTGAAGTGATGGATTGTAGATGTGTCTTCTTCTCTCTAGCTTTCTGGCAGTGCCAGAAAGCCCCTTCTTATACTACTATTGTGGTGGCGAAGTGGGTGGCGAAGTCTCTATCTAGAACCTTCGAGGCCCTTCTGCTTGACACATTCAAACAATAGCCTACCTAAAGTGGCTACATGATGTCTGCAGACCTATCACCAACAGCGTCTTAGTTACTGCCCTCTCCCTCCAGCGGAGCGCCAGGAGGAGCCGTTCCGCCAAAGCTATTGAACAGGTCGGCGAGAGCCTGGGCGCCGTCCTCGCTCAGCATCAGGTCCTTGTTCCGCGCCGTGAGCTCTGCCTTCTCAGCAGCGCGCCGCAGCATTGCCTCCTCAAACTCGCGCAAGCGTGGGCCGAGCGCAGCCTGCCACTCAGCAGCACCAGCGTGCTTCCCTCCCGACACGGCCTTGCCACTGAGCGCGCCGGCCGAGTCCAGCGCCAGGGTCAGCGTGGTCTCGACGGCGCCGGTCGCCGCGTTGCGGGCCGCGTTGCGGGCCGCGTTGCGGGATTTCGCGGCGGCGGCGACGCGGTGGACCCATTTGACCGTGTTCCGAGGCATTTCCTGCAGCAGCAGCTGCGTGAGGGCGTTGCGCGGCATCTCGGGGCGCGAGGCGAGCTGCCGTCGTCCGTGTAGAGGATGGCGCCGCGCGAGTCCAGCACGCGCATCGCCTCGGAGCAGTCGCCCAAAGCGGCTTGGAAGGCGTCCCAGAGCCCGCACTTGCGCAGCACGGCCTGCCCGGACTCGGCGTGCAGGTCCAGCATCCCTGACGGCAGGGCCAGCGATTCGGCAGGGCCAGCGATTCGGCTGTGGGTTTGTTGCGCCGCTCGTAGACGGCCGCGGGAATGCCGCGGCGGTGGAGCTGCAGGCCCAGTGCTAGCCCTGCAGGCCCGCCACCGACGATGGCGATGCGCGGTTGGAACGGGGGCCTGGACATTTTGCAATTGTGGAGGAAAACAAGGTCAGAGGTTGCTTTGCATCGAATTTCTGGCGCCTCGATCTGCCTGTTGCTTGCTGTCCCGCATAGCTTCTCTTCTCTCTCTTTATACACGCGATTTTGTTTTTCTCTGTCGCCATTTCGAGGTCTGGTGGACTCGATTCGAGCGTTTCCAGACCCCGCCGCCCCTGAAGATCGGCCCCTATCCGTCCCGACACGCTAACATCGGCCGCGCATACCCCTGTATTTTTGTGCAAGCCTCAGCCGCGGGGTCCGAGCCGGGGAACGGCTCCTGCCGTCTTCGCTGGGCATACTCCTGTGCCGGGGTACTCTAGCAATAGCTATAATTAATTACATTCTAGGGGTGCCGGGGTACTCTAGTAATAGCTATAATTAATTACATTCTGGCGGACATGGGATTTTTTGCCAAACTCGCCGTTCAGCATAGGCAAATCCTACATCGGACCTTAATTCTGATGGGCGGTGAATTTGAGAGGATCGTTGGACGCCCAATGCCTGTCGGTCTCGGATTCTGGTTAGCCAACATCGGACTTGGTCGGGGCATTCATTCTCTAGCGGAATTCAACCACGAAGACCGCGGGGATCGGATTTTGGGCAGACGTCGAGGCCCGCCAAGTCTCGAGTATAAGAAGGAGGGTATGTCCAAGGGAAGATGGTGGGCTTGATGGTAGAGATCACCACCATCCACACATCTCTTCTTGCTCACCATCTCTTCCTGCTCACCATCTCTTCTTGCTCGCCATCTCTTCTTGCTCACCATCTCTCTACGTCACCTCTTGCCCTAGCTACAGACTCCCACACTCTTCCCCTGGGCCGTCTCAGACGCACCAAGCAAGACACACAGCTTCGCAGCCATGGCACCGTCCAATTCTGAAGTGGAGAGCGCCATCAAGGCCACCCTCAAGACGCACCTCGACGACATGCTCCGCGTCTTCAAGGACAAGAGCACCGCGAACGTGTCGCGGATGCTGACGCCCGACGCCACCTTCACGCTCGCGCCGGCGACGCTGCTCAAGACCATGGGCGCGCCGCCGACCTTCTCCATGACCAACGCGGAGCGGGAGGCGCACTTTACGCAGCAGTTCCCCGCGCTGGCGAACGGGGACATGGAGGTGCTCGAGACGGTGGTCGACGCCCCCGGCCGCAAGGCCGTCGCCCACTTCCGCGGCACCGTCACGCTCGTCAACGACACCAGCTTCACGCTCGAGAACGTCCTCATCGTCCACTTCACCGACGACGGCACCAAAATCAACAAGACGGTCGAGTTTACCGACGCCGCCACGACACTGCAGTTTGTCAGCGCCGTGCGCGAGATCGCTGCTCCCAAGGGCCCGTGAATCTTGTTTGGGCTGCCGCGCTTGTCATGTTCGAGTTTCTATGGTCGCCTGTAGATACACATGTCTCGGTAGCTTGTAATAGACTCGTGTGTTTACTGGAAGCTGATATCTGACTTGCGCCTCCTTTTGCGAGTCTCGAACTCTTGTCGATGTAACGCAAGGCCCCTTGAACAGATCTGTGTCACGCTGGTGAGCTTTGCGCGACCTTTGATGTCAGGCAGTCACCGTCTGCCCCTGCTGTTGCGCTGCGAATCCCATGCCACTCATCACCTATGCACTCGTGGCAAGGTGCTCGCGGCAAGGTGCTCGTGGCAAGGTGCTCGTGGCAAGGTACTCGTGGCAAGGTTTTGAGTTATCTGCGCCTCAGTGTCTCATTATTTGTCAGCTCCCTAATGCAGCCCCTTGGGGGCCTTCGGCAGTTGGAGATTGAGAAAGCCGTGTTCCCTTTCCATTGAGTGCGAGAAGGATGACGGTGGACATGCCCCAGCCGACTCGCCAACTCACACAAACTCGCAACCGTAACTCCTCCAACAGCTCGTATTCCGCATCCCGCCCTGTCCCATTTTCTTAGACGTCTTTTTCCATACTTTCCGCCGCCGGTACCGAACATACCACACGAGAGAAGGAAGGCCGCGACGGTGCGCCAGGCTTATGGGCATGGACTCTCAGAGCGCGATGGGTGGATGCATGTGGTGCAGCGTCTTGGTGATATCCCAGCGGAAGGCTCATTGCAACGCTGCACTCCTTCCCTATCAGCCCTGTGCCTCTCTAGGCCCTACAACCAAGGTCTCTCGGGGTCTTCAGGACAGGACCCGGGTCCCTAAGAACCAGGACTCCATCTCCCGGTCGGCGATTTTCAATGTGATTCTGCGCGGGACCGGGTGCCAGGGCAGGGAGACTAGTCCAATGATGATGCGCTCCTCAACCCGGCGGGATTATCCCCTCCACGGTCGCCGACGACTTTGCGAGGGAACAGCCCCAGCGCGAGTGCCCGTGACATATCTCACGCCCTCGAGCGTCCTCCTCTCCACGCTGCCATCATAACCGTCATCGTCATTGAAAGAACCGACCACGGCAAAGTCGACACGTTCACCGTAGCGAGGATAGCTGCGCACGCTAGGAAGCGGGCTTCGATGCTGCAAGCTGCTTCCTCCGATATTCAAAGCCGGGGGCCCGCGTCCGCTGCCCGTGATCGTGGTGACTGGACCACGGCCCGCGTGCTGCTGCCGGCTGGATGTCTTGTCTGCCGAGTGCGGTACGGTCGCCGTCAGTAAATATGGGCTTGGTGCTGTCCTCTCGATCGCTACCACCATGGTGCGATAGTAGATGACGGGGTCGTGCTGGTCAGGGCGTGTGTCTTTGTCGACTTGCATGTGTGCATTTTGATGCGCTCGACCGGCGTTGATTGCTGTATTACGGGCTAGCAGGTCCGAGCGGTCCGAGCGGTCCGAGCGGTCCGTCGTGGCTACATTTGTGCGCTGTTTGGTGTGGTTGTTCGTGTTGGTGGTGTGCATGTAACGAGCTCGAGGAAATGATGGAGGAAATGATGGCACGGGTGCGAATTGCTCGCCCTCGTAGTAATGGTTGTCCGCCATGGTGCAGCTAATCAGGTGCCGGGCGGTCGGTGACAGGTGCGAGAAGATAGGTCCGGCTGATGGGATGATCAGAGCCGGAAATAGGGTGCCCTAGACGGTATTTTCTGCTCTTTCGGTTTGACGGAAGGTGGGAAGGAAGAAATACCGAGAGAGCTGCGAGCTTTCAACGATAGCTTAGCCCAACCTTCGAACGGCCTGTCAGATCCGCAGCAGACGCCAGCATGTCAATGGCTTGTTGCCCAGCTTTGGTGGGATCCCGCCCCTCCCAAGAAACCGGGCAACGCGTGGCGTCCCCGGGATGCAGGCTGCTGCATGTCGAGGGTATCGCAGACTCCACGGCTGGGCGCCGTTGCTTGGGTCGTGCATGACACCCGCACCAGCTTGTGGAGTAACACCCCAGCTCATTGGGCCGTAACGCAGAAGGAACCAACCATATGCATGCAGTAAGCAGCGTGCTGGTGACGTGGTGGACCCTGACCAGATGTGTAACATACCCGATTTTATTTCTCGGCCAAGGTCACACCACCTTTACCAGGCTAGCTAGATTTCATCAATGACATGCAATTACGATCGGTGGAAACCCCAGACCCACTCGTCGTGCAGACCTTGACCAACACCATTATGATAGCCACTCCTGCCCAACACTCCCTCCCCTGCCTAACAATCCCCCCCAACCATCACTTCGCTCCTTTACTGCAGGGGGATCCTGCGCGTTCCCTTGTTGGACTCGGCCTTGGGGACCTTGACATCTAGGATGCCGTGCTCGAACTTGGCCTGGACCTTGTCTTGGTCGACGGCGACAGGGAACGAGAAGACGCGCGAAAAATCGCCATAGGACCGCTCGCTGAGCCAGTACTTGGGAGTCGGCTTCTCCCCTCCAGTGTCGCCGCTCTCTTTGACCTTGCCGTTCCCCTTGACTTGCGACTTCTTTCCACCGCCCTCAATCTTCTTGTTCTCGGCGCCGTCCTCGATCTGGCCAAGCGACGGGTCGCCCTCGGTGTGCTTGTGCTCGGCGTGGCCACGGACCACAAGTGTTTGGCTGTCGGTGAACTCGACGACGACATTCTCGGGCGGCACGCCGGGCAGCTCTCCCTGCAGTTGATATTCCTTGTCGTGCTCGGTGACGTCGAACTTGGGTGAGAAGGCCTGTAGAGCGCCGCCGTTGCCAGTAGAACCGCTCTTGCCGCCGATTGACGCCCCGACCTGCTGCTGCGCGTACTTGTCGAACTCGTCGAGCATGCGGAACAGGGATGAGAAGCCCGGGGCCGCCGAGTGCGTATAAGAGTGCGGGTACCAGAGAGACATGTTTGGGGTTGGTCTAACTCTGCGAGAGCTGCTGCTGGCTAATAAGACGCCGTTGATTCCGCTCCGTAGGAGCCGTGGTGCTAGTTGTCGGCTAGGAAGACGGGTGAGGCAAACTCGCATGGCTCTGTTGTGTACAGAGAAGAGACGGTGGCCGGGCAAAAAGAAGACCTGAGACGCTGCATCTTAAATAACCACAGTTCTTCAGACTAGCCTAGGAAGGGGAGAAGAGAAGAGAAGGAAGGGAAATGGCAGGGGGAAGACATCTCCGGATCCTTTTTGAGAATTGGGTCATCGAAATAGTCAAGACCGCAGCTAGCCTGCCCCTTAGGGGTCACCAACGCGTCTGTGAGACTGGAACCATTGGATCATGCAAGCTCTTCCGTCATCGGCACTCTGAAAAATGTCAGACGCGCATGTCCTCAGACGTGCAGGCGACAGTACTGCACGAATCCTATTTGGAAAAGCCAAACCGTACAGGTGGCAGCCCCCTCGCCGCCAGCCGATCTGTTCGTGCTCATAATCCAAACAAGTTATAGTTTCGAAGGTGTTGGAGGACCAAGCAGCAAGGTGCAGGTACGGTGGGTACTGTAGCTTACCTGTACGGGGAGATATCGGGGTACCTTGGATCTGCTCAGGCATCTCCTCTCGCCCTCCAAGTGATTACCGGACCCGTCACTATGAAGTCATGAAGTGGCAGCCAAGAGCCCGCCAGAGCGAGCCCGCATGCATGCGAGTTTTGAATTTTCAGGCCGTGCGTAATTCCCTGAGTGATAATTCCACCTTTTCTCCAAGAGGTTCGACCGCGTCCCCTCCCCCCCCGCAGCCGACAATATCCGCCTTTCCCTCGTTCTTCCCAGATCGTACATACCAAGGCCATGTACCTAACCGATAGAATCAACATCCATACCGCACAATCACTAATCTCATCTCCGTTTCTAATAGTCCACGAGAGGCAAGATGATTGTGTGCTAAACCGCGCTAGATGTGACTTTTTCGACACGCTGGATTCGAAAGGGGAGGATTGCCGATCCGCCACGAGATCAGGGGCTCCCCAGGCATCTCGCAAATCGAACAACAAGCGCTGCAAGCAAGCGCTGCTTTTTCCGGCCTGTGCCCTCCCGCATGTACAAGACTAGAATAATACAATTAGTTATTTCTATTGAGAGCAAATCGCGGCTAGCGCGATGCTGCGAACTGGGGGTCTAGCCCTTCACAGACTTTATGCTGTATGCTACATGGTAATATATGCGTGGGTATCTCTGGTCCGCCTACCTTACATGTCTGCCGTTGCCGCTTCAAGTTGCAAAAATTCCCCGCCAGAAATAGGGCAAGTTCGGCTCCATAGCCGATAATATCTAACCATTCCCTAAATAAGAGCAAGGAGAAAGAGGTAAGGAGAAGAAATATCCCGCCGCAGAACAAAACAAAAAGCCCCGCTATATATACCGTATTAGGAATGCTCTTCGTGTTTCCCAATATGGACAGATAGGTATCAATAAAAACAAAACACAATAAAAACAAGACACAATAAAAAGACAAAAACGCAAAACCAACAAGGACTGGGAACATGCCGCTGCCGCGCCAGCCTTCGCAGATCAAAACGCCAGAGAGATGAAAATAAGGCGCAAATGTATGCGAAACCCGAGAATGAATTTGCAAAGACGGGGTTTGGCTACCGTCTGCCCCACGCTACCTTCTTTCGAGGGATATCGATCGACTCGTCGCCGCTTTCACCGGATCACAGGCGTGTCGCCGTCTTTTCCGATCTGCTTGTCCGTGACCTCAACATTAGGCTGCACTTTGTCGGACGCCGGGACAACGGAATTGTCGGCGGAGACATCGATGGGCGGCAGTCTATAGTCTCTGGTTTCCAGAAGCCAGCGAGCCAGGGTTTTGATGAGGTTCTGCTTGTCGACCGGCTTCGGGATATAATCATCCATGCCATGCTCAAGGCAGCGTTCCCTATCACCCTTGAGCGCGTATGCTGTCATGGCCACGATGGGAACTCGAATCCCGTGTTCTCTGATCCTCGCAGCCGCCTCGTGGCCATCCAGGATGGGCATATTGATATCCATCAGAACCAAGTCGTAGGCGGCGGGCTTGCCACAAACCATGTTCACGGCCTCGGCTCCGTTAGAGGCCAAAGCCGTGTTTTTGAACCCGAGCGAACGGAGTAGGCCAAGCATGACCTTTTGGTTGATGACGTTGTCCTCAACAAGGAGCAGTGTCTTCGTAGATGCGGAAGCCGCTAGCTCTGAAGCCCGAACAAGAGCGCCGGCACTTGGAACCTCGAGCGGGGAGCCGTCCGGGTTGAAGCCCCGCTGCCGCCAGTCCTGGATCTGCTCCAGGTTCTTGATCTTTTTGAATCGCGCCGTGAACCAAAAGATGCTTCCGTGGCGGTCGGGATTGGGGCGGTATCCGATTCTACCCTCCATAAGCTCGGCTAGAGACCGAGCTATCGAAAGGCCGAGTCCGGTACCCTTATACTGCTTAGTCGTTGTAATATCATATTGAGTAAATGGCGTAAACAACAAAGCCGTAGCGTGTTCTAGAATCCCGATGCCAGTATCAGTAACTTCGGTGAGTATCAGGTAGCTGACCTCATCCTCTTCTTGAACAGTAGCCCGGACCCGGATGCTACCCTTCTCCGTGAATTTTGCGGCGTTGCTGATGATGTTCTGAAGTATTTGCCGGTAGCGCAACGGGTCGCCCTGGACAGACTTGGGCAGTTCCGGGGAGAGAAAAAGCTCAAAGTGAACAGCCGGGGGCAAGGTGGGCTGCACACTACGGACGACGGACGCCACGGTGCTGCTAACTCCAACGATGTCCGATTTGATAGAGAAGCTGCCAGAGGCCAGCTTGGAATAATCAAGGATGTCATTGATGACCTGGAACAGAACCTGGCCTGACTCTTCCATAATGTTGACGATGTCTCGCTGCCGCTCGGAAAGGGGGGTATCGATGAGGAGAGAGCACGCCGAGAGGATTCCGTGCATAGGAGTGCGGATCTCGTGGCTCATGTTGGCCAGGAAATCCGACTTGAGCTTCTCGCTCTCCTCGTAGGCTCTGATGAGGCGGGACTCGGCCGACTTGCGTTCGGACAAGTCGCGCGTAACCTTGCCAAAACCGACGTGCACGCCGTCCTTATAGACTGCCGTGATGATGACATTGGCCCAAAAGCGGGTGCCGTCCTTTTTGTAGCGCCACCCTTCGTCTTCGACACGGCCCTCGCGCAGGCAAATCTCCAGTTCCATGCCGGGCTTCCCGATGTCGAGGTCCTCCTTGCCGTAGAAGACAGAGAAGTGCTGGCCAATGATCTCATCTCGTTTGTAGCCCTTGAGTAACTCTGCACCGGTGTTCCAGGTAGCGATCCTGCCATTGGTATCCAGGAGGAAAATGGCATAGTCTTTAACAGCCTGAACGAGAATCCGGAAGGCCTCGTCGTTGGAGAGACCAGGCCTGAAGAGCTCCTGGTCGGCTAGGGCGACTGGGGACTCGCGCCACTCAGTGACTATGGCCAGCAGCTCGTCCTCCTTGAAGACGGGGATGATGCGAGCGATCCACGATGAGGTGTGTCTATAGATGGCCTTCGTGGTGCGCACGGCACGCGAGGAGATGGCGTCGTCGATGGAGGCCGCGATGTGACCGGTGGGGTCGCCGAGCGGCTGTAGATGTGCCTGGAGGAATGATAGCAAGTCGCGGCCAACACACTGATCGACAGTGACGGCCCAGTCGGCTAGGAAACGGGCCGACGCCCTCGTGATAGCGCACGACGGCGAGAGAATCAACTGAGGCAGAGGAATCAGGTCGAAGAGGAGGGCGAGGTCGGGTGGGTGCGAGCGGGGATCGGTCGACGAAGAAGGGGCAAGGGCCAAGGTCGGCGGTGGAGTTGGGGGTAGAGAGGTGGGCGGTGTGTTATGGTCGCCTGTCGCGGCGCCGGAGCCGTTGCCGTTGACGGGACTGCCGAGGCGCTGAAGAGTAGCCATTTTTCGAGATTGGTTTCCTGTTGGCGAAAGTGCCTGCCCGCTTGGTTGCGCTCGCGCCTCCGCCCGACACACTGGACTGCAAGTCTAGAAACCGCAGGCTGGTATCGCTTAGTGGCGGCGTGTGACAGGGCGAAGGATGATTGATAGTCAGGTTGGTGCGGGCGGGGGCAGCTTCTGCGCGGCCGAGCCGATCGGATGGAAGCTTGGATTGCAACGCCAATCTAGTCTCTCGTTGGCAGTTGTTGCGGCCAAGAGCTTTCCAGCAATTTCTCTGGGGCGCGGGGTAAGGAGCCATGGCGTTGTGACGTCAAGCTTACTTGGCGCCTCGGTGCCCACCGGCTTGGCCGTGTTTCACTCCAGGCTAATCTGGAAGGTACATACCCGAGGTACCTAGGAACCTAAGGCAGGGGGTAAGATTCTCACAATCAGCAACCCAATCTTCACTTCACATTAGGGCTACAGACGGGAATCGATAAAGTTAGTTCCAAGTGCTGTTTCGGTATAGAAGAGCCGACCCAACAACGAAATCGCCCATCAACGAAATTGACCCACACCATGCCCCACACCTTGCCCCACACCCACCCTACGGGCGCAAATTATCCGTTTCTACACACAAAATAATTAGCCAAAAAGTACTCAATCCTCTTCTTCAGCCTCTCTGTATTGCTCAAGCCCACGGGCGATGATTTCCCGAGCTTCTTCGACTGCATGTGGCTGATTTGGTGCCCGGGCCGGTCTTTTTCGCTTGGGGGGCATTTGACTAGCTTTTTGGGCGTTGTCAACGTCCTGAATACGTGCGAATTTCTCATTTCCATCTTCGTCCATATGGCTCGAATGTTCAAGGATCAATATACGCCATTCGCCCGGCGTTTGGGGCATTGTTTGGATCAGGTAGACCTCCTCGAGCCACTTTAAAGCGATTTTGGCGTTGCTCCAGCCTGTTGTTGAGTAGTCATACTTCCAATCCGGGAATTCGGCTTCCAGGCTGAAGTCATCGGGAAAGTGTTGCCCTTGAAGACTGGCCCTGGTAAATATGATTACGGGCTTTAAACGAATGGCCCCTGTAGTGGCGCATTCGATAACTGTGACCCAGGTAGTTGCATCAGAGCTTTGTAGATAGGTTCGGCTCGTTAGGGAGCTTCCGATGACCTTTCCGGCCCGGGTCTCAAGCTTCTGCATGCCGTGCTCGTCCATGTTGGCGATGTTGGCGATTTTGGCCGGTTTGACCTTTTATCCTTGACCTGGAAGGCCAGGCGCTTGTAAGTTGGCCATGCCTATTTTGGCCCTGCCTATTTTGGCCCAGCCCACTTTTGGCCCATGCGCAAGCCACCATGCACTTACACCACATGTGATCGATCCTTTTTCTTCAACACACCGCAACTTCCTCAAAACAACACCAAATTCCTTCAATTCTACTACATTCGAGAGCCCTTTCAATAATCTTTCCAGCGATGCCTCAATATAACGAATTGAAAATGCTGCAGGCTATGCAAAAAGTCCGAGAAGGCATTCCGTTGCGGCGCGCGGCCGAAGAATGTGGCGTTCCAAGGACTACCCTTCGCAACCGTATGGCCGGCCACAAATCCCGCCATATTGCATTCGAACACATGCAGGTTCTTCCGCATACAACGGAAGCCCGGCTCGCCGAATGGATCATCCTTCAGGGCGCTCTCGGCCTACCTCCAACGCATGCAACGGTCAGGGAATTTGCCCGCCGGCTGGCCGTGGACGGAGGCAAGCCGGAATACGTAGGACCGAAGTGGTTGCGCGGCTTCATGGCCCGGAACCCGTCAATTCAGACCCAGCGGGCACAAAGCATGGATGCGGCCCGGCTCAACGGCGCCACGGTCCCGGTAATCACGGCTTGGTTCAACTACCTGGCCCTCCCGGCTATCAAGCTGATCAAGCCGGAGAACCGTTAGAATAAAGACGAGACTAGCCTTCTTGAAGGCCAGGGTGACAACGGCATGGTTCTTGGATCTGAGGAAAGGGCCAACAACAAGAAGCTGAAGAAAAAGCAGTCAGGATCACGGAATTGGTCCACGTTCGTGGAATGCATCTCTGCAACGGGCAGGTCAATACCTCCTTTGGTGATCATGAAGGGGAAAACCTTACAACAACAACACTACCCAAATAAAATGGGTCCCTTCAAAGGTTGGAAGTTCCACACGCAGGAAAAAGGCTGGATTGACGATGAGAGTGCGTTAAAATGGCTTCAGGAAGTCTTCCTTCCCAACACCCGTACGGCCAACAACGAACGCCGGCTCCTCATTGTTGACGGCCACGGTAGTCATACAACTGATGATTATATGTGGACCTGCTTCCAAAATAACATTCAGCTTCTTTACTTACCGGCACACTCATCACACGTCCTTCAGCCGCTTGATTTGACGGTTTTCTCGGTCCTGAAGCGGGCATACCGGAAGAGGTTTAACTCTCTACCACGGTGCTCCGATTCAACGGTCTCCGGCCGGCGCACTATGTTGACCTGTTACCGGGCTGCCCGGGAAGAAGCATTCAAGGAAGAAAACTGCAAGGCAGGGTGGTATGCTACCGGCTTGTAGCCGGTAAATAAGCTCAAGCCACTCACGAGCCCTCGAGTGCTAGAAAATAGCAACAAAGCCGGTAAAAGTACGGCTTTAGCTGCTCTCAAGGAAGAGAGGGATACGGCTCATCAACAACAACAGTTGCTTGACGATTACGGCACTTGGAAGACTCCTAATAAGGTTACGGACCTTACGGTTGCTTTGGTCAAAGTAAACATCAGCTCCCCGGCCCGTAGGGCACGTCACCAGCTATTCAGGAAGGTCAGGAAGGCATTCACCCTCAGGGACTTTGAGATGGCTAAGCTCAGACACGAAAATGAGGCTCTGAAAGCTGAGCTTGAGAACAAAAAGGGAACCAAGAGGAAGAAGGTGGAATTGAGCCCAAATTCCAAGCTTGCCTCAATAAAAGACATTCGGCGCGCGCAGAGAGCAGTGGGGCGCGATATTGACAGCTCTGACGAATCAGAAAGCTCGGAAGAAGAAGAGGAAGTCAAAAGTTGTATAGTAATTGGTTGATTTGGCGATATTCTACATGCTTCAATGTAGGGTGTCATTCATGTCAGTGGGCGGCTCAGCACGGGCCAAAAGTGGGCTGGGCCAAAATAGGCATGGTCAACTTAGAAGTCTTCGTAAGCCTCACGAGTAGAGCCTCTGACGCGAGAGGATTCCAACAAAGCCGAATTATTCATTTTTACCCCCGGGTTGCGGCGTAGGAAGCGATCCACATATCGCTCGCCCACGATCTTTTTCGTGCCAGTCTCATCGAGTATGGCTTGAGCGAATCTCCGGACCTGACGACGGCTAGGCTCACGCCCTGCAGCTTCCTCATTGAGGCACCAGTCGGCTAGGAAGCTTTCCTACGCATCGGAGAGATTTCTTCCCGTCTGTTTACTTTTTGCTCGATTTTCTGCCCCATGGATGCGTTTGCAGAGGGTGAAGGCAGGGATGCCATGTAACTTGGCGTCGTCCTTCTGCGAAGCGCCCTGCTCAACAGCAAATATTGCAGCTTCAATGAGCTGCTCGCAACGGTCCGAAATGGCCTATTTTATATTTTGAAGCAATTTGGGCTTGGTTTGATGAAGTTGTGGTGTTTCGATGAGGGTGTGGTGTTTTGAAGTTGTAGGGGTGAGAAATTTGATGACAGGGGCAGAGATTTCGCTGTGGGGCGATTTCCTTATTGGGTCACCACGTCCATACACGTAGAAAGCGGCATGTCTGGTAATTCACCCCTTCCGAGTCGATATAGGACTATTGTGCGTGCGTGGAGATTGAAGTCTGTGGAAGGTCTGCCCTTGTTCCATCTCGTTATAGGCGCGATGGATCGGAACGTACCGGTTGTAGTTGGGCCGCGTCAAGTATATGCTTGTGGCTGATTTGATGGATTTGGCTGATTTGGTGGATTTGGGTAAGGACTGGAAGGTGTGTGCAAGGAAGACCCTTTCGTCAATTGCAGCATTCTTGTTCTATTTGTACTCGTGCCAGCCGATTGAGTTTGACACCACGGCACGGCGTAAGTCTTCTCAGTGTACGTGTCATCAGGTAGCAAATCCATGGTTGTGCCGAACCTTGACGCCCCCGGGCCGTTCAAAGTTCGGGTGTGTGGAGCGGAGCGGCCGGCATGTGGTGCGTCAGTTGTAGTCAGCCGGATCCGAGAACCTTTCGTGTTGGACTTGTCGTGCTTCCGCGGGTATTGGCTTTTTGTCACGACAATAAGGATTAGTGAGCAAAAGGACCTATGCCCGGGCGGCGTTAATGACTTCCTGGCGGGTAAAAAAGGTACCGCCGATCTTGTTGACGGCATGCTCAATGCCCTCATGCCGGCCGGACCCGCCGCGTATGTTGTTGAAGACGGCGGCGGGCTGGTAGCCGCTCGAAACCTGCTCCATCGCGACTTTCTTGAACTCGGCACATCGCCAGGTCTTGTCGATAGCCTCAATGTCATGATTGTGCGTGACGGTAGGGTCGACGGGCTTATAAACAACGCGGCCGTCGCTATAGACCGAGCGCTGCATTGTCTTTGGGCAGGCGATTAGATCGCGATATTTTTTACTACGCCGAGAGCCAGCTACAATACCCTCACCTACCTGCCTTTTCTTAGTATAAACATTTATTGAGGAATAATACAATCGGCAGCGAAGCGCGAGGGTCCTCTTTTATCGCCAGTCTGGCATACGTATTCCTTCCGAGCCGGCGAGTATATATTATTCATAAAAGGCCAGTATTTTCGTGCTCCTCAGTAGTAAATATGAGGGTTTCCTGGCCTAGGAAAAAACGCGTGCGAATATCATCTAGACCGGCCGGTATTTCGATGAGGGCTCTTAGGGTAGGTGGCGCGGGCTTGGGGGTCGTAGTTAGCTTAGGGAACGGTATCGAGGGACCTAGAAGAAAAGAAAACGTTAGTTATATTAGTAGTCTCTTATAAGTGTAAGGAAAAGGACACCCCAAACACCAACTGCGCGCACAGGGTGCGCGCCCACCACTTGTCACCAACTGGCTAGAACACTGCCAGCTGGCATACGCTACGCCGTGGCGCCACGACCGCAGACTGATGCCCGGGCCGAACCCCTGAGCAGGTATATAAACAATGGCCCTCGCCCATCTTCCTTTGCGAGGGCCAGGTTGAAGTCTTACACCAATACAAGTCATTGCTCCCCTACCTTCTTGCCTGCATTGTGACCACCTTGATCAGGCGTACCTACCTTCTCTTACATAAGGAACACGCGTTGACCGTCTGGCCAGATCACTGCTGGCTGTCATGAGGCACTAAGCCCATACCGGGCGCCATGTGTCACATGCACATTCTGGACCGAGCCCCTGAGCATGTATATAAACAATGGCTCTCGACCTCTCCTTTGCGAGGGCCAGGTTGAAGTCTTACGCCAATACCAGTCTTTGCTCGATACCGGTCTTTGCTCACCTTCTGTTGTCTTCATTGTGACCACCTTGATCAGGCGTACCTGCCCTCTCTTACAAAGGGGGTCCGGTAGCGGTCTTCTTAAACCTAAAAAAGTGGGCTTTTTACCGATCCTTACACACACAACCAAACGCAGCCTAAAGGTACGAAATAGAGGTGACACCGCGGAAACGTAGATAATCGACAAAGACTATAAAGGTACTAGAATAGGTATAGAAATAGTAGAAAAAGGAGATAATTGTCGAAAACCGTAGCCTAAAGGTATACCGCGGAAATAGTAGAAGCTGCCACTTGATTCTTCGCCACCAGATTTTGCCACTATTCATAACTATAAAAGATAGACTTTTTGCCCTCTCAAAGGAAACAAAAAGTCAGACCTTTTCAGACAATTCAAGCCTTACCTTCCTGCATCAAATGCCCCATTTTCCACTGCCCTGTGAATGCGCGTGACACTTTTTTTTCGTGACCAACTTTAATCTAAATATCGCATAGGCGGGGCTTCTTTGTTACTTATTCCTTGGCATTGCAGGGTCTTCCTTTCCAGCGGCTAGGAAGCGGATGAACACTTTGCACGTCGCGTTGGGACCATGGAATTCCTTAACTGCAATTAACTTTGAAAGGAGACTGCAAGTTTTCCACGGCATGTATTGGATGTTTTGTCATGCTCGAATTGGGGCCACTTGGGTATCCAGAAAGTGGAGCGCTATATCCACTGCGCAGGCCACAGTGGCCACCTGAGGCAGCAGCGTTTCCGACCCACTGTACTTGCCAGCGCCGGGGTACAAGGACGGTCAACGCGAAGCATCCAAGGAAAGAAAGATGAAGACCCGGCAGAGCTTGCACCTCGACATGGGCCGAGAATAGACAAAGAACGGCCTTCCCGTCCACGCTATTCTTAGGTTCTTTCTACCACTCCCTATCATTGGCGCACTCTGTACAGTGGGACTGACCCATGTCCGACAAGACACAGCGCTGTTTCCATGGCGCACACGCCGAGAACGGAGTACCCGCCCACGCTAAATACAAGAGAGAAGAGAAGGAGAGAAAACGGAAAACAAACGAAACGGAAAACAAACGAAACAAAAAATCAAGCGAGGTGGCGTGGTCACTTCATGACGGTCATGGTGTGGACATAGCGTATCTTGCCGTTCTCGAGGCGGAACTCGTGGCTGTCGGGGTCGTTGCCGCCGAAGGAAAAGAAGACGTCGCACGACCCGAGGCTCTCGTCGATGACATAGCGGCGGTTGGTGTTCTTGATGCCGCTCGGCACGCCCACGTTGCAGCTCGGCTGTACGTAGCTGCCACCCTCCAGCCGCGCACACGGGCTGCCCCACGGCACCTTGACGCTCTTGTCGTTGAACAGGTCGAGGTACGCGTCGGCGCCGGCCTGCAGCACGGCGCGCGTGTCCTGCTTGGCCGCCGGGATCTCGGTCCACGCCTCCGCCGACGCGTACTTGAGCGTCCCCGCGGGGTTGAAAAGCCAGTCGCCCGTCGACGTTACGAGGGTCTCGATCTTGGACAGCGCCCCGTCGGTGAAGCGCATCTGCGTGCCGATGACGTGCGAGCTCCCCGAGCTGGTGATGATGAGCTCGGTGAAGGTGGCGCACTGCGTCGTGTCGTACGTGCTACGGTTGTGGTCGATCTTGAGCGCCGTCGCCAAGATCCCCGTCGCCAGCGTGGCCGCCTTAAAGTTCTGCGTGTACGTCACGCTCGAGCTCGCCTTGAGCCCGTCGGCCTTGCCCGCCGTCTGCGCCGCGATGTACGCGTCCGTCTGCGCTTTGAGAAAGTCGCGGTCACACGTAGCCGCGGCCGATGTGGGAGCGGCGAGGGCCGCCCGGCTCAGCGCCAGACATGTCGCGAGAAGTGATACGAGCATGGCGAATCAGTTCTATTCGGCGTTGCTGGTCAAAGGTCCTGAAAGCCTGTGTCCGGTTTTGCCCATCAAGGCCGCTCGCCAGCTCCTCCCTGCCTCTCTTATACTGGCTCTTCATAAGGACTTGATTCCACGGCGATTACCATCAGGCAAATGTCCCGCCAGGAGCCGTCGAGCAACCCCGGGCAAATCCCCGATAGTGCCGCGGATATTGGCATTGATTGTGCGGGGCGTGAGCGTCAAATATGCTCGGTATTCACCCTCCGTCTAAAGTCGGGTAAAACTGCTCGTGGGCCATCCATCGGTCCCCCATCTCGTTCTGGTGTAGAGAGTCGAGTCTGAATTTAGGGTTCCTCCAATTACATTCCACTGTTGGGCACTTGAAGATGCGACAGTTGTGGCTAGCCGAACGCGGTGAGTTGGTTACCGGTATTAATTACCGAGTCTCCGATTTCACTCTCCAGCACCCAAGACCTGGTTGAGAACAATAGCAAGTGTCTCGGAATAGGGACCATAGGCTGAGAAGAGTTGGACTACACCGCAGAAACCAGCACAAGACACGTAAGGGTGTGAAATTTCGCTTGCTAATTATGCCAGACCCAAGCCACTCTACATACACCATACACCTATTGGCCAACAAACCTCACAGACCAAGAGCCCGGGCGGCCACGAGACGACGCTATCCGTCATACTTTACCTATAGACTCAGAGCTTCGCCCTCGGCGGCTCCAGCGCGGCAACGACGTCAGCATACCTGTCGTACGCGTCCTTCTCGGCGTCAAAGTTGAGCAGCCACGGTTCCCGGACCAGATGGATCATCTCGGGCTTCTTCCAGACCCGTGACCAGTCGGCCTTGTGCCAGCGCTCGCGCGTCTTGGGCCCCATGGCCTGGGCGCGGTGGACGCGGTCGTAGCGGATCTTCTCGTAGGCGCGCAGAGCGCGCGGGATGTCGGCGCGGCCGCTCAGCTGCAGGCACGTGGCCAGCACGACGCCGTCCTCGATGGACTGGCTGGCGCCCTGGATCGACGTCGGCAGGAACGGGTGCGCCGAGTCGCCGATCAGCGTGATGCGCGCCCGCGGTGAGATGAAGGTCGGCAGCGGGTCCCGGTACACGAGCTTGTGATCGATCAGCCGCCCCGGCGGCGTCGCCTTGACCAGCTCGTGTACGATCGGGCACCACCCGTCGAGGTACTTGAGCGCCTCTTCCGGCTTTCCCGGGAACTGCCAGCTCTCCTCGATGTTCCCGTCATCGATGTGCGTAAACACCCAGTTGATCTCCTTGCCTCCCTTGATGGATGACGCGAGGAAGTGGATGTCTGGCCCGATGAAGCCCTGGTGCGTGTCACCGTTCACGACGAGATGCTTGATGATGGGGTTCTTGGCGACGTCGTCGGAGGGAAACCAGGCCCGGTAGACGGCGTAGCCCGACGACTTTGGGTTCTCGTCGAAGCCCAGCACAATCTTCCTGCCGCGCGAGCGGACGCCCTCGGCGGCAATGACCACGTCGGCCACGAAGCGCTCGCCGCCGATAACGACGCCGGCCTGGGGCGGGTCGTCGGTCTCGAAGTAATCCTCGACGCGCTTGCCCAGGCGGATGTCGATGCCGCGGGCGAGGGCGTGGCGGTAGATGATGTCGTGCAGCTGGCCGCGGTGGCCGTTGATGCGGCGGCCCCACGTCTTCTCGTGGGCAAAGGACTGGCGCGTGACGAACTCGCCCTCGTGGTGGTACAGGTCGAGCCAGGTCGTCTGGCGCGCAATGGCCTCCATGGCGTCGATGACGCCCGGCCAGCGCTCAAAGGCCTTGGACCCGTTGGGGTCGAAGCTGATGATGTCGCCGATGCGCGTGATCTCGTCGATGTCGTCGACCTTTTCGTACAGCGTCACCGAGTGGCCCTTGCGGTCGCACTCGATGGCCGCTGCGAGGCCGGCAAAGCCAGCGCCGACGACTATGACCTTGATCCCCGACGGCGGGAGGCGCAGAATCTCGCTCGCCATGATGGGCCTGCTGTTCTGTGCCGTACTGTACTCTATCTTGCTGTCTCGGGACCCAGGCACACAGGGTACTCGCCTTGGACCAGGTCGGTGGGCGAGGCGATTCCGGCTTGTGCGACACCGGAAGGGCCAGGGATGGGTTCGATCGTACTGTATACCACGGCTGGCGTCCAGTAGTGGTGGGCGAGGTTGAGAGGAATTGAGGCGGTCAATTGGCGCTTGGCCGGTGTTTCTTTTGGCTCCGAGAGCGGACTGGTCGATGGGGAGAGGACAGGCCGCCGCAAACCGCAAGCCCGGGAACTTCCCAGCTGGGAAAGACGCCAGAGAACGGGCCGTTGCCAATGAAAGCAGCAGGCCGAACTGCCGACCCCGCTCCTGCCGTGGTCGTGGGCCTTGGTTGGGGGTCATGAGGCGTGGCGGTGGTGCGGTTCCAGACCCGAGTTGCCCCAGCAGTGCGAGCACGGCAGATTCGCCAGCTGCCATTGGAGCAGCCTGCCAAGCCCGCCTGTGCCCCAACGGCACACGTAGCTTCGCGTGGTGGTGTTCGTGTGCCCTTAAATTGGATTGCGGGGGAGATAGGGCCTGTTCGATCCGGAAGAGTCGGGGTAGGCCATGGCGCCGAGCGGCTGCGGGATCTCGACCACTGAGCCCATTTTCTCGGCCGTGGAAGTGAAGCCGGGACACGCCACACTCGACTTTACTCAGCGCCGGGGCGGCTGCCAAAATGACTCAAGATGGATGCATGTTCTCTTTAGACATTGGCGCTTTCCCCAGCCAAGCGACGAACAGGTTCTGGAGCTACAGAGGATCGCGATTGAGCTGCCGCCGTTCTGGCTAGAAACAAACTCCACGGTATCAAGTAATTGCCCTACTCACTTGATAGGCAGTGTTTCAGGAAAAGATGTCAAAAAGGGTTCACGTGTCGAGACCCAACTGGCAACAGTCGGGCTCGGTGTGTTCGATGTCACCTTTTTTGCATTGCTGATCCTGCACTTGCTACTCAGAGATTTATGAGTCCACGACATCAACACTTTTACAGTCTTGTGCAGGGGTTTGTTTACGACTGGGGAAAAACGAGACCAGCAATGTTTTACTGATCACTTAAGTACGTCTAGTACTTGATCCCAGCAAGAGTCATCTTGTTCATGACACTCTTGGATGACGGTCGACTAATCGAATTCATCATCACAGAAGAGCAGTTGCCCGAAACGGCCGCTGGAAAGTTTACCACCACCATTGAAATTTTGTTTTGTACTGCGATTTCCACCGCCGAAAGGCAAACTATGTACAAGAACTCTCCCGTCTCCTAATTCAACTAAGAATCAGAGACGTGGCTTCACCTGCCCTATCCCTCGGCGACTCGCTAGCTGCCAACTTAGCCACGAGCGTCCTCGACTGCAGCGCGCACAAGTGATAACTGCCTTAAAGACACTGAGAATACCACTGGTTGGACACTTTGCACGTTGAACCCGACGCGCAGCATGTCGCGCCCGACCAGCCCGAACCGCCACACTGTGCCCATTTAGCAGCGCACTATTCAATCAATTTGAGAGAAGTCAGTAACGATGGCCCGTGCAGTATCAGAAATTCTGGAGACAGGGGTGGATGGATGTTGAAAAGCCTACCGTGGTGCTGCCCCCTCCGCCGGTTCCTCCGCCGGTACCGCCGCCAGTGCCTCCGCCAGTGTCTCCGCCACCGCTGGTCGAGCCGCCGACGTTGATGGTGGAAGAGCCGGTCGAGAAGTAGCCCTCGGTGGCGACAATCTGGTAGTCGTGAGTGCCGAGCTTGAGGCCGGCTGCAGCCCAAGCGTTGAAGTGGTTGGCCATCGTGACGGTGCCGCCAGTACGTTTGGAGACACGAACGGACCAGTACTGGTCGAACGTGGCCGTGCCAACGATTGACGGCTGGTTGACGCGCACCGTCTTGTAGATGTTGTACGTGCCGCCGTCCGTTGTCACGCTGCCGAGCTGCGTCGCTCCCGTCGACGGGTTATATGTGCCAAAGTTCTCCACCACGTAGTACTCGACCAGCGGGCTCTTGGTCCACCCATACACGGCCAGGTACGAGTTGCCGTTGGGCTGGTATGTGCCCGTGTAGTTGATTGTTCTGTTGCATGCCTAGTCAGTCGCCGATTGATGTCGATGCATGGATAGATGCTAGGAAAGCACCCACCTCGCGGTACCGGGATTCCATCCCTTGCCGCCGACCCAGTTGCCGTTGCCTGACCACTTTGCCGTGTACTGTCCGCCCGCTTCGTTGGTGTAGCTGACGCTGCCGGCCCCATCCGTCCAGAACGAGTAGTAGTAGCCGTTGTGAGTACCCGTCTGACTGGTGGTCAGAGTCTGGCGTCTCTCCACGCCTGGCATGGCGCCAGGGGCGGCCAGGGTGCCGGCTACGGCGCTGGCAGCAGCAAGAAGGGTCGAGAAGGTAACCATGATGCCGGCTGAGTTCGGTTGATCGGACCCGAGGAACTTGGTGAGCCCGAGTCGATGAATGTGGGTGGGACCTGTGGCTTTTATATGCCTTTGGCCAGCCCAAAGCAATTTCGCCAAGGGGCGCGATGGTTGTTTGAGATTTATTCTTAGTCTTAGCCAAGCACCAAGTATCCCTGCTCTCTTCTCCACGTTTCTGTCGGGATGCCTTCCGATGCCCCTTGCCCTCCACGACCTGTGTCGTTTATAGGCGAAGCTCCGCCCATTGTGATGCTACGTCGGGCAGAAACCGACGAAAACTCCAACATCTTCCCCGTCCTTCCGGTGCCGACCGATGTAACACTCCGCACTTAACTCCCCGGGGCGATCCTTTCCTGGCTGAGAATGCGGAGGATATATGCGGCCGACTGGTTTGGAAAGCGAAATGGTTCTAGCTGCCAGCCCACTGCATCAGCAGAATTGGTTGGGGCCGAGGCCATCCCCAAATGTTCGTCCTTTATTCTCCCACGGTTCCGCGACTGCCCACTCCGCAAGTTGGTCGTTACTCCCTTTGTCATCTCGGAACATGTCTGCAATTTGACACTTGTCATGCGCCAGCACCACAGCCCGGGATCGCACGCGCCCCAAAAGCCCAGGCGCTCCACACAGCCCGGGATCTCACGCGTCCCAACAGCCCAGGCGCTCCACTAGGAACCGGGTCTCGCATTGACCATGAGGCGGCACTAAAACGAGACAGCTACAGGAACCATCAGCCTTGCATGCCCATAACCGGGTCAGCGGGGTCCCTTAAGAGCCGCTAGACAGCGACTAGGCCTAGTGACCGCTGGTTAAATGTACAGGGGGCGCACTGCCGATTCACCCGGCGGCTAAATCCAGCCAGCTGCGACTCCAGCTGCCTGTCTTGCCTTGCTTGCCGGGCGCGTGGGTCTCCGCTCGCCAGCTTGGCGTCTGGTTCGGGGCTCGACGCCTCAGAAGCCTTACCCAAAACGCAACTGCGGCCAGTCGTGCCCGAGATTTCCGTTCGAGACCAGGAACGCTGGGCCGCAGAGAAGCGCGTTCCGGGCCAGAGGAGACGGCCTGCCCACGGCGAACTAGCAGACTCGCCACGATGTCGCTGCAGTCGACATCCCGCAGCCCGAGCACCGCGCAAAAGTTCCATTCGTAGCTCGTCCGAGGAAGTGTAGCCCCCTAGCTTGGGTACGTCATCCGCTCTTCGTTGCGTTTGTGTCTCATCGAGAGCGACGGTGGTATCCAAAACATATTATCCAGCTGCTAGCTTCGACAAGACTATCCGAAGAAACGTAAATAAGATTAGGCTATAGGTCTGGGCTCGTCTTCAATAGACAGAGTCGCATTATTAGCGCATTGGGAGTTCAACAACCCTCCAGTCACGCCCAGTTCGCAGTTACCTTCAGGAAATCATGTCACTTTGCCCGCCTTACCGATAGAGCTAGTAGCCATTTAGACATGAGGCAGCTGAAAACCCGGAATCTCTTTCACAGTCTTCCGGGGAGGGCACCATCACAAGCTATTCGGTTGCTAATAAGTACCACACACCAAGGCAACTCAACCATGCGCAGCAGACATAACGACTTCAACTGGGCTGCGTTGCCATCCAGCGAGGTGAGAAATACGACGAGTGAAATCACAATGAAGGCACCGCGGCCCTTCCATCCCAGCCACGGCTCACAAGTCGTGCATCTGCACGCCGCCCATCTCGTGACCATAGTCGTCCTTGATAAAGTCAGCCGCCCTCTCAGCGACAGCAATGACCAAGCTGTTGGGATTCGCCTGCGGATCAGGGGGAACGCGCTAGTGTCCACCAACTTCCGGCCCAAAGTTTCTTCTCTCGCAAATCATGCGCTATATTTCTCCAGAACAGCATTCCTGCTTGGCGCAGCTTTGATGCCTCCACTGTCCAGTTTCTGCACAGTATCCTGTAACCTTGTGGCCGTTTTTGTAGCGAAGCTAGTCACTAGGATAAAACAATCTCTAAGAAACTCCTCGCCCATCTCTACCTAGATGCTAGTTATACGCGAAGAAAAAAACTCTCAGTTCGTGACTTTTGAAGGCGTAGCTTGCTATATACTTTGCTATGTCTCCCTCTTACTCGCCCCTTCCCTTTAGTCGTTAGTCTTCTTTCTCTTCCTCCTCCTTTTCGTCCCCTCGTCTCTGAACTATAATGATTTTTATAATGGTAATAATTCCAGCCTCGCCGTCATCTTCGTCGCCTTGGGGCTGGGTATAGTGACCGGTTCTGGGTAGAGGCGGGATATTCTTTAGGAATACTATATTGTAGCCGATTTCTTTAGCGAGTACGAGAAGCGCCCGGTTAAGATATCTTCCTCGCGTTACCTAGAACCCCTTTACTAGATAGGGTTTTAGCTTCTTAGTAGGATCGTCGCGGTATTCATGTAAGGAAAAGGACACCCCAAACACCAACTGCGCGCACAGGGTGCGCGCCCACCACTTGTCACCAACTGGCTAGAACACTGCCAGCTGGCATACGCTACGCCGTGGCGCCACGACCGCAGACTGATGCCCGGGCCGAACCCCTGAGCAGGTATATAAACAATGGCCCTCGCCCATCTTCCTTTGCGAGGGCCAGGTTGAAGTCTTACACCAATACAAGTCATTGCTCCCCTACCTTCTTGCCTGCATTGTGACCACCTTGATCAGGCGTACCTACCTTCTCTTACAATTCATATCTCTATACTATCTTAAACTACGTAACGATAAAGAGGAAGTATAAATATCTTACTCTTAGGTAATTATTATTCTTAAATAATAGCCTCTAACTATCTAGGTCCCGAATAGTTATATCTTTAGGTAAACCGTAGCTATCTTTAGGTATACTATAGCCCTCGGGAATAACAACCATCTCGAGCGATTCTACGTTCTGTTACGAATCCTTAGTGAAATGCGCAATAATGGTGCACGCTCAGTTTGGTGTGGACTAGTGTAAGGAAAGAGCACCCCAAACGCCCGGTCCGGCCCAGGCGCCACCAGCTGGCCCCAAACAGCTGGCCCGGCCCAGGCGCGACCAGCTGGCCCCAAACACCCGGCCCAGGCACCCGCCAGATTGAGCCACCCAACTATGTATATAAATAGTGGCCCTCACCCACCTTCCTTTGCGAGGGCCAGGTTGAAGTCTCTTACCAATGCTAGTCATTGCTCGCCCTCTTGTTCCCTCCATCGTGACCACCTTGATCAGGCGTACCTGCCTTCTCTTACAACTAATTAGGAGCGTCCCATGGAAGGAACTGTTACGAATCCTTGTCGAAATGCGCAATAGTGGGGGCATGCTCAGTTTGGTGTGGACCAATCAGGAGCGTCCCATGGAAAGAACCAATTAGGAGTGTCCCTGGGTCCCGAGGTTCGGGACCACTTAAGGTCGGGGACGCGGGACAGTGTCCCGCGCGCCCGGCGTCCCGAGACCGCAAGGTCTCGGGACCACGGGCAAGTGGGACCATTGTTATTGGTTACACAGTTAGATATATACGATGACCGTACCCACGGTCTTAGATAGTTCTTGCTTGGTTCTTCAAGCAAGCAATACACATTCACTGCACTCATACACTTTGAGTGGCATTCCAATTTGACTGTATTACCCGTGCGATAGGAGCTTGCCCTTTGTTCTATCTTCATAATTACCAACCCCAGCATCCTGTGGAGCCCGTGCTCGCTTACAGACAGACGACCCTAACAGTCGAGTGGTTTGTAATATAAGACATATACCATTATTAGCTTACTTTCGACATTCTCGCCAAATAGCGTAACCAAAACGTCAAGACCAAGCTTGTAGGGGAATAAATATACAGCGATAACACCTAACTTGACGAGTTCGTAGCTAGTAGCAGTATCGTAGACGGTAATAATAATCTTTGGTCTCTTTAGTTTTGTTATAGCGGCACCGTAAAATTGAATAAGATCTTCTTTAAACTTTGACTATTCTAATCTCTTACGTACGCCTATACCAACTTTATCAGCGTAGATGCTATTAGCTTATCGTGAACATAGCATTGAATAACCGTCTAATGGGACCGCCTTTATCGACCCTCTCGGCTTGTTTTATATAGACCGTCTTTTCCAATATACTAGCCTTTATCTCCTCGATGATGCAGCGTGCTTCGGTAGTTGCCTACCATAATGTAGCAGGTCCTTGCCAACTATCCACCCAGTCTCGAACGGCGAGTTTGGTCTCGGCATAGAAGTACGCGACCGATGCATCGCATACGGGCGTAGCAGATGTCCAATATCGAGCGTCAAAACTAGTCGACGGTCGAACTTCCTTCTAAGATAGGACGAGGTCAAGGCCGAGACGTTTATAGTTCTTTAAGAGATCCGTTCTTGCTCGCTTGCTTGATGTTCTCCGGGGAATTTGCGGCGGACCGCTTGGGGTAGCTGATTGCGATGCCATGGCCGGTGAATGCTGCTGGAGTGTAGCGTTTTTTGGTGAACAGGTGAAAAATATTTAAGGGAAGGAAGTCGGAAGAGAGGGAGGAGCCGAGAAAAGGCATATAGATCTCGGCCTAATTACGTATTGTAGTCCTCCGAGGTTGGTTGAACGAGTTAGCATGCCTAGCCGTGTTAAAATGCAGCTATCGACGTGCTTGATAGATACGCGGCTTGGAGGTTAAGGTATGATCTTTTCCCAGGAATCCCGGCTCAGGAAACTCCTAGGGATTGAATTCTGCCGAGCAATCTTTTCGCCCCAGAACGTTCCTGGCCCAGAATCGCGCCCAAATCTTATTTTCTAGAAAACTGCCTCAAGTAATGGCAAACTAATAAAAATAGCCTGTTCTCGCCCTGGCTATGCTTCGGAACCCCTACACGCCAGTAAATCTCGATATACTGAAGGGTCACTTTGTCACGCATAACCTACTTCACGGCCATATAGGGCGATTATTTAGTCTTATTCGTATTCGAGCGCCTACCCTCTTCGCTTTGGCTATCTGGTTGAGGTATAATAAAACCCTGCGGGCCTCGCGGCACGTAGGTCTCGAAGAAAAGTCCCTCATTTTCCTAGTGGTGGTATGCGGGCCACGAAGGCTTCGTCTGCCAGGACCTGGAAAATACGTTCTCGAAGTCAGGCACGGTTGGAACTGTACTTACAGCCAATTTTTTTTAGCAAGCCCGTTCCAATCCTTCTTATAAAGGAAACCAGAGATCTACTACGGCAGGGCATACTTACCAGTATTTGAGCTCGCTAGGAAGACTAAAAACGCCAACCACTTCTTCGTGACAACGGCGGGCATACCGTCTCCCTTACATTATCATTGTCGCTAGGGATAATCGAAGATTATAAAAGAGTTATTCGTAGTACAAAATACACCAAGATTGGCCTCTAGTCGTATCTCTAAGACACCAGCGTGATACCCCGCGCGTAAGGGAGGGAATTCGGCACGGATTAATAGCATTCTAGAGATAGCCTCCCTTTTTCTAGCTTTGGGGAAAATGATCACAAGTCAGAAAGTCGCTCAGAAAGTCGGTTCGGAAAGAAATAACCCTAAATCAGGGCTGAATTAGCTGTTCTGAAGGGTCCGTACTGTTTTCTAGAAAACAAATTCTGGGGCTAACATTCTGGGGCTAGCATTTTGGGCCCCGATTCTGCGAAAAAGATCATAACCTAATTGTGACGAACCCCTGGCTCATATTGCTGTTCGCGGGGTGACTTCACAGCCGATTGCATTTTCTTATCGAAGATGCAAGCAGCTGGGAAGGCGTGGATGTGTAGTCGAGATGAACGTAGGAAAGGGAAGGCACGGTTGGCACAAACGGAACACTTGTGCATTTCGTGCGTCGTCCGCTGCGTCGGGTCACAAAAACGACACGAGTATCCGGCAGTCCATCAAGTAGGTACCTTAAGGCAGGTAGGTTCAGAGGAGGAGACGCTACTGCAGTCTACCCATTCTTGTAGGGGAAAGCCTCTCAAGTTACCTTGTGCCTTCCTCCAACATCCAACTAGAAGACCTTCATGACCGTTCGCTTATCTTCCCCATAGCCCCTGCCACTTATAGAGACTACGACCAACTCGGCGCTATAGGAAAGCGCATAACTAACAAGCCTGACCTCTGATACAGTGTCCAAAGGCGACGAGAGTACCCTGCTGACAATTTGGTAGAGGTCGGTATAGCCGGTATATACGGCGTAGGGTTTGAGACGTTCTCCTCCCCGTTCGCGCGTATCAGACGTATCTCTCCCTTCTCAAAAGTCGACAAAAAGGCGACAATACTGGAACTTGTTTAGATATGGATCCTCCTTAAGAAAGTAGGCACAGGCACGCAGAGACTCCACAATACGAATGCTACGTCTAGTACGAGCACCTATATTTTGTCCAGGCATGTTCAGGCGTTCCTTCTCTCTTCTAAAAGTAAGGGTTCTGGAAATGGCAACATCCTCTGCTAATGGCGCATTTCCAGCCCATTCTGCAGAAAGAAGGCCATTAAGCGAGTCGCGGTCGGTGTCTGGCAGTGTCGCCGCTGCGACAAGTCCATCGGCGGCGGCGCTCATCTGCTCTCAGAAGTGCCTATGGTTTTGCTGCTGGTGATAACTCAGGCCTTAACGAAACGCTACTTAGGACTCCTTCCGGTGCCGCTGCTAGACCGACGATCGGTCGTCTGTGAGAGACTGTGGATATTTGAGGCTTCGTGAGTCAGTAATACACTATTATGACTGGCGTTCTTTGGAATGGTTACCGGGCTGCATTGCGGATGGTGATTAGGATATATCTAGTAGTTAGTAAAGTTGATTCTAGTCGGAAGTCGTTAAAACACGTCTTGCAACCATGGAAATGGCGCACGGGATCAGGCATCCCCTCGGCCGGGATGCCGACAACGACGACATCTTCTTTTCTAATAACACAACAAGCAAGATAACTTACTACTTGCCCAGATCCTTAGATTTCCCCCCCTCTTAGTAGATTAATATGGAGGACCTATCTGTTGTAGGGCTTTGCACTTGGGATATATTGAGAATTATTACGACGACATTCCGTTGTTAAACGGGACCCTACTCCTCTAGTCCTGCCCGCGCCCCCGTATTCTAGATGACAAGCCTTGTCTCCGCTATAGTATTACTTGACCCCTCTTTGCTTTTTGCTTGTTGGTTTTTTTTTGCTCGTCGACTTTTTTTTTGCTTGTCGACTTTTTCGGTAAGTAGTTTTTATATACTCCGTTATAAGACGCCTCCACTACTTTTTCGTCGGAATACTTGTAGGTGAATTGTTCATTGTTGAATACTAGGGAATGGAAATACCGTTAGAAGATTCATACGCATGTCGGGGTTAGGATTAACTACTTTGGGTGATGATAGAGTAAGCCGAGCTATCAGTGACACCTAGGTCGTAGAGCTACTCGATAATATTAAAGCGATGTTTATTTTATCCTTGACGCTTGGATAAATGTACCTTGGTGATTAGGTCGTGAAGCCCAGGCGCGTCTGGCCTATTGACTATTTCTCTTCTCGGCCATGGTGTCGAAAGGTCCGAGCTCCCCACAGGGAGGACGGTTGGATTTATTCGGGAGGGAAACACGTAATCCGGGTGATAGTTAATCAACAGCCTGATTTGGTCGTGTAGGGAAAAAAGAAAAGGAAAAGATTTCGGGCGAGGAAAGCCAGCTTAAAGAAGTAAATAAGCCGTATAGGGTAGCGTAGCCCAGCAACCTGCCTCAGTAAAATGTGTAATTTTCTGGGCGGTTGTTACGGCACAGCCGAACTGTGGTCCGTGGTGCCGCAACCATGCCCTAGCTGCAGGCCCTAACCTACAGCCCACTCTCCACTAGCACAGTTGCCCCTCCCCACCACAAAACCACAGCCTGCAGGAACCACAGGCTTCTTCTTTTCCTTTTCCTTTCTTTAGTTTAGATATTTACGAATACGGTCATTTCCTCCTTGCAGAATTGCCTCTTGTTCATGCCTGCCTTCACAGCGGTGAGCTGTAACGCTTGGGCGCTGATGTACCTACAGTAGCCGAGGACAGCCGGAGACTCGCTCTTTGGAATTATGGTCATTAATTAATTGAGCTGTCTCTCATCCAGCTGAGGCCCGTTTACGGATGCACGCGAAGACGAACCTGAACATATGCTGAAAATTGCCTGTTAATTGACCCCGTTGACCTAAAAAGCGTTAGCATCTCCCTTGTCCGTCCATGTGGTGGTTTTTGCGTTGCGACAGAAGGAACGCTTGGCTGCTGCTGACTGTGCGGCGAGAGTGCTTTGTCACAGCCCTAGGCATCGCGTGGGGCTGCTGATTGAAGAGATGGAATCATTGCAAGCCTGGAGCCTAAAAATTGAAGCGACCGACGCTTTCTCCGCACTAGAGCTAGGGCCAGACATGAAACTCGCTAATTGACGCGCCTAGGCTCTCGAAATAGTTCACGTCAGCACAGCGCCTACCGACAAGCGACCGTGCCGTCGAGCTGACGATGGGCTGGCCAATCGAGCCTGCGGTGCCCCTGGCGTTCCTGCATTAGCGCACCACTTTGTCCACCTTTGTGCACACTCCAGGCCTTTCTTACTCAGAACTATGACGGAGCAAATTTGCCCACGGAGGCTAGACGCCGCCGATTGCGACCTCGAGGCGGCGGCGGCGGCGCTCTGCTCGCTGACGATGCAGCAATGGCCGCTGTTCAACCGAAGCTGGCAGCATCGCATCCCGCTTGGCTTGCTGCTAATTGCTGTGCCTCGAGCGCGAGCTTACGAGCTGACCAGTCTGTTTTGCATGCCAATCTCGGCGCCCTTTTGCTAGTGGACATTGGAATACCTCTCTCTCGTTTCTCTCAATATGTCGGGGTCATGTCCTGTGTCAATTATACATAAGTCGCAAGTTGCTGCTGCCTTGATTTGCTGACTTGGCTTCATCGACCCAACATAGCGCATCTCCCGCATCTTCCACGCTGCCTTCCACACTCGCTTGACCAAGAACGACAGCCATGATCCGAACTACCGCCCTGACGAGCCTAAGCCTATGCCTAGCAACAGCATGGGCTAGCATTCCAAACATGGCCAACTACACGGCCGTCTGGTGGGACGATTTCACGGGTCCTGCTGGTAGCCAGGTCAACCATGCCCTCTGGAACCAGGTTGATCGTCCTAATAATCCCAACAAGGAGCTGGAGGCCTACATCACCGGCACCAGCACCGTTCAGCTCACAGGTACCAACGACGGCGAGCTACGCATCATACCCTACAAGACGGACCGCTGGTACTCGGGGCGGCTCGAGAGCATCGCCACCTTTACCTGCCCGCCGGGTCACTCCATGGTCTTGCAGGCCTCGATCAAGTTTCCCAACCTCGATCCCAACTCGGGGCAGTCGGCCGGGTTGTGGCCGGCCTTCTGGGCCATGGGCAACACCATCCGCCTGCCCCAGCCCGACTACCAGCCATGGCCGTACAACATCGAGTTCGACATTGCTGAGACGGCCAATATACACGGCAACAGCGCACTTGGAGTGATGCACTACAGCAACTCGGAGAGCCCGCTCAACTACAAGTGGTACGACTACGACTCGAGCAAGTTCCACACGTGGTCCTTCAAGATCGACCTGCGCAACCCCGACTGGACCCAGCAGTCCCTCGTCTGGTACGCCGACGGCAACGAGTTCAACAGGATCAAGGGAGACGCCTTTGGAACCGACCCCAGCACCTGGAACGGCATCGCCCAAAAGGCCTACTTTCTCATTCTCAACGTCGCCGTCGGTGGCGGCTTCCCTGGATATCCTTGGGACCAGACCACCGGCGGCCCTGACTCGGCCATGACCGTCGAATATGTTGCCGTATATCAGTCCACCGAGGGAAGGCCGCAGGCCAAACTGCAGAAGACCCATCAGGTGAAACCAGTAGTATAAACTCATCCATGGCCCGGTTTTGGAAACTTTATTTTTTGGGTTTCACAATCTGTATAAGCATTTTCAGGTTCTGCAACCATCTGCAATTAGGATTGACATTTTGTATATATTAATACCATTTTATTCATTCTCACGCATTTTGCCTCATGCCGACTCACGCACTTGTGCTGTCACACACACGTCTGCATCTTCAGAAGCTGGGTGGGACAGAGGTTCCACTGCAGGTGTGCAGAGCGGGGAAAGGGTGATGAGCGGCGCGGCGGCTGTGTGAGCGTCAAAAAGGCGTGAGGGTGGGCAGCGTCAGCACCGGCTTACGCTAAGGGACACCACGCTGAATTATTGCCCACAATTCGTGATCCAATCTCTCTCGTAAATGACGGTTGACGGTTTGTGCGGTCGCACAGCAGAATCTTAATTTCAGACCATCCACGGGGTTTATTTTGCACTCATGTTTGACTATTGGAGGTCGTACGACAAGCTCAACTCCCCTTACCCTCGAGTCACACCAGCGACGCCGTGATACGATCTAGACCGTGACACGAAGAACGCGAGAAATCATCAGTCTCAATCCATGTTTGTTCTGAGCTGCGATGAGATTCCCAGGCATTGGTTCGGGTGTCAATGAACCAGACTAAATATCGGTGTATGTATGCCAGCTCATCAAGTCATTTGCATGCTTGCAGATATCACAAATTAGTCGTCGTCTCAAATCCAACTCATCATCATTCACAAGCCGTCGTCGCGAAAAGAGCAACGAGAATTCTGGCTGCTGTTGGCTGCTGTCAAACGGCTGAATTGGAACTTTCGAAGCTGGGCCCGACCCTGACCAAAATTGCATTCCACGTTTCCTGTTTCATGGCGCGCCGTCGTCGTGGCCCCGCGCTGACGACGACGGCCATTTTCCGTCTGTTCTCCACCCGGCCCTTCACCATTCAGTCGTCATGCGGCGTGGCAGGGCAAATTCCCACCGACGTGAGTCCTCAGCCCATCCCGGCTTGGCGCTTACATTCGGTGCACTAGCGATTGATTTGTGAGGGACCGAGGGCGGAGACGGACGGTGATCGAGGCAGCTAACATGGAGAGAAAAAATGGGAGCGATAACGGAAGCTCACGGCAAAAAGGGGCGGAATGAAAAGTGCGTGATCCGTGATTAATCCGGAGATAGTGACCCAGCGGTGACTCATTTCCGGAGTAAGCGCACCGGACCTGAATGAAAGAAATGACAGGAAGCCTCCTGCTCGCCATCTTCTCCCAACATAGGTGATCATCAGCAATGAACCGCAACCTCCTCAAAGCATCGGCTCAGAACCATCTCCCGCCGCAGCTAATTTGATCAACTGCCCACCCTCCAGCCAGCCCTCACCGACACCTCCCTACACGAGTCCGAGCCATGGAACGGAGCCGAGCAGAGTTCAATTGCACACCACTCCTCGCTCTGAACTCTCACGCCGGACTCTGTAGTGAACCTTTGAGCCCCGTCGAGGTTGCAGAACATTTACGTCGCACAGCCTATGGCTCTAGATAATAGTACTAATTAGTATTGGTGTATCGATCCGAGGCCGGCTGGGATCAATCTCATTTGCTGCCCTCTTCCCAGTTGAGTGAACTACATACTAATCATCGAGTCCCAGAGACGACTATTTATCACGATGCTCGAACTGATTGATCATGTGACGCATGGGCGCTGTAAGCTTTTCTCGCGAACTCAGATTCCAAGTAGCAGGACAGACTCGATGCTGCCAGTCAGGCTAGCATCACGCTTTCCATGGGCTAAAATGTCTCCGTTCTCTTTTGCCGAGAAGTTCATGACAATGATGACATGACGTGGAGAGTGACCTAACTCCGTTTGTCACGGGGACATAGGGCCCCACTAAGGGCTGTAGAAGTAAGGTAGTCAAAAGAGAGTTATTTCCATATAAAAGAAGGAGCCGCGGATCCTGTAGAGGAATACGCGTAGAGCGAGCGCGGCAAGCAGTACAGGGGCCCTGACAGGGCATGGCAGAGTCGCCTTAGCTGTGACACTGTATTACAAACCGCTCGACTGTCTGGGTCGTCTGTCTGTAAGGGTGAAAGAGCACCACAGAGAGGGTTGCAGGGGTTGGTGTAATGAAGACTGAACAGAGAGCAAGCTCCTATCGATCCACGTAACTGCAGGTTTCGGCGCCATCGGCAGGCAGGGCCGGGCGCGATCAATCAGCAAGGCCCGGCTCGATACCCTCGCCGCCCGCCTTGACATCCTCGCCCTCTATCTCGACGTCCTGGTTATCCTACCCGACGCCTTCCCTTCTGCTTTGGAGCCGACTTCGAGGTTCTTCTTCGTCCCAAGCCCTCGAGTGGGATAACCGTGCCTGCCTATGATGTAAGCCCTGTCGAGCGTTGAAGGTTTAACTTCCATCCACTCGATCACGTGTCGAAGACGCTAGCTTCGGCCAATATGAAATACGCCGTATTTGACCCGAGTGAGGACGACGAACCGGACTATTCGTGCTAGAACATGATGCTCGTGCTAGAACGTGATGCTCGACGGCTCTTTAATAAAGAGCCATATCCCGGATGGATTCTGTAAGTCTTAATGCCATTATCTCATCAAGATAATACCATTTTTTCTTTAAGACGATGCTATTCAGACTGCAGGCTCTAACCCGGTCATAAATAATAAAGATCCTACCAAAATTATTACCCCGGTCATTTCTGCCGATCAGGAATGGCCCAAGACTATTGAGCTGCTCTGGAGGACCCTATATCGGGTGTATGAGTTTCGGAAGGACACGACCTGTAGCTTGCATATCCACGTCTCTTGGCGGTATGGCTCTAATAGCCTACCGCAGCTTACCCCTCTGACTGCGCTGTAAGAAATGATGAGGGGCAATTGAACCAGGTGGCACGGGCCAAGTAAAAAAACAAGTGGTAGAGTCCATTTGACTTTTGACTGTCAAAATGGCTGCAAGCTACATGCACGGAAAGCGCTCAATCTAAAATTTCTCACTGCCCAAGATCAGCTTCGTACGACTAATACAGCGTGCTGTGCAGGTCGTCGTGTTTTGCGTAGATGAAGATGTTGGGGTTGGTTGTGCGTGGCGCTGGCCAATCAGGTCGGGCTTGCGCGAACAAGGTTCAAGCTTGCAAGCTGTGGCTGATCGAAGCGGTCGCGGAGGAAAAAGCAAATATCGTGCGAAGGTCGTATCTCCTATGCCACGATTACAAATAGATGATTGGACAGAGTAGAAAAAGTGGAGCAGATTGGTGGTTAGATTGTTGTGATTGGTTGAAGACTGATGAAGATTATATTATTCTAAATACAAAGGTGGGTTATATTTTAACAAAAACCGTAGGTACGATCGTTTTATATATTATAAGTTATAGCTAATTAGGGCACTGCTCCGTTACACTATCTATAGAGAAGCAGAACACAGACTGCGCAGTGTGCTCTGCGGCTTCCTTAGTAGAGCAGGAGTGGGCCGTCCTCCCGGCCCCATTCCCTTGTTCCTATTAGCTCCAGTTCCTCCGGGAAGCGCCTGCCCTCCCGAGGTGACTGCCCCACCTGAGTGCAGATGTAGATCGTGACACCTCATTCTCGACCTTTTCGCGTTCTAATACTTTACCTCCACGAAACCACCGACGTCGACGACTATCTCCGTCAGCAAAATGTCGATTATCGAACGCGACCTTACTTACTTTATCCTTCCTCCTTCCTCCACGCCGCTTATCATCGGTAGCGAGATAACTTCGTTCTCACTCGTATCGGGGCCAAAGTCGCATTTCCAAGGCTTTGAATGGACGCTGCAGTTCCCTTTTCCCCTCGCCTATCGCATCATCTTAACGGGCCCCGACCGCCCGCGCCCGCCCCATGACAACGTTGCTGCACCATCGCAGCTGTGCCGGTTCAAGCTGCGCAGCCTGGATACTGAGAAGTGCCATGCCGTATTTTCTTTCCCGTCCTCTTTGGACGGCCAAGGCATAGTCGAGCTGAGACTGTGGTGGAGCTACCAACTATTCTCTGAGGTCTGGCACCATAGCTACAGCTCAGGTGATGATGCGACAAGACTTGTCATGCGCGACCTGCAGGCTCGGTCGTACTCTCTGACTGAACATGGTGTGATCCGACACTGGGCTCTTGACCGGTCTCGTCTACACCTCGGGCTCGGCGAGAAGGCGGCTCCCATCGACCTCACAGGGCGGAGCTTTGTTATGCACGCGACCGATGCCGCCCTATATGACGCGTACCGCACCGATCCGTTGTACAAGCATACGCCCTTCCTAATCTCCACCCCGAGGCCCGCCCCAAGCGGTGATGGCGGTGATAGTACGCAAAGATTGACTTATGCTATTTACCATGCCACGAACAGTGTGGCGACCTGGGATATCGGCGCCGAGATTGACTACCCCAGTGGCGGATGGAGCAAACGCTTTGTCCAGCACTGGGGAGGACTGGAGGAGTGGGTTCTGATTGGGAAAGGCGTTGAGAGTGTGGTCAAGCTGTTTGCGGAAATGGCGGGCAAGCCGCGACTGGTAGGCAGGGACTGGCTTGGATATCTCGGTGCGTTACGTCCTCTCCACCGCGCGGTATCCAGTTGGCGACAATAGTTCGAGTTGGGATGGGAAATGCCGGTCACGGGACACGGTCTGACTACCGCGTGTCTAGCCTCAACCATGCTATTGGCCGACAAAAAAAACGCCCAGGAACTCCTCGAGGAGTGGCCTATCTTGTGCGCGCAGAACGACGTACCTTGCTCGGCCATGCATGTAGGTCTTTCAGCGTTCCAGGTGTGGCAGACTCAAAGCTTACTCTCAGACAGCTTTCATCCGGATTCACTGTTGACGAAAAGACGGGCAGCCGCTGGGTGTTTCACATGAACAAAAAACGGTATCCGGACTTCAAAGCAATGGTCAAGATATTCCATAAGGCCGGCATGAAGGTGGTGCCCAATGTCAAGCCGTGTGAGTCCTCACATGTATACGCAACAGAAATCGGCATCAACGCTGACGGCGTAGACAGACATGTTGCAGACGCACCCAGACTACGAGCTCGTAGAACAGGGTGATGGCTTATTTTACGACCCCATATCCAAGGGTCCGTCGAAGCAAAACATCTGGTCTAGCGGCATTGCAGAGAGTGGCGACGGTAGTTGGGTCGATTTTAGTGCGCCTGAGGCCAGGAAGTGGTGGGCTAGAGGCGTTCAAGGACTGATAGATCTTTCCGTCGATGGTATCTGGGAGTGAGTACAAAGTTACCACTGTGAAAACGGGAGGAAGATGGACTGCAAATTACTAACTCAATGTCACAGTGACAACTCCGAGTTCTTTACTCGCGACGATGGCCTATTGTGCAAGAATGAGTTTGACCACACCCGCGAGGTCACGGTCCATGGCAAGATTAACACGGGCTTGATGGGTAGGATTATGGGGAATGAGATGATGAACAAGGTCAGGTATGTGGTTGGGAGTATTTTCCTGCGAGCCTCAGGCGCTGACGCTTGCGCCGGTTTTAAACAGCCACGATACGCTACAGGTTGCGGCTCCTGGGCGACGCACCTATGTCTTGACCAGGTCTGGCAACCCAGCCGCATTCAAGTATGCCTGCTCAACGTGGTCGGGAGACAACATGACAAGCTGGCACAACCTCCGTGGTTCGCAACACATGCAGCTGAACTCGGCCATGTCTCTGATGCAGAGCACGGGTGCTGATGTGGGTGGTTTTGGGGGCGATGCGCCTTCGCCCGAGTTGTTCGTGCGGTGGGTACAACTCGGCGTGACACATTCTAGGTTCTGCATCCACTCGGCACCCACCGACACTCATGGAAAAGAAAAGCTCAATGTACCATGGATGGTAAGTACCCGGTCGTCGCTCGAGCGCTAGTTTCACCATGGTCAAGTCGGGCACCCAGCTGACTTTGGTGCTAATGACTTGGTCTCAGCATCCCGCCTCACTATCTATCATCAGGGGCCATATCAAGTGGCGGTACCGCATTCTGCCCTTCTTGTGAGTTTGAGCTACAATTACGTAGTTGCTAATCGACCATTCCCGCCTCGCCGTCATATGCCCGAGACCAGCTGACAATATTATTCCATCCAGAAACAATCTCATGTGGCGCTCTCACCTTGACGCCGCCCCACCCAACGCACCCCTGTTCTACGGCCCATTCGCCAACGACCCGGCCCTCTTCACCGAGAAAGTTCTGGAGGGATTTGACGCCTGGTTGGGCGTGGGGAAAATCCTCACCGCCCCTCAGCTGTTTCAAGGCTGCCTGACGCGCAATGTCTACTTTCCCAAGGCGTCTCCAGACGACGGCAGCCTGTATTTCGACCTCCACGCGCCATTTGGGACGCACAAGGCTGGGCAATGGGTGACAGTTGCAACACCCATCGAGCATGCTGGCCTGTTTGCCAGGGAGGGAACCGTGATTCCTGTTGGCAAGAACAAGGTTACAGTCACGGCGCTTTCCGGACCTGCGAGACGATACACGGACGGCGTTGATGTGGTGCTGGACACAGACGGCGGACAGGTCGGCCTGGACGACTGGAGAGGCATATTGATCTTTCCGGGCTATGATGGCAAGACGTATACGGATGAGTGGATTGAGGATGACGGGATATCAAGTCATCCTGGCACATACACCGTCAAGGTATCGTACTGTGGTAGGCTTGATGCAGTTGAGATAAAGGCCAGCGTGGAAGAAAACGGGTTTCAGCCTTTGTGGAGGGGCATACTTCATGTCATTCTTCCCGCGGGCGATCGGAGGCGAGTGGTGGGGACAGACACGGCAATGGAGGGTGAGAATGTCTTGTTGCTTGCGCAAAGTTTGAGTCCCTGATGTAATTAGGGCTATGGCATCAACGCTCGGATAAGTGAATTTTGGGTTGAAGTAGAAATTTGGCGTGTTAATTGTCAATGCGTTCTAGCTTGATTCTGGGCATCCCGTGGTTTGTTGCGATTATCAACGCGATGTCCACTAGAACTTCATGAGCTTGTTCGGCGAAATTTACCTTTTCGGTGCCTCATGTCTCCCGTGACCCACGCACCCCTAGTAAAGACCGGGCCCCTCTGTGTTGGATCTGTGTGATAGGATTTTGTTGGATTAGATTTGCAACAGGCGGAGCGAGGAACATCGAACCCTGCACCCTTTGTCACGCCGCGTCAGCAAATAGTTGTGGCCTTGCTCTCCTCTCTCCCTCGTCTTTCAATCACATTTCATATTTCAGCGTGCCAAGATGTCTTGTTTTACGTGTTTCCGGTTTATTTCCAGCTTGACAAGACGCACGAGAAGAAAGAGCTACTCCCACGGGGTAGCCACCACACGATTGCTAACGTTTGGGGGTATTCAGTCACAGGCCTTTCTCTCGACCCCTCCCACCACCACAGACCAACTGGCTTCAGGACGCTCCTGACCAGAAAGCAATCGTCCGCCAGTATTGCAGATATACGGGAGAGGTTCATACGGGCCTCAACATCAAGCAGAGGATCGGACGTGCCATCCAATTTGCGAGTAGCATTCCCAAGGGGCCATCCTATGTAGTAGGTGCACGAGAAGTGCTGGCTCAGGTGATACAGCCCTATCGCTGGCGCAGGACGAGGGGGTCCCCATTGGGCCGTCCGCTCTTCCCAGTGACGCCGTCCATAACATCACCGCGGCCCTCGTCAAGGCCAAGCGACCGCTAGTCGTCACGGCGCTGCAGAGTCCCGCTTACATAGCTCGCCGTGAGTCACGCGCCAAAGAACACCAGCTACGTCTGGCCAGCATCGCTTCTCGACCACGGTTAAGTGACGACGATGTCCTGGACGCAAACAACATCGGCAGTCTCCTAAAGACATGTCTACCAAAATCAACAACGTTTATGATAGAAGCCGTCATGGCATCTCAGCTTCTCTTTGACCAGCTTCAGCCCTGTCGGCCTGGGAGCTGGATCAACTGCGGCGCAACCGGTTTTGGGTGGAGCAACGGTGCCGCCCTTGGAGTCAAGATGGCGCTGGCCAACCTGAAACAAGGAGGTGATGTGCCCATCCCAAATCTTGTGTGCCAGGTCATTGGCGACGGAAGCTTCATGTGTGCCGCACTATCCAGTGCCATGTGGATTGCGAGCAAATACAGGATCCCTATTCTTACCATGGTCTTGAACAACGGCGGTGAGTCTCACGTTCCAAACTTCGCTATCTACACAGATATGGCAATCCATTCATGCTCACTTGTCCTGTAATTAGGCTGGAAAGCTCCGCGAAACTCGGCTAGGCTCGTCTACCCGACTAGCTTCAGTGCGTCAGCTGCTGATGACGAAATCAATACTTCTTTTCAGCCATCACCCAACTATGCTGGTCTTGCCGAGGCAGCGGTAGGCTCCCAAGGGGTGTGCGGATCTAGTTCGACGAGCCCGCAGGTATGGATGAAGGGTATTAGAGCTAGAACGGCGGGAGAGCTCAAGGAGGCTCTCAAAATTGCAACTTCCCGAGTAGGCAAGGATGGGACATCGATGCTAGTCGAGGCTTTGATGTAGACTACCCGGGGTATTTCTTTTGCGTACCTGTTTACAAAGTCACGTTGCACCTCTAATTATCGGTTATGGCGAGGACCTTGGAATTGATCGGGTGTGTTTCGGATTGGTCCTAGCCACTTCCGTACGGCTTCATTGTTTCAGTCCAATCTCGTTGATCAGAGAGCCGAAGCATCGACATGCCTATGCATTGAGAAAATCATGTCACTAACCTCAGGTAATCAGAACTTTTAGTTTGAGGGCACTTTGTGTCTGTCAGTGGACTCTAATTAATAGCGAGACGCATAGCGAGGGTAAAGCACTCGCCAGTCTGGCCTCTTCTGTGCCCTCGTCGACCTGCTCATCACTGTCTAGTTTGGGATATGCTGCGCTTGAAGTTTTCTATACCCTAATCGGGCGTGGCGCGACTCAATTGGCGTCGGCGCTTTCTCAGGCCCTCCGTGGACACCAGGAGGTAGGGTACCAAAGGGACCGGCACCGTGGCCAAAGGACTCCCGACCAGCCAGTGATTGGCGATCTCTCAACGTCAAATTCTCCTGCTGCTGCACCCACTCGCTAGCGAGAAAGCTGAGCATCTCGAGCACATGCTCGTTTGACCGAAAGTCAGCGATCTATCCTAGACCGTACCACTCCCGGAACACCTTTCTCTTGCGATACGCAAACGAGGCCTTGCGGTACGGTACTCAGACTAGGCAGCATACTCGGCTGCAGTTCGATGCTTGTTTCACAAAACCAAAGCATCACTAAACAAGCAAGCATTTACAATATCCACGAGCGCATCTATGATCTGACAGCGCATCTATGATCTAACAGCATAGAAGCCGGACTCCGTATGTATGGGAGCTTTGATCAAGCCCTGCCGTCTCCAGGGTGTCTAGCCATTCCGAAGAGGCCCCGGTAATGGTTCAATCTGAGCAGTGCCGTGGCACACGTCCTGATTTACTTGTCCTAGTTTACTTGTCCTGGGTAATTAGCGACATCCGGGCTTGCTCTTAATGCAAAGCGGCTTGCATTCATTCCGCCCTCGCCCTTGCCCTCGCCCTGTCACTGTGCCTCTCGGAGAAAATGCAGACCCGTGAAATTCTTGGCGTGGTGGCTATCACGACCGGCGCGTGCGGCATGGGCCCCGTTTTGAGGTTGGCGCTGATGGATGACAAGCTGTTGGTCCCCACGTTTCGGCTCAGTTGGATTCTGCTCTACTTCAGAAAAACACCACTTCTGAAGTTCCGTCACACAAGCCCCAAATTATACTTACAGAAAATCAGCAAAAACCACTCAACTCTTTGCGCAATCATGGCAAAAGATATCCGAGATATTAAAATCAAGTTAGACACAGCACTGCTTCAAGGTAGGTGAAGGCTTCTACTGTCTGCAATTCCGGAGCCGTCTACTTCAAGGCCAAGACGCTGATTAACGAAACTAAAAAAGCCCTTCCGGTGGGTGGTGAAGTCGTATCCGTCGTTCCACTGGGCCTCAGCAACAATTGCGAAACCTGCCGGATTGACGTGCGACTGTCAGGTGGAGGTATGCAAAGCTTCTTCGAAAAGGTCTCTCTACCTACCTACCTACCTGCACATCCCCAGCCGGTGACAGGATCAAATAGCGAATTCGGGCGATGAGCTAACAATGCACCACATAGTCTGGAAAAGGAGAAGATGGAAGAGAGCTAATGCTGGCCCACTGGACGGCCGAGTCGAGCCTTTATAGCTTCATCCCCGGTCATGTCCCGCGGCCTATCGCCGTCGGCGCTTACGAGTCGGTGTCATCTCCCGTGCACTTCTTCCTTATGGAGTTCGCCGATCTTGTCCCCGCTCCTGTCCCAAACCCAGCGGCATTCATGGCGCCCGTGATTGCCCTGCACCGCGCGAGTATGGCCAAGTCCCCGGGTGGGCAGTTCGGGTTTCCGGTCCGAACACGCTTCGGGCACCTGGCGCAGGACAACACTTGGGAGTCATCATGGGAGGTATGGTGGACAAAGCACATGACCATGACAGTGGATCGAGAGCGAGAGATCCGGGGTCCGTACTCGTCTCCCGAGGTTGCGCCATTGAGAGACGCATTTCTGAATATGGTCCTCCCGCGCTACCTTCGACCCCTAGAGACGGGTGGCAGGAGTGTGGCGCCTTGCCTCCTTCATACTGACCTCTGGCCCGGGAACGTCCAGTACTGCAGGCCCGGCAATGCCAACGACGAAATGAAGGTTGCCATATTCGATGCGAACGGTCTCTGGGGCCACAATGAAGGTATGTTTTCCATCTTGGGCAAAAAAATGAACCATCGACACATTGACAGGATTGGAAGCCGAGCTAGGCATCATCAGCAACCCACGCTGCGGCGTCGGCCAAGCCTATGTCGATGAGTACCGGAAACACATGCCCGCTTCGGAGCCGGCAGTTGACGCGGACAGCAGAGCCTTCATGTACATGATTCGCCACCAGATCTGCTTCGCGACGTTGTACCCGGGCGACCCCTCGCTGAGAGATATGTGAGTTGAATGCCGGGAGCCTCCCCACGAAATAGTTATTGATTGACGTCCCTGACGGGTTGCTGACTTGACACCAGATGGGTAGACAGTATGCGCCTACTCGTTCAGACGGTGCGGGATGAGAAGCCCCCTGAAAAGGCAAGTGAGGGAGGCAGTTGAATGATTTAAGATTGGAGCCATCTAGAGATCCAGAGACTCACACAAGGAACACAGACGGAGGGTCATGGGGCGGAATTCTTGCTTTTCTTTTAGCTACACTGCACCAAAGAATAGAGATGTAAGGAAAATGGCTAATTACAGGCAAGTTGAGGACCATGAACTCGCATGGCAGAATGTTTCTACATGTACCGCCTAATCCTCATCAACGCGGAATAGGGCCAGTGCCATTGCCTCTGACAGGACCGAACCGGTGGGCCGTTTGACGCTGAGCAGCCTGGTTAGGCCAACATCCCCCCCTGAGGCTCCCATGCTCGCTGCTCGGGGACGCCCCTGCCTATCCTCGCCACCTCCAAAGCCACCTCCGCTCGTGCTACCCATGTATCTGTCATTCTCGCTGTGTGTATCCGGTGGGCACAAGTTAGACGAGGTGCTGAGTCGCCTAGCTCGGGCGCTCGGCGCGGACGTCAATGACAGTCTGTTGCTCTTTGCATTGCTCCTTCGCAGGCTTGCAGACGTTGGGTTAAGTAGCATGTTATCGATATCACTGATAAGCCTTTGGACCGGGGGTATGACTGGTGGATCTGAATCACGGCCCGGGGAGCGGCTCATTGGGTTGGGAGACGGCGAACGAGATGCAGCCCGCGGCACTTCTGCTCTAGGGGCCTCGAAACGGCCCGAAGAAGGTGCCGGGCCAACAGATCGCGGCCTGGCCTGGTCCTTGTTCTTCTCGGTACTCAGCAGCCCCCAGAGCTGTTGCAGCCACTTTTGCTTTTCCTCGGGCTTCATGGACCGGATGGGCAAGACTTCGGCACCGGCCATCTCGCGGGTTGGCCAAGGAAAGCTGACGGCCATCTCGCGCAGCGTCTGGCTATGCAGCTGGCGCAGAACAATGCGTATCTGGGCCTCGATGTTTGCCTCGTGTGGGAAGGCCCAATCGCTGCGGCGCTCAAGACGGTCGGCGATCTGGGTCATGGCGCCAACCAGCCACTCGACAGCCACCTCGTCGGGCACCGTGTGCGCCTTACTTAGCAGCCAGCCAAGCGTCTCAGGGGAGCCTGACTGATTCAAGATGGGGATGCTGCGCTTGTCGTGCTCGCGGCCTTGGAGCCTCAGGATGAACTCGTTGTACTGTTTCATGGCTCCTAGCTCGAGTCCTGCGAAACGGCCGCTGTTGAGGGCGTGCACGATCTCGTCGCCCAGCGAGATTCCCGATTTGATGCCGCTGTTGAGCCCGCGCCCGGGCCAAAAGTGGACGGTCATGGCAGCGTCTCCGGCAACCGCTACCAAGGCGTGTGGCCGCTTGACAGAGCGCGAGTCCTCGAGCGGAAGCTGCTGCACGCCCTCGCGCACCGCCTGGACGACGATGGGAATCCGCACCACGTTGATAACCTCGTTCTCTTTGAACCCAAACAGCTTCAGCCCGTCCTCTATCGATTTCCAGAGCGGCGAGTTCCGGTCTTCGGAAGGCGCAAAGACGCGGCTCTCGTCGAATCCCTCGGGGACGCTGCCGTCAGGACGCCGGAGACAAGCCGGCCGGCCAAAGTGTATAGGCTGGCCATCAGCGCTCACCATCTTATCCCACTCGTCCTCCGTCAGCTGCATGTTGAGATAGCCCCGGCCGTCGAAATCGCTCGCGTTGAGCAGGTACCGCGTCTGGCCCAGGGTGAGGAACATGTTCAGCGACTGGCTCCACGGCAGCCCAGCCTTTGCACCGCGGTCAAAAGCAAGACCCAGAGCAAAGCTTCTGCCCCGTTCCTTCTCGTAGCCCCGGAAATAGCTGCTTCGAACCCACGAAGCAGCGCCGTCAGTGCCCAGCAGCACGTGGAAGTCTCCGCACTTTCCTGCGGCGAGTTCTTCTCTGGTTACCCCCTCGGCATGTAAGTGGATCAGTCCGCGGAAGTCGTCCGCCTGGCAACGCTCAAGGAACCTATCTTCGACCTTGCGAATCTGGATGTTGGCAGACCCGGGCCAGACGTGCTCAGGTCGGCCCTCGAAAAGCGCCTGGTACGATGCCTTGCTCAGGAGGCTTGTGACAGAGTCCTGCAGCGTCACGACCTGGTCGCGGCGCTTGGCCGTGGGCGGATAGTCGACAGTCCCGTTGTCAGTCACCACCCAACGGCGCTCGTAAACATGAACCTCGACCTTTCCAGCGCCTTTTTCCGCAAGCGAGATGGCCGACGCCAGGCCTGTAGGACCGCCGCCCACGATGCAAACCCTGAGCCGGCCCGATGGGTACTTATGTCGCACAAGGGCGCCAGGCGGCAAAGGCGACAAGTTCCGTTGCAGCGTAGGATCAAAGAAAAAGTCGATGACGGCCCGACTACGGTCCGAGACGGCGACCTCGGGAACTCGTGCCTTGATCAGCATGAAGCGCACGGCTTGGAGGAGCGGCGTGGCGGCAAAGTCTGCGTGGCGGTCGCCGTACAGGCGCGTCTTGATGGCGAAGGCCAGTGCCGGCACGCTTCGGTACTGGGCCCTGTTGCCAACGATGTCGCGCAGCTCCGTGTTGATGGCCTGGTCGCTGCTCATCGAGGCAATGCGGAACAGGAATATGCGTGCCCTTTCCATGTCGGTCCGCGTGGTGTCGGAGCCGCCCCAAGCATCTTCGTAGACGGTGGGGAAGAGAAGAACGTCATCGCCATGCGGTCGGCTTGCCGGGCTCCCAGTAGCCGGCCCCGGTGATGCGACAGGGGTCGGCATGACGGCGGCGCGGCGGCGGAACCCAAACCCCCCTGGCGTTGCCGCTGGGAGCGATTTCCTGTCCGACATGGCCGGTGGCGACGAGAGGTTCCTAGCTCGGCCTGGCTTCAGACGAGCTGCGAACTTGTGAGACGCCCGAAAAGCCGGGTCCTCGGGAGAATACCGCGGCGGCGGCTGCCCATCAAACGGCTTCGTTAGCAAAAAGGCTGGAATTTTAGCGGTAGGCATTATGAACTGGTCGCTGCCAAGTTTGTTTGTGTCTCTGTTGTTTCTGTTGCGGCAAGATATAAACTAGGTATTTTAGGTGGGCGGACAAAATAGTGAACTGGTCTGATTCCAATGTGGTGTTCTTGTGATGGATGTCCCAACACAATGTTCCCGCAACCCTGGGGGCATGGCCATTTTGGGTATGCAACCTCAACTTGGGTAGGGGTACTCACCGGGCAGCAGCGGCCCCTCGTCCAATCTGTGAAATTCCGGCCTTGGTTGGGCTGGGAATGGGTAGGTCTTGTTTCAGGCCCGACGGGGCGCTGGCCAGATCGGATTGGATGGGAAGGGAACGTAGGGAAGGAAGTTGCGTCTGGCAGAGGCCGAAACGGAGAATCGAGTGCTTCTTATTGATCCGCCCGGCTTAAAAGTGCACCTAAAACCGCCGACCGTGGACACGGACGGCCGGTCCAGCCTACGTGGCCGATAAATACGGCCACCACCGTAGTCCGTAATTAAGCCTAGGCCCAGGCCCTAGTGATTCCGCAAGGGTCAAGAATTGTTACGTAATAATGCCCTCCGGACCAAACTATGCCACCAGCTTTGAAACCAATAACGCCTCCAGCAAGGCCGAAACGATGATCGGCCCAAATGGAGGCCTTGAGGCCTACATTATTGCCGAAATGCCGGTCTTCTGTTCGAGGGATAAATAAGGCCTTCTTTTCCTCTTTTTTTCTCCTGGAATAGATTAGAAGGGAATACACTTCAATTTAAGCTGATTTGGTGCGCAACAAGAATTACGAAACACGGCTTGGCCGCGTCGACCATGCTGGACTGGTTAGCTCCATTTCTCGGTACCCCAAATACCCGGCAGCATAGTAGCGCCCCCGATGGGCCCCAGGCTCCCAGCTCCGACGCCACCGCCGGCCCCGGGCATCCGGGCCCACGAGTGCCGTTGGGGGAGATCTAATTGCATAGGCACCTTGAGATTGTTACACAAAATTGGAGCTTCCCTTCCTCCTCGCCTTCCATTACGTGCAAAAGAGAGCGCAAATGCGCATGTTGCGAGAATAAGCTTGTAGAACACGTTATTTTGGGTACTATGTTTGGTATGTTTCGGTGATCCGAGACCATGAGACTGCTAAATTCTCGACTTTCGCAATCTTTGCCAGAGCCCGCGTTTCAGGTTCCTTTTCTTTTGGGCAGCAACCAGCATCCAATCGGCATACCGCGCTTCTTTCGTTACCCTTCTCTCAACAATCGGCCAATGGGCTCCGCCGGTACTTGGTTACCTATAGAAGAAGACAAGACATTTCATTAAAACAGACGCTTTCACAGAAGACAACCACATCTAGAATATAAGCATCACTATTCCTAAACATTGACTGCGGGTACCTACTTGGTAACCTATCAATTTCGGACAGCACCGGATTTAAGACATCTCCAAGACCAAAAAATAAATGCCAAGCCGTCAATCCCATGTGTGCCCCCAACTGTGGCCCTGCCTGAGCTGAAGAAATTTTGTGGAGCCGAAATTTTGTGGAGCCCGTTCGTTTTGTGACGGAGGTCTCGGAATCCCAGTTCCGCAATCCCGTTTCCTCCGCCAAGATGCCGGCAACGCAAGATCCCCGTCCAAAAAAAATTAAACATGGGCAATGTGAGAAGGAGTGAGGCGAAGCTTTGTAACTTGGACGTGTTGGTGACAAGTGCTGACAAAATGCGGAACAAATATGCCCGCTTATCAACCTGGTGAATGCACTTCGCACTACAAGTAATCTGGTTGGTCCTCCTCGGATCATATCCCTGTAGGCCTCTGGGTCCCTGTAGACCTCTGGGCTAATAAGGATCGGGGGGACCAAACTTTAGATGCGAAGCAAGACCTACAGTTTGTCGCCAATTTAATTATCTATTTAAATAAGTATTGCCTCTCCCGCCAAGCTCAACCATCTGCATCCCAAAATAATTTCGCCGTCTCAATTCAAAGTCCACGATGACTTCCTTGTACAAACAGTCTGTCCCCGTCTTCGTCAAGTACCTCCGTGGGCTATCTGGTCTTTTGGAGAAGGGCGAGAAGTTTGCCAACGAGAAAGGAATGAAGCATGACGAAATGTTGAATTTCCGGCTGGTTCCCGATATGAGAGGGTAAACATACCATCGCCTCTCACCCTTAATAACCACCCTGGTGAGAGCCAAGTCAGCTGACACTGGCAAAACATGCAGCATACCATTCCAGGTCCAGTCATGCTCCAACACGGCCAAGTTTGCAGCTGTGCGCGTTGGTGGCCTTGCGGATGTTACTCTGGAGGACAACGAAACCACCTTTGCCGAACTGCAGGCCCGCATCGCCAGGACCATTGAGATCCTCGAGAGCGCGGACCCGCACTCGATGGATGGCATGGAGGACAAGGAAGTCATCATGGAGACCAAGATGGGCAATTTCCGCTTCACCGGCCAGCGCTACGTATCCGAGTACGCAATTCCCAATTTCCATTTCCACCTGACGTCGGCATACTGCATCCTCCGACACCTGGGTGTGCCCGTCGGGGCCTTTGACTACCTCAAAGACGTCTTTGAGAAGGTCTAAATGATTCTGCCCATTGGCTTCGGGCAGCGGCAGTGCTGGATGAGGTGCTTCTGCAATTCAAGGGCAGGAAACACGGCGGCGGAGGAGGAGTGGGTGGCACATTGCGCTGCCGTGGAACTGGGGACAGGCGGGCTTTTTCGGCTTCCAAAATGATCTAGCTACGCGCTGTACAACCCTCAATGAGCGCCGACTAAGCATATAATACCTGCATAAAACTCAATCTGAACCTGAAATGAGCATCTCTTTCATCCCCTTGCCGCATCTCTTCATTCAAGCTTGTCCTTGATGAGTCCATCAGTGATCTGCTCTTTTCCAGTGCCAAGCCTGGCCGTTCGAGGTTTAGCAAGCAGCGGTCTGTACGGCATACGCAGTGGTGCATCCAATCAAGTCGCATGCGTCTGGGTTGCTGCAAGGGAAGCTGACAACCTGTGTCGGGAGGGCTCCAGTGCAGCCGCAGGGCCGCGTCAGAACAGAGGTAGTTGTGCACTGGGGCACAAAGCATGATCGGCAGGCCGTAGCAGTTGACGTGATTGTTGGGCAGCTGGCCGATACACCACACGGCTTTGTTGAGACAGAGACGGACGTAACGGTAGCCGTCGTCGTTTGCCGAACGGTCGTGGCGCTGATGCTGGTGCTGACAACTGTCGTGCTTCGCGTGACTGTGGATGCGGGAGCTGTGCTGGTCTGCGTTTGGATCACGGTCGTGCTCACGGTTGTGCTCACGGTCGTGCTTTGCGTGACTGTGGTTGCAGGGAGAGTGGCGGTGACTGTCTCCTGTTGGATGTAGCTGGCCGTCGTCGTCGTCGTCGTCGTCTCGGTTTCGGTCTCAGTCTCGGTCAAGGTTATCGACTTTGTGACTGTCACTGTCTTGGCAGGGGATTCCGTGGTCTTGATGGTGCGGGTGATGGTGGTCGGAGTGAGCGTGATCTGGCCAAGCACCTCGCTAGTAAACGAGAGTTAGTTGTTAGTTGAATTTTGTTTGATTGTGTCAGTTGAATTTTGTTTGATGTGTGTCAGTTGAATTTTGTTTGGTGTGTATGTCATCAAATGTGTCATTGTTCTCACCTTGCCAGAGCCACCAATGACAGGGCAATTGCGAAACGCATCTTTCTTATGCTGGCTGAGCTTGAAGAAGGCTGAAGTACGAGAACAAGAGATACCAGCCGAGCCGATACGATACTTCAAGACGAACAGTTGCAGAATACCAACTCAAGACTGTCGCTGAAAATCGCAGTGGGTGCCCTCACGTCATTTGGTCATGGCAGCTTCGTAGAATTTATCATAATCGACTGGGCAGGGGTTGGAGATGGACTTCTTGGCGTCTAAGCAAAGCAAGCTAATAGATATTGCTGCATATATCGCGGAGCATCCAACTCGGTGGATCTGGGCGACACTATAATTAAAAATGCAGAGAGAGCGCTCGAGGCCGTTGTTCACTCCCAGGTTTTGTGGTGGGTCCCAGCCCTTTGTTCTCCGTAAAGCACGCCCAGGTCCCAGCTCAGAACGCTCGCGAGCCAATCACGCCCGTTGTTTAGAGTGACAGTGTAATGCCGCATATTGGGGTTACGATGGAGCCTCAAGTGGCGTGCTATCCTCCGTCTTTTGGCAATTTGGCGGCTATATTAAGGTGCCAACCTCAGGAACACTGACCAGGGGCAGAGCTATAAATAATAGCAGATAACTGGAACTTCGGTGGCAAACGTATCTGAAGATACCCAAAACGGTGGCAAAGTTGACATCGCGGTCTTGGCATTCTGGCCGATACCGAATTCGTCCTTCGCTTGAGCCATCCAGACCTCCACTGCTTCGTTTCGCTCTCTCAATACCGTGGGCACATTCCGAAAGGTGTCATCAACGCCATACTTATTGTCTGTTCCGTGGACTCCCAAATCTATTACGATGCGCCAAATGAACCCCGTTTCCGAAATTAGAGATGGTCTTCTCCATTGACACCTTGGACTCCGCGCTTCAAGCAACTAACTCCGTGAACTATTACCATTAACGAGTCCCACTAGTCCACGTCGACCCAGTCATTGTAACAAGATCCGTTCTTGGCCTGTTGTAGTAAACTCGTTTGGAAGATGCCGCGGTCTCCACCAGCGGTCTTCTGGATCTGTTTTGGCTTGGCCGATGGCGTCTCTGCGAAGGCTTCACACTGCGCACCAACATTCTCAGCATAGGAACGGAAGCCGCCATGATAGTCACGGCAGCCTCTGCGCTGCCCCATATGACCAATGTCACGCCGTCATCTGCTATAGCGTCAGTTTCTGGGGCTGCTCAAGTCATTCTAACTGGGTCTAATTGGGGGGTTCTTACGTGGAAAGTCTCGCCCACCCAGCTCTGGGAGTGACGAGCACTTAATGAATGCCGAAGCAGCAGCGCTTTGAGCATGTCAGAAGAGAGACTAAGTATAGCGGACTAAGACGGCACGGGATCACGTGGGGGGACTCTTACAAAACTCCCATACTCATCGCCAAAGCAACGCCAAACTTCTCCTTGGTCTGCATTTGAAGCCCCATGATAATCTTCCAGGGGATGATTGCAAGAACCAGGTCCAGAACTCCCGAGTATGCTGACATCTCCACGTTAGCCGTCTCCTGTTCGTTCGAAGCTGAACCCTGCCGCCCAAATGCGACTTACCACTCGTGAAGATGCCATATGTGATGATGACGTTAGGGCCCCAGCAAGTCCCCTTCGTGAATGGATGCCAGGCCTTTTCAACCGGTGTGCAGCCGACCCAGAATAGCATAGCCGAAACACCGAACAATAGATTCATGGATACTATGGCAAACCAGATGAAGATTCTGGTTTTGCCGTGAATACCATCCGATATCATGAGGAGCGTGATAGCAAAGGATGACTTGCTCCACGATTGGCTGCAAATGGCCAGCGTGACAGAAATCTGCCCAATCAGGGACATTTCGTTAATACGTTCGCGCGGTATCTGCCACACATGCTTGCCGTATCCCAGGTCGACGGCCACATTTGTGCAGATGGCACTCCCAAGCAGTGCCAGCTGTATGAAACGGTCAGCCCTCCGACTCTGTCTCCTACTTCTCTTGTGGCACCAGTCTTGCTGGTCCTGTGATATCGAGACGTACCCATGCAGCGATAGCAAAATGGTCATCCGCGTGGAGCGTTCGGTGCCTGGCGAGCTTGCAGTAAATCCGCATGAGGATGAATAGCAGCGACGCCGCTACCAGTATCCAAACAGACACTCGTGTTGTTTGGCCCAAGTCATCGTCTTGCTGGCTCGCTAGCCAGAAGGCAGGAAACCCGGTAAAATTCCTTCTGCCAGCGTCGGAGCCATTGGCGGAAATGGGAGCGGGAAAGTTTGTGAAGGGCGTATTCATGATTGTTCAGTCATCGAGGATTTTGGTGCTCGCGAGATGGAAATTGGCAGCCACCTTCGATAATATATGTTGACGGCGACAAAAACTAGAACCACGTGTTGGGGCTAGGATGTATATTGGTTGGAAGAGAAGGGTTGAAGGAAGAACCATTTTTTTACCCAGGAGTGGGAGGAGGTTATGGAAGACCCGAGACGGGGCCAAAGGCGGTGGGCTCGAGGGAAAAAAAAGTAGTAAGCTGGGTCACGGGCTGCAACATATTGGTAGACGTATCGGTGATCATGGTATCAGGGCAAGAAATGCGCACAATGCGCATTGCGATACCACTGTAAACTGAAAGCCGGCTGGGTAAAAGAGTTTTGCGGAGAAGCTGGTGGCTGCCGGGGTTAAACCAGGGTGGTATAGCGGTCGATCCCGCAGACCCCTGAGACACATGCAGGGTCGGACGGCACTGGTGAGCCCAGAAAATGCCCTGATACACCAAGCCCATGCGTTCGATATTCGAGAACTCGAATTCCTAGGCCCTGGCCGAGAAGCGGATTAGAGATCGCGCCAATTAAATCCATCAGCAATAAGTCTCTTGCGACGTCAGTCCGGGCGACCTGGATAATAACACCATGACCAAGAAGTCCGAACTTATCGTCATTACCTTGAGTGGCATGGACGTTATGGCTTGCGAACTCACTAACAATGTTTATAGCCCTAATAAGAAATTAAATCCAACAGTATATCCGTGCATTAGTCAAACTACTCCCAAGCCCGGCATAGTGATTCACCAAGTCTTGGAAAGCTATTTGAATCCATCAAGCCGACTTGTCGGTATCGGTGACGCACTGACATTTTGACACGGCGAAGATCCCCGATACGTTCAAACTCGGCCAACATTGACCCAAGGGAAAATATTCGTCGATCAAACATTGCCGGTGTAAAAGGGCTGTTGTCCGTGCCCGCTTTCAAGTTTTACGGGTTTTCTGGCCCGTTGATGTTGTCTGTGGCGACTTTGACCGCTTCTGATTTGACTCGGCTGTTTCAACACCATCAATGAAGGCACGTGCTGGCAATGGAAACCTAGAATTCTAGAACGAGATAGCCAAACAAGAGCTGAACAGTCAAGCTGCGGGGTATGGGGTATCTAAAGCACTGGGGTCGGGAAGTGTTGTGGTCGACAGATCTCCCTGTAGTTGCAGCTATTTCCTTCCAACCCAAACACTTGTTTTCTTTTCATCGACATCCTTTGCGAGTGTACAAAAGCTACCTATGCATCTTTAGTGCTAAAGTAGGCGCAACAAGTATCAAGTCCAATTGTTCACGTCCAATTATTCAAGTCCAATTATTCAGGATCAAGATCGCACACGGCAATGGCCTCCCTCCCAGTTGTCCTCTCTGTTGCCGCAGGTGCTGCCGCCGGGTCCGCCTACCTGAATGCGCGCACACCTATGCCGAAACGTATCAGAAAGTGCTACGATATGGGGCTTGGCTGCGAACGCATCACGGCGTACGCGAGCAAGACATTGTGGCCCTCGACTTCAGAACTCGGACACGTTTGTGTTCTTGTGGTTCGCCATATGGTGTGTTCTGTCTTGCTCTTCCAACACCTCGCTAGCTATCATCATCAATCTCGATCTAACGTCTCGTCCCCTTGAACAACAATGGAAGGCTACCCAGCTAATAAAATCGCGCTCCAGGGCTGTTAGTGCCAAACCTGCATTCATTAACTACCACCTCAATGGAGCCCAACTTGCACATTGCTCACGGGCTGCAACCGCAAGTCTGGCCATCCTCGACCCTCGCCTTGAAGCCAGGCTCAATGACGACGTACGGCAACAGGTTCCCGATATGAAATTTGTCGTGTTTACTCCGGAATGCGAGCCTGAGGCCCTGCGCACAGAACCCGTCCGGTTTCCCGACTCGGTGCGCACCGAAGACAGCTATACCGCAATGGCGATTCTCATTTACACTTCTGGGACGACGGGTTTGCCGAAACCAGCCATCGTTTCATGGGGCAAAATCTACGTGGCAGCCATGTTGTCTGGAAATGGCACGGGAACCAAAACAAGTGACGTGGTGTACACAGCATGTCCAATCCCCCTTTTGCCCTCAAGTTCGTTCCCAGCCAGTGTACCATCATCCAGTATGTCGGTGAAACTTGTCGCTACCTCACCGTTTCGCCCCCAGACATCGATCCTGTATCAGGTGAGAACCTGGATAAGGAGCATCGCGTCCGTGTCGCTATGGGAAATGGGCTTCGGCCAGATGTCTGGGATCGGTTCAAGAAGCGATTCGGTCCGCTTTCTCATTTGTCTTTGGCCGCCATCTTTAGTCTCGGGTGGCTTTCTGGAGTCCCAAAAAGCTGACACAGTGATGTTGGACAATATTTGAGTTTTACGCCGCGACCGAAGGTGCCATCGGAACATGGAACCTGAGCCGCAACTCATTTGGAAAGGGGGCTATCGGCTGGTACCGGTTATTGTCCAAGACAATTCTGGACATCCGTACGGCCACTGTGCGCCTAGACCACGAGACGGAAATTCTTTGGCGTAATCCTCAAACTGGCTTCTGTCAGCGAGTCAAGGCTGGCGAGGCGGGCGGATTCATTGTCATGCTTCCCGAAGACGACGTCAGCAAGCGGTTCCAAGGATGCTACGGAAACCCAGAGGCGTCCAACTCAAAAGTCATGTACGGCGTCTGTCGCAAAGGCGACGCATGGTTTCGGTCTGGTGATATAATGCAATAGGATGGTGACGGCCTTGTCTACTTCAGCGACCGCATTGGAGATACTTTTCGGTGGAATAGCGAAAATGTCTCGACTAGTGAAGTTGCGCAGGCGCTTGGTCTTCATCCTGCCGTCCAGGGAGCAAACGTCCACGGAGTTTAGCTGCCCCATCACGACGGCCGCGCTGGTTGTGTCGCAGTTGTACTCAGCTCATCGCTTCCCGAGAAGGATGGAACATATATATCTTTTGGTGATAAGGAATGGAGAGAATTGAATTAGGGGGCGGTCCGACTAGGATGTAATTCTCTGTGAAATAGGTCACGCTGAGCTGGTCACGCTGAGCTTGGTGATCAAGTTTGAACGTCCTCCAGAGTCCAGAATATTATGTGAGGGTATATTATATTATATTTCGTCTCCTTTAATGGACTTGCTCCCCTAATAAGGGACTTCCATTTTTAGATTCATCACAAAAGTGAAATAGCCCATACCCATCACCACGTACACATTAAAGGTTGACACAGGCATTTACCGCGGTACAGCAAAAAGTTAAACAATTAAACGGCACCGACAGAGTCATACCGGCCGGCTCACGAACCTCACTACTGGCATACAACATCAAAGTTTTCGCTCAGGGTACATAAAGCGCACCAAATATCCAGCTACACAGGATCGCTCTTTCGTAGGACCTTTCCTCACGAACATGCGCTATCTTCTTAATCTAGCACACACTTATCAATCCACGCCTCAGTCGGCTCACGTAACGCACCACATCAACCAACGCGCCAATTAAGCGCTTAGGTATGCTAGCAACCCTCGGGCTCTGCAAGAGCCGTCGTATTACTAGCACCTACTCCTAGACTAGTATAATAGCCAAGCTCAAGCACCCGGCTATACCCCATAACTAGGCCGACGAAGTAACGCCCAAATCGGTCGATATACCCGGGGATCCCCCGAAAGGGAAAGCAGTCCTCAAGCTTGATATTCACGGCGAATTACCTTGTTACGGAAAGGCCTAGGCCTGGTCGTCAGTAGTTTAGTTCCATCAACGGATTCCAAATATTCAGCTAGATGCCAGAACCGCAATCGCAAAGATAAAGACACAGCTGGATGCCCTTTAAACGCCATGCCCCAGGGCAGTTATGTGAGGGTATATGTATATTAATTATGCTATGAATATTCTGGGTCTATCTTCGTACCCATTCGGAACATGGAATTCGGAATGTGTCTTCCCAGCACAGACTCCGCACTCTCCGTTTTAGCAATAGAACTCGTCTTGGCACGGATCATCGGGCACGAGCGTCAAGGTCACGACAGATGCTGAAGTTGTTTTTGTGCTCGATGGTTTCGGGGTGAGATAAGTGATGCGTGTTGAGATGACTGTCGGGGTTGGGCCACCGACGCTGAAAACCGTCGTCAGGGTCCTTATGATCGCCCCCGGGTCACTCGGTGCGGCCGGGCTGCTGCCATCACTTGCTACACACTGCGAATACCACACACTATCAATTCACACTTGTATTAGCGTCCCCGTTGTTATTCCTTTTCGGGCGTACCCAGCTCGACTGCATTGCGTTCTCAACAACAGACATGGGCTACTAGGTTGAGGCAAAGCATACTTATCCGGGTTGTTCTTGCAGTAGGCTCCTACAGGGCACGAGGTAGGGCCTGTCCATGTTTGACCGCCGCCTGTTACCAACGTCAGCTCTGTCTCTCCAAATTAGCTAGGAATTCGTCAACTTACATTGTCCGTAAAGAGTTTGAGTGGCAGATTGGGGCTGGTCCAGGGTGGGAGATGCCTGTCTCTGAGAGGTGGTGGGATTAGGGCTCGGGCGCCATCGAGTGGTCCATCTTTGCGCTTCAGCTGACGCCGCCAATAGTGGTAGGAGGAGCAATAGTTGGACCATATTTTGGGATACACAGTTGGGGAAATGAAAGGCTCAGTGGCTTATGGATGAAGAGATCGATTGCCCCTGAGCGGGTTGGGCTAACATATTTAAAGTCTTATCTGCGTCATATCTCATTTCACCCGGTGGTCCTGTCAACGATATCTGTCCGCGAGGGCCAAGCTGTCGGATAGTCCCAAATATCCTGGACCCAGGTTTTTCGCCCTTTCCCATATTACGTCCTTGCAATCATCACCCGGCGCCGTCCTCTGCCAACATCCGTATGGGCGGGTATATAGTAGATCCGGACCCCTCCACGCATTCCCGTCTCTCATCCAACATGAAGCCAAACCATCGATCCACTGATGGCTATGGGGTCTCGGACCAGAATGCCTGGAGCGAGAGTGGGTGACGCGAACCGCAGATTTGGAAGCTGGCGAGTAGACTTAAGATTAAGGGCAGAGGCAGGGATTCTCTCGACTACTGGGTATCCTGCATTAATTTGTTATATTAATAGAACTGGGAACGAACGCAGTTCCCGGAGAGCAGCAATACTCCCGACCTATTGCTCTCTCGCTTGGGCCCTCGCATAAACAAAGCCGCCGTCGCACAGCGTCGGATAATTTTCATCTAATCTCCATCCTCTCACCCTTGCTTTGCTGCTGCTTTATCGCCCCGACGGGGACGAAATTTGGTTCCAGATCCGGGACACAACGCTCCATGGAGACATGCTCTGCTCTCACCTGGAGAGCCAGGGCTATTTTGAGTCCCATGCCAAGGCCGAGCCGTGGAAGATGGATGGGGTAGGTCCGGCGTAGGTTCGAAGGCTTGCAAACAATCTCCTTGAACAACAAACATTGCTTTCTTGGATAAATAGACGGAACGGCGGATAAAGAATTGCCAAGTGTGTTCTCCACCTCAAGATGGCGGGATCAGCGGACTCGGATCCTTTCACGATATAATTACCCAGTCCCGACAAGTGAACATTTTGAGGCGAGGTAAAAGGCTTGGCTGCCAGTCATTCGTTTACTCTACGGAGTTCCGATAAGAGTCTCGAAAAAGTAAACGAAAGGTCCAGTGCAACTCGAACCAACGTGCAGCTCAAATTATTGTAATACCAAAACATGGTATGGCTAATGGCGATAGAAACGCAAAAGAAAAAGAATCACACCTGAGATTTACTTCCTCGTGTCTTTGGGCACAGAGTAGTAATACGCCATGGCTGACCATTAGTCTAAATTCGGTCGTTAACCATGGTAGATTCTAAACAGAAAATTTGGCCTAAACCCCATTTATGCCCCATTACTACGGTCTTCAGCCTCGCAGAATGCCTTGAATGTAATAAACTCGTCATCTTCGTCTCCCTCGGACTCGAGAACGCATTCTGCCGTTGCACCGACAAAGAAAACATATCCCCCCTTAAACTCATGCACAGTGGGCCCAACAGAGATCTTTCCCCTACCAGCAGTACAGATGATGATGCTGGGGCCATCCAGCGGATCGAATGTGGCCTTGGACCCATCGCCTCTGAGCGAACTCCGAACCACACTGAACTCGTTGATCGGGGGGTCGTAAAGCAAGACGGCAGAGCCCGAGCTGTAAGCGGTTCGGTTCAGTCTCACGTAAGGGAAGTCGCTGGGGTTCATTTTTTGCTCGTCGATTGGGGCGTAGTTGTAGGTTAGCATGGTGGTTAGGACCTCTACATCCTTGAATTTGGGGGTTAATCCCGCCCGCACGACATTGTCGCTGCTGGCCATGCACTCGACAATATCACCGCTGAGGTAGGCGTGGATGTCATCGGCGCGCAAGAAGAGCGCATCCCCGGGCTGCAAGGTTACGTAATTGAGAAAGAAGAGAACGAAGAGGCCATAGTCAGGACCAAACTGGCCGTGAAGGCGCGTAACCAGCTCGGCAAGCACAGAGCCAGGTGTGGCGCTGACGCCGCCACCGGCGAATTCGTCGCGGCCATTCGCCACAGAATCCAGGAGCGTTTTGGTACAGGCGGTCATGGCTGTCTCGGAAGAAGCCATCAAGGCACTAAAGACCTTTTGCAGCGCCGTCTTATTCTTGGAAGCTGCTTCCTCCGACTCGTCGTCCTGCGTGCTCCCGACTATCTGAGCGAACTCGCTTGCTTCCTCCTCGCCCACCAGTTGAAGTAACGCCGGTACCGTCTCCAAAAAGTGCACAATCTCGCCGAGAGGGCGGAAGCCACAGAGCCCTTCAAAGGGCGTAATGGCGATGGCCATCTCGGGCTTGTGGTTGTCATCGGGATAGTTCTTGGGGTCTTTGGCGTGCAGCTTCTCGGCTAGCTGCTTGTTGGGATGTGCCTGTATAGAAAGGGCTTTGTCGATGGAAAGGACCTTGAGTAGAAAGGGTAGCTTTTGGCCGTAGCGGGCGGCGACAGGGGCGGAAAGGAGCGATCTGTTGTCTTGGATGAGGTCGAGCAATGTGCGGCCCGTAGTGAGGTCTCGCGACGGATTGGAGGGATGTGTCCCCATCCAGAGCTGCAGTGATTCACTGTCAGCAAGCAGGTCCCATGGGGCACGTTCATGGGGGCGTTGTTGGCCTTGCCTCCGCATACGGCCGATCGTCTTGGACGACAAAGTCGGACGAGGGCGTGGCGGCCGCGAACTTGGCTGCTGCGGATGCCTGTCCCTTCTTTCCCCAGTCGTAGGAATTGACCCCGCATTGGAGTCTAATCAGAGGGATCTGCATTTCGTTGTCGTGTCGTCAGGGGAGTTGTTAAGGGCAGATCGTGGAGTCGCCAGAATGTCGACAAGCAACTTGACAAAGAACCTCTTGTTCGGTCAAAAGTTGGATGGATGCTCTTGTTGAAGCTCCCTGGGTACGGATACTGTCTTCTATGCAAGGTAAGGCAGGAGGTACCTCCATTAGGTAAGGGAGTCCGTAGAGCCGACCCCTCGTTACGTGGCGGGGCAGTTCTGGGGTGGCAGTTCCCACACTGCTGAGCACAGAGGCGTGCTGCAGAAGATTCACCTTCTGGGGGGAAGCGGCAGGCGGGGCGGGGGCTGCCAAATGCGTGCCAAATGCGACAAGCCTGTCCTTCCCAATGAAATGCGTTCCAAGAAGGTTGTCGATAACAACAGCGGCTTCGAAACCCAGGAAGCTACTATTTTAACAGAGCTGGAGCAACTATCCATCGTTTTTGGCTAATGTAACAGGCGCTTTCTCTTGCTATATCCGCCAGCCGCTCTCGCTCTTCGGCCATCCCTTGTTCCAATCCCCACGAGCCCGGCCAATCCCAATATCCTGCGACCACCAGTACAGAGGGGTCTGATCAATTGCTCAACTTACTTCTCTTTTGGGAGAGTCGGGCTAAGGCCTAAGCCTAGTAAGGTTTGTAGCTTCTTAAGGGTTAAATGCCAATTAGAAACGAATTGGACGTAATGACTGAGAGATAGACACAGACGCGGGCCTCGGAGAGGCTGCAACGCACAGGGCCGGAGGGCTTTTCAGTCAGCCGGGACTTGTGTTGGGTCCCCAGACTGCTTTCGACATGTCATCGCGCAATCGAAACTCGCGCGGCCCTAATCGCAATAGTGGGAGCACCCAAGGCGAGGAAGCCCATCTCTGGAGTCAGATCAAGGATGATATCCGATCGATGGTCGAGGGCGTCAACAATAGTAACGACTCGCTGCGTGGCATCATGGCGCAGGACAACTTTATCGCCAAGAACAAGGAGGATGTCGACATGGCAGCTGAGGAGCAAAAACTGGACAATCTACTTCGCGGGGGCGTCAAGGGGGCAGACATGTCGAAACAACAGATTGAGGCGCTGATTGAGCATGTCACGGTTCTCAGAGCTCTAGTGAAGGCAAGAGAGGACGCCGAAGCGCAAGCCGCCAGTGCATCAGGCCTCTCGGGTCGTGAAAGGCCAATCGGGCTGCTTTCGAGCTCTGTACGGTCGTCGTCGGCTCGAGGGTCAAGCGTGCGTGACAAGGACCGCGATAAAGACCGAGAGCGAGAGCGTGAGCGCGAGCGCGAGCGGGAACGAGAGAAAGAGCGGGAACGAGAACGAGAGCGTGAACGAGAGAAGGAACGCGAACGCGAACGCGAACGGGAACGCGAACGGGACCGGGACCGGGAGCGCGACCGGGAGCGAGAACGAGAACGAGAGAAAGAGAAGGAGCGTGAGCGTGACCGGGATCGGGATCGAGATCGGGAACGGGAACGTGAGCGCGAGCGTGAGCGGGAGCGCGAGAAGGAGAGGGAGCGGGAGCGCGATCCGGTATCAGTGTACGACTTCGACGGTGCCGGCGATTCGCCAATGCCATCGCCCATCGGTAGTCATACCCGCAAGCTGGGAGGCAGCGCAGGCGCTGGAAGCGACCGTTCGGGAAACCGCGATAGCCTTCCACCGCGCGGCGGAGATCGCGACACTCCCGGGAAGAGCGACAGTGTGCCTCCCGAGTCTGCCGGCGGGCCGGGGTCTGCCACTGCTTCTCAACGGGCGAGGGTTACGTTCTACAAGGGCCAAGATGTCGTGTTCAAGCCGAAGCCAACGACCAATACGGAAAGTACCGAGTGGATGATGGGTCGTGTACAGCAGGTGTTGGAGGGTAAGTCGCGACGTTACAAGGTGCAAGATGCCGACCCGGACTTGCCACCTGACCAGCGCGTCGAGTACAAAACCGTGGCCAGTAGCATGATTCCGATCCCGCCAGCAGGGGCCGAGCTAGCGGAACTGGACCAAGGGAGAATGGTTTTGGCATTGTATCCTGACAGTACCACTTTCTACAAAGCAGAGGTGATGGGCATGGATCCCGCGACGCGACGAGTGAGTCTGAGGTTTGAGGGCGAGGAAAACAGCGGAACACTACAGCTTGTAGACCGACGATATGTGGTGGAATATAGGAACTGAGCTATGTATTTTTTTTCCCGCGAATACCTGTTGATACTATTAAATAAAGCCCCTCATCTATGGATTTCTGTTATGGGCTACTCATGATCATGATCACAGCGCTCGCTCAGCGGACACATTTGCGTTGATACCGCTAATATAGTGTTGAAATTAGTGAAGATTAGACTCATAACGCAGCGATTAAATGGGCTGGAAAGGAGCCCGGTAACTGAAGTTGGACTAAGGTAATCCATAATGAACTGACAATATAAATTGCTGTCTTTTCGGAGCGAGAGGCGAAAATCCAATATGATGATGGCCGTTGCTGCAGGCGACCACAGTTGCGGGAGAGCAAACCGAATGAAAGTGAAGGCGGGCCCTTGCAAGTTCCCAGCTGGCTTGTCCCGTCCCCACGGCATTTGCGTTTTTGAATTTGCCTTGCAGCAGTACACAGGCCAATTTGCGATTGCATTGGGAAGTGGCAGAGCTGTCAGGGGTATCAATTAGGGGCCCCGCAAGCCCCTTGACCCCTTAAAAGTGCCCACCCTGAACACTACCTTATCACGCTATTGGCACTGATGCAACAGTTCCTTTTTGTATTGTGGTTAGTTCTATTGAGCTTGGTAGCTCTAATGCTTGCTCTGCGAGGCTTTGGCCTGCCTTTGGAGATTTCCGTTTACCTGCAGTGACAATATTCGTTCCCTCGTATAATGCATACTCAGGGGCTACAACGCGCCCAAAACGGACAGATTTTTGGTGTGAGGCACAACTTAAGTTCAGGTACCTGGGTAGAAGCTTATTTGTTGGTACCTCAGGCCGCAGGCGGGTATCCGAAGGAAGAGATGTTAAGTTCAGATTTAGGTCCTCCACCTCGGATCAGACAACGCGCCCGTTTGGGTTTGGAGAACTGAGAGTTCGCGCCGAGCATTTTTCTCCACAACAAATTCCCCTGCGAGTGCGAGAAGGCGACCGCTCTGACCTGACCTTCCACGGTCGCCCTCTCTGCCCTTGCTGAGGCCATCACGAATCCTGCACCTGCCCGCGGCCTACCTCCCCCTGCCTTGTGTTGTTTGCTCGTACTTTGCTACGCCATCATCCTGCTTCAATCGCCCAAAATCTCCTACAATCGACAAGAGCCCGATCGCGTCCGAATCCCCGAAGACATACTACGAGATACCCGGCGACGCGGCCAGAACTTCCCCCCTCAACCTCGCCCAACGAACGCCGGCTAGTGTTGCTGCAGAAGAGACGGGAATAGCTGTTCATAACCCAAATTCGACCAGTCGCAATTACCTTCGTCCTACCACAAGTCCTGCGAGCATCCGATTTCCGATACAGTTCGCAGAGCGCCCCGCAGGGACACGCAGCCAAGATGGGAGCCACCTTGTCCATTTCGTCTCTCCTCGGCAAGCTCTTCGGGTCGAGGGAGGTGCGGATCCTGATGCTAGGGCTAGATGCGGCAGGCAAGACGACAATTTTGTACAAGCTTAAGCTGAACCAGACCATGACGACCATCCCAACTGTCGGCTTCAATGTCGAATCGTTCACCTTCAAGAATATCAAATTCAACATGTGGGATGTTGGTGGCCAGGACAAGATCCGTCCTCTGTGGAGGCACTACTACAGCGGTGAGCCTTCTTTGTCCTCTCCATCCTTTTATCGCTGCCGTTTTTAGGCCGCAATGTGGCAGGTGGTTGCGCATCGCTGACCCATATTTCTGCGCTGGTTTTCCAGGCACCCAAGCTCTCATCTTCGTCGTCGATTCATCGGACAGCACACGAATGGAAGAGGCGCGGACAGAATTGCATCGCATCATAAACGACCGGGAAATGAGGGACTGCCTGCTTCTCGTGTTCGCGAATAAGCAGGATCTGGATAGTGGTATGCTTTGCTTTCCACACTTTTGCCTTGAACTCGATCTCGTCATGTTCTTTTGGCCACCGTAGTGGGTAATGCATAGCAAGAAGGGTCATGCTAATTTTCAAATTTCTTGACAGCAATGAAACCCCTCGAAGTGACAGAAAAACTGCAACTTGCAAAGCTAAAAGACAAGTTGTGGTACGTGCAGCCTTCTGTCGCTGTCAATGGCGACGGTCTTGCCGAAGGCTTCGACTGGCTGTCCAGGAGCCTGAAGAACATGCCCAAGACTGGCGGCAAGTAAGACAATGAGAGGAGCAAGAAGAATTATGAAGAGGGTCGAGAAGAGGCTAAGACGACGTGTCTCAAACACGAGGCCGTCGTTGCGCTTCTTCCGGTTGTCTTGTTAACAATGTCACTGGGGACAGCCGGACAAAGCATGGCGCAGTCAAAGTGTCTTGCTTTGCCTGATGCAGTAGCTCCACGGCCATTGGCTTCAGCACCCATTGTAGGATTGAGATGGATTTCAGTGTGGAAGATCTTGTTTGTGTACGGTGGTATTATATCCCTTCTTTTTTTCTCTTTAGCTAATCGCTTGTGTTGGGACCAGAAGTCATGTTCTTCGTCTCTCTTGTTGCACGATTTCATGTAGTTTCTTTTTTTTCCCCGTTTCGATCTTGCGTTTGTCTTATTGTGTGAGATTGAGCAGGCTTATACCCAAACATACAAAGCGATGGAGGAACAGGACAGAACCAGATTAGTTGGAGAAATAAAAAACCCCCCGGAACAATAAATAGCATACCAAGCTGCTCTCGCGGCATGACGCAGGTTGCACAATGACCAAATGATCACAACCCTTTCTGTTGGATATCCAAAGAATCCAAGTTGGCTTCTTCTGTAAAAAGAAAAACATAAATAAAGTCAAAACACTCGTTGCCCTGCTTCACATTGCGCGTAAGCACATAACAACTCATGTTGAGTTGTGTCATGCGTCTAATCGTGTGCAAAATGAGGAATAGGAATTGCTGCCATTGCAGGTTCTAGACAAAGGAAATGGGTGAGCAACACTGCGCTGCCCTAAACACCAACGCCGAAGCTCCTATAGAACCACACCCATCCAAAGTACTCGGATAACCGTACGGCATGCACCGAAACAATCCTTTCACAGCAAGAGACGCCGAGTCGGGGGTTAGCATTACGTTTCCCTGGACACCAAAATCCATTCAAGGTATTGGGAAGGTCTGAAAGTTGACGATAGTCTCGTTGCTATTGATGGCACAACTTAGCCCTCCTTCACCCTCTTGCCTGGCCTCACAAGCGAATCATCCGGTAAGCCGCTCCTTTTGGTTCCAGGCAACGAGCTAGTCCGGATATCATTGTCATCTTGACTGACTCTGCGATGTGGATACTCCGTCTTGAGACCCTCGAAGCAGTTAGCGCTAACTTTGTCGCCTGTGCTGAAAAAGGGATGCTGCAACGCGGCCGCGGCCGTGAGTCGTTTCTCGGGGTCGTACTCGAGTAGGCCAGCTAGGAGCTTGTAACCTTCTGCCCCCAAGCTGGACAGAGACGCGCCGCCGGGCGCCGGCCCAGATCCGCCAGCGTTCTGGCCAATGGTGTTGTAGTACCATTTTTCGAGATGACTTCCGCCTGCAGTTTGTCGCTGGGCTTGATAATGATGGCCGTGATGGCTGTGGTGCGCTGTGCTGAGCGGAGGTTGGAGGGTCGTGAGTTGGCTGTATTCGGACATGCTCGTCAACAGTGGCCACTTTTCCTTGGTGGGCAAACCCATGATGTCGACTATCTTCTGCATCTGGTTGCGCTGAAATGGAACCGTCTTCTTGCTATCCATCTTGGCTTCTTCTCCCTTAAAAATCGGCCTAAGTGATAGAAGCTCGGCAAATATACAGCCCACAGCCCACATATCGATGGCTGGCGTATAATGCCTGCTGCCCAGCAGGAGTTCAGGAGCCCTATACCATATTGTTACGACAACCTTATCGCCGCTAAAAAGGCTATGGAGCGGCTTCTGGAACAAGCGAGCAAGACCAAGGTCGCCAATTTTGACCTCGCCGGAGGAAGTGACCATGATGTTTGCGGGTTTGAGATCACGGTGCAATACCCAGTTCGTATGCAAATATTGACAGCCGTTGAGAAGCTGGAACATGATGCTCTTGATGGTGGTTGGCGGAATGGGGTGGCGAGGTTGTTGCGTATGGTGATGGATGATCTGCAACAGATCGTGCTCCGCGTACTCGAACACCATGAAGATGCACTTGTCCTCGAGGATGATTTCGATCAGCTTGATCACGTTGGTATGATTTAGTTCGGAGCAGAGCGCCATCTCGCGAACAGCTGATTGGGATATGCCGGTGTAGGCGACCTGCTCGCCCTCTTTATCGGGCTTGAACTTCTTGATCGCGAATTCGCCTGTCTGACCTTGGCGGCCGAGCGCCTTGTACACACGGCCATAAGTGCCACTGCTAATAAAGCCGATGACTTTGTACTTGTCTATGACTCGGACCTTGCTCTGATAACCGATGGGTCCGATCCCGCGGTCGGCTGGATCTACGGCTCATATTAGCTCAAGTGCGCGCGGAGCAAAATCTGTCAAGTGGCCGGAGGACAGCAGGACGACTGACGGGCCCTGGCATATTGGCTGACTTCAGCTTTTGGCTGCCTTGCTCGGTTCATGGCGGCGTCCTAATCCACGCCAGTGTTGTTGGAATGGCGAGAGAGAGAGAGAGAGAGGTTGCAGGACGAGCGGAGGTGCAAAGGCACGTTCGTTCTCTTGAACGGAACAGGTTGCCAGACAATCAAGACACCCAAGACTAGGGAACCCAGCGCCAGACTGTCTTGGCGGCCTGTTGTCGGACTGTTGTCCAGCCGGGAAACTGGGGATGCGAAGACGGTAGAGCGAGTTACTGCTCCATAGCAGTCCACCAACTGACTCCAGGGCTGTGTCTAGGCTTGTGTATAGGCCTCAGTGGGGTAAATACCTGCCCAGGAAAGCAGGGTGGAGGGTGTGGAAGAAGCAGGGAAGGTGAGCCGCATCAACCGGTGCGCTCGGCGGACGGAGCGCGGGAACCAGGTCATGTCGCAGGGCCTCGTGTCCTGTATACGGAAGGAGATCGGAAGTCACATGAACTGGAATCGAAGTACCTTCAAACGCGGCTTGCACGCTCCGCTTCAGTGTCTGGGTCCTTGCCGCGGAAACCGACCCGGGGCCGGTGGCCGCTGACGGCGGGTTTGTGAGACTCATCTATCGTAAGGCGAGGGTGAACCTGGGAAGGGGCAGCAAAGTCCCGAGCCAGGGGCAGCTTGGCCAACTTGAAGGGGATGCTGAACGAGGCGAGTCAGTCAGGGCCGCAGAGCGGGCTGCCTCAATCAAGAGACGAAGCCGGGAAATCCGGTCCGTGCTGCGGCGGCCTAATTGCGGAGGATGTTCTAATCAGGAAAGCGAGATTGGTGACGCGATCGTGCGTTCATCGTTGCCGCCGAATCGGGACATTTACGGCGGCGTACCGAGAATCTTCCAGCTTGTTGACCGACGATGATGCTCTGCGGTGCGCAGTATGCCAGTGATGGTGGGGCACGTTGGTCTTCGGTCTTCGATACAGACAAGTCGACGGCACAGGCAATTACCCGTCTTGCGGATTCGAGAAACAAGAGAGGCCCCAAGTCTTGGCGCGTAAATGGCCGACCAGAATGGCAGAGAGGGCGCCTTGGTCCAAGAAAAATCCCAGGTTGAAACTACTGCATTTAGTGGCAACATGTGGAAATTTTACCTTACACAAGACGAGAGGCACCTAAACCCATATACCACAGATTACAGCACCTAGTACAATTTGATGGTGAGAATAATGAGGCTACGGAGTACCCTGTGCTTCAGGGAGAAACGGCTGGGCAGACATCCTTTGGTACCTGAGGTATGTACCCAAAAGCTCGTCTTGATTATGTAAACATTACAGCAATGGGAGACAAACAGGTGGGGTGGTTGAAACGTTCAGACACCTCCCCAGTTGCGGGCCCGCCCCGCCCAGGCGCCCTGAAGGCCAAAGAGTCTGGGCCTTTGTAGAGTCTGTTGACTAGGTATGTAGTTTAAACACGCCCAGGATCATTATGGGTATTTGAGGGGTAAGGAGGCCAGTTGATGCGTGCGTCACTGGACCCCTGCCTCGCCCAAGCATATAAAGTAGGGAACGTTGATGCATGCTAGGAGAAAAAACCAGTCGATATCTTTTTTTTCCTTCTTCGACATCTACCTAGGCAGCAAATAACTAAGCAACTAAGCAACGCCTGCTAGCTGGCTCTCACCTAACTATCTTCTCTATCTTATCTTGGCCCAAGCTTCTCCAGTACCCGCGGGCCTTGCTCCTCCCACTCCTGCTTCGTGATCCACATGCTCTCCTTGTCCGCCATAATGTTGGCGAGGACCGCACCTCCAAGGAATACCATGTGCCGCCTTCGCGGTGGGTCTTCTATTCTGACCTTGAACTTGCTCAGCCGTTCGGGATTCCCACCAAGCACTCTTGTAAGCCACAGCTGCTTAATCTCCTTTTCTAGGCGCGATGGCAAGCCGGGGTACATGCTGCTGCCACCTGACAATACAATGGCCTTGAAGAGCGACGAACGAACATCGACGTCAGCGGCTTGGATGGTATTGAAAAGAAACTCGGCAATGCCTGGCTGGTCGCAGTCGACAAGGTGGGGCTGGAAGAGACACTCGGGCGCCTCGAAACGTTCGGAACCCACGCGGATAACGCGACCATCTGGCAAAGTGTAGCTCTCCACAAGTACTGTCGTGTCTTCACTCAACCGCTTGTCAAGCTCCAGGTCATATGATACGTAGCATAGCTTCTCCTTAATCTGGCGAACGGTCTCGAAATCGGCCGTCCGATTGAGCGCGTAGCCTCTGCGGAGAAGGAGCGCAATCAGGTTGCGAGTGACATCGCGGCCAGCGACGTCGAGACGACGGGTAAGATGGTTAAGGACGACCGATTCGTAGACGGGGACAATATGGGTTACGCCATCACCAGAGTCGACAACGACACCTGAACTGAGACCTGTTCGACCGAAGTTAGTCGTGCACCGAATACCGGGTGATGTCGAAGGGGTAACGCACCCTGGGCATACAAGGCCAACACCGCCTGGATAGCAACGTATACACCACCAAAGTCATAGCGCTCAAACATGACTTGGCACATTTGCTCGCGATTTTTGAGAGGATTAAGGGGGGGTTCGGTGAGGAGGATCTTGCGGCCGCGCGTGTCGATCTTCATCTTCTCGTAAAAGGTATAGTCCCACAGGTGCTGCATGTCGTCCCATTTCTTGACGATGCCATTCTCCATTGGGTAGCTAATTTGTAGCATTGTGCGCGCGGCAGCCGCCTCGTCGCCGCACATGATGTCCTTGATTACCATTTCGCTGCCGCCCTTCTCCTCAGTCCGGAGGATCGGCCGACCCACAATGGAAGGATACTGGAACTCGGGAAAGTTCTGGGCCGCATAACCGACCTTGAGAAAGCCGGTGCCGCCATCGAGCACTAGAAGAGAGTGTGCGCAAGAGGTTAGCACGCGGTTTGCCGTTGGGCCGGAAGGGGCAACGCAGAGATCTAAATGGCCACAGTCAATTCGCAGTCTACCTTACCTATGGGAGGTGGAGCGGTCATCTTAGGCAACGGTGAGCCGGCGGAAAAGTGGAAGCCCTCGTACAGATTGCCGAGGTGTTTTTCGCAGTCAGGGCGCGATGGCGTTTGTGTCGTGTCTTGAGAAGATGCGGATACCTTCCACCACAATGGTGGGGGGTTGAGGCAGTCGTCAGCGCTGTGGCTGGACTGCTTCAAGCTCTCCCCTAGTCACGTGATACCCCGCATCCCAAGCACCAGAGCACCAGCCAATCACTACATACAGTGACGGGGCCATCCTTGCCAGCGTGGGGCAGGCGCTAGGTACAGAGATGCGATAGAGGCACCTGGGGCCTAGGCTGCCCCCGGCCTAGGCTACCCCCCAATGGCGGAACAGCCAGTTCAAGCTAGAATTATATTACCTGTGTGTCAGGATAAGTTGCGGGGCCTTGCTCTCGTTCTAGCTGTGTTCTGCTTTCTTTTCCCTGGTAAATTTTCTCGCATTTTATCTTCCAAGGCGCTACCCGCTGGGACCAAGACACGGGAGAAGGAACATTCGACATGGGCACGATGACGACCAACTTCCTCAGGCGATCCACCAGGATTCTTGTCCTGAACCCCAACTCATCTGCTTCCATGACCCATGGGGTAGAGGAAGCTCTACACGGCATTGACATTTCCGAGGTTTGTCTGCTGAATCGGAGCCCTTGAAATGCGGAAAGCCAGCTAACGGCCTGGAAATGTCTAGGGGGTCGAAATTTATACCTACACAGCCCCGTCCGAAAGTCCGGCGAGTATCAACGACGGCGACGACGTAATCAACAGCTGCAATGTGGTGTACCAAAATGTCACCGATTCGGGCGTTTTGAAGCAGTATGATGCCGTTCTAGTCGCCTGCTACAGCGTCCATCCACTGGTCGAGGCACTCGCCGGTCTGCAAGGCAGTCGGGGAAAGCTGGTTGTGACGGGCATCTTTGAAGCCAGCGTGCTAGCTTCTCTCTCGTTGCTTGTCACTCCGTCGATGGGCGGGGTTTCTCCGCGAAAATGGGGAATAGTAACGACAGGAAAATTTTGGGAAGCACACCTGACAGAAGGTGTAAACAAATTCTTGGGCACAAGTTCTCAATCCGTTAACGCCAAGTTTGCTGGCGTCCAGTCAACCGGTATGACAGCGGGGGATTTCCACGGCGGTATTGACCCAGCGGTCATTCGACAGAAACTTGCGGACGCCACAAACAGGCTGCTGGATCAAGGCAACGTGGACTGCGTGGTGATGGGTTGCGCAGGAATGGCAGGTCTTGAGGAAATCATCCGAGCAGCGGCGATCGAGAGGTACGGCTCCGAGCAGGGGGCACAAGTACTCATAATGGACGGTGTAAAGGCTGGGATCGGACTGCTAGAGCAAATGGTTCGAAACAAAAGAATGTTTCAAGCATGAGATGTAGGGATGCTATAAGGGGCGGAAGCTAGGAGATCATGTACTGCACAAGCCAAAGCCGACCGGATCCCAAATTCAGCCACTTCAGTCAGTGCGTCTCATCCGGCCCCATACTTCATCAGCATCTCTCTTGCCTTTGGTCTCGGGAACATTCCGCGTCACAAAGCCAGCCCAGAGGACCGCAAAGCCCGCAAAGATAAAGTACACCCAGCCAGCGCCTCCAAGCGCGCTGTTGAGAGCCTCATTGACAATTGGGAATAGGTACGCCACAAGGAAGGTAGCAATGTAGCTGGCCCCCAGCGCCCAAGATTGCGTTGCACCCACAGCCTCAGGACCCACGAGTTCTGACGCCATGATGAACGGCACGGGGCCAAGGCCGACAGCAAAAAAGGCGACAAAAAGCAAGACGGCAATCGCGGACATGATCTTCAGTTCGAATACAATAGAAAGAGCCAGCGCCAGGGAGCTCGTTCCCTGGCCGGTTATGGAGACGAGCAGGCAGGTCTTCCGGCCGAGCTTGTCTGGCAGTGGTGAGGCGGCAATAGTCGTACCAAGGTTGATGACCGAGATGATAATGGTAAGCAGTGCTGAACTGGTAGGGAGAAGGTCCCTGAGCAGAGACACAGAGTACATGATCATGGAGTTGATGCCACAGAGCTGCTGCGCAAACATGATTCCAACGACGGCGATTATGGCAGGCCGGTACAGCGGATCACGAACAACCTGTACGAAGCCAAGGGTGGTCTTGTCGGGGCGCGAAGCACTAACTTGTGGCGATAGCAGCGTAGCGGAGGTTTCCAAGGACGTGCTAGCTTCACCCGCAAGTAGGCTCTCCTCCTCGTTAGTGAGTTTGCCATCACCCTCTCCCCAAGCGTCGACCTCGTTGTCAATATTGGCGTGCTTGCCCCGGATCCGTTGCAGGACGCGGCGGGCGCGAACCATATCGCCCCGGACACTGGCCGTCCAGGCTGGGCTCTCGGGAACAACCAGCAGGCCAGCGGCCTGGATGATAGCAATGATAACGCCTGAGCCGAGGATCCACCGCCAGGCGCTGTCGTGGCTAAGAAAGTATCCCAGGCTTTGCGTGAACAATATTCCGACATTGATGCTGATTTGAGTAAAGGCGCCGAAGAACCCACGCTGCGCCGGCGGGGCCACCTCGCTGATGTATAATGGGACGATGACGGTGCTCGCACCAGCGCCGATACCGGTGAGAAAGCGGCCCAGTATCATGAGCGGAACGGAAGCTGCTATTGTCTCGACGATGGAGCCCACCAGGTAGAACACAGCCGTGGCCTGCATCGAGCGTCGGCGGCCACGGCTTGATGTAAAGGGGCCAGCTGCTAAAGCCCCAAGAAGACCGCCAACGGTGAAAATGGCGGATATGGCGGCGAATGCGGGCCGACCCATCGGAATACAGTCGGTGGGCGCGGCTACGGGAGGGTCCGACTTGAAGAAGGAGATCGCCCTCTTGACGGCCGAAATGGACGTCTTTCGGCAGGTGATAACATCTTCGGGGGCATTGAGCTCGGCCTAACGGATGCAACTGTCAGCATGGGGTTCTTGGGTCAATCAATCCAAGATGCACCCAAAATGCATCCCGGCTCGTTGTCGCTGATGCGTGGGACAAGAGACGAGGCGGCAAGGGTGGCTCACCAAGTGGAAGCCAAACTGGAGTGGGCCAAGAGTGACAACAGCTAGCAACACCACCAGATACAGTGTGACACTGTGGAATGCCGATGCCATGGCGAGCAGAATTGAATGCTCTGCTAAGTAGATGAAAAAGGTGCAGATTGACTAGTTGATACGCAACATCGAGCTCGCTGGTGCAGGTTCGACGAGTTTCGGAAGGGTTGGAGTTTGGCTCTCCCTGCCACCTGTGACCAAAGTCAGTGTCCAGCTGACGCAAAGACGGTAGGGTGGGAAAGGCAGAAGGTGGATTGTGGGTCTCGACTCTACAGTGCATGTACCTACTAGGTATCCAATGTACGGTATTCAACGTACCTAAGGTACCTATTCATCGTCTGCCAACCCCGCCTTGGCTGAGGTGCCTTATCTATTTAGGTACCTAGTGGGCTGCTACATCCTATCCCGGGGGCATTTTTGGCATCACTGGCGGAAATTCACTCTGCTGTACGGATACCTATTCCGTATAGGTGTCCCGCACGGTACTCCGTACCCTGCCTACCTACCCAACAACCATTTGTCGATTCGCCCTTTTCGGCAATCGCCCTGCTACTCTTGCCATGGCGGCACCCCGCAAAAGCAATTACCGTGGCTCGGCAGTCTAGAACCTGGACTTGATGTATTCGCGGGTCTTGTCAATGGGCAAGCGCCGAGCCCCAGGGCGCCTAATGGCCCCAGGCCGCTATCATTGGGCGACGATGGCTTCCAGATTGTATGGAGCATGGACGCGGTGTGCGCAACGCCGAACTGCTTTGCCCGCCCAGCCCGGCTAGGCTCCAGCCTCTCAAAGAGTCCTGTTGTCAAGAGAGGGCACGTGTTTGAGGCAGAATGCCGCCGTGAAAATATCTCGTTGTCTCCAGTTTGTTGTTTCTGTTGGTTTCAAGGTACCTACAAGGAGTTGTTCTGTTGGCTCTGACAAGAGAATCTCATACCTAACCACGCCATGTCCGGCCTCTGCTCTGGCAGCCTTTGGGCTGGCTTGCAATGCCATGCAAGCTATTAGTTTCGCCTTTAAGACCGCGTCGGTCTGCAAAGAAGTCTTCAGAACGGGCTCTCCTGATCCCAACTTGAACCAACTCGTACTTGACGCTTCAAAGGTACATGAAAACCTGAAGAAGTCGATGGTCTCGGTCCAGCCCCTGAACAAAGACGAAAAAGACTTTCTCGATATTGCTGAGCGTAGCCTTCAGGTTATCCTCGAATTAAAGACCGAGATCGATAAGCTGGTCGCCCGCCACCAGGCCAAGGGGAGCCTGGGAGCTTCCGTCTCGACGACTTTGAGAGCATTGTACCAGAAGCCAGCACTCGGCAAGCTCGAAAAACGCATGTAGGCCTACCAGAGCGTTCTAGAATCGGGTCTCCTTCGCTTTTGGTAAGATCAGAACAATTCTCCAAGCACGCGAATTATATCAAGACTTCTAATATCCCTTCATTCCTTCCACAGCAACGCAAGTGATGCCAGTCTTTTCGAGCAAGAGACCCGCTTCAACGATTTAGATGAAGCCATGCGGACCTTTATCCTGGCACTCTCCAGGGGGCAGACACGTTTAGAGGATCTTGTCCAGCAACAGTCCCACTCTGTCAAGGAGGTCATCAGGGCCGAGACCATGCGGTCGCAGCATATAGTTGCTGCCTTAGTAACTTTAGAATCTGCCAAAGTTTGCGAGAACATTATGAATGACCGTAATTCAGGTCCTCCAATGTGGCAGAGACGTGAAAAGCTGTTGCGAAGTCTCAAGTATGATTCCATGAACGACAGAATCGACCAGATATCTGAGACTCACGAAGGGACATACCAATGGATTATTCAGGGGGTTCGCCCTTGGATAGCGGAGATAGGGGATGACTTGGACGAGGGGGCGAGTCAGTCACATTTCCATCCAGATTGTTCGCCCAAAACAGCCGTTTTCGACGTCGACGTTTCCTGGAACTGCTTCCGATGCTGGACCCAGTCAATAACAGACGACATATATTGGATACAGGGAAAGGCGGGATCTGGAAAGAGCACTCTGATGAAATTCCTCACCCAGGAGTCCGAGAACTGGTCCACTCAACAAAGTCATCTCCAAAGGCCTCCATTAGTCTTAACCCATTTTCTCTGGGCAGCTGGCCTTCCCATTCAACGGAGTATCTGAGGCATGCTTCTATCCCTTGTCCATTAGTTTCTGTTCGACAAGCCAGAGATTGTTGATGAGATGATCAACACCACCTTCCCTGGAGCTGAATATAAAGATATCTCGGGCGACTGGTCCAGGAAAGATCTCTAAAAGGCCATCAATATTTCTTTCCCGACATCCAAAGTCCCAATCTTCATATTTATCGACGGCCTTGACGAAATAGAGGCGACTGAGAACGCCCAAGTCGACAGCCGAGCCAACCTCCTCAAGTGTGTATCGAAGCTCGCCCAGATTAACGGCGTCAAACTATGTGTCTTCAGTCGGGCAGAGCCGGTCTTCAGGAAGCATTTTGACACCGTGCCACAACTTCAACTGCAGGCTCTTACGCGGTTTGACATGAAAGCTTATGTTGAAGCACATTTGCTGCAATCCCATCCTGACCTAGACGGCGATGGAGAACTTCGAGAGTTGGCCGAAACTCTTTGCGACAAGGCAGATGGAGTCTTCCTCTGGCTAGCGCTTGCCACAAGGAGTTTGTCTAGGGAGCTCACGAATGACGAGAATATCGAGGAGCTCAAATTTCGTCTCTCAACCATGCCGGAGGGGCTATATTCGTTATACCAGGACATGTGGTCCCGCCTGAACGATGACGAATGCGTCTGCCGAGAAGAGGCTGCACTTTACTGCAATATGGTTCGGACTTGGGATGGTTTTGCAGTTGGACAAAGCCGCATCACTGTTTTCCAAATGATGATGGCTTCGGAGCTTACCATAACTACTTCAATCCTAAACGACCCCACGACTTCGGGGCTGTCAGCAACGGATAGAGAGTCAAAATGCCGGATATCCTCGAGGCGCATTGCGACACGTACTGCAGGCCTCTTGGAGGTTGGCAAAGACGGCGAATTGGTCGGGTTCGTCCATCGTTCGGCCGTCGAGTTTCTAGATAACACCGGCGAGGGCAGACGGATTTTATCGTACGACAAGACTTCTGCTCAAGACCTCGTGCTAAATCTCATGCGTGCCTATCTTGCGGGAGTCTGTCTTCAAGTTTTAGGATTGCGGCAAACTAGGGCGTATCTGGAACACTCTCATGTTCCTGTACTCTGCGAGATTCACCAGCTCTGGGATTCTGGCAGGATACCTGAGGCCGAGGGTTTCGAGCTGATGATGGCTTGTAAAAAGCTGTACGAAACAGGCCAGTGGCGGCATACAGGTCTCAGTGGCTCCGGGTCTATCGATGCGCGCCTCGACTTTTATGGATGTGCTGCGAAGCTCGGCCTTTCAAAGCTCGTCTCTCAGATCGCAAGCGATGCAAGAACCAACCCCACTGGAGCCGCCTTGTCGCTGCATTTTAGGCGCTATCTGTTCATTGCCGCCAGTAAAGATGTAAATGCGAATCCGACTACAATACAATATAGCAACAAGTTGCAAGTTATCGTCAAAGCTTTGGGCGAAACCCTCATCACCGACCTTGAAATGGCCAACACACACCTTTCAGACCTCAACGAGCCCGGTGAAATGACACTACCACGGGAACGGGCGGAAAGCCAAGCCCCCTTTTTGTCTCGCGGCGTTAAATATCCATACAGGGGAGACTCTCCATGCAGCCCAGTGCGCCCTTTCTACTTTAAAATGGAATGGGCAGAGCCAGTCCCTGACTATTGTGGCATTCGGACTCGCTATCCGCAGTTCAGAATCACGAAGTCTGCTGGGAAACATGGATGGGAAACAAGTTGCCTCGGCAACAGAAGAGGACTCCAGACACCTCGTGGACTGTCTCGGCCGGGCCCGACTCTGCCAAACTGGACAAGCCGAGGATGAGTCTACCGTGCCCCGGCAATACTTTCTGCCAGAGCTTTGGCACCGAATAAAAGAGATTGCGCCACGCGCACGAGAGGTCCAAGTCGAGGATTACGAGCGTGCCATAGATTTGCCTTTTAGAAGGCAATTAGTTGACTTTATGAGCAACCCGCCGAAGCCTTTCACGGAATAGGGAACGTGTCGTCTAGTTTCGAAAAATCCTCGACTTTGTTCATGGTTGCGAGATATTCGTACACCTTGGGTTTTATTGGGTTGACTATCCTCGATAGGCCTATTTTTTTTCTTTCCTTTATACATATTTATGCACTCAGCCCCTTTACGCGGTGGGTATCTCAAATCGTGTACTTGAACAACTCGAATCAGCAAGCCACCCGACAGCGGGCAAAAGTTTTATTTTGGAGCCGTCTTTGACGAGCCGCATCTCTACATCATCAAAACACGTCTGCCCTGTAACCGCCTGAAAGTGCTTTCTTCACTCCTACCTCTAGCGATTCAAGGTCCTCTGGCTTCAGCGCAAGAAGCTCGTTGTCGTTCTGGACATACAAGGTTCCACCTTCTGCCCAGATCCTGCGCAGCGTGGTTCCCGTCGCTCGAGGGTTACCCTCCTCCCATAGCTTGGCCTCGAGGGCTCTGATGTCTTCAAGAGGTGTCTCGATGACATTCCATTTGGAACCGGTCTGCTTCTCGTACTCGGCCACGACCTCGTTGGGAGTTACTACGAACGACTGCACCTTGAGCGCCTTGCCAAACGACTCCTCTGGGTGTTGCAAGGTGGCCACGACAAACTTTCCAACACTAAGCGACACAGTTAGCTCTATGGCAGAGCATGAGACTGGGAACATGGGAAACGGGACCAACTTACTCCCACATGGTACAGAACCCGACCTTGCCATCGCCTTCCCCAATAACGTAGGCATCCTTCTCCTCGACGACGAACCCGCCAGCCTTCTCGGCGTCTGGCATGGGATAGACCCACATGTCAAAGTATGGCCCAGTCACGACATACGTGACCTTGACTCGCTTCAGGTGTTCGCGGATGTAGTTGCGGACCTTGAGCTTGAGCTGGTGGGGGCGTTCGTGGGGGCTCTTATCGGTGTTGTGCTCAATGTCTGTGCCATATTCGGACGGCAGGAACCACTTCACGGAGGGCGAGGCTTCAGCAAGGCGCAAAAGCTCGAGTTGGACCAGCAGCCCACCACGGCCGACGGCTGAGATGACAGTGTCGACGCCTTCATAGGCAGCCGTGACGTCGACTTCAGAAGTGAGGTCGCCAACAATGACAGAGAGACCGTCGGCCCTCCACTTATCCAACAGAGCGGCCTTTGTGTGGGCAGTGCCGGGGGAGGTGAAGAGGACAACCTGCTGGAATTCGGGCTTGGCGCGAAGTAAAGACGCCGTGATGTACTGGCCAATTGTGCCGGTACCGCCAACGACAAGTATCTTGGATGGGACGAACGGTGCCATGTTAAACTTTGTTATGGGGGAGTGACTACGATGTTGTAGTGCGACATCTAATGCCTGCCTAGGTTATTGGGTACCTAGGTGAAGGCAAAGTTAGTGTACCTAGTTTGTTGTTCTGGTCTGGTTCTGCCTGGCGAAACTCTTGGAAATGCAATGTGATCAGTGACGATCTGGCCTACTGGATTTCTCCTGTCAATGATGGCGTCACGCCATCTATATATATATACGCGCAATTGCCTAAAGTAGATGTAGGGGCTCGTCTTGGTGCTGGAGTACGCCTTCGAGAGTTGACCGTGAGCTTCTGTATTGCTAGCACGTCACCCTTGCCCCTCTCTGCCCGCCGAAAATGCCCCGCCGCCTCGGCCCAAGACTGGCCGTCGCCGAGCACTGAATAGTCTTTCAAGGGGTAAAACAATGCGGCATTGCGATTTGCGATCTCGCTTGGTGACTGGCCGAAGCGCCTCGGTAACGACAATAGATATCAACGACATCCATGCAGATGTGCTAACTGTTCTGACCGCTTGCTGACTAGCCGTAGCGCACGCCGGACAAGAAGTAACTCATACGGATAATCCAGAGACTAATAGACGGCATCAAGACGAGCGAAGAGACTGGGTCACCATCTAATCGTTCGAAAATAATAGCTCTTTTACCAGGAATCACAATTCGTAAAGTCCAATTTGGGCGACCAGCAACTTGCCTTTTAATCACGTGTCTACCACGCCTACCTTGAATACATGGAGCGATTCTATACTCGACATATGCGGTCTTCCCCAGCATATCCAACCCCGTATTTGGTTCCTACATGCAGTAGAATGCGGCTTTTACACCTACATGTTTGTCTTCTTTTTGAGGGTGCCTCGGAGTGCCCTCGCCGGGATTTTGGACATGATTCTCGGACGAAGGCCGGCGTCTCCACTGACCTTGGCATCTACTGCGGGTCTGTCCTGGCCTGGGTGCATGTCCTGATTGACGCCCTTCATTGGCTGGCCTAAATACAAGGACCCCACTTACCCGAGTCTCGCCAGGGAACACCGCCAAAAATATTTTTCCTCGAAGCTGATCAACCGGCTTTCGGTCGGCACGACCTGGTAGACACCAACGCCAGCTTCGCTCCTCGCAAACTCCCACCGTTCGTCATGTCGCCCCCGGACACCGGCAACTCTCCGCTGGTGATAATACCCTCCAGCCAGAAACCCATCAAAAAACCTAAACGAGAAAAGACCGGGCACAAGAAACGAGCCAGACAAGACGACGATGAGCCCGTCGTTGTTGAGGAGACCCCGCCAAGAAAGCCGAAGCGGCCCAAGAGCGACACCCACAATGGTGATTCTGCTGTGCAAGCAGATGAATTACAGATTGCGGTTAATGGCGATCTCCCCAAACGGAGGAAAAAGAAGCACCGAGAAGAAGCAAGTAACGAGGAGCAAACAGAACCCAAGTCTGAGCGCAAATCGAGGAAGGACAAAAAGAAGCTCCTTCAGGAGGAGGCAGATGGCATGGACATTGATATACCAGAGGAGGATCTCAGCGTGAAGCCGGCCAAAAAAGACAAAAAGAAGTACAAGTCGAGGGAAAAGAAGCGACTGGCTGAACCCGAGACCCTGGACGGTATGGACCTCGACGTACCAATGGCCTCGCCGGATCTTCCTACCGACCCTACGTTCCCTTTCTTCAAACAGTCGATTTCGCTATATCTCCCGTTCTTCCCCATCGGCTTCGACAACCCCCTCACAAACATCGCTGCTCAGCATCTCGATCCCTTGTTGAACCACTATTCGCCCTTGCTGCGCGGCGTGCTACTTAGCTACTCCAATTTGAACCTCTCCGACAAGCCAGCCAAAGCCAGTCTGAAGCACCCGCCCACCGATCAGACTCCAGCCATGCTGGAGTCTATTGCCGAGTACGCCGTCGGCTTTGGCTGGTTGACATTTGAGGCACAACTCTTCGTCCCTTCTCGCGGCAAATGGATGGAGGGGGTCATGCAACTACAGAGCGAAGGACACATTGGCGTAGTGTGCTGGAACAAGTTCAACGCCAGTATCGAGACGAGACGCCTGCCCAAAGGCTGGCAATGGGTCGATCTCGCCAGTGCGGGAAATGAGGAAAACGGTGGCGCCGGCTGGGATGGCGAAGATGTGCAGCAGCATCAAAGTGACGATGCCCTCGACGGCGAAGAGCTCCAGGTTGTCCAGCAAATGCACTCCACAGGCTACTGGATTAACGAGCGCGGGCGAAAGGTGACTGGTAAGCTGCGCTTCCGTATTAAGAATTTCGATGTCGGTCTGGCTGGCGACTACGGCTATCTTAGCATCGAAGGCACATTCCTCGACGACGAAGCCGAGCGGGCACTGGCTGCCGAGGACCGCGAGATTGAGCAAAAGCGCCGTTCCAAGCAGAACCCGGCCGGCCTTCTACGGCCGATTTCGAGGCGGGTTCCCGAGTTTAGCATGACCAAGTTCGGGAAAGAGGACCAGGAGGAAGATAGCGGGTATAGAACAGTCGTGTACAAAGGGAGCCGGCCTGGTACGCCCGACGACTAGGTGTGGTCCGGTATAACTCGCCAGCATTCTTCTCCTGTTTTATCGGCTCCCCAAAGTGTTTCCGGGTTCTGCTGATTTCTGTTGAGTCGAGGGATTAGGTAGGTAGTTGACAAACGCGGACGTTGCCTGAGGAGTTGTAGTCATTCCACTGCCACTCCCAGTAAAAGGCCAGCCTCTGTGCGCCCATAATTTGAGGGACGAACTGATATCACTAGATACCCTGAATGCGCGACATGTCTTGCAGGCATCAACCTCGTTTATGACACTAAATCGAGCAGAACCGCAAATTGTGCCCGCCTTGTGAGGATTGTGGGGATTTGGACACGGTAGCCACGCTGGGCGAGCGCTTTGGGGGAGGGCCGCATTTTGGGCGACATGGGGGATTTGACATGGCCACCTTCTGGGTCATTTCGCCCATCACAAGGCCACCTGACAACCGGAACCCCCAATCGGCATCCCAAGCAATATATGAAAGACGGCATCAGGACCTTGCGCAGCTGGCCCAGGCCATGTATGTTGAGAGAGGCAAAACATAATGTCTCCTCCAATTAACATGACCCCCGAGTTGTGTTTATTCTCGTTGTAGTTCTCTCCACGTTTTCCCCGACTTTGGCGGAATCCCAAGCCTATGACTATTCACTTCGAACGAGTTAGCCGTGGCCGCCGGCTTTTCGTCAGCGATCGCAAATAACAAGCAGGATTTTTCAAGGTATATCGCGAGACTGATTGGTGTGAAGCAGTGAGTTTGCCATCCAGAGGCTGTGTGGTGAGGATCGGAGGGGCCAAACACCAGGTCGCCATTTCGACAGGCCGCAAGTTGGCGGCCAAGATGCACAAAACCGCGTACTTGGCCATAATATGAGCCTCCAACGTGGTCTGCTGCCTGCTGTTATTTTATGCACCCCCTCTCTCTCTTCACGGGGCGACGTGGAGCATGGGGGCGTCGAACAACAGCAACTGCCGTGTCGTCTGTCAGAGAAGGATGGGGTTAAATATCCCACCAGGCACGTACGAAGCCCATCCCGCTCTCTCTGGCTGTGGTACTAGGGGAATTCGGTACTCGGCAGTCAACCTCTTTCATCTACCAGCTGCTTTACCTAGGTAGATACGCTCGCAACTCATCACTTCCGCATGTTCGCTACTTAATCCATCACACACCTCGCAGACCACCACAATCCGAGGCTCCCATACAAGCCCAAGAGCCTTCAAACCATGGAAGTTATCAGGTCGATGCTAGCGTGTATGTTTGGCCCTCGAAGCAGACATCAGGGATACACCGAGATCTTTAACGAGAAGATGCCCTTGTACATGCATGACGCGTCATACCAGCCAGACACTATGGCCTACGGCACCGTGGTTCACTCGAAACCAAGAGCTCGTCCGTCTCGGCCAACAGACGACGAAATAGCCGATGAAATAGTTCGTCTGCTGCGGCAGGCGGAATGGAATGGCAACAGGTTGCAGCAGCGTATAAGGGATGTTCTGGGCGAGCGGGGCTGGAACCGCAGGACGGTTGAAGTGTGTCTTGACAACATTATCGACTGTGTCGAAGACGGCCGCGGATACATGGGCAGTGCCATGCGCTCTGCGCTTGACCGGGTAACCCCTCTCGCGGACGAAGCGTTCTCATTCCCGCGTCGCCACCCCGAGTCTCTCGATGGCTTTATCGCCATTGTTTCGGTGGGGATTTTTATGGAGATGCAAGGGCCGTGGGTCCTACCAGTCCTTGGGTTTGGAGAGGTTCGGGGGACGGATTGTTCGTTCAAAAGAGGTGAGATTCCGATGTTTTCCTCTTATAGTTTGGCAAATTGCTAACATCGCCTCCAGGCTCAGTTGCGTCGTGGTGGACCAGGAAGTATGCTGAGTATATCCCTACCGGCTCCGTCTACGCCTTCCTTCGCCAGCTTGATATGGTGGACGACGTGGAGTGAACTTCAGGTATAACTAGAAGGTTTTGGAGAACGCGCCGGCACCTCCTGGACTTGTTCTATGCTGCCTCCTGGTCAGGCCTGTGCATTTCGCTTGGGGCGACGAAGCGCGTATTCATGAATTGACGGCGGGTAGTTGGCTTACTGCCCTGTTGATGAGACATGTCTGGCAATCACCGTCCTTATACGGAATATCCGTCGTTTTAAGAATCCCATTTTCCCCAGATTTTTGGTTCGTTCCCGCCGTCAGTTGGGACCCCACGAGCTAGGTGAATTTTTCCCGACCCGCCCACCATTTAGGGCACTGTAGCAGTCAACAATCTGCAGACGAGGCATCCCAAACATACTCGCGGAATTGAGCCGACTGGTCGTGCCAGATGACGAGATTGTACGGAGCATGGGGCCAAAAGTCTTCGTCAATCCGTTGGACCAGCCTTACGTAAAGGCAGTGTCTAGAAAGGCCCCCTACTATAGATACTGTGTAGGCACTCCACTGATAAAAAGAAAAAAAAGTAAAAAAAAAAGTAAAAAAAAAGTGTTAGGGATGAAGCCACTAGCCCGTAGGAATCTTAGCGCTAGAATATAGCTGTAAGCCCCTAAAGCTAGAGAAATAATATAGCTCTCACAAGCACTGTCCTTAGGTAAGGCAGGTACAGGAGGGAGAGTGAGGAAGACTTTTGGCTGCGTTAATGATGGTGCAACTAACACAAAGACTTCCTCAACCACCAGCAACTCGCGATAGGTGATGAACATCCAGTATAGGAGCTCAGGCAGTAACGTACAATTTGCGTACCTTGGTTAATGTATGTATTTGATGCCTTCGCTGAGGCACAGAAGCATATTCCTGCATTCCTGACGTGGGGGCACAGTACATTCACCCGTTACCTAACCCATGGAGTGCCTTATCGACCAGCCCCTGTTCGGCTGGTCTTTGTTACCACTTGTGTCCAGTCTCCTAATCCATTCATGGTGCACTTCACGCACATTTTCCGCCCACCTTCCTATCTCAGCAACGCTTCTTCCCACTATGGCCTCTACCCCGTCCACATCCACCCTCGTCTTAGAGCTAAGCTTTCGAGGCCGAGGCATCAAGGTACATATGGTCCATTCTACCGTGGATAACTACCGCTACGGTATATACTTACCTAATGGCCTTGGGTCGAGAACCCCTCGATCCGATCGACGGGCGCCGCCTTATCAGCGCGCTCGGCCCCTCTCCGGATGTGACCACTCTTTCGGCGGTCCTTGGTTGTCGGGAGAGGGGGGAGCTGCAATGCTACGCCCACTCGACCTCAAGCTCAGATAAGCTCCAATCTGTGATGCAAGACCAAGCTCTCGTCGTTACCTCTCTGGCCGACTCTTCCCTTTTGCATCCTCTTGTCTTTTTTTCACGACTTTGTTTGGGAGAAGACCGTCAACTCACCCAAGTTACCATTTTCGACGCTGCCGCGCAGTTTCTCTCCGGCCGCGCTCCGGCTTCCGTCTGTCCCTGTTACCGACCGCCCTTACCGGGAAGCCCGAGGCCGCCCTGACTGGACGGTGCCCGCCAGTATGGGTGTCGAAGAACCGGCCGTTGAGCGCCGGCCGTCCAACAGCGACGAGGAGCGGGATGAGAACCGTCTGGCCCAGTTTGGCTACAAGCAGGAGCTGAAGCGCGACTGGGGACTGGCGCACAATTTTGGCGTCTCCTTCTCCATCATCGTCCGTTCCTACAAGCCAAAACCCACCTAGTATAGCTTCACGCGCTGACAATACACCAGAGCGTCATCACCGGGCTCACCACGTTGTTTCAATATGGCCTTCTCACGGGCGGCCCAGGCGGTATGTGCTCGGATCTGTCAACCGGTTTTTGCTTTATAAGACCCTTCACCTTCGGTTCGAGTCGTTGACAAGCACGCGCAGTCATGTCCGTTGGGTGGATCGTCGTTTCCTTCTTCACCATCCTCGTGGCCATCGCAATGGCAGAGATCGTCTCTGCCATCCCCACCAGCGGCGGCCCCTACTTTTGGTCCGCAATGCTTGCACCTCCACGCCTGTCGCCCTTCGCCGCCTGGCTTACCGGCTGGTACAACCTCCTGGGCCAAGTTGCCGTCACCACGGGCATTTCGTTTGGCCTTGCCACGCTGATTCCCACGGCCATCACGGTCAAGAATCCCAACTTCGCCCCTACCCCGGCCGTCACCATCGGCATATATGCCGCCATCCTCGTGTCGCACGCCGTTGTCAACAGCTTCGGTGTGCGTACGCTCCGCTATCTAAACAACATCTCCATCTTGCTCCACAGTGTTGGCGTTACGGCCCTCTGCATTGCAATCCTCGCAAAGGCACCAACACACCAGCCTGCCTCGTTTGTCTTCAGCACTTTTAGCGATGGAACCGGCGTCGATGGTGAAGGCTGGAGCATCCGTGCCAGTCCCGTCTACGTTGCCGTCTGCGGCTCGCTGATGGCCCAGTTCACGCTCACCGGGTTAGTTTGAGTTTGACCATCTGTCACACTGCCCTGTCATCCCTCATCTCCACCTTGACGACTTTGCTAACCCATTCTCAGATTTGACAGCGCTGCCCATTTGAGCGAGGAGACGAAAAATGCCAGCTGGAGCGCGCCTATTGGTGTCGTCTCGAGCGTTGGGTTCAGCGCCCTGTTCGGCTTTTTGGTTCTGATGGCGTACTTGTTTTCCATCCAGGATTTCAACGCCACCGTTAACAGCCCGTATAAACAGCCTGTGTTGCAGATCTTGGTTGATATTGCTGGCGAAGATGGGGCGCTTGTTATGTTTTCGTTGATTATGAGTAAGCTTTCTACAAACCGTAGAGACGAGGGACCAAGTCTCGTTGTGCATCAAAATTGCTTACCAGGGCTTTAGTCTGTGTCTGGCATTGCGGACTTTTCAGCATGACCAGCAACAGCCGCATGATGTTCGCCTTCGCCCGTGATCGAGGCATTGTGAGTCTCCTCCAGCCGCCTTCCCATGTCTTGTTTCGTCTCCAGCTAATTCGTCTCTAGCATCCGTTCTTCCACAAGGTCGACAAGCGTTTCCGCTCTCCCATTCGTGCTGTCTGGCTCGCAGCGTTCCTGTCCTTTATTTTGGCCTTACCCTCGCTTGGCTCCTCAGTCGCTTACACGGCCGCAACCTCGATTGCCACCATCGGTCTCTACATAAGCTACGGGCTGCCCATTATGATTGGCCTGATCTACCACGAGTCTTTTACCGCCATGAAGGGGCCCTTCAACCTCGGCATTTTCTCGCGTCCCATCGCCGCAGTGGCCTGTGTCTACATCATGTTCATCACCGTCGTGTTCTGTCTGCCAACTGCAAATCCAGTAACAAGTGAGACGGTCAACTATGCCGTCGTCGCGGTCGGGATCATTGGCATTTTTACTATCGGCTCGTGGGTTGTCTGGGCTCATCGGTGGTTTGTTGGTCCGGCAAAGGAGGTTGCCGAGGCCATGCGGCTGGGTGTTGACATCACAGAGCCCGGTGCGCTAGAAGAGCGAGAGAAGGTTGAGAAGGGCGAATAAACATGTATTTAGTTGATGGATGTATAATCTTGTTTGCACACACCAACAGTTTCGACCGAGGGAAGCCTGTAAAATTTGTTTGCGCCCTAGTCAAACAACTTGAATTGGGGTCATTTCAAAACACTTGATAGTTCACTGTGGCTATAAAGCTTGGGTGCCTTTCCGAGTTAATATTCATATTTCCCATCGACCTGAAAGTTAAAAATCTCTTACAAAACGGAAACCTTGCCCACCTATATTGGATAGCCAATTTAAGCGTCAAACTCTGTTGACGTATTTCATCGTTAGATTGCTTTGGAGAACTACCAAATATAGCTTGGGGTATCGTTATATATATTTATACGATCTGCTTAGAGGTATGCTAGATATAGGTGAGAGAAAGGACTGGGAATGTTTTTGATCTACGTACCTGTATTCTATACTAAAATACCCGTATTCTCGCAATTACTTTATCGCGCTTTTATATCACCCTCGCGAGAATTTACTTTGTAGAGGTCCTCAGGTAGATGGATATTCGAGTTCATAAATAACCTAAAGCACGAGATGTTCCGTATGCGAGCATTAAGCTTTGCAACAAAGACGAAGTCAAGATTACACTAATTATTGTACTCCTTTTGAAGGGGCTGAACTATGCATATACCGGCATATATATGGTAATGTAAATGCAGTAAAAACGAATTGGTAACATCACCAGAGCTAGTTCCCGACATGGCTAAGATTTGCTGCCGATTAAGCGGGAATCAATGGTAGTCCACAAGGGTTTACTGAAGGGCTGGCTCTAAGGCGGCTGCCACGCGTGCCAAGAATACCCACTCCCGGAGACAGGAGGACTAAAAGATAACCCGGAGTATCATAGATTCAGAGAGTCACACAAATATAACGTGGTGGGTAGAGATCTTTGGCATATTTCCCTTCTTCCTATTTACTCCAAACTGGGTTACGAGTGTAAGAAAGCTGGCAGTATTTGGAAGCCTGGCCGGCATGATTCGTGTGCCTTTGGGACCTCTTGAATCGTAGGTAAATGCCCACAGGTAACTCCCAAACTCTTTACAACATACCAAGATATTGGTAGGCTTTGGTGCCCAAGCGAAAACTTGGATCTCAATTACCTGGCGGCGGTAAAGTTTGTGAGTCTCCAGTATAGCTCTGTTGTTTCGTTCGTTTCTTTTTAGCTTTTAATGCGCCGCGGTAAATACTTGAAGGTATTCCTTTAATAAGTATACACGATGATGAGTATAAAGCCATTTCTCTTTGGGCTTTAGTGAATGGCTCCGAATCTACCAATACGGAAGTTCGCGGAGAATGGGGTTTGGTTAGTACGGTACTACAGTATGACAGTACTGCCGTTGCCCGGCAGTAAGGATTAAACAACTGGAGGCAACTGTATGTACGTGCCAAGGTACGGATACACTCACATAGTCAGACATGGCTGGTATTATTACCCAGGTACCTACGGAGTACGGATACAGATGCCTACTAAGCACCTCCGAATAATACCTCAGAGCCAGAGTTCTCCACAGAAATGGGCCATTATACTTCGTGCAGTTGCTCGCAAAATCGGTGTCGCTCGGCGCCCAAAGCAGACCAAATCACATCGTATCTACAATATAATACAGTATGTAGAGTGCAGTATTCGTGCATATAGTCAGTCTAATGCTACATGTGCGTGTGCAGGTCGGATGTCATCTGTCGGAGAAGGCCGTCTGGGCTTTTGTCGCTGTCGTTGGGCACTGTCGCAGTTAGGTAGGTATCGCAGTGATTGCCAGGTGCAGAATGTCACTGCAGCATTATACACTAATACCTGAGGCGGTAAGCTACCCGCGGACATTGTGCGGATAATCTATTATTTCAGTCGCAATCTCCCCAGGAACCACCCTGCCGACAGCCATGCCGACACTTCTGGGCTGCTTTTTCTGTCCACCTCAGTGGCCCATGAAAATAACGGCTGGGCTGGGCCGGGAAATAAAAGGCCTCGCCGCTTCCACACTTTTCGCAATCGCATCTACGCGCCGAGGTGGCTTCTTTCATTAGATAAGCTTGCATCGACCAAGCTACTGTGCAGAGGTCGGATACGGGCCGCCACACGGGGGAGTGAAAGTACGTATGTATGTATGTATAGACACCCACTGAGACGGGACCCATTTCTCCGAAGCAGCCCAGCCAAGATAACGAGCTCGAGGCCAAGCCCGTTGGTTACCATTGGCTTTGATAAGGCTGGCTGTCTTCGGCAGCGCTAAATTAACAATGGCATCCATATTATAGTACGTGTAGGGCGAGCGCCGTTGAGTACCTAGCCGAGGAGAGGTGTCTGTATGTATGTACTCGGTACTGGTGCTAGTGGGGTGCTGAAGCCGTCCCCCCAATGGGTGCATCCGCTTTTTTTCAGCTCGGTCTTTCCGCTTCTCCAGATCACAGATTACAAAGGACACTCGGCACATGGAAGAGAAGCAGGCGCCCTTTCGCCACCGATGACTTTTCTATCTAAAACCGACGAGATGGTGACAAGAGCAAGTTTGGTATAAACGGTGAGGCAAACACGGAGTCAATCAAGCGGCTGTCGACACGCACGATCAACCTAACCCGCTTGCGCAATTACCAGGGTCCAGCCTCAGCCAGGGGGGCGATCGACGCGAGCGGCCCCAAGCTCCGAGCTAACTACGCTATTGACGCCCCCTTCCATCACTGGGCCCCGGCCTGTTTCCGTGGCTAGGACTGGACCGGCGCCGTCCGTTTTGCAGCTGGTTTTTGCCGTTTCTCCTTTTCACCTGCTTGCCCGTGGGGAGAACTCGAGAAGAGGTGGTGTGGCAGACTGGGACGGAATATCACCTAATCGATCTCTAATATTACCTGCTTTGCTTTCCAAGGGCCTGCCCTCAGCTACCTACCTGCCTTAAGTTACGCTACGACGGAATACGAACTTGATATTTTTTCTCTCAAGCTTTCGCCGATCTCCCTCGCCTCGCCTTTCCCACAGCCCGCTCCCTGCCAGTCTCCTTATAATCCGTGCCTCCATATCCCCACAGAAGTGCTGCAGCAACGACACTCGCTGAAGCACCTAGCGTGACAGTGGCGGCACCTTGACAACCGCCAGCATCCAAGAGCCCAGCCATTATTTCTAGTGTACCGCATCGGCAAACCCACTGCCCTCGGACTGACCTCCGATTTGGTGCACAAAACCCTCTGCTGGGCCCAGCACCGCCCGACTCGACTCCATCCTCAGCATCCTCCCGTCTCTCGGTCCACCCGGGCAAGCGGCGCATTACTCGACACTCGGCCTCACGCCGTGGGAAAGAGCAGAAGGGCTCCTGGTACCCGTGGACCTCGGAGCTTGGCTGGGATGGGATATACCCGAAATACCTTCGATAGGCAATCTCTGGGCCTCGAAGAGCACCGAAACACCAACTCCCTATAGCTCCATTCAGCTCGCTCACTCCCTCCAACCCATTTCCGGGTAGTATCGTTCTCTGTCTTCCGATGATACGTCCGACAGCAGTCACCCATGCAACAGGGTATTCCATTCGCGTGCGACTGCCACAACCACGACCAGCCAACATGAACACGGCAGCGACGTCGTCCTCAGTAGGGCCGCTGCCTGAGCCGCCGAGGGCAGCACCCCAACCCAATGTCAACCACAACCGCGATTTGGCGCTGCAGAAATACCTCCTTCTACACGAGCAACACGAGTCTCTGAGGCAACACCTCGACGAGCTTCGGCCTCTCCACTCGTTGGACGCCTCTGTAAACAGCGTGAGCACAGCCAGCTCGCCCACCATGGCGGGCTCTGTGGCCAGCCTCTCGTCGTCGTCGAGCCAGGCATGGCCATACCAACCCAGGCCGCCGCTGGCTGGCCCATACCGTCGCGCCTCGGTCCCGCCTCGGATCCCACCCGGCGCGTTTGATGACTGCGGCGATCTGAGCACGATGGCCAACAAGACGGCACTCACCGAGGTTGCCGTCGAGGAGGCCAAGCTTTGCGACGTCAACGAGGGCATTAAGCGTACACTCACCGAGCTGCTCAACTGTGAGGCGGTGCGCGGCGACAGATCGTTCCGCACCTGGGTTCAATGTCGGCTCATGGACACAGAGCGCGAGCTGCGGAGCGGCAGGAGACGACGCAGTGCTCCCGAGCCTTGATGGCACCCCAGCATCATAGCCCCGGCCCCAACGGCTGCTCATCAGCCAGGGCCGACCAATTCTCTTTTCCCACACGCACATTCGCGTTCCATCCCGAGAACGCGAGTTTTATGCTTTTGCGACGGATCTGGGCATCTCGCTTACCTTGCATCATATTTTTTTTTTAAAAAAAAAACTAAACCTTCTTCGATTCCTGCATTAAAGGTAGCCCGGAGCTTTTCTTTGTCCTGGGATGGGAACTGGTCTAAATTCCTTTTGTCTATCCGGTTGACTGGGTGTGACTGGGTGCAAACGTCGACGTTGGGAAGGGTTCTAAGGGCGTCGTCTCTTTTTGTGGCACGGGACACGACATAGTTTCAAACGGACAGTGGGCTGGCGGATCTTTTTGCCCCTTAATACGTATGAGGCTCCGGAGGGGAGTTAAAACTGGTGCGTGCGAGCTTGGATAGATGGACTGCATGCGCTGCAGCAGCTTTAGGGGAGGAGTCGACAGGTTTGGGGTCTTTCGGCGACCGTGGAGATGTCCGCCTGCCGCGTGTGTTGGGATGCAGTCTCCGGGATTTAAGTTGACGGCTTTGCCCGTATTTCTTCCACGGCTGCAATATAGGAATGTAATGATGGGGGAAGAAGAAGAACACAAATAATTGTCGTCAACTTACAGATAAGCTTACCGAGTCCCGGAGCCTATCCCATTGCTGTGCCTTCTCTCTGCTTCGGCCTCCTGGAATTTCCGTCCCAGAAGAAGAATCCCCGGATCGGTGCCCGTGGTGGACGCCTGGAAGGCGGGGTGTATTAGGTTGTAAGTGGGCACTGGCAACCAAGGCGAGAAACCCTTGAGGTTCCATACCACTTTCACCATAACATGATTTTAAACACAGAAGCTAGATGCAACATTTGTTGTAGTACTAGATGTGATTACTTTGTCCTGTTGGAACCGAATGCGGTATCAGAGATACATACCGTAGAGAAGCTGCTAGCGACCCTTCTGTTGTGGGGTTGGTTATAGTTGCTGTTGCCCAGAGTACCAGGCAACAAGTATCTGTTTGTCTGCTCAGTTACAAGGGACTCGATGTATTTAGATAACCCTAGCCCACACCCGCAATATGATGTTACGTCAATACGTCAATACGTCAATACGTCAATACGTCAATACGTCAATACGTCCTTGTTCCACGCGCAACCCCCGCCAAAAATATTATCTTCCCATCGCGGATAACAGCTTCCTAACCCATCTTCGCGCTCTCGACACTCGACCCTTGACCGCGACAGCCCATTCCACTTTGAAGTCATCCACCATTTCATGATGCGATTGTTGTTTTTGAGCGCGGCCCCCACTTTTTGAAGCCGTCAACATGTCCGTTCTCCTCGAAACCAGCGTCGGCGACATCGTGATCGACCTTCTCGTCGATTATGCGCCGAAGATGTGCGAAAAGTAAGCCCGCCCCTGTTTTCGCCTCTCTCTCTCTCTCTCTCTCTCTCTCTCTCTCTCTCTCTCTCTCTCTCTCTCTCTCTCTCTCTCTCTCCCCGTGAAGCTTACCGGGCGCGTCTCGTGTTTCCCAGTTTCGTCAAGCTCTGCAAGACCAAATACTACAACTTCTCCCCGATCCACTCGATCCAGAAATCCTTCTCGTTCCAGACTGGCGACCCTCTTGGTCCCATGTCACCCGAGTCCGATGGCGGCACTTCTATCTGGGGCCTTCTTTTGGGAGATGGCAAAGAAAAGGCCTTCCCGGCTCTCTTCCACCCCAAACTAAAACACCTCGAACGCGGAACTGTCAGCATGGCCACTGCCCCGCATCCTTCAGACCCAGAGACACGGCTGGCAGCGTCGCAGTTTATCGTTACCCTCGGGGACAACACAGACTATCTTGACGGAAAGGCGGCCATTTTTGGTAAGGTGGTCGAAGGCTTCGACGTGCTGGAGAAGATCAACGACGCCATTGTCGACGAGCGCGGCCACCCCCTTGTCGACATTCGCATTAAGCACACAGTTGTCCTCGACGACCCTTACCCCGACCCCGCAGGCTTCCGCGAACCTAGCAGTTCCCCGCCGCCCAGCAAGGCACAGCTTGCCACGGTCCGCATCGGCGAGGGCGAAGAGCTCTTGGATGAGGATGCGAACGAGGCCGCTGCCGCCGATGCGGAGCGCAGGAGAAAGGAGCGCGAGGCGGCCGCCCAGGCTCTGACACTCGAGATGATGGGAGACCTGCCTTTTGCCGAAGTCAAGCCTCCAGAGAACGTGCTGTTTGTCTGCAAGTTGAATCCGGTCACGACAGACGAGGACTTGGAGTTGATCTTTAGCCGTTTCGGCAAGATTCTGAGCTGCGAGGTGATTCGAGATCGCAAAACCGGCGACAGCCTCCAGTACTCCTTTATCGAGTTTGAAGACAAGAAGAGCTGCGAGGACGCCTACTACAAGATGGACTCGGTGCTCATCGACGACCGACGAATCCACATCGACTTCAGCCAGAGTGTAAGCCGGCTGAGCGAGGTCTGGCGCAACGAGACCAACAAGAAACGCAAGAGCGCCGCGGTCAGGAGACGGGGCGGCGGATGGGGTGGTGTCAAAGAGCTGGAGAAATGGCGGAAGTACCGCGACGAGGACGATGAGGGCCCCGCCGAAGTAGACTACGAAATGGTTCACGGAATGGAGGAAATGCGGGGGCGACACGACAAGGACAAAACGGCCGACAAGGGCGGCCCAAGAGATCGGGAAGCCGATGGCCACGGCGACATTCGCCGACAGGATAGGGACTCCCAGAGCTACGACAGCGTCAAGTTCAGTTCAGGGGATCGTAGCATGAGGCGCGATATCTCACGTCGAAGCAGAAGCCCCAGACGAGACAACTACCGCGGTGGACGGGATGAGAGATCTGGCAGCCGTGGGCCGAGCCGAGAGGGTCGGGACTGGGACCACAGGCGCGATCGCGATCGCGATCGCGATCGCGACCGCGGCCGCGACCACGGTAGAGACCGTGACTGGGGCAGGGGCAGGGATAAAGACAAACCCCGCGGCCATCCGGGGCGCGAGGACTTCAGGGGCAAATGAGCCGGCGTGACTGCCAGCAGCTAGCCATTGGTTGCTTGCACGCTCTGCATGGAAGGTTTCGCCACCACCTTCTCGACAGAACCCAAATCTGGCGATAAACCCCCATTAGACTCGAGATCCCTCGTCTTCCACTTTCTAAGAGGGCGACCTTGCCTTAGCTCGCCTTGGAGCCCCCGTTTGTGCTCGGCGTATTTTAAGACGCTCCCACAACCACGGGATATCTAGATAATCCCGAATGGATATCTCTCGCATACCCTCGCTAGAGTTTGTCATGTGTCTACAGGCACCATCCAGAGATTTGGGATCTCCTGGAGATGGATTTGCTGGCGCGAGTTCCACAGCGATTCAAATCCGATATCTGGCACAGAGCCTCCAGCGGGTGACTAGCGAGCGAACCAGTCAGGTTTCTAAAGGCAGTCTACAGTCTCTGATCATTCGGTACGTGCTCTGTACCTTAGCTGGAGTAACGCGTGGTACCAGCTTGGCCAATCTGCTCTTCGATTCCATTATCTGGTCCCACCCTGGCCAAATCGCCAATACCATGTTTTGAGACAGCCGAGTCAACGCTGGAAATGATCCCCCCAGGGCTTGGGGAAGTGTGCCCTCGAGTGTGAACAATCGCATGTCTCGGCACCACGTTCTCGCCGCTACCAGCTCGCCCATGGTTGATCTTCCAAGCTGACAACGAACAGATCTTGAGGAATAAGTCATGTCGGATTTGGTGTTGTTCGCTAGATTTGCCGCGGGTCGCGCTACCTGCCACTTCGCTAAACATTGAGATTGTCCATATTTATGCGTGTTGCGGCTTGTCTCTCAATGGTTTTGATGAGATATAGACCTACGCCTCCCCGATAAATACAAGGACTCTCCTTGTTCCTGCCAGATAACGTGTTGGCAGTTTCCCCAGCGTGCTGAACCGATGCCCTTGGTGGCAAACTCACACAAAACGTTGCTTTGTTGTTTGGAGCAACATGTTGGCTGACATGCCAGCAGTGCACACCCGACTCGTCGTTCCTTGGAGCCCCCATATCGAGTTCTTGGTTATTGTAGCTCCGTCTGACATCTCTCTATCGCCCGACGACGACCAATGGCAAACGCATTTCAGACAGGCATACAAAGTGCGTTTAGAATGCAGAGCCTTGGCATGGCCGGAGTTTGCTCAAGGGAGGCTACTGTTTTTAGCTCACGGCTTGTAGATTCTGTTGCACACGTCGGCCGTCGGCCAGCGTCGGCCATTTGGTGACGATAATTACATTCCATTCACCTCCTCGTCTTTGCATGGACTTGTTTTAAGTATACGGCAGTGCTTGAACCTGCATTACGACAACCAAGACATGGCTTCAGCGCTTCACATCCTTTCCATTTTCCCCCATTTCTCTTCTCCCATATTCGTGGTTATGGAGCCGTTTCTACGAGTCTCGCTATCTAGTCTAAAACTCTCATGCCACGATTTCATACAAGCGTCGATGAGAGCTTGCCCTACTCTCAGCAGCCCGTGACATCTAGCCCTATTCACACAAGGGAGTCCCAGGCTTCCTGGCTACTGGGCACAGCGGACTGCACTCGAAATACCCTTGTACGAATATAAATGGAGCTTGTTGCGTTGGTGCAGTGCAGTGGAAAGGCCTTTGGTTACACATGGCGGCCAGCTGCAGGTTTCTGAAGCACGGCGAGAGATGGTTGACAACGCGGATAAGGTCATTAGTGCTGCGGATAGCCGCCAACATTTCTGTTCTCAAAATTTCCGCCGTGTCTCCGTTACCAGCCCCCAATCCCAACCCTCGATTTCTATCCGACCCTGTGTGAAGTGTGCGAATTTCCTCCGCCCACACCACCGCCGAGTGTCGCCGTCCCTTCCCTGTTGACTGGACAGATTATCGGAAAGACTTGACAGGAGAAGAGAAGGAAATTGGAGGAAGCCTTCCAAGTCAGCAGCCAGTGCCAGAGGCCTGAAAGAACATGGGAGCCAAGACATGGTCTCGCCAAATGCGCTGTGGAACAGGAGGAGCAGGTTCGTCCGGATAGCGTGGCATGGCTTTGATACGAGTTGCCATGTCTTGAGCTTGAAGCCGCATGCGGAGATAGCCAGATGGCAATCAAAAACCGAGCCCAGAGCTGCGCAATGATTGTTTGCTTATCATGGCCACCTTCTGGGGGTATGCTATGCCCTGCTCCAGTACCCGAGACCTGGCAGGCTAGGCCAATGGGGGACGAGTTTTTTTCTTCTTCAATGCTTCCATCAGGGGCGAGTTTCCAAACAATAGCTTTGTTTCTTCCGACCGTGTGGTGTGCTGGTGCTGGAGGTACCACACTCTGGCTTTGCCCCATGAGCCGAGATGGCTTTGGTTGCTGCTTTGCCGGGCAGTGAGAAGCTTTTTTCGACGACTCAAGTGGCCAGCCCGGCCCATCGTGAGCACAATGTCTTTGGGGGCCCACGACGTCGAGCTTGACCATGGTTCTCACGGACCTGTCTGTCTTTCTAATTAACTAGGGCATCACATTTCCGCAGTGGCAGCATGGACAGCATGGACAAGCAGCGCAGGGAACCCCTCAACACACCTTCGGTCGAAGTCATGTACATGTACATACACACTGTGCAACGCAGTCAAGCCTGCAGGCCCTCACATTGGCCTAGGTGTAGTCTCTCGTGTTTGCGATGCAAGACATAGGAGGAGCCCTGCTGGCAAACGCGGCGGGGCCTTACCACCTTTTCGGGTGGGCAAATCGGATGGCATTCCCAGGCGACGGGCAGGACGGATCGCTCATATCTGGGCGAAGCGATCAGATTGCTCTCAGCAAAAAAATGACAGAATCCAGGGCTATCCAGGTTACCGGCCAGCCTAGTCCCGCAGGCCTGCAAGCCAGCAAGCCCTGCAAGGGGGCTAGGGAACGCCGAGACGTCGTAGGCCTATGATGGGCCTCAGTGGCTTGCCCGACAAACCGCCCGCGAAACCGGCATGTTCGGAGCCACCGTCTACTAGCGGATGCCGTTTTTATTTCTCATTCTCTTGTGACGTGGCCGAACATTCAGCTCAGATTCCCCGTATGCGAGGTAATACATGGCCCTCTAATCACCAAGCTCGGCAACTTTCTTTTTCGTCTTTATTGATCGCTTGAGACGTCGAGAGAATATCGCATGTGGTCTACTCCCCGCCTCACGAGTCTTCCGAGAGTCGCATCGGGCTATCAGTGTCTTGGACGAGCAGATGAGGATGCAGTGACGACAGAGGCGCGCGGGGCAGGGGAGGGAAGCACGACGTATTCGCAATCATGCTGGCAACTTATCGGCAGGCAACCATAGCCGACCATGTGATATGTGTCCGACTGTTTTCAATATTCACCATGGCCACGGCAGCAAGTCCAGGTTCCACGGAATTCACCCCCCCACTCGCTGCCGGTATCGAGTCTTCATATGTCCCTTTCCAAGGGCTTTCCAAGGGCTTTCCAAGAAGCCATGGATCAACACCATGTTAATTATTATGTCTCAGGTTAAGGCAAGAATGCGGACACGGCGCATCCAAGGCAAACAGAGACGGGCGCAGTTGAGTCCTGATAGGCATTGAGCCCTGAGAGGCATTGACATTGGCATCCAGGTACACGTACCGACCACCCAGCCTGCATAAATACATTTCTACCTACATACCAACCCGCTTGGCCTAGTCCTCCTTGGGAAATCTGCAGCTTGGCTTGCCTGAAATAGACAAGCCTCGCCGACTTTCTTAGGACGTCTCCTCTGGCAAGCCAAACGCACAGGGGTCTATCATTCCCCGAGCTTCCTTCCCACGCACCCATCAAGTCCAAGGGGATTCAACGTGTTGCTCTGTCACTTCTCTGCAGGATACCTAATTAATTATTACCTGCAAATAGCAGACGAGACCAGAAAGCAAAACCGCACGCCTCCCCGTTATCAGGGATTCTTGTCCTGCATGCGCGAGGAAAATCCAAGGTCGCACAAAGGCTGCTGCTGTTGAGATGTACCCTGTATGCGCTGTCCGCTTCGGACGACAGCTTTCTGCGTTACGCCGTCCAAAGTCCCCTTCTTCTTCTTCCTCCTCCTCCTCCCCCATCCTCGTCTCTCACCGTCTCCATCTCTTTCTCTTCGCACTGTCTCTGATAAGGTCCAGTCCAGATCCTTGCAGAAGCGGGCGTGCAAGGTCTTGCCAAGCGAACAAAGCTGTACTGAGACCTCGCCGGCCGGCATCTTCTCAGGAGAACGAGATGATCATCAGGTCCCTTGGGATACCCTCGGTGACATCCACAACCATGTGTGTGTGCCGTTGTGCGTTTGTCCACTCGCCGCCCCGAGTGGGACGGCGGGGTTTTGAAACCGGGTCGAGAAAAGAAAAGAACGGCATTGGGGGCCATGTTTGCCTACTAGACTAACCCTCTATCAACGTTATCAGACTCGTCATTTTCCCCTCCAAGACCCTGTCGACACTGTGCCCGTGGGGGCCCGTGGGAAATCAATGAATAATTACAATTCCAACGCCAAGGTTGGAGCTGGTTGCTGGTGCCCACAGTGCAGTGTGTATCATCCAGTGCCCCCGTTCGCCATCCAGGGTCTCCGTGTAGAGGCTTGACGTGTGTGTTACGTTGGTGCTGAAGGATGGTGGCACAAAGAGGGCCCAAAAGACTGTGCTTGTAGTCTCTGGACGGCAGATAGCATTGCATCCACATTGACCTCTCCGATGGCTGTGGGGATGAAACTTTGGCCCGGCTCACTGGCCATGGTCTTCCGAAATCGTGGCTCACGGCTTCTACTAGCTTAGCTCTGCCGTACCCTGGAATTAGATTCCCGGCCAGTCCAGCAGTTTGGATGCCGAGTCTGGCAAGTCTTCAGGGGGCGTCAAAGCTGGAAGACAGGAAGACATGGACTCACCGGTCGCCGTCGAATGGATCATGATGGGCATTGCCAGCCTATATGGTGCATGAATCCCAAAAGCCACCGTCTTGGCCCATCAGCCTCACCCCCAGGCCAAGCAGGAACGAGCCGCAGACACTGAAGCCTCTCGTACTGGACCGGCCACATGTCTTAGCCGCCGGCACAAACGCCCTACCCCCGGAGGCGCATATTTGGTTGGCTTCCCCACCCGGCCAGGCCCTTGCCCTCGTCGGCCCACCGTCAAGAGTAGAGACGGCTAGTCTAGGCTTTCCAGATGTTCCCCTGCTGGGTGATCGCCGCTTTCAACGGTGCCCCCCACCCACTGACGCTGCACTAGCAGTGTCACTAGCCCTGGCACTGGCGAGTCCAGTTGTGTTTGAAAGGCGTGTCTGGCCGGCTGGGGAGGCGAACGGCCAGGCAGCCTATGGGAGGCTTGCGGTGGTGGTGATGATGATGATGTAAGTACATGCACCCCTATGGGCGCCCAGGCACCACCAATCCACCAAGATGCATCTCTCCGGCTGGACACGAATATGCGGACCCGTCCACGCCTTGATCAGACTGGAGCTCCGCTGTCAGAGAGCGGGACACCTGCTGTGGAAGCCTGGTATACGCCGACATTGCTGTGCTCGTGTGGTACCTTCTCTTTACTGACCAAGACTCATGGGCTCTGGCAGCATGGTAATATGGCGGTTGCAGAAAGTTTTGACCCGTGCCAACGGGCACACGTGTAGGATGGATACCTGGTCTAGATGCCGAGTACCTGCCTTGGCTGCCGCGGGCTGGCCAGGTACCTCCAGGCCCCGTCTTGCCCCCAATCTTTGATTCCTGGCCCACACCCTTCGTCGATAGAGCGGCACCGATGCCACCGTGGGATCAGTTTGGCAGGAGGCACGCAGTTATTGGGTATGCAAACAGCCAACACTGGGCCTGGAACCTGAGGCCATGGCGAGCTCGTCGGCTTGTCAGTCACGAGTGACACGGCGAGCTATAACACCATGACATTGCACGGCGTGTTTACCTACCTGCTCTGTCTTTTTTCTCTCCTCATTTCTTGATTTCTATCCAGTTCAACTGCGGGGCTGTGGCCGGTGAAGGGACCCTTTCTCTCTCTCTGTCTTTCACACACACTCCCTCTCTCGCTATCTATCCCTCATCATCGCCGCTGCCATAAGGGCATCACCGCTGCCATAAGGGCCTCGCCGCTGCCATAAGGGCCTCGCCGCCATACTCGACCTCGCTGTCTTTCTCCCCTGCACGCACAGCTTCTCTCTGTTCCGACCTTTGCCTCGTCTCGCAGATATTTCTTTGTGTGGGCTCGTTTCGCTCTCCATTTCGACTTCTGCGACACTCCGCTCGCTTCTTGGACACGCCAACATCGAATCACCATTCAACAGTCGACTCGGGCCTGTCAGGTGTGTCTCATCCCCCCTCTCCAGTCCTGGAACCCCCCCCCTCCCCTGTGGAGGTCGAGCTGCAGAAGGCACTGGTGGGCGCAGGGTTGTGCTCTCTCGGTCGGGGGTACAACCAGCTTATGGCTGTAGAGGATAGGTGCCAGAGGGCAGGCGCGAGTGCGTGCTGTTAATTAGCTATGTGCGATATGTGCCAGCTGTGCGTGTACGTGTTGCTCATGTACGTCAAGGTCAGGTCCAGGTTTGCGAACACAAAGACAAGGCAGGACAGGCATCACATCTCGCCCAAAGCACCTAGACCATCCCCACCTCTCTCGTCAGCCAGCTTTGCATTGCGTCCGAGTCGAGTTCTATTTCTTTTTTTGGAACCTACCTTCGCCCGAAAGTCGACAGCATCGAGCCGGGGCTTGAGGCCTTGTCTCTGTTTCGCCCGACCGCGATCCCGACTCCCGACCCCTATCTGCCTGCCAGCCTGTCTGCTGCTTACCTACTTGCACACTCTCTCTGCAACAGGTCGGGGGGCCAGCAGGAATCTACTCTTCGCTCCCAGTGGTTGGGGTCCCAGTGTCTTGCGGCCGGTCAGAGCCCCAGCCCAAGGAGCTTTCTCCTCTATCGGGTCATACTGCTTAGGTTTTGACTCGGACGGCGCCAGCTCGGCTGCAGAGATTTGACACAAAACTCACTCGGGCTCCAGAAGGAGCGCGTGACGACAGCAGGCAGCCAGCTAGAGGACAGACTATAATTAACAGAGGAAGACATTTGCATCCCTCGAGGGCGGACAATGGTGGCCCAGACCAACTACTCTCCTCCCTCAGACGGAAGACGATATAGCCGTCCGTACCCCCCGTACTTCCCCAGCCCCGAACGGCGGTTCCAACTGCAGTCCCACGACCCAGCTAGAGCCCTCGCCATGGCGGACCAGCAGCTCGACTCGGACTCGGCCCGGCAGCGGAAGCGCATCTCGGTGGCGGTAAGGCCTGACTAGCCCAGCCCAGCCCAGCCCAGCCCAGCCCAACCCCTGAAGTTGTTTACTTTGTGTTTGTCGACGTGACTAAACTGAAATTTGCCCCGTGTCCAGTGTGGCCGCTGCCGGAAACGGAAGATCCGGTGCAGTGGCGACCCGGGCCAAGGCCAGCCCTGCACCAACTGCAAGAACGCGGGGGCGGATCCATGCTTGTTCCTCCGGGTAGGCCAGGCCTCTCCCCGTCTCGGCTACGTGCCGTGGGCCGACTCACCTGACTGTGGTGCTGTGCAGGTGCAATCACGCGAAGCGCCCCTGCGCGAGGACTCGGGCGAGTTCAGCTACAGCGTCGGCGACGCGCGTGCCTATGCCAGCCGGGCACCCATGAACCACAGCCACGGCCACGGCCACGGCCTCGGCGGGTACACGGCCGACGTGGCTGCAGGCCTGAGCTCCAACGACGTGCTGGCCTCGTACCGCCCCGGCTCCGCATACCCCTATGCCGCCGCCAGCAAGCCCTACTACCCGGCCGTGACCACCTACGGCTCGCCCTACGGCGACGACTTCGACTACGCCATGGGCATGCCGCCGCAGTCGGTATTGGGCCACGACGCCGCCAGCATCATGCACAGCCAGTGGCCCTCGCCTCCGCGCTCCAACAAGCCGCCGGCCTACAGCAACCTGTACGCGGACCCGGACTCGCCCTACGGCTACAGTAGCGCGAGCCTCGTCCAGCGGCCCGTCAGCACCGTCTCAGCTGACTCGCCCAACTTTTCCTTCTCGAGCGTCGCCGCCTCGCTGCCCAGCGCCACAAGTGCCGACCGCCTGCTCCCCTACCCGGCCTCTGGACGTCCTCCGCTGGCTCTGCCCGCGGGTCTGTCCTCGGGTCTGCCGTATCCCGTGACCGCCAAGACAGGAGTATTGTCGGCGGGGGCCCCAGCCGTGGCGCCGTCCACGAGCTCCCTCGCCGACGTGGCTTCGGCAGCAACCTATGCTACCGGGTTCGACGGCAGCTCGGGCCTCCACTATCAAACCCAGACCCAGACCCAGACCCAGTCTCAGACGCAGGCCGCGTCCAACACGCTCGGCGGCCACCAACAGACGGCACCGTCATCGCGCACCAACTCGGACGCCTTCACATCCGGAGCCGAGACCATTTTTGGCGAGCACGAGCGCAGCCTACAGAGCCAGGGCCCAGCCTTTGACCTTAGCGCCTACACGTCCGAACCGCGGCGGGACTCTGTCGGGTCTACCAGCCACGGGGGCGGCGCAACCCTCTCCAATGGGCAAACCTATGTGCCGAGCGAGGCCACACACGAGACCCACCCGTCGCACCACCTGGCCTTTGTGACAGACTCGTCCCCCCCACACACACACGCCGCCGCCCAGACCCAGACCCAGACCCAGATCCAGACCCAGGCTCAGGCTCACCGTCACCCGCATAGCCACAACCACGGCTATCTGAGTGGCGCCGGGGCCGGTAGCACAAGCCATGCGGATATCCATCGGGACACTGCGGTTACCCGGCGCTAGAGCCACGCACTCTTCCGTCGGACGAGCCCTTCAGCCTGGACTGCGTGCCGTGATGTGCTACTGGGAGACAAACCGGAGGAGAGAGAGGGGTCAAGGGGGAAGGGGGGGAGAGGCAGCAGCAGCAGCAGAGCTGGCCCTCGACATCTGCACCTCGACATCTGCACCTCGACATCTGCATCTCGACATCTGCACCTGCTGTTTCAGTTGTCCTCTTATCGCAATGGCGGCCCCTGCCGCGGGCCAGCTTGACGTCGGCACCCGTCTACGTGCTGTCAAGAAGGAGGCCTGTCTCGATAGCTGGCTCGTGTTTAGACATCCCCTTTCGCCTTTCTTCTCCCGCTTCTCTCCCGGCCGGCATCACCATCTCGTCAACACGTGGCCACTACCGCCAATTGGTTCAACCCATCTTAGCTTACCACCCGTGGCACACATTTTGAGCACGTACTCCCGTACCCAGGTAGCCACCCAAGTTGCCTGCCAGTCCCTCCTATTTTCTCACTTTCTTTTTTCATGCCGAAGACAAAAAATCAAACAACGCCCCACCTCCTCTCCTCCCCTTTTCAACAGCCTGATGCAGTGTCATCGACCTTAAACAAATCAAGCCAGGCGGTCCTATGGACCTGCTTATTTCGGGGCCTTCTTGAGCTGGTAAAGGCTTTAACCCTAATACCTTCCAAGTCTACTGGACTTTGTGGATCGAGAGGGGTCAAGGTAACCTGGGTGGTGCCCCGAGAAGGAGAAACGCTACACACTTATTTTGAAACCACAACGTGGCAACGGCGATATCATCGTGCGTCTCGCGTCTCGCGTCTCGCATCTCGCGTCTTGTGTCTCGCGTCTCGCGTCTGGCGTCTCGCGTCTGGCGTCTCGCGTCTGGCGTCTTGCGTCTTGCGTCAAAACCATTGTTCCTCATCTTGTCTCGCCTGGGTGTGGGACATCAACTCAAGGCCCATGATCAATATTCCCTGGGCTCGCGACGTCGCATAGTCTCACACACCCCGAGCTCTTCCACGGGCTCTTGATATATAAACACGCGACACCGTTTCTAGGGACTACTCTATAGAGGCCGCCCACCTGCCCGCCCGCCCTCACCATCAACCAGCTCTCCGCATCGGGGCCGCCCTCTCATGCCGTGTCGGTTTTGATGTTGTGCGCCCACCCACTTTTCCCTGCGTCTGTGATCCGGCTCAAAAATGCCCCCAAAGCAACACCTATTTTGATAGACCACATCGCACAATCATCAACGGCCACCTCCTCCACCCTCAAATGCCATCCCTGTACATTAAAGGTGATTTGCCGGCCTGTATGTTACTCATCAGCTGGTTTTATCACATACTCTGCGGCTTCTTGGCTCAATGGTTTGGTTTTAGTTTCTTGTCTCACCCTGGGGCCTGTTCCAAATAGGTCTCATCTGCAGACTTGAAGCGTGTGTGCAAAATTAAGGTCTCCCCATTAAACCCATACTAGTAATGTTTTTTTTTGTATTTCAGTCTATTTGCTTTGGCCTCGGGCCTCCCGGCTTCGAGCCTCGTGTCAGTTTCCCCCTTCAAGACCAATTCGCCCTATGTACAGCGTCAGGAAGTAACCACTGGGCTTTGCTCGCAGATGCTATTGCCGCCCATCTCACACACACTCCTTTGCTCATTCGGCTCGTCTTTTTTACAAGTTTTTTTTTTTTTCAATATTACTCTACCAGGCGACAATAATCTGTCCCTCTAAACACGGCAGCATTTTGGCTGGAAAAGCTCTGATATTATTTCCTTTCCTTCCTCCGGCAACAGTAATGGCAGAACGGAAAAGCCTTGTCTTCTGTCATCCCCCAACATGGGGGACCCGGGACGCTTACGTCAAGCAATAAAAGACACTCCATAGAATGAATACGAGCCAGAAATATTATACACGGCTTGGCCTTGTCACCTTGTTTCTCGTTGATTATGCTGCATTTAGTGACGACAATTGAGTCTTTCATGTTGGCTGAAACGCATTTTGACGTCAGAACTGGTCAGAGCTAACAAAAGAAACTGCCCTCATCTCCCACGAGTTTGAGAGCTGGCCCAAACCCCATGCCAAAACATACAGCCCAATCTCTCAATATTTATTAGCGTGGTATTTAGGTACATACAAAGAGTTAAGACCATAGCAAACACACTGGCTAGAAAAGCCTTTAATATGTGTTTCTAGGACAGAGAAAGGCCTCTAAGATTCTATAATAGGAATCCTAATAACGATTGCCTCTCTCAGCTAAAATCATTCATGGCGAGTATTGAGTTATTAAGGCCTTTCAAATCTTGAAAACTCCCCCACTAATAAACATTCAGGGATTGGATCGTACGTCAAGGTGTTGGTAGCCATTGTCAACACATTACCGAAACGGGGGCTGAAGACTCCGAAATGCACGTGATCGCGCGGGTTCCAAAGGCTCAAAGCATTCGAGGTTTGTGAGGAACCTAGAAACCCACACGACCTAAACTCCGAAGTTGGAAAAAAGTCGACGAATCCGTCACTTAACTGTCCTAGAACACAGAGCACAAAAGAAGGGGGGGGCTAAAGACCAACCGGGATGGGGTCGACAATTGCATCGCAGAACCTGGCAATTGACCGCTTTTGCCGACAATACCTACAGCTCGAGCTCGAGCTGGATTATCCGGCAGAGGGTTTGCTTTGCCATGAGGCCTTCCAAGAGGCGCTGTACGAGCGGCTTTTTGCCCGAGACGCGGTCGCGCTCCCGCCCCCTCAGCGCTACCGGCTGCGAGTCCTCAAACAGCTCGTGGCCAAGATCGAGGCCGCCATCGTCGACTGGGATGAGCATGTGAGTTCTCCCCTGTGCCGGGCACACGCCCCCCTATCCCAGTGGCCACCCAGAGCCATCGCAGCTTATTTGGTATTTGCGCTGGTGTGTGCACAGGGAATCTCGGATAACCTCATGGCGGCCTTGGCACATCTGGTCTCGATGCCCTTGCCATCCGAAGAGACGGCCGTGCAACAGAAATGCTACGTGACCTACCGGGCATCCCTAGTCGAGTCTAGCAGCACGGAAAGCGAGGCGAACATCACGCTCCTCGAGTCGCGATCGCTTATCTCGGCAGCGGGGACTACGGGGCTGCGGACGTGGGAGGCGTCATTGCATCTCGGGCAGTATCTCTGCACGCATCCGTCACTCACTCGCGGCAGGCGCATTCTCGAGCTGGGCACCGGCACTGGCTACATCGCCATGCTGTGTGCGAGGCACCTGGGCGCCCAGCACGTTCTTGCCTCGGACGGGTCAGAAGATGTTGTGAACAACCTTCCCGACAACTTATTCCTGAATGGCCTCCAAGGGTCTAACAAGGTGACGCCGACCGAGCTGAAGTGGGGCCACGCGCTGGTCGGGAGCGAAGAGAAAGGATGGAATGGAGGGCAAAGGGTAGACGTGGTTCTTGGTGCAGACCTCACCTACGATGCGAGCGGTATCCCAGCTCTGGTTGCGACGTTGGAGGAGCTTGTGTCTCTCTTCCCCGACGTGGAAATAGTGATTGCTGCGACAGAGCGAAACACGGCGACGTTGCAGGGTTTCTTGACCACCTGCGGGAAGCGAGGGTTCGCTGTGAACCACGAACCATTCCCTGTGCCGCCTAGGAATGAACAGAATGGGCCCTTCTACAACGACAAGATGCCAGTACACATCTGCAAATTGTACCATATTGGTATGAAAAGGTAGTGCAGAAACGTGGCCACCGAATTTCGGTGGCGGGATTTTGAAATTCTGCGACAGCAAGTTCCTTGAATCGACGCACCGAAATTGCAATGCAGGATGCTATGGGTCGGGTGGTGCGCACTGTGCTGTGCTGTGTCGTGCTGTGCGGGTGCTGTACATACGGCGCCATCCCCTCCCCATAGATTGTAATGGATGTTTGATGGTCCGAGCGCGTCCCCGCTCATCCCCTCGCCCCCTCCCTCTTATTTGTGCGCCTCAATTACTAGGCCGCCACATCGGATTAGGGCTCACACCCACACGGGACCGGAATTTTCTGAGACCCACCTCAGCGCAGCGGTGCCGAAAAACACCACGCAAGAGAAAATCCCAATCTCGCACCTCTCTGGCTTGAGATCGTCACGTATCGCCAAACATACCATCAACCGCCAAGATGGCCGACTCGGACGCCCCAGTGACGCTGCGCACGCGCAAATTCATTCGCAACCCTCTGCTGGGCCGCAAGCAGATGGTCGTGTGAGTTGTCCCGATGTCCCTCGTTGCCCTTGTACCCGTCCTCCCAGTAGCCGCACCGACGCGACGATTCCTGCATCAAAGATTAAGGGCGAGGCTAGGCAATTCCGGACGCAGTTTTCTCTCTGAGAGGTTGTGATCCGTGGGGGAAAAAAATTGGGGGGAATTTCATTTTTTTTCATGGTCGGAGCGGAAATGCTAACCATTTCTTCCTTCGCTGCAGCGACATCCTCCACCCCAGCCGTGCAAACATCTCCAAGGATGAGCTCCGCGACAAGCTCGCCACCCTTTACAAGGCCAACAAGGACCAGGTCAGCGTTTTCGGCCTGCGGACACAATTCGGTGGCGGCAAGACTACCGGCTTCGCCCTTGTCTACGATTCCCCCGAGGCGATGAAGAAGTTCGAGCCCCACTTCAGATTGGTCCGCGTTGGACTGGCCACCAAGGTCGAGCGGGCAAGCAGACAGCAGCGTACGTGTGCCAGAACAGAGACGGAGCCAGGGGAAACGAGCTCCGGAATGGTCGTGACTGACACCCTTTTTCTCGACACACAGGCAAGCAGCGCAAGAACCGACAGAAGACCCTCCGGGGAACGGCAAAGGTCAAGGGTGCAAAGGCGAAGAAGGAGAAATAAACGGATCGCTTGGCATTTCTTTCTGCGTCATCTTCTACACCGGGTGTATCTTCGAGGGACGGACGGACAATGGCCGTGGCTCTGTGCATTACTTTTATTGGATGCAACCTCCACCCGGCAATACAATTGGGATGAAGTTGCTATGCACCCGGGATCCTTCATGGCGGCGTGACTGTTGGGCTTCGAGGATTCGTGCCGAAACATAGCATTTCAATAAAGGGATGTTTATGCTATAATGGACTGAAGACGGGCTTTCTTCCTAACTTGGGCGCTCAACAGCCTCTCCCCAGAGCAAGCCCGCTATATGGTACACATGATCATGCGTCACGAAAAAGACAAAGTTATGCAGCCGCTTTTCCTCCCTTGCTTGACTTTGAACACACTCAACAATCCCTTATTCAGGCTACTAAAAGCAGCATTCGCGCAACCTTTCGCCAGCCTTTCGCCAGCGCTCTGTCGATCAAAACGACGACCACGCCAGCTTGCCCCCACTCTTATCCAATTCCAGAATGGTCAATGATATCCGTAAATTAGGACGCCCAAGGGACGAACCTATCGTTTCGGATGGGATTAAGTACGATATTGGTGTCTCTATTCAATACAGATTGTGATGGGCAAGGAAGTGGCTTTGGGAGCTGCAGCTCTTTGGACCTCGGCACTTATTGAGCAAGAGAAACACCGCGATTTAGAGAGGAGCGTGAATAGTTGCTAGAGTAGAATCACTTTGTGTGTCTCCGTCAACGCCAAGTATCGTCCAACCATTGTGATAGGTGCGGACAAATAGACAACGAAGAGAAATAGGTAGGCAACTCAAGAAGCAAATATCAGTTGCTACTGCCTGAATTGTATACGTCAGAGACGCACAAGTCTCGAGCTGTCCCGAGCTGCACTCTATGGGAAGAGAGTGCTGCCAATCGAACGGTAAACTGCTCTACATTACAAACATGTTTGGCATCACATGCATCACGGCCGTGACCTGCCAGAACACCCTGTGCAACCTCAAACGCCTTCCCAGAAACCCGAACTCAACTTCCGAACTCCCGGAACCGCACTCGAGCGCTTCTCTAGATTCTGTCTTCCCTGCGACGAGCCTAGTCTTCGGAGGCATTTTCGCGCGCCAGTCTTAGCGGGCAAGCTCATGCCACCGCGGGTCTGCAACTTCTTGGCCCATCAGAGAACCCGTTGAATTGATCAAGCAAAACGGGTTGAGAGTCGACATATCCCGGAATCTTCGATTGCTGTTGAAATTCATCTGGTGCCAGTGGTGTAGTATGGCTTCTGGCAACCGTAGTTGCCGAAGATGTAGTCAATTGCGGCTCAAGCAGAATTCGAGGGGCACTTGCTGCTTCCTGCGACATCAACTCGAGCTGCCTCGAGGGGCTGCTCAAATCTGGCGTCTCGGCGTTGGCGAGGGAAGGGTCGACTTCTTTGCGAAAGCCAGCATCACGTATTAGCAGACTAATCTCGTGTCGCCGGTCTTCCGTCAAGGAGGTATCGTTAAAACAGCTGGACTGGGCTGCGGGATGATCTCCCATGTTCTCGAGGCGTTCTGCAGGATGCTCGGTCTCGTCAATGCGCTGGCTATCGACCTGCACATGGTCATATCTGTTTTGGCCACTCTTGAGCTGATCATGGGCGGGTGTGCTAGATTGTCCGCCGAGGTTCGGCTCTGGCTTACCATCAGCACTCTCCATCTCCGGTGCTGATTCATTGCCAGACGAGCCAGCGTGTGGCTGGGCAGAGGCTGGGTTCGAGACTCCTGAAGGCCGTTGTAGAATCCGGGGTTCGACCATATCTGCAACTTCCAAAGTTCGGTATCCAAGCTCTGCACCTTCTTCAGGCTCTTCGTCCATTTCCGGTGCCTCGAACTTGTCATATACTCGGTTACCGTCCTCGTCATACACCTTCTCATTCTGGTCGAGATTGCGATCGCGTTTGGCAAGACGGACTCTCAAACAAGTGCCACGATCATAGATATCGACAACAACACCAGTACGAGTGGACACTTGAGGTTGCCACTGGGTTGCCTTGGATAGAACCCATTGAGTCCATGTAAGAACCATCCCAGGCTGAGCCGCACTGGGCTGGAAAGCAGGAAGCGTTGACAGGTCGCTGGGGACAGGAGGCAAGTCTTCGTCCAGGTCTTGACTCTCTTCGATGTTGTTCTGCTCGGCAACATCCTGGGGCTCGTCATCATAGTTCAAGGTAACGTCGGCGGAAGCGAACCCATCACCAGCGCTAATATACGATTCCCCTTCCATTCCATCTTGGTTGTCCTCTGATGTGTATCCTGCAACCCTTCTCCTCTTTGCATCCGGCTGGCTGTAGTCGTCGTAGAAACTAGCCTGGTCTCGTTGCTTCCGCTTCGAACGACCTCCTCGCTGAGTCTTATCTTTCCAAAACCCTTGTTGCTGAGGATCCCAGCGCTGAACAAAAGGGAAAGGCGGTTCGCTGAGCTCTACTCCTTCTTGGATGCATTCCACAGCACAGTATGAGATCTTTTCCCGCCATGATTCATCGTTGTCGGGCGCCAGTTCGCCGTGCGATTCCTGGCCCACAGAGACGCTGCTTGGTTGTTCGAGCCGCGGATTAGCCAGAGGTCGAACGTCCTTCATTAAATCGGAGCGTATCTTGTCCTCGTCAGCTTTCGTCTTCGGATTCTTCAGCCCCAATGAGCTAAAGACCATCCGGCGTCCGGCGCCAACATCAAGCCTCGCCTTTCGCTGCGATGAAGCAGAAGTTGTGTCCAAGGCTTCGACATGAGGAGACACAGATGTGCCTGAGTCGGGCTCCCCTGCGATGGTTGTAGATGTGGAACTTGGATGTTTGTGGGCCTCTTTATCATTCACGCCCATGTCATGCTTTGGACTTGGCTCTAGAGCTTTAAGTCTTTTTAATCGAGCCACTTCTTTGGCGGCGGTTGACTGGACCTGGCTAGCAAGCTCATTGTAATCTAGGTCAGAGTACACAGGGCCAGATGCAGTTCTCTGGGAAGCCCGAAACGCTTTCATGGTAGCTCTTTTCCGGGCATTTCGTTTTTGGGTTCGTGACATGCCTTGACCTGGTGGGACTGGAGGGACTGTTTCCTCAGAGGCTGAAGGCCATCGATGAGACGAGACAGCATCCAGGAGCTTTGCTTGCGTGGCTCGCGAAGTGATTGCTGCTTGGCCGACAGATGAAATAAATAACCCGAATTTCGTCTGACTCGGCTCTGACGTGGAATCCCCACCCCTCTCACTTGATGAGTCCTGTGCGTGGTTGTTGGAAGCACTGCTATTTTCATTGGAGCTATCCATAGCGCTGTCGCTGTCGCTATCGCTATCGCTATTGTCGTCACTGTCGCTATCGCTCTCGTTCTCGCCAAAGCTTTCGCTATCGCTACCGCTGTCGCTGCTGCTGTCGCTGCTGCTGTCATCGTTGCTCGAGCTCTCAGATTCACTGTCGCTGCTCGGTTGCATCCTCCCAGGGGGGATTCTTGGGGCAATTTTGGACGATGTCACCTCTGGACCACTGTCGCCGTCACTATCGCTGTCGCTGTACTTGTCGTTGTCGCCATCGCTGGAGCTTGAGCTGTCTCCATTGTCGCTGGAGCTGTCAGACGAAGACTGGGACAATTTTTGGGTGCCAGAAGAAGCAGTGTTTTCGGGAGTGCCGAGCGCACTTGACATATTGTGGGCCGTTCCAGAGCCTCGTTTGTCACCATGAGCTTCTCCGAACTTGGTATGGACAGGCAGCTTCACCAGTTTTCCAGACTTGCGAAGCGTCTCTGCTATGTGGGTGGACGCGGTGCCGGCTAAAATGGAGCCTGCGGGAAACCCGTGTTCGTCATAGTGCTTGACGAACGGCTCAACTGACTCGGCGTCGCTGTCGTCGGGGTTGCTATCATCGGCCACGCTCAGTCCCTTTGCATGCAGTGACTCGCCAAATACACGCATTTCGCCGACGGTCAGTTGTGTGTCGTGGTCTTTTTGAAGCAGCTGGGAAGGCTCTGGTTCCTCGTCGTCCAAGTCTCCTAGTTCGGCATTTTCCATACGCAAGTCTCGAAGCTCTTCGTCAATCTCAGAGTCGTCGAAACCGTCTTCTTCGTCCACTTCGTCCATGTCGTCGTCGCCATCATCGCCGCCCTCGTTAACGAAGTCGTCGTCTTCATTCTCATCGTCCTCATTTTCAGCATCTTCCTCGCTTTCCAGTGTATCATCGTCGAGGTCGTCAGAGGTAGCTCTGACGCGAACGCTTGTGGGATCTTCGTTGTCTTCTCCGTGTTCCATGAGGAGAAGCGGTGGATCGTCCTCATTAACCTCGGCATCCCAGCCCTCTGGCTCGTATGCAATCCTCCGGCGCTTCAGAGGTGGAATGTCAACGGGCGGTCGGTCTCGTGGGGCCTTGAGACGGGGTCGACCAAACGGCACGCCATCAATAAGATGTCTGCCGTCGGTGGATATTTGGTGGCGTCCGCTCAGCAATCGCTTCTTACGGTCTTCGGTGACAAGGGGCCGGATACTGTCACAAGTTATTAGGACACTAAGTACGAGGGGGCATTGTTCGCAGAGTGTAAATAATTACAAGATCTCTTCGTCGTTCTTCAGGACAACGGCGACCTGCTGGAAGTGCAGACAGTCGAAGCCGTGACCGTCAGCATCTCGTAGCTCGACGGCGTAGTCCTCCAAGCCCCAATCGTTGCTCTCCAGCGGAAAAATCTCGTCGATCTGCCCCAGGAGATTGGCGATGGTGGGGTCGTTGTCAAGGCTGACGTTGAAGACGACTCGAACTTCGGGGAGAGCATGACGTCGCACCACCAGGCGAAGGCGAAGCCCGTTTTCCCTCATCTTGAGGGCCAATAGCTGGGCGGAAACAGTGAGTTCGGCGATCGATGTGTGTAAATGGGAGTGCTGATTGGGAGAACAGGACGAGAATTAAAGAACCACTCTACAGTGAAGGAAAGGAAGGAAGGAATTTGGTCGCCAGTTCAGGCATGCTTTCGATTCGCGCAGGCTCCGATTAACCAATTAAGCTCACGCGTATGGTAGGGGTGTTCTGTGAGGCGTCAAATATGATTGGCTGCCGTAAGCAGATGCCCGCCACTGTACAGTACTGGGTTAGCTCGTGCCTTCTGCACAAGCATCGTCACACATCACGCGGCAAAATTCTCCAATACACATTATTACGGTAGCTTTCAAGCTTGCGAGTAAGGTTCGATGTCCAAAAAATTGACGAATAACTTGGCTAACGTTCGAAATGTAGGCATCGTGTCGCAATGTGGCGTCTCCAACACGGTCTTCGGGTTCAAAATTCCCGAGCATCTACACTCTACGAAGTACCGCACAGATCAAATCCCGTCTTTGCGTTGCATCTATGCAAACGTTTGGATAGGTGCCGAAGGTGCCTTTGGCTGTGCGCACCCCAAAAAATGGACATCAAAAGAATGCAGGAAAAGTCATTGGTATTTTCGCTACAGTTCCTTTCTGAAAAATTCTACCTGGGTAAAGGAAGGTGCCGAGGTTTGCTCTTGTCCAGGACTGCCTGGTCTGTAATTTCCTTGGCCTCCGTACTTCTTGAACTTGCCCATAAAGAAGTAAAATCGGCGAATCCAAGCCATCTATTCCATTCCCGGAAGCCTCTCCAGCCCTGTTCCAACATATCAGCAGTCTACTCTCGGCAGCATGGTGCGCGTGGGCCTCGACCATCATGCACTTACATCCATCGTTGTTTTCCTTGACGGCGTTCTTCACAACGCACTGATTGGCTTTGGAAAAGGATTGGGACTTCAGCTGCTTGCAGCTCGCGGCGAAGCAGGCGTTGTCCATTGCTTTCTGGAGACTGTCGCCCTTCCATCCAAAGACATAATCTCCATGTTGCCCGAATCCAGTGCTGCACGTAGATGTCAGCGTCCGCACTCGTTGTGGACAGGAAGGCTAGAATGGTAGTCTTACGTATCACCATGGCTCAGCACAAATGGCTGGGACCCATCCGCGGGCCAGTCATTCTTGTTGTTGAATTTGGTCGTGTCCCAGACAATCTTGAGTCGCATTAGTGTAAGAGTTTGGCTGGTAAGACCCCAGCTTGCGGGTTTAAGTGTCTGGGAATATATACCTCGAGGTGGACTTGCGGGATCTTGACGGGGTGCGTTGACGGACACTTTGCGCTCATAACGGTGAAAGATGCAGGCCCACCCACTGGATGAGAAATATGGTCCGCATGGTTTGGGCTATCGAGGTTCTTCCCATCCCAGCAACTAGGAGTTGATCAGTAATTAATTCACCAAGAACATAATTAATAATATGAGCTGGAGAGCTAACATGGGAAAAATGACGCTCGATCGCCACCCTCCAAGGCACGGCTTGGTCGGAAACCCCTCGGTATCTCGTTGAGGATCGAAGCAAGGCGACATAACGTTGCCTTTGAAGTTGGGTCCGTCGTAGCAGCGGAAACAGCTCTGTGTACTCTTGCCCAGGTTTGTCGGGGTGCGGCGTTTGGCATCGCCAGAGAACATCCGGAACCCCTGAGAGGACGTGTTAATCAGAATCCGAGGCCCTTAACGCCGAACGTAGAACTTACCGGTTTAAAGGCAGTCACTGCGCCCTTGCCTGGAGAGCTGTAGTAAACAGTCATCCCGCCGTTTGCGGCGCCAATGGCGTCGTTGACCATGATTGGCACGCGCTTGAAGGTGCCGTTGCGCGCCTTGAAGTACACGTTGGCGGTCCAATAGTTGGAGAAATCTTCCTCATAGGTACAGCTAGTGCACGTGGCGACCTGGGAGATATCGCCCACAGGCATGGATGCATTGAAGGCGTCCTATCGTAGGTGATCGGATGAGTACATGGCCAGACTTAAAATGGACCGAGACGGTACAGGCAGGTAGGTAGATACATACTCCTCCAATGATCTGGTGAACATGAGGTGAGGGAATCTTTCCAGGATCGACCAGACTATAAGGTAGATAACGTTAGTACCCCGGGAATATCTCGCCTCTCGGATAGACAAATAATTTTTATATAAACAATCTACTTACGGATCGATGCGGTCGATGACAATGTTGGAGCATCCAAACCGAAGCATAGCGCTACCGCCGCTCTGGGCTTGCGCAGCAGCCGCGAAGGCAAGAAGAGAGAGCCAAGCAGAAGGTGCCATATTTTCGGTCAAGTGCACACGCACATGGAACGGGTTTGGTTGACGTGGCAAGAAGAAATTATTCGGCCGCAGGAGCACAACTTATATGTCAGCCATCCCCGCTGTTCATGTCTTTAGTTACCGTATTGATTGCCGCGCTATGGCAAGCTTATCATATCATGGGGTCATTAACATCACAACATCACTCTGGGTATTAAAGACTCCGCATATTGTTGCCCAACAGTCCTAGCCGTTTTGCCGCCGCATCTTTTCTAAGTTCTTCACAGCACTTTAGAGCTTGGCGCCAACAGCCGCACCCCAATATGTACAGCGGTGTTGACTGACTGGATGGGTTGCTTGAAAGTATTTTTTTGACGGCCACTCGAACGCGACGTTGTCAGAAGTGGCACCCAGCACTGGTTGATCAAATGACACTACTTGGCGTACTTTGCCACAACGGTTTTATCTGGTCCCATCCCCCCCCCTTTACCCTTTCTTTAAAAGAGCTGCATCATACTTTCTAGGAGCCAAGGCTTTGGCGATATTGTGGATGATTTACTCCGTAGATTTGTTCCTCCTCGGCGGAGGGAGCATGTTTTATTGGTGCTTGGCAGACTTGGCCTTGGATGAGTCTGAACGGTAGCTACTCTTTACCATCTCTGCTCTGCCGGCACTTGACTTGTTTGTAAGTGGACCTCATTACCCCGGTCTTGGCAGTAAACCAACCTGATTTTCTGGCCGCCATGGTTGTCGCCAAGAGCCTGCAGGTATAGTTCTGGTCTCACGATCAACACAGAGCAACTTTCATGCATATGGAATGACATTAAACGCGAGCTATAAAGGTAATTAGAAAAATTATTATCCGCTACAGACCTACAAATTGAATACATCATTGTGATTATGGCGTTCGTCGACAGAGATATTGTCGAAATCTTCTTTACAATCATACTATATCTAGTTCAAAATCTCACGAGATTTTTCAAGGGTTCTTGGAGTTCTGTTGAAAAGAAAATGGCGTGATAGTCCAAAATATCGACTAATGATTTTAATGCAAGTCTAATTTTGGGTAGCCCCCACTGATTTCCTCAGCTCTTCCAACATGGGAAACGATACTGGCACACGAGTGGCTGTTCAACCCCAGTCTATTCCGTGGGGAGACAGCTGGCAGATAGTTTGATGCGGGTTTCCTACAAGTCTGTCATGAGGCTGGCCGAAATCCCTAAACGCAACATTGGCATTTGCCACTCATCTTACTCGATTTCTACAAGTAAGGCGGAAGCGATGATCGAGTGAGGTACAATAGACATCACATGGGTAACCAGTTGCTCAAATTACCCTGGCAATTTCACGGAGCTTGACAATTAGTCATTTTGTGTTTCCCTTCACTCATAGACCCGCAGATCCGAAACATTGAACGCCGACATATGCGACGACGGCGCGCTCCTCATCGCTTAGTCGATGGTGCGAGATATGGACAAAGAGACTCCCGCTCCTGTAGGGAATCTTTTGGAAGAGACTGCAGTGCAGCAGAACGGCGACGATGTTTCAGTTTATACTGGTACCATCATCACGATGGCGACTGGCAAGTTCAGCCCAGAGGAGGCAATGGCTATCAAGGGCGACACCATCATCGCAATCGGCACGACGGAGGCCGTCGACGCGGCCGTGTCGTCGATGCAACACACGAAGCGCGACCTCGGCACGCAATACATTATGCCCGGCTTTGTAGAGCCTCACGTCCACCTTCTACTTCCTTCCTTGGTCGGGAAGGGGTCGCTGGTGATTGACATGTCGTATTCGGCGGTGAAGAAACGACACGACGCCGTCGACTTGATCAAGAAATCGCCACACTATGGCAACCCGTGTGAATGGATCATTGGCTACGGCTATGATCCATCTTTGGCTGAGGCACACGAGCAATTTAAACTGGACGATCTCGACTGTATAGCGCCCCTCAACCCCGTCTTCATCCTTAACTAGTCTAGCCATCTTGCCTATGTCAACAGTCGTGCCTTCAAATGGGCGAAAATTAGCATCACGAACTGTGATGCAAACTTCCCCGAGTGCGACCCAAACTACGAAGTGAACGATTCCGGCACAGCGCTCGACGGCGTACTCAAGGAGGGCCCCGTGACCACTGTGGCGAAATCTCTCCCGCAGTCCCCATTCATGATTGACAACCTTGCTGCGACACTCAAAGGCTGGGCAACGAATGGCTGCACGACTGTTTTCGGCTGCGGACTTGGCTCTATCTCGGGTTCATACAGCACGGAAATTTCTTGGATCAACAGCAAGACAGCCGGGAGCAAATTCCCACGTTTTTATGGTGCCGTAGCTATCCAGGCAATACCTGATCTTCAGCAATTCATCGACAGCCAGCAACCCCCATGGGATTCTGGGTCTATAAGAGTCTAGGCCGTCAAATTCTGGCTCGACGGGTCGACCCAGGGCTTCACCGCTGCGGTCAGTACGCCTTACCTCAATCCGCCAAAGGGGTGGCCACCATGGGGGTCGCTCAACTACCCCTGCAACGGCGAGAAGCACAAGCACGACGATGATGAAAAGCCTACCGACGACGAATAGCGCTGCAAAGATATGTCACGCCGTTCGTGAAGGCAGGCTGGCAGATGGTGCTACATGCAAATGGCAGCCGGGCGGTCGAGCAGGGTCTCCGCGTCCCTGGGAAGGCCTTGGCAGCCAGCGGTGATATAGTGAAGAAACCCAACTTCTTGCACAGGCTGGAGCACGTCACGGTCGACATCACGACTGACCAGCTGAGAGCAGCAGCTGCGATGGGGCTCGCGGTGAGCCCACATTCGCACATGGGGCTACACGTTCCGCACCTGGGTTTTGGGGGCCGAGCGTGCGGCGCGCCTCGATCCTGTCCGAGACGATGTCGACCTTGGCGTCACGTACTCGTTCCACAGCGACTCACCTGTGTCTGAGTCTAAACCGCTGCAGTACGTCGACACTGCGGTGACTCGGTAGATGGCCAGTAGGCGTAGCGTGCTAAGCAAGTGCCAAACGGTGAGCTTAGAGGAAGGATTCCGCGGCATCACGTACAACCCGGCAAAGAAGTTGGGTGTATTGGCCGGCATTGGCTCGTTGGAGGTGGGGCAAGAAGGCCGACTTTGCCGTTTTGGGCATTGATCCACGGCTCGTGCCTGCGGGGCTGCTTCATTCCCAGTGCAGTGTGCTGGAAACGTAGGTTGGGGGTGTGGAAATCTAATCGTTTAACCGAATAGTACTGCATGAGTACGGATACATACATACCTAGGTAAGGTACTTTACAGTAATTCAAGTACATTCAGGTCGGAAAACTAAGTTGGATCTTGGATAATTGGAATTGTCAAGTGTTGCAGCAACAAGCTCCTCCAAAGGCGTGGATGACAAAGAGGATTTCCCGCGCGCGAGCCTGTCACCCCTGAAGCAGGGATACGGCCGACGTTCTGGAAGGACACACACACTTGTCGGGCTGGAGAGTGGGGGGGATTGGATGTGTCCGATCGGTCTCCGGAGACCCCGCAAAATACCCGTAAGGGAAAACCAGCCTAGGGTGTCACAGGCCAGTCGCGCCAGGGCAGCGCGGGCTGGCCGGAAACTCGCTGCCGTCTCTAATCCAGAAAAACGGCGACAAAGTCCACTCATCCGTACGGACCATGACTAATGCTTTCCAACCGAGAGCACGCCTGCGAAAGTTGTCATTTCCATCCATTTTCAACTCGAGATAAAGCTCTCGACCGGCAATCCTAACAAAATAACGTGTTAGTACTGCCGGTACGCTTCCGCTGTTGGAACCTTTGGGCTGCATCCAGCGTGTCTTGCCCGCTCAACCCCTGTCACCCGCACTAACAGACCCCCCATTCATTTCATCATTGCTCAAACTCGCTCGGCCCGAAAGGTGCAATCGCTCGTTGTTGCTGCCACCTATCATCCCAAAGTCCACCCTTGAGGCCATCGATTGCGCGCCGAAATCACAAAATGCCAGACCTCAGTCCAACACAAGGGCCGGGCGACACGGGTCCATTGCCATCGTTCTACTCTCCACAAACCGCTGCGCGCCAAACAGCAGAAAATGACGAAGATGTCAATCCAGCAGCTGGCCTGGCCCTCTCGACCGAGGACCCCGCGCCCTTGGGCTTGGGAGTCGACGATGAGCCCGACCATGTCGCACCGTCTGCGAGTACGCCATCTACACCGGTGCAGGCGCCGCCGTCGCTCCTATCTCCCGCCCTCACCCCTCCGTCGACACCGGGAGCCGCAACACCCAGCACAGGTGTTGCCCGTCTGCTGTCAGAGCCCCGCGGCATCCCCGTCGACAGCTCGATACCCACCGGCGGCTGTGGTAGCAAGCACCCGCAGCTTCTCGAGACGTTACCCCACGTCGAGTGTGTCGTGCGCGCGCGGATCCCCACGACCACGGGCGCCGAGATGTTTTTACATCTTTACACAAACGACGTCGACAAAAAGGAGCATCTTGCGATTGTATTTGGCCGAACCATACGCAGCAAGTCGCTTGACGCCGTCAGAGAAGGGGAGACCGAGCTGGACCGGCTAGTGAGAGGCGCATATACCGGGCGACTGTACCCAGGCAGGATAGCAAGCAATTTGGGAGCTTCGGCACCTGCTAGCAATGCTGCGATCGCGGGAATGGACACTGAAGAGAAGAAAGAGAAGACGCCGCCCCTGGTGAGAATACACAGCGAGTGCTACACCGGGGAGACGGTATGGTCGGCGCGCTGTGACTGCGGCGAACAGCTAGACGAAGCGGCCAGGTTGATGTCTCTCCCCAGTAACGACGCCGGCGGCATTATTATATATCTGCGACAGGAGGGGCGCGGAATTGGACTCGGTGAGAAGCTCAAGGCGTACAACCTGCAAGATCTCGGATCTGATACGGTCGAGGCGAACCTGTTGCTGCGGCACCCGGCAGACGCTCGGAGCTACGGTCTGGCAACATCCATGCTGCTTGACCTCGGCCAAAAGGAGGTCCGGCTTCTGACGAACAACCCAGACAAGATCCGCGCGGTGGAAGGCCCGAATCGCGAAGTAGTAGTTACGGAGCGTGTCGCCATGGTGCCGCTGTCGTGGAAGGGGCAAGGAGGGTTCAGAGCGCCAGAGGTAGAAAATTATCTAAAAACAAAGGTAATTCTTTTTCATCCCTTTCCCCCACCGTTAGAAGCGTGCTACGTGGAGTGATGAGTGATGGCGCTGACACGCGACGAATGACAGATAGAAAAGATGGGTCATATGCTCGATATGGGGTCACTGTCATAGCGAGGCGGCGTCAAGGAGGCTGTTTACCTGCTTGGTTAACCAATCATTGCGGCAGTGTGCGTCGTCGGCGCGCACACACAGCCAGAGCGCATGCACACATATACACCACTGTATGCGGGAGGCATTGAAAATTGTCTTGAGGTCTGGCGTTGTCTGGGTATATTTTCGTCGTTCAATCAACCACGATCAATGCACGAAAATGTCAAGTATATGTTTTCTATTGAGTATTACCAGTTCGAATCGTCGCCTAGTTAACAAACGAATGCCACCTGTCTTAATTCCCAATTCAATCGCATGTTCTAGCCGTTTATCTTTAAGGAACTAAATAATTAATACGGGCATATTAAAGTGATTGAGGGTTGCCTGAATATAAACATCTAGCTAGCCCCTCATCTGTATTCAACAATAAGCTTCAACAAGGTTGTAAGGTTTTATAGTGTAGCGGTTATCACTCCAGATTCTGATTCTCGCAGAAGTAGAGCTGTTCGGTTCTGGCGACCCCGGTTCGATTCCGGGTACGACCTATTTTTGCCTCTTGGGCCCTCGGATTGACCGAGGTTCTTCACCTAAGCTCTCGGAACCGAACAAGCATATCCCAGGTCGATGCACCTTCGTCAGTCGATGTGGAATTCTAGGTGGGTCTAATTAAACTCTATGAGCTGTTGTGCGCTTAATGCTTGGAAGCTTGTTTCTTTTCTCTTTGTAAGACTCTGCACAAACGGAATCTCGTTGAAACGCGTCGAAATTTCTTTTTATTTCTTCATCTGATTTTGAATTGCTATCGTCTATCTAAGGGGGCAAGGAAACATGAGACGCGTCATCATACGGGAGACGTGTCTCCCTTGCGGGCATAGCTGAGCGGCGGCAGCGCCAGTTCGTGTTCGACCGACGACGCCTCGACGGACACCGTGGCGTCCGACTTCTCCGAAAGCTGGCGCCGGTGCTCAGCCATTTCGAAATCCATCAGCTGCCTGTCCATCTCGCGGTCTAGGTCCCTAGCCGCATCTTCGCGGGTGCGTGGCTGTGACCTCAGGCGGGACCCACCGCCAGTCCTCACCCCCGTTCCGCCTTGCGATATGTAGGTGGACACGAAGCCTGGCGCCAGCTTGGAAAACAGTGGGCGCATGGGCGGGATCGAGACGCAGATGATTCCAAGACTGCACTCGATGACGGTCCAGTTCAGAGGGGACACTAGATAGTCTGTCGAATCAAAGTCAGAACGAGGCCGGTATTGACAATAGGGCCGATTGCAAATAGTGGATGAGACGAGGGCGGATAGAAAACGGCTTGAGGCTTACATGTCACATCGATGCCTTGCATGTCTCGTAACGACACAATACGGACGACGCTGACAATAAAAGCACTGTTTGATGAGCGCTCATTAGCGAATCTGCCGTGAGAGTGAAGACGGCCGATGGAGATAGTAGTTACATGAAGCCGACGCCAAACAGGACGCAGATGACGATCCTCTGCCTCAGCGGCAGGTTGAGGGACCAGAAGTAGGGCAGCGGCGCGGCGACGAGGACGAGGTCGGTAGCGATGCTGACGGCGGCGTTGGCGAACAGGAAGTCGGTAAACGGGAAACACTTTCTGTCCGTAATGTTGAAGTTCCACGCCGCCTCGACGGGCAAGCACTGGAATATGGTGGCGAAGATGGCGCTGATGCCAATGCCCACTACCAAAACGGCCGTCCCGTACATGATCCGCCGTAGCGTCTCGTGCGGGAAGATGCGCAGGTACGACGTGATGATGGACAGCTTGGTGAAAGCTGTGGCGACGGCGTAAAACACATGCGCCACGAACATGAGCTGTTGGCGTTTTTTTTTTGGTTCAGCTGATGATCGGGGTCAGATTCAACCAGGGGATTAATGGAGGGAACGGACCTTGACGCAGTGCGTGATCATGTCGACCATGTTGGAGATTGGCGGTGGCAGATTCCAGACGTGCATGCCGAGGCCATATTCAGTAGCGGCGAGGGCCGTCGAGGCCGACACGAGGGTGAAGATGGCGGCGAAGACGGCAAGCACGTCATCGGCGAAGAAGTGTCGGGTAATGAAGGCACGCGTGAATATCCGGAGCGACACGACGACGCCGACTAGCACGATGAAGGTGAGGTTGACGCGCCATATCACCGGCGCCGATGTCGACCTGTCGCTCAAGTCGTGCTGGGCCAGGTCCTGGATACTGGGGAAGGGGGCCGGAGTGTCGCGCTTGATAGAGAAGAAAGCCATATTTAATGCCAATGTCGCATTCTTCCTCGACCCAATCGTGAGATCCGCAGGTTTGGCCACGGCAAACGTAAGGTAACCCTACTGCATTGGCAGCTTGAGATGGGCCGCAGACATGGCACCTTTCCGGCGTAGCACTCGAGTATCGGAAGAGAACTAGGATGGCGAAGGGTGTCGATTTGACGTCGACGGAAAAGAAGGAAACACTTCCATACATAGTAACAGTGTAGCCATGGTCACGGTGCGCTAGCTGCGGTATTTTCCAGGACTTTTATCGGTCAGGGACCAGGACCAGGCTCGTTCCCATCTCACGTTTCCAGCCCGCTTTGACGATGCCGACTTGTGGACGGCATTGACGGAATCGCATGGCGTTCCTCTTATCATGGCCTCGGGGGCCTCTCTCTTGGATCTGCAAGGGGTCTGCAGCCTCTAGCAGCCTCTATTAGACGCCACACATGGTGCGGTTGGGCTTGGAGGAACAAATTCCCTGGTTTCTCTGGATTCACGCTGCAGGCAGCTGCAGAATCATTTCCCCCGCGGCCGCGTTGTGCGTCTTTTGGTGTGGAGCCAGAGGGGAACGCCCGGTGTTCGTCTTGTCGCCTTGACTCTGACACAAGCTCAGCCGCTCGCCGAGTCGCCGGCAAGGGCCTGAGGTGGAGTTTCCGCATCACACTACCCTTGCTCGGCTTGTTCCGCACTGGTCCGTCTCCCTATCACACTGCAGTATTCTGACGCGGTCAGATGTGCCCAGATGCGCGCTCGGACGATTGATGGCCGACCAAGCCATCTTCGGCAGCCCCAAGCTGTGCACAATCACTTTCCGGAACACTAGCCCGATCCTCACGCGGGTTGGGTTCGGTCAGAGCCAAAGATCGCTCTGATCAATCGCCGACCTGGTCCTTTCTGGATAACAATAACCGCACGTGTTATCAGGAGCGGGGTTACGCTATCAGGGGCGGGGAGCCAGGACCCTGATTATTTCTTGCAGTTCCTTAACTACTGTACCTAGGCCCTAGTAATTACCTACGCGGGATTGGTGATGCAATTGCACCCACCTAGGTACGCAGGATATTTATTTGTAACCTGCAAAAGTTTCAGATGACTCGCTCGGCAAGGGGAGACAAATGGCAGCGTCTCATTTCTTATCGATTACCTACCTGCCCTACTTCGATCAGTTATCTATATACTTTGACTTTAAGCGGAACGTTGTCTCCTTCTACCACACCCAAAAGCCACGATCAAGTTCTCGTGTCGCAGCTGGCGTAATAATTGGCCGTTGTTTCTGTTGGAATAGCGGCATCCGTGACCGTACCGCAGGCAAAGGAGGGAGGTGTCGTGAGTCACGTGCTGACCCACAGAACCACCCCCTGAATCGGCCTTGGCAGTCTTCATCGACAGGTCTATCAACCCTCCTCAATGAAAAACCATTCCCTCGTCTTGAGGAGATTTCTCTGCACCACCTCGCTGATGGTTTGCGCGATCGCTTCGGTCACGCTCGCCCTAGCCATGCCCTTATCGAGCGTGTAGTGGCGTACGAATTCGCCCTGGCAGTCGTCTATGACATCAGCCTTGCCGAAGAGACCTGGGTATCCGTTTGCGTCGTTGCAGTTGATTTCCTACGAATCATGTTAATAAGGCAGATACACAGTGCAGGCAGTCCGTGGCGCTTGATGGAGCAATAGTAGGCTAGCGAGAAAAAGGGGGCTGACTCACGACAATGTTGTCTCCGTCTGGATTGAAATCGTAACGAATGAATTCCGAGAATGCGCGTTGCTCGTGGCTCCACTTCGTCTTCCACTTTCCGCAGCCCGGGTATCTAGTCTCGTCTGTGCACGTCCTCCACGCGTCCATCATGTCAAAGGTGTGGCGGGAGCTCTGCGCCACGACGACGCCCGTGTTCAGCACAACCTTCCCCTTGCTGTCCATGCTCATCCCCTCGTTGCCCTGACGCGTGTCGATGGGCATGGCGATGGAAGTATTGGGGGCGATGTTCCAGCGGTTGAAGAGAAATTCCATGGGCACCTCGAGATGCTGGATTATGGCGTCGGCGTCGATGAAGACGACAAATCTGTACAGCTCAAGCATCTCTTTGAGGACGTGTGGCTTGATCCACGTGTCCCAGAGGCCATCAATGCGGCGTGCGTGAAAGTACTTGTATTCGTAGCCGTGTATTTGAGCTGCATTGGTGTGTAGTGTCAGCTTCGCTACATTAGCTGGGCGACTGTGGCAGCAGCAACAACCCACAGTACATGTAATGGTTAACGAGGGACGCAGTCAGGACGCCGCCGCTGTTCGAGCTTCCCGTCGCCCAGTCGATCTTCTGTGGGTTGAATATCTCATTCGGTCCATCCGGGACCCTTGTATCGATGTCGACGATGACTATATTCTTTCCCAGGCCCTGTGTCCAGTGGCTACGACCCCCATTTTCGAACACCTTGCCCCGCTGGTCCGTGTAGTTATTTGCGTCGACGGGGACCTTGATGGGTCTGTAGAGCTCAGCGACGATGTCGGCAAATGTCGAGTGATCCTTGGGAGGGGAAGTTTTCGTCGAGCCGGCAATGGCCCGGAACGGCGCCGTTGCGGAGCCGGTATAAAGAGTGGAAAAGGTGAAAGTGGCGACGAGAAATGCGGCGGGTATGCAGAAGATGGCGATGCGCTGGGAGGCGGCAGACAGCATCTTGAAGGAGCGCGAAAGAACAGGAAAGGAAAAGAAGGAGGTAATGAGCGTGGTACGAAAATGATTTGGAAAGGGGTTAAACAACAACGCAAGGGAGGGAAACACTGTCAGCCAAGGCAAAGGCTGCCAGCCAAGGGAGAGGAGCGAGGTAAGGGATGAGGCAAAGGGGGCGAGGCAAGGGGGGAGTAGAGTGAGGCGACGGGATGATAGATGGACGGATGGACGGCCTCCATCAACCCATCTGTTCTTCGGGCTCCCTTTCGTGTCCCTTTCCCCTTGTGGGTGTCAGGCTCCCCGGGGGCCGGGCTCACCCAAACAAACAGCCAACAAATTTGGTTTGGTAAAGGGTGATGATCTCTGATGTCTTGCTCAAAAGTTAGACCTAGTGCTGGCCTGGCACAGCAATAATAATTATACGTAGCCAGACGAGACCCGACGGCGTTGACGGAATTCCGCTTCCCAGCCCCATGTTGAACGCGTAAGCCATAAGCAAGCCAGGTAACTGCTCGGTAGTTGAATCAAGTATCGCCGTTTGCAAACGTGGCCGAGATTGTTTGATGGCGCTTTGTGGACATTTCATTTGGAACTAGTGCCAAAACCGGGCAAAACTGAGCAGCCACCTGCCTGTCAGTCTGTCGAAGCCGTCGACTGGCCCGGATTTGGGCGCGAATTTGTAGTGCCCGAATGCGGAACTGTCCTGCTGAAGAGAATAGCTCGATCCTCCTGTTTTTGGTGTTGTCGTATTCATACATGTGGGTCCGTCCTCAACGTTAGCGAACCAACCCGGCGACCAAGACAATGGGCCCACCGGCCGCCGTGTTTCAACCCCCCTAAGTACCATTCAATTTCGACGGGCTCCAAGGTAAATTAACGGCGGTGAGCGGCCACTGGAAACTCATCCAACGATCAATGACGGGCATTTGTGCCTATCCCGTCCGCTGGAAAGCACTCCGAAGTGTCGTGTCACGCTCGGTGCATGCTCCGTGGCTTGGGATGTTTCCGTGTGATAACGCGCGTTCACTGCGCCCCCATTGGTTTCTTTATCATCTCGGACTCGCTAACTGCATGCCTGTCAATCGCTGGAGCGCATCTAGAATTAGTAAAGGAATGACCATTTTTAAAAACTATGCCGCCACAGTAATTACATCGCCGGGCTTGAAGAATGCGGGATGGATCAATGCAAAGAGGCCGCTAATTAAGAGAAGCTCGGGAGTCGGCGGCTCCTTTGTCTCCAGTGTTGCTGCACCTCATCAATCTACCTCATGTATCCAGTTACGTAAACGTGACAAACACAGCAAAAGCGATATCGACCAACTGCAATACGTACGGAATAAGCCGATTTGAGTCTAGGAGTTCTCGCTCGGCGTCATGGCAAGGCTTAATTTGGCTTCGGCAACAAGCCGCCCCCAACCCCGCAAATTGAAACTCATTTTCCTCCCCATTTCGAGATGGAATAACCAGGAATTCGTTACATGTATATTCTAGGAACACATTGGCGCGCGCATTTACCCAAGCTACCTTATTTTGGACTTTTTCATCACATTCAATTACATTCCTACGAGCCTGCTAATTATTGTGACTTCTCGCATCTCAGGCAGTCGAGCTTGGATCGATTCGCATATTCGGTAGCTTTCTTGAACGTCCCCGGGCCGTTCTATCTCGTGACTATTCTATAATTCTAACCGCTATTAGGCTCGGGTTAGTAGGTATTTCATTATATTGGCCCTGGAGAAGGCGAATTACCCGAATTACGGTTCATTCTTTTGTTAACTAGTTAACTAAGATTTCTCCCGCCTTGGTAGGGAACTATTATGTATTGGCGCTAAAATAAAGCCCCATTTGGGTGGTAATTCTGTCTGTATATCTGGCCGCATCAATCTGATTCTTCACGGTGTCATGTTCAGTCCCATTTGTATCAATCATTATGCACAGGCCTAATTAGGTAGGTAGGTACCAAGCTCCCGTGGCTTGGGCCATCTAAAAAAACAGGCTGGAATCCTACGTGGAATAGACATATTTCGATGATCTACACCGGGGGCAAAGGTCCGGTGGTCCAACCCAGGGCCGTGGAATCGGACCCGGCTAATGTGGAATATATCATTTAGGTAGGTGCTGATGCCTAGCCGCCAATGTCCCTTGATGCAAACCCCGAACCCTATTTGGATCTCGTTCTTGCTTGCTTGGCGCCATGAGGCTGAACAAACAGCCAACCCTTGAGCCTCAAACGTTTGATCCAACTTCCAAGCCATTCTCGAGAGAATAGGCGTGGCAAGTATGGGCCCGCCCGGAACCTCCTGGTCTAGACTTTCGTTAAGCTCAACTCCCGGAGGGGCAAGCAAAAATTAATTACATTAGGTGATTAATATTCTGTCCATTCTTGATGATTCAAAGATTACAAGTCCCCCGCCGGTACCTGATATGATTCCATACCCAACGATGGTTGTTGGCTTTTCATTTCGGGAGCTCTAGAAAATGTAAGACAGGGCTTAAATTATCAATGCATATTAAGTTTGCAGCTGCGTCACACCCGCCTGCATGCCTGCCGATCATGCATTGCATGACGTGCCAAGGCCGACGACACATGTCAGGAACGGAACGTGATCTGCGAGAAGGATCGTTTTTTCAATTTGATCTCCTTATTTATTTTTCAGAGAAAGTGGCCCCTCGAAAACATTTCCATCGGAGAAAAATACAATGGAACGCGCACGAAAATCTACCATAACGACATATCACGCAGTTAGGTACCCGATAGTATCGGCCCTTCGCAACAACCATCTTAGCTGCATCCTCCTCAAGTCCTCACACCCCCCTCCACGACACAACGACATGAATTGTCTTGGCCTAGCCCGACGGGTTGTTGTTGAAGGCGAGGTAGTTGAGGCTGCCGCTGGGCAGGCCGACAATGACGTTCTTGGTGGAGATGGTCTGGATGTAGGTGCACAGGGCGGCCGGGGTCTTCTTGCCAAACAGGGTGAGCAGGTAGGCGCCGAGGCCCGCAACGTGCGGCGAAGCCATAGAGGTGCCCGATATAGTGTTCTAGACGCGCGTCTAGTCAGTGTGTGGCTAGCTGCAAAAGGGGAAATCAGAGACTTACGGTCGCGCTGGTGCTGCCGATCCACGTGCTCAGGATGTTGGTGCCGGGGGCCCAGATGTCCACGATGGCGCCGTAGTTGGAGTAGCTAGCCTTATTGTCGTTGATATCGGTCGCACCGACAGTGCAGGCGGTGGCCTCGCTGGCGGGCGAGAAGGTGTTGGCGTTGACGTTGCTGTTGCCAGCGGCAACGGCGAGGAAGACGCCGGCATTGACCAGAGCCTTGGCGGCATTGTTCATCGACGTCGAGAGACTACCGCCGAGCGACATGTTGGCCACGGTGCCGTTGGGGCACGAGCGCGTCTGCGAGTCGGTGGCGACAAAGTTCATGCCGGCAATGACGCCAGAGCTATTTGATTGTTTACTCGTCAGTTTACTCTAGAACCAATCGTGGGTGAAAAGGGGCTGGGAGGAAGACATACGTAGATCCAGAGCCAGAAGCATCGAGCACCTTGACAGCGTACAGATTTGTCTTCTTGGCAACGCCGTACAGAGTCGAGCCAATGGTTCCAGCGACGTGCGTGCCGTGGCCGTTGCCGTCAGTGTTGGAGCTGTCGGCATAGTTGGCGAGCCAGGTGGCACGGCCGCCGAATTGCTGGTGAAAGTAGAGCTTTTAGCCAACGATGATGGTTCCTTTGGTTGCAAGGGGGCAAAACTCACGGTATGGGCAGTGTAGATGCCCGTGTCAATCACATAGGCGCAGGTGCCCAGGCCGGCGCTGTCGTCGTAGACATAGGTCGTCGAGCCCTTAGCGTGGTGCGAGATACGGCCCAAGCCCCATGGAGCACCAGTCTGTGAGACGTAGGTGTTGATGGTGAAGATGGCCTCCTGCTCAATGTACTCAACCTGAAGAAAAAGGGTCAGCAGATCGAACATTGCACAGCGTTTGAATGCGGCATGCTTACATCGGGGATGGCCTGGATCTTCGCGAGGGTGGCGCTGTCAATCTTGGAGGCGAAGCCCTTGAACTTGCTGCTCGCCTTGTAGACGTGGTCGGGCTTGATGGACGCAAACTTGCTGATGACAGCATCGAGGGCTTCGTTGCTGGCGCCGTCCTTGAGCTTGACAATGTACTTGCCGGGCACGAGCTTTCCTTCGCGGGGCTGGATGATAGAGGCCCGCGGGGCGAGGGGCTCAGGACCAGGCACCGGGGCAGGTGCGGCCAGTGCCAGGGGCAACAGGCACACGAGAGCCGAAGACAGATGCATCTTGACGAGGCGTCTCGATCAAGAACAAGGACCGGGAGATGAGTGACAGCTGGGGGAGAGACCGTGGGGAGCGAGAAAGAGAAGTCTGAAAGCTCTTTCGATGTCCTGGTGCCCTTTGATGCCGGATCGTGAGGATGTTGAGTCATCTCTCTATTTTGCCGGAGGAGGAGCTGGTGATATTTATCTCGGAAGGCGAAGCCATGGTGCGTTCTTTTTCTCCCTGCTACGAGTACGGCCGAGGATGCCGACGAAGCCAGAAGACAGACGACCTTCCAGATTGGAACTCTCGCGAGGCAACCTCGTACGCGCCAAGGCTCTGGTTTTGGCGCCTCGAGGAGCGAGTATCTGGTGTCATGTTGATCTGATAGTTGACAAACGGCGCTTGAGGTCTCGGCGCTGCGGTGGGTGGACTGGTCGAAGACAGGACGACGACAGACACACCTTCCAGGTTCGGTCTCTCAGCCGCCGGCCACTGGTTCTCTCATGTGAGTGCGGGCGCTCCCGCCAAGCCAAGGGAACCCCCAAGAGAGGCGAGCCCGGGGAGGCGACCTGACGTTTTGAGCTCTAGCAGCCGTGCCTGCCAGGCATGCCAAGAGCTTCGAGAAGGCCCCGTGCAGAAGCAAAGTCACTGACCTAACGTAACGAGTTTAAGCAAGCGGCAGCCTGTCGATCGCGGCACGGATTCGAGGGGGGCCGGCAGTCTTGGCTTACCACACACTCCTCATCGTGTTGGGTGTGAAATGCCAAGAGCCGCAACGCCCCTCGAAGCCAACGAGACCGCACGATTTCAAATCTGCCAAGAGCTGTTTTTTTGGACGGAGAGGGCGCGAGCCGGGGAGGGGAGCGCAACCGCGGCAGCCACTTCGATCGAGACTATCGACTGCCTTGTATCACGCGACACAAGTACCACCCAAGGAGCGTTCGATGGCTGGCTGAGTTTTCTGTGGCGCCAACGCGTTGGACCAAGTCGCCATAGACTGTTGAATGAGACTCATCTCGATCAAGTCCACCTCGGCCAAGGAACTAACTCGCTTCCAGGGAGTAGACGAGACTAAGTACTGCCTGCCACGACACGACTAGTCTCTGCGATTACCGAGGATATACTAGTTAAGGTGGGCCTGTATCTGAGAGGGAGGAGACAAGATCCTCAGGTAGATCCTAGTTATTCTTGCCACCTAGCCGGCTTCTAGTTACGTATTTGGACTTGACGATGGTAAGTCGCGGATGGCGTCGGGGACGTTGTTTGGACCCCGCGGCGTCGAGTGGGGCGGGGGACGGGGGAAGAGGAAGGACAGCATGAGGGGTGGGATTGCCGACAGGTGCGTCTGCTAGGATACATGTCGAGCTCTCTCCAGGTGTGTCTTGTTGCGAGGCGCGCGTAGAAGGTTTGCTGTTCTGCCTCGGACGTGACGGCCATTGGCCGACCCATTAGGCTTCGCACCAGGTGGGCAGGTGGTATTGGAACTCGAAGGCTACCTTGCCTTAGCCACAGTATTCGAGCATTGTGAGTGTTCAGGTGTTGGGATCAGGTTCAAGGACCTGCGCCAAGAACATGCGGTGCTCCCAGAGCCGGGGCAGGACCGGGCAGCAACCGGCCACCACTCCAACCTGGGAAAGGGGACTGAGACACGTCGGGATTACCGCAGCGGGACGCCGCTCCAAGTCGTCGGGAATAATAGCATAATTAGGAGTGCCTGGTAATTAATAAATCTGCAATGTCGACTCTTGAACTGGGTGTCGGTTTGAGTCGCAAACGCGCCGTTCCTGCATCACCCCAGGAATAAACTCGGGCCTGCCCGGCAGTCGCGCTCGCCATCGTAAATGCTCCGCGCAGGGCTGGGCTAGCTCTAGTGGTGCAGAGGGAGAGATAAGGATCGCTACCCCTGTAGTTGTCTGCCGAACCAGCTCGGCCCGCAGCGCCAAGGATGGCGCCATGGGACGATGAGAATCATCCAGCTGCCGGCTCTTATCGCAATTACATCCGCCTTCCGCATCGGGCGCAGTCCGACATCGAAACCCCACACTCCCTCCCGCAGGGAGTTGCCATCTGGAGGCCGCATCCGGGATCGATATCAGCCACCTCAACTGTTTTTCTCGCTGCGGCTGGATGCATGGCGGGGTGGCTCGAGTGGGGGCTCCTAGGATACAGGCCCCAGCATCCTCCCGGGCCATCCAAGCACCAAGGTTTAGGCTTCTGAACATCCCTAGTGCCTCTATAGTACTAACTAACTGCCGAATCGGGGTCGAGTCCGCCGGTCACGTCACAGCTCACATCTCAGATCTTCACGAGTTCTACCTAGTACTGTCTCGCCCAGTGTTAATGGAGCTGGTCTTGGAGCAGGTGTCACGACACTGTCTCTCAGCCACCAAGGTCATTTCTGACTTGTTGTCCCTGAAGATGACACACGGGGTAATAGGCAATTGTGAGATAGCAGTTTACTAAGAAAATATTCAGCACTAGATAAGCGAGACCGAACTTGATAGTTTAGTCTGATTGACAATCTCACCTAAACTGCCCTGGACATGGGGGTGATCAGGGGGCAACTGGCGTGCTATCGAGGTAAAGTGGTAGATACGTACAAGAAAATGAATCTCTCACGACATGCATGACACTGGCACATCAGGAGTAGCCGCTTTCGGTTGCTTCTAATGACGTGCATCGTGCAAACTCCTTCCGGAAGCACCTACCAAAGTGGTAATTGCCTAGACTCGAGTCAAGGTTTCGATCTAACAACCTCCATGGTGCTTGCAAATCAAAACCAGACACTTCCTGTAGATAGATCTCGACTAGGTACCTACCTGAACTCATGAGACGTCTGCGAGAGGGACAACTATTCGACAGCCCCTTCAAAATTGAAATGACTCGCCAAGACTACGCTATCTACAGTTCTACGACCACCCACCCACTCACTCACAACCTTCATTATTTCTAGATGGTACCAAACTTGTTCACGCTGACGCCCCTCCAGTCATGATATCATTGGCGTCTTTTCCACTCCAATGAGTGCGCCGAGTCCAGCGCAACATGGAGGGATTTAGAGGCGGTCTGAGAAGTGAACTTGGACCCGGTGGTGTTCAGGGGTTTGAGAAAGTGCCCTGTATCTCACGTCTCTTCTTTCGATTGTGTTGCCCAAAGTGAATTCTTAGCATTGACTAGATAGGTACAAGGGTAAGTAATACTTTCAAATAGAAGACAGCACGTAAACTCATATTCGAGCCCGCCTCGTTGGTTCTCCTCTTTCCACGCTCCATGTCAAATGATCACTGTGTAGACCAAGAGAGAAGGAAAGAAGTGTTATCATTTCTCGTATTGCCATGAAAATTGCATTGACTTGTCAGATTCTCCCCTTTCTTTTGCTTTTCAAACCTGTCCTACCTTGCTTGCCCCCTCATTTACATACTCACGCCTCACTTCATTTCTCCCCTCAATTCCTTCCCCATTGATAGCATTGATTACCTGATACGGCCGTAGACCGACCCGGCCAGCTCATCATGCCCCATTTTGTACAAATCTATCATTTACCTCACTACTTCGCTGCCTCCCCCGCTACAGCCCATCAGCCCCAGCCTCCCGGTTCTTTGGGTTGTCTTCTATATCCATCTATTTGGAATGACCCTGTGACACGTATGCCTACGTGTTCGCTCTCAGGTAGGGAAGTTTCTTGATGGAGATATGGGCACCCGTCCTCTGTCTTAGAAGCAAGTTTCTTCATAGCATCTTGTAGTCTGGCCATTGCTAAAGTTACTTCTTACACATGCCCTCTTTTTCCTTTCCAACACTTGCACATTTGTAGGTCCGCTACCATACCCAAGGTGAGCCAAACAGAGATAAATTGCCTCGCTGAGGTGGGCACACTGATCGCTCTTATATCATCCCAACTAATACCAGCTTTTGTTCAGTACCGGAAAATACACAACTCCATCAGATCACCGCCCCGTCTGTCCAACCTGTTCCCACTGTCCGTCTATATATGCATGAGCTATTTCCAAGGAAAAGAAAAGTCAAAGAAGGGTATCGCAGCCGAAAATTGACACCTGCCCTCAGCTGTACCAGGTCGACTTCTTGCCGGCCTCAATGCTCTCGAGTATTGTACACCTTTCGTTTTGGCACACCTTGTTCCTATCAAGCTTCTTGAAGACGGGCCCAAGCGGGCCGTCGGTGTAGTGATATTCTCCAAATAGCCTCCACTGGCGCTTGTCACTCAGAGGCAAGACGTCGTCACCCCAATACCCCTTGAAGTGAAACCACGATGTTGGGGCGTCGGGGTTTGATGACGCCGGTGCCAGGCTGGTCCGGTTCTGGCCAGTCGGATTCTTCTCCTCGGCCCAGCCAGCCTCGTAGTCGTACCAGTAGGCATAATTGTTCAGGGTCGGATCCCAGAGCGGGCCCTTGTCCGTGATGTCCTTGAGCATCTCGAAGGGGAGGACGTACGGGTGCATGCCGGAGGAGGCGTACATGGCATGGCTGCCTACCGCGGAGTAGATGACGGGACGGGCGGGCTTGTCGCCCTTCTGTGCCCGCTTCTCGAGCGCTTGCCACGCATAGGCTTTGCCGCCAGCATGTTCGCTCAAATACATGGCTTTTGGGACCCCATGCTCAAACCGCGTCATGCAATGCTCCCAATCGCCAACGTGGTTCCCGAAGCGCATGCGGAGCACGGTCTGTCCCAGGTTATAGCTGTAGAAATAAAACCAGAACGCGTCAAGAATTCCTGCGCCCTTGTCGACGAGGATAAGAACGGCGGGCCCCTTGGAATACCCGCTTGGGTGGGGCTTGTTACCCTCGTCACCGCCGTCTACAACGAGGGGCGCCTGTGCTCCGAAAGAAGAACGTATTTGTCGCGACCCTCGCTGGATTCCAGAGAACTTCTTTGGCTCGACTATCCTATTAGGCGGGTGGTCCTTATCGGCATCCCACCACCTCGTACCGTCATTGGGCTGCTTGGGCTGATCGCGCCAACCAGCATCCTCGTCTTCCCCTTCTTGAGGATCGTCGTTGTCGTCAAAAGGCACCGGAACCCCCGAGTGACTGTGGAGCCATTCTGGCCTTGTCTCCACGTCGTCCTTGCTCGACAAGAAGACAGTGCCGTTTATCTGGTTCAGTGTCCCGAGGTTGTCCAGGCTCAAAGGCTGCGACACATTTACCGGCACACCGCCCACAAGCGGATTCATGTGCCGGATATGCTCGGCTATGTCTGACGGCAAGAATTCCTCTCCAGAGTAGATATGTACTAGTGGCGCATGCGCGTAGACAAAATCCGGGATATCATCTAGTATCTTAGGCGCGACAGTGACGTCTATTTCCCTCCGGCTGGGCCTCGTGTCCCTTTGCATGGGAGCAGTCTCCCAGGTGCTCATCCCGGATTTCTGAACGAACGTTCTCTCCTCGCTCCACCCTAAGACCAATGACTTAAACATCTCGAGCCTTATATCAACGCGCTCGTCGCTATGATCTGGAAGCCTCGCGGGGTCATATCTCAAGTGATGGACGCCACATACACCCAGCCAGCGACAGGCCTGACGGTCGAGCCAATATGGCGACGTGTTGACCCATTTCTGATCTCGGTCGCGCTCGTCGGCGTCGGGCGGTGTGGGATTGAGGATGCGAGGCAGGAGCCAGAGGAGGAAGACGACGGTCGCGACGAGAATGGCGGCGATGGTGGCTCGCCGAAAGTGATGGAGCATGCCGAATTCGCGCGCAACCTCGCGCGCAGTCCGTCACGAAGCAGGCAGTTCGGATAATGGCGTCAGCAGCCTCAAAATCGCGAGTTCGCGCCGCAGAATCGAGGGCAGCGTTGAGGCTCAAGACCTGGTGCAGGAGGGGAGTTTGGTAGACCACGCAGCCTGCAAAGGCACCTTTGCAACGGACTCGGAGGGTCGGTCGAGGTGAGAGAGAACGACTGGAATTATTCAGTTCGGGGAATATTCTGTATAGTCTTCCGGAAATAAGGGTGCAGCAGTCCAAGTTAAAAGGCCTCTAGGTCATTGACAAGCCGGATCGGCGGGTTAGAGAAGAGCAAGAATGGCCTTGGAGTCTTTGGACGGGGCCAAGGAATTCTGTTTCAAACTTCAGTTGGTTGGGTTCCATGGTCCGCCAGTGCCGGAACGTGCACGTCATCCAGCGGGTACTGTACCAGTACTGATTTGCGGCGCTGGCTACGACGAGGTTGCAAGTACTGGTACTGTTCACTTCAGGAAAGTTACGGAATACGGATTGGCTGTCAGAAGGCCCGCGTTTCGTTCGCCGGCAATTCCCGCCAGCCAGCCCCCCCTGATCCTTGACAATGCAACCTTGCTGACTCCTGACAGATGCACGAGACCTACTCGGTAGACTCGCTGACTTATTTATTCCATTCCACTCAGAGCTGCCGAATCCACCACATGTACGACGTACAGGTGAAAATTGAGTTGTTTTATTTAAAACACGAGATGGTTATGATCTCAAAAGAGCACGGTTTCAATCCCTTGAACTCGATTCGTCACAGCCTCCGCCTCTCATGCGAATGTATTACCTTTACAAGGTGAGAGCCTTTTCGTGGCAGGCTTACTGCGGTGCAATGGGCTGGCAACACAAAGGAGATATGGCTCAACCCAAAAAAAAAATCCTAGGGAATAGTCTGGACTGAGTTTATCGCCGAAATCGCAAAAAAGAAACATGGGTTATAATTGGGTGATGTAGTTCAGCCCAGACTTCCTTCCCGATCGGAGACGCCATCCGGCTCCCGAACGGCTGCTTCGGCGCGAGGCAAATCGGACCAGTGGGCAGGTGTTGGAGTCGACTCGTCTGCCCAAGCCGTACTCGAGCTGCGATTGTCTCCTGTTACGCTGTCCCTTCGGATCAAGACGGCGCGTCGGGTTCGTGGCCTGGAGCCAGGCCCTCTCCTCCCCTTCGTCGCCTTTTGTCTCGGAATATAGCTCCCCTCCGCAGCGAGTGCTGCGCTCGCCACCCCGCCCGTCGCTGTGCCAATCGTTGCACTCGTCTCATCCTTCTTCCTCTCGCGGAAGGCAAGCATACGCATATGGTCTGCGCGGAGCTTATTCCGCCGACGCTCCTCCTCTTCATCCTCCACCATCAACCGATTCTGCCTCGTCTCTACCGACTGAATGGTGACCTCGTCTTTCTCGCCGCGCTTGCGCTTCAGCGTAATCAAATCTTCCAAGAAATGGGCCTGGGGCTGTCGCTGGCCGCTCTTGTCACCGCCAATGTGGACGTATATCCCACCATTCCGCCGGTACCGCTCTGGAATATCCTCGTCCCTCTCATATTCTTCCCTTGCAGGCTCCGGTTCTCGCGACACACCGACATTCTTTAGCACCAAGGTTGCCTCCTTGAAATTGATTCGTGAAGCGCTCGCCGCCAGGAGGTCGATGTTCTGGTTTAACCTTCGGAGAAGCGGTAGTGCTGGATTGTCCTCGTGGGGTGTGAAGATCATCTCTGTGCCGATGTTCTCCACCCAAGAGCCGCGAAAGACATGGTTTCGATATGAAATGATTGGCTCGGCCGAGTGAAGGTCTAGTATTTGGATCTCGTCGACGGGGTCGTCATTCGGCTTGTCCGGTCTGTAGATGTTACCCCCCGGCTGTCCCTGCAGCAGCGGGTCTATCGGAAGCTCTGATCGAGAGTCGGATGGCGCCAAACCGATGTTGTCTAGGTCCGGCAGCCCGTGCTCTGGGAGCTCGCCGTCGTCGCCATTTTGGTTATTTGTGATGAGCTCCGAATTTGTGGCGCGAGGTTCTGGCGCATTGAAGAGAGGATTATACCACACTCGGTAGCCTCCTCGCGTCTGGACGACTGTGCCTTTCCTTCGTTCGAGAAAGTCGCGAACCGAGAGGTCCAAGGTTAGGTAGTAGGTCTAACTAGGTGTTAGCGGCACTGGAGTGAATCCCACCCTCTAGAACCCTCACTTCTATTTCTGTTGTGGAATACTCGTATTCCCACTCGTCTTCGTTTTCTTCCTGTACGGAAGGAGTCTGCCGTAGCCTGGAATCTGAAGCCATTCTCGTCAAAGTTCTCGCCTCCCAGGCCAGTCCGGATTACGTTGAGTCGGTTTGCTAAGCCGGTCGATTGGCCGTCAGTTGAGGTTGGTTTACGGGCTCCAATCGGAAAAGATAAGCTGGAATGCACGCGACACTACATTCGTGTAATTTTATTCAGTTCCTGAAAGGGAAGCTCGAATTGCGCATGGTTGCCCGACAAAATGCCCGCGTTGCTGGGTTGTTTTGTCCCTGTACAGTACAGAACGCGGGCCTGTTCTGTAGAGGGGCACGCCTGGGAAACAATTTAGCGGTAGGCTCCGGCAGAACCGTTTACAGGGCCGCTTTGCGGGGCTACTGTGACCGAGAGTAGCTCCACTCTGCGCAGGCCTGCTAACGAAACGAAAAAATGCCCCGCCATCGAAAGCGCCCCTCCATCACCAATTTTGAACAGACAGACCTTGAGTCACCCTCCGACGAGTCACTTTGAGACGTTCTTGGAAGCGGCTCTTCCCCACGACTTCGTCTCTCTTGATGCACGCTTGGAATTATCCAGTTCAACCTTTTGGAGTGGACAAGACACGATGCCGAAAGTCCACCTGCTCGATTATGTTGCTGGCAACGTGCGCAGTCTCGGCAATGCCATTGAGAAGATAGGGTACGAGGTCGAGTGGGTTAGGACGCCCGAGGAGGTCGCAAATGCTGAGGTGCGCTCTCCTTCGCTCTCCTATGCTTGCCCTTTATTCTTTGTTGTCGAGCAGTCTGTCCAAACTCGCTCCCTGATCTGCTGCTGACGCATGGCGCGGACAGAAACTGATTCTCCCCGGTGTCGGCCACTTCGGCCACTGCCTCTCGCAACTGTCTTCGGCGGGCTACATGCCTGCACTGCGCGCACATATTGATTCGGGAAAGCCGTTTATGGGAATATGCGTTGGGTTGCAGGCTCTGTTCTCTAGCTCCGCCGAGGACCCTGAATGCTCTGGATTTGATGTTATTCCTGGAACACTCGACCGGTTTGACGACGCAACAAAAGCAGTACCGCACATCGGATGGAACAGTGCATCGTGCCCCACGAATCCCACGTTATACGGCCTGCGCCCCGACTCCAAGTACTACTACGTTCACTCGTACAAGTTTCCGTACAATAAGGGGGAGCTAGAAGCTTTGGGATGGGCTGTGGCCACTGCGACATACGGCGGCGAGACCTTTGTGGGCGCCGTGGCAAAGGGCAACGTTTTGGCTACGCAGTTTCACCCTGAGAAAAGCGGAGTTGCGGGCCTGAGAACGCTCCGCGCATTTTTGGACGGGTCTGGCGCTGCGGCATTGGCGACGCAGTCTCCAGGGGCAACCAACGGCGTCGCGGATACCCTGATCGCACACGAAGGGCTGACAAGGCGTATAATTGCGTGTCTCGACGTGCGCACCAACGACCAGGGGGACTTGGTTGTTACCAAGGGCGACCAGTATGACGTGCGGGAGAAGTCTGACCGGTCTGTAAGAAACCTTGGCAAGCCGGTCGAGCTTGCGAGGAAGTACTACGAGCAAGGAGCCGACGAGGTGACGTTCTTGAATATCACTTCCTTTCGCGACTGCCCGATTGCCGACTTGCCGATGTTGGAGATTCTAAGGAAAACATCGGAAACTGTTTTCGTCCCGCTGACGATAGGCGGCGGCATCCGGGACACGGTGGATGTAGATGGAACCAAGGTCTCGGCCCTCGAGATTGCAACCATGTACTTCAAGAGCGGAGCCGATAAGGTATCCATTGGCAGCGATGCCGTCCTTGCTGCTGAGGAGTACTATGCGGGGGGGAAGTCACTGTTCGGGGACACTGCTATCGAGCAGATCAGCAAAGCATATGGCAACCAAGCGGTTGTCGTGAGTGTGGACCCCAAGCGGATATATGTGCCCAGGCCTGATGTCACACGCCACGCAACGCTGAAGACGCAATATCCCGGGCCAAAGGGGGAGCAATACTGCTGGTACGCGTGTACCATCAAGGGAGGGAGGGAGACCCGGGATATGGACGTTGTGGAGCTTACTCAAGCCGTTGAGGCGATGGGTGCGGGAGAGATCTTGCTCAACTCCATCGACAAGGACGGCACGAACAGCGGGTTCAATCTGGAGCTAATTACGCAGGTCAAGGAGGCGGTTAGGATACCTGTCATTGCTAGCAGTGGAGCAGGAATCCCTGACCACTTCCAGGAGGTCTTTGAGAAGACGACGACAGATGCTGCTCTGGGCGCTGGAATGTTCCACAGAGGCGAGTATACTGTACAACAGGTGAAAGACTTCTTAGGGGCCAAGGGTCTCGTGGTTAGATACTTTGAAGGAGACCTCTAGGCTATGTCACCTCTAATTCATCACGTTATTGGTCTGAGTGTGAGACATTCTGATGTAAGAACTAATTCTCATCCAAAACATCCAGTGACTGAGTTCGGCACGACCTATTACGGCACTCTGTGAACCTATCCTAGGAATACTATCCCAATCTGTCGAGTAGCCACCCGATATCAAGGAAAAGGGGGGGTCGTATCGAGAAAAGAAAACGCCTAGTAAGAGAAGAGTAATGAAGGATTGGCAATGAAAATCGAGACTGAGCCACGAATGACAGTAAAGAATCCCCAATATCACACTCCTAATGCAATAAGCATGCACACTGTCTGCATCCTTAGACTTCCATGCCCATGAATAACCATTGACGACTGATGACGTCGCACCCCCCTGAGATAAAATCGAGTGCAGTGAGTGAGAACCCAGCCCATTGCAAACCTTTGGTTAACGCCTGCGCCTCATCTCCGGGTATCGAGCGATCGATGCAAATGACCATGTGTGTGCAAGCGAATGGACCTTCGGCAAGCTCGATCAAAGCGACGAGCCTGTTTAGGAGGGGTCAGCTGGGATCCATTTCTAACAGTATGTACTGAAGAGGGGTATATGCATGGGTGGACGAAAGGCCAGGTACATACGCTTTCTTGAGGTCGCGGCCAAGGACGTGAGCGTCAAAAAAGACGAACATGGACTTTTCCTCCCCGCTGGCATTCTCTGCCAGGAATGCGCGGAAGCTCGAGCCGCCGGCATAATCCCAGATCTCCAACCACGCGTTGACGCCGTGGCCGCCGCCGCCCGCCATCCAATTTTCATTGGCAATGGGATAGTCGTACGGTGGTGTCAGTGGTCCAGCGGCCGTCATGCCAACGCCGCCGGTAGGAGTTCCATCCAAGATCGGACGGCCGTTACCACTCCCACCACCTGTATTATGGACAATATTGGTGTTGGTATCGTTGAAGTAGTACGTGTTGTTGTTATTGTTGTTGTTGTAGTTGTTATAGGCACTGGTCAGGCGGGAGTGCTGCGACGCCGAGTTCCCCTCACCTAGAAACGTGGCGCGCAGTATCTCGCAAAAGAATCTCTCACATTCTTCCCTGATCCGCAGTGCTGCCCCCCCTCGACGGTGCTGTCGAGTGGTGTTGTTGCCCGAGCCGGTCCGACCATGGATGCTGCTACGCGATGATGACTTCCTCGCCTTGGGAGTCAGCGTGAGCTCATTGGTCGGCGTGAGGGCCGCGAGGGGGGGGCTTGAGGGCGGCGATGGAAGTCCCGTGGAAGGGACCTCAGGAATACCACTCAGCCCCTGTGGCGCCCGTAGTGCAGTAATGGAAGCCCTTCAGCGAAGTGGCAGACGAGTCGACCAGGTAGCAGCTGGCGAGGATACTGGCCTGGCGAACAATGCCCTCGCCGGGTTTACTACTACTGTAATTATTACTGTTCTGTTTCATTGGCGCCATTGAGACTTGAGGATGCCAGTTTCGCTGGCAATCGAATATAGACTCGGTATGTCGGACGGAATCCAGTGTTGCGGTCGTCGCGGCGGATTTCGAGTGCGGATGAGGATGCGAAGTGGCGGATTTGGAGGAGACAAGGGCCGCGGAGGCGAGGTTTGATCCGTCAGGAGCAAAAAGGTACGGGGCGGCGAGAATGGCGAACCAAAGGGATTCAATGACTGAGAAACTTGAGAAGCGACTTTCTTCCGCGATTGTGCGTTTCTGCGATACAACGACGATTGAGTCAGGGCGGGTGCAAGAGGCTGAAATGGCGGTGTTACAAAGCCGACGAGCAGGAGTCCTTGGGTTTGTATGGATGTGTCCGGTGGAAACTCGGGAGGTATGAGGGAAAACCTAGAAGAATCTCGTTGGCTCAGCTGGGCAGATAAAGGTGGGGTGGCGGAACGGTCCTTGCTCTGAATGGACGAAGGGCTGTCACGTGTTTACCGCGCCCGGGCTAGTTGGGCCACATCTCCAACGGGCGTGGCCCAACCAGCCCGGGGAAGGCACATCAAACCGACAAAGAACCCAACCAAAAGTTTATCTTCAAAGTTTCGACGCCATGGCCTGCGAACCGCAGCGCCATTGGCCTGGTCTTGCTAAGACTTGGGCCCTCCCAGACCCACCTACGCAGGCCTGCGAACTGGTCTTGGGGGACTTGATCTGGCCAATCCAGCGTGAGCGACAGGCATTTGTGAAGTAAATCGCGTTCAGCTGGATGCTCCTATCATTCCAACACTTGGCAAGCTGAAGTAGATCGGTATGATTGCCATTGTCACCAGAAATCACCTTGGTATAAGAGTCACTGGGGCGTAAATGGTATACGAGTGATCTTCACCTAGGATGCCTTGTTCCCCGCGGTTTTCCAGGCTGGGTGGGAACAATTCCCGTCGAGTCCACAACACCACTCCCGCACTCCCGCATTAAAACGGGTGCAAACTCTTAGCCAGCTATGCAGCCACCTCAGGCTTTTTTTTCTTTTTTTCCTTTTTCCTTTTTTACTTTATTTTAATTTGCAGTTGTCGCCTACACTGGTCAACATCGGGAGTCAACACCGGTAGCCCACATTGGACCGCGTTGACCTCTTAGACAGCTAGTACTGTACAATGCACTTGTGGCAACGTTACTGATAACCACTACCAACGCCACCATCAAGTCTCAAGGTTCAGCCTGCCAGCGAGGTTACAAATTGATTGAGTCACAGCGATCGGGTCCGTGGGCACGCTAGGCGAGTCATTCTGTCCCAGCCCCAGCTACATAGAATATACGTACTGTAGAACTCCCTTTCTTTCAGGTCATCTAGGCACTCGTCCGATTGCGTGCTGTATGGCGATTGATACTGAAAATGGCGACCTAGGCCACAGAGAAAATGGAGGTTGAATTGGGCCTACATAGTACAGCCACGGCTTAGCAGCGGCTTGAGCGACCTGCCAGGAGGTGTTGGCTGCAGATGCCCCACCACGGCAATCCGTCTAGGGGGAGGCGTTCAAGGATAGCCCCGCACCGTACCTATCGATAACGGCGGCAGCGGAGGGGTCACCTGCCGCATGACAGGTCAGGTCAGGCTGGGCCGCTCGAGCTCCTTGGCACCAAAACCAGCTCTCATCTTGACGCAAGCGGAAAAGAGGCGATGACCGTTGCAAGCGGTGAGGAAGTGGCAGAGGATGCAGGGACGAAATATTGCGACAGATGGTTCCCCAGACTATATCGGTGCTTTGTCCACCAGCTCAAGCCGTTTGTTGTTTGCAGATGCATCGCACGGCGTAGTGGGGTGCCTGATCACCAGATCGCGGGGCATCGGCCTACAAGGCGTGACTTGACAACGGCGAGACATGAGTAAAGCCCCCCTCCATTACATTGTGCAGAGCCGATCCGTCGCCGAACCTTCCGAACGAAAAGGACCGGTCGCTGCCCCTACCTACCCGCCGCGGGAGGCTGAGACGGCGAGTATGGTTGTGGCCTGCCATACTTGACCTCTAAGCTCCAACCTTTGAGATTAAGGTAGTTTGCCTGCGCCGACCATTCACCAATAACTGTTTCCTATTTCGTCTTTGATCACTTGCCGCCAGCCTCCGCAACCACCGCCTCGCTCGGAAGCAATGTTTGGCGACTTCACCAATTCGGGCCGGCCCGCCGCGTCCCCGGCCACTGATGATAGCCCGATGTTCCCACTATATCTCCTTCCCAGTTTCAGCCTACCGTTTCGTCGCCGGCGCGCGTCCATCTCACCAGCGGCGCCTCCCGTCACCGCCCAAGCTATCACCTACGGCAGTCCTGTCCCATCTCTCTCCAGCTCGCCGGATTCGTTAACCTGCCTTGGCTCCCCAAGTAGCCCAAGGAGCTTCAAATCTTTCTTTCCCGAGCTGCCGAGTCTGAACGACTACGGCAACCTCAACGAGCCCCAATCCAAGAAGCCGGGCCCAGCTGCCCTTCCACCTAGTTCTAGGCTCTCCCGCGCCCAGCCTGACACGCTCCGCTGCGGCACCTGCTCCACCGACGTCGCCTTTTCCTCGCAGATCGTCAGTAAGGGCTTCACGGGCCGCCACGGTCGCGCATACCTTGTGTCGCCGCCGCAGGCCCACGCGACGCCCAGCTGCCCGGGATCGCCTCTAAACAGCAACAACGCCGGCGCTGCCGACAGCGCTGCCGCTCCGGGCAGCGTGACGGAAGCAGACCTGATCAACATCCGCGTCGGCCGCTCCGAGAACCGCCAGCTGGTCACCGGCGCGCACGTCGTGGCCGATATCAGCTGCGCCATGTGCGGCACCAAGCTGGGATGGAAGTATGTTGACGCGCGTGAGTCTGCGCAGAAGTACAAGGTCGGCAAGTTCATCCTCGAGACGCAGCGCGTGGTGGCGCACCACGGCTGGGAGGAAGCCGCTGCTGCCAGCGGCGGTGGTAGTTCTTTGTCGACCGCCGGCCAAACCGAAGAAGAGAACGCCGCCCATGTTAGGACGTGGGGAGGAGGAAGACTGGGCTGGCGGAAGCGTAGCAGACCCTCCCGGGCGTCTCAGGACAGCACCGCCGCAGCTAGCAGCAGCAGCAGCACCGATGCGCGAGGCCGCAATGGCGACGATGACAGCGGCGACGAGGTGATTGTGTTTGACTCGGACGACTCGGACGAGTGCGAGGACATCTTTGCCGGCGTGTGGGACGCCGACGTCGTCGCCAAGCGGCGGAGGGGCAAGGTCGGGAACCTCCGTCGGAGGGCCGGTGCCGCTGCCTAGGTTGAGCTTGATGATTGGCATGCGCCCCCCAGGCCAGACTAACTGTCCTAGATTTCTGGATCGACTCTTCTTCTCTCCCTACGTTTTACAAAAACTCATGACCCCACGTCAGCATGTTAGCGGTTCATCACCCGTTGCCGGTGGGGTTGGGGTTGTCTGTTTGTGCGCTTCGCCTTCGAGGTCGAGATAATACCCCCTTTCTTTTATTTCCATTTCGGGTCCCCGGAGTGTTATTCCGGCGGTTGGGAGTGTGGTTTACAGTTACGGTCTATAACAAGGGGTCGGACGAGGCAGGCAGGCAGGCAGACAGGCAGGCAGGCAGGCACACATTAATACCCCGATGGGACTGGGCTGGGTCCAATATAGATTTCACGAGACAAGCATAGTTCAGATCATCAGCATATTGCGTGTAGCATCTAGGTTGCCTAAGGTTCTTGTTGTATCTTCTGAGGATTTAATAGGTACACAGTTGTCACGAAACAGATAATTCTGCCAATGTCCCTAGTCACTACAGACACAAGAGGTACCTGAAGACTGCAGGATTTTGGGTTCAAGTTTCATTATAGCACGTCGCACATAGACCCAAGGTATCTGTACGATTTATACTCTAAGAAGCTCTGCTCAAACAGTTATACATGAGCTGTGTAAGGCAAAGCCTGGGGGCAGTGGCATATTCATATGAGCCCCACGAAGCGACGAGCCTTGGGTAGATAATGATCTGATCCCCCTACTCCTTGGGCTCCTCGGCAACGTAGTGCAGGTATGCGCCGAGCAGCTTGATGCCCTCGATATAATTCTTCTTGTCGAGTTTCTCGTTGATGGAGTGCGCGCCGTCCGTCGAGCTGCCCATCGGCAACAACAAGACATTCTTGCCCGTGGCCTGCTCAAACGTGAGCGTCACAGGGATGCTGCCTCCCTCGCGCGTGAAATCGGGCTTCATGCCCCAGACACGCTCGACGGCCTTGGCGGCGGCCGTGAAGTTCCAGTGCTTTGGGCTAGCCACCCACCACTTACCCGTGTGCTGCGCCCATACCTTCATCGTGTTCTTGGAGTTGAACTTCTTGAACACCTCGTTGACGTGTGCGTAGACGACCTCGTTGACCTTGTCGACCTCCATGTTGGGCACGGTCCGGATGGAGAACTTGCCGATGACTTTGGCCGGGATGACCGTCTTGGCGCCAGGGGCCGAGAAGGCGCCCTCGACACCATGCACCGACAGCGACGGGTAGCGCCACCGGGCCATCAGTGTGGGCTTCTTGTCCTCAAAGATGGTCGTCTTGCTCCCCAGTGACTCGTGCAGCGTATCCATGGTGAAGGCAATGCTGTCGTAGAGGCCCTCCTCCTCCTTCGTCATGGGAGCCACCTGCTCGGCGATGCCCTCGATCAGGATCTTGCCGTTCGTGTCGACGAGCGAGCCCAGGATGCGCACCAGGTCCGTCATGGGTTCCTGGGCGGTGCCGCCAAACACGCCGCTGTGCAGGTCGGCGCCGGGGCCCGACACCTCGACGCTGTAGTAATTGCAGCCGCGCAGGCCGTAGGTGAGACACGGGCGCTCGGTGCCGAGCCAGTAGTTGTCGCTGATGCAGACGGCGTCGGCGGCGGCAAAGTACTTGTTGCCCTCGGCGTTGATGAGATCGTCGAGACCATCCGACCCGTACTCCTCCATGCCCTCGAAGCACATGAGGAGGTTGACGGGGAAGTCGACGCCGGCGGCCTGGTGGGCCTCGATGGCATTCAGCCAGCCCAGGACGGGACCCTTGTCATCGGTGGATCCGCGGCCCAGCATGCGCCCATCTTCCTTGACCGTCAGCTCAAATGGCTCCGTCTCCCAGCCGTCAGACTTCTCGGCGGGCTGCACGTCGTAATGGCCGTATACGAGGATAGTGCGTTTGCTCTTGTCGCTGCCATAGCGGGCGAGGACGACGGGGGGCAGGTTGAGGTCTGTGCCGGCTTGCTTGCCGAGCTCTCGCAGCTCAACGATTGCGCCGAGCTTGGTCAGCTCATCGGCGAGGAACTTGCCCATACGGACGACCTCCGGACGGCGGTCTGCCTCGGAGGAGACGGACGGAATGGCGACGGCCTGGCGCAGCCGCTCAATGAAGTGATCGGACAGTGTGTCCACCTGCTTGAAGAAGCCATCGAGTTGGGGCGCCATGTTGCGGGCTTGGTGTGCGATGATGGAACTCGTGAGGTACGGGCGGGTATGGGTGGGAGCCTGCGGCAGCTGCTGGTGATGGCGAGGGCGGGCTTGCTTCGGCCGTGGCTGTGGCTGTGGCTCTGGTTTTGGCGACACCAGCTTGGATTGGGATGTGGAAAAGCGCGATAGATGGCCTCGTGGGAGGGCGAGATTTGCCAGTTGGAATCGGGCAGGCCGTAGATACCAGGTGCGGGGCATCGGGAAGGTGTGGATGACGCTGAGCGGCAGAGACTTGACTGGGAGCTGCAGCGCGAATGGCCTGCTCGGCCAGCGTCGGCAGCCTGCCTGCACCACACTCATATGCAACAAGAGGGGCTGATATCACGATACGCATATGCACTTGCAGACGGCCCAAGTAGGAATGTTGCATAAGCAGATAATATTACGCTACAGAGTTCCGACATAGCTATCCTTTTATGGACACTAATGTTTAGAACTGAACTTTGGCAAGCGACTCGATGATTTATTTCCGTCTTGCTTCCTGGCCTAAATTTGGGAGGTTCCTTATCTGCGAATTCGCCCAGCCCAAGTCACAGCTGCGTAGGTAGGCATCTCCGGCTACGGGTATTCCTGCTCTAATATCTTTTGACAGTCTTTATCAGCCACGGTAACAACGGGTAGCGACTCTAGACCAGGAAGTGCGGGTTGGGGGCATGAGCTCCTTTCGGTTGAACTTGGGAAAACTAGACATCCCTTGCGTAAAAATGTCTGTGTAGCGAAACAAAACATTGCTATCCACTCTTGTCTATTGCGATAACCTTGAACATTTTTTTTTCTTTTTCCTATCACGGCATCCCCGTTAACTGGCGTATGACATTGAAGGCAGATCCTGATTCTCACTTGCATTCTGGCCCCTCAACGACAAGGCCATGGTTCTAGAAACGGCTGAACCAAAGCCTGATGGGCTGGGTCTAACCGGATTCCAACCTGCCGTTCGCCGGGTCCTTTGGTTTCTCCAGTGGGTCATTTGCTACGGGGCGATAATTTCCATTGCTAAGGCATCGCGATCGGGATCAATCATGCGAAAGCCGCTGGCTCTGTCCCCGCAAACAACGCGGAAGCCACAGTGGAGGCGGGCGGTTGCGAGGGGAAGACAACCGGTCCAGTGGGGGAAGAGGAAAGAGGGGCTGGCTTGAATGCGCACTAACAATCATGTGCAGAGGTCGCACGTCAAAGTGGTTAGGGTGAGTAAATGTCAAACCTTGACTGGGCCAGACACTCGCGAGTGTTGAGCCCAAAAGGATTCACCTTTCCGCCTCACTTATCAGCTGTTTTTCTTCTCTTCTTCCCAAGGTCCAGGGTTGAGGAAGAGGCAGATAAACCCCCTGGACCGACTGGTCTTGATTTGCTCCAGGCCGCCTGCCAAGATGCCGAAAGATAGCAGAGGAGGGTGGGCGCATAGCAAGGGCCAGCCGGGCCAGGTGCGTGCTGGGAATGGCTTCTTGTGCAATGCGCAGAATTGGGCACAGCACACTGCACACTGCGCAGCGCGGAATTCCACCTGATCACGGGCACTGCGAATTAATATTGCGCTATGCAGGACAGGCTGGGCAGCACAACAGGAGAGTCGGGCAGCCCCAGCTGGGGCTTCGTGTGGTCGCGGTCGCGTTTGTGACGGGCGCCATCAGTGGCTGGGACACGCCGTCCCCGGTCTGGCACGTTGCCAGACTTGCCCAGTAGCGGCACTGTAGCCCAAGCTCAGCGCCTATTTCCCCGGTCCGCGCCCAGGTTGCAAGGCTGCAGGGGCAGCGAAGCGCAGCAATCGTGGTTAGCGCGGTAAAGGGGGAAGGAAGTTGGGGATGTCCAGGGGTGGCTAGCGCCCTCCGGCTCGTCTGGCAGTCTGGCTTGGTCTGTAAGCGCCGTGGCCCTGATGCGATGGGGCTGCCCATTGGTCTCGCTGGCTGTGCTGCCCTGATCCTTCAGAGCGGATCCGCACCAAGACTCGCAAGAACCAAGGAGAGAGGCTCCGCCGAGCCCGGGCCCGACAATGCCCTGGGCTGAAGCGGTGGAAGCGAAGCAAACTAGCGGACCAGGAGCTGATAGCCCGATCCATTTCGCTAGAACGTGTTTACGCCAGGGGTGCTGAGTGCTCGGGAGCGTGGCACCTCGTGGATGATAGTGGCGCTGGCTGGTGGTGCTGGTGGAACGCGGAAGACCCAACTGCACCCATTGAAAGAGGCGTGCATCCCCACGAGGAAAGCTCCAGAGCATCTTCCTCCATCTCACACATCTCAAACTGGCTTGTACGTGTGGTCTATGACAGAGATCTGCACTACCGCGTCGGGCCAGTCGTAGTCTTCCTCACACGTCTCGCCATCGCTGTTCGAGTGACACAAGCCAACCACAGAGCGAGGGACGAGAGATAGATCGTGCAGCCAACACCGTCGCCGTCCGCCTCTTACACTGTACCCATCCATGATCCGGTCTTCTCCGCCCGGCGCTCGCAATGCGTCCGTGGCAACGACCCTCACCGCCCTAGACACATCGGGTGCCAGCTTTCCGGGCTTTCCCACGAGGAGCTTCGTCTCGTTTCCCGTCAGCGCAAGCCCCGACACCGAGACACAGCCGCCAACCCCGGCCGACGAGCATGCTGGCTACCCGGAGACGTACCCCGACAGGGCCGCGGCCTTTTTTCCGGACACGCCCAGTTCGACCGTGGTCGAGTTTGGTGACATTGTCAAGCGCCCGGTGCGCTCGGCAGCCGACGCCGTCGAGCACGTCATCCGCGCGTACCACAGCTCCCGGTCTCGTTCTCGCTCCCAGTCTCAGACGAGCCACCAGAGCGTCCATGACTCCAGCCGGGCCAGCACGCCCACGGGGAGAAGGACGCCCACGGGCAGGCGGGCGCCATCGAGTCAGAGGTCGCCGTCTTCGCAGCGCCCGACGCCGCCGCAGAAGAGCAAGGCTATGAACGAGAGAGTCAACAGGTTCCTCCATTCTGTGGTCCCGAACCCCGTCCCCGTTACCGTCCCCGCCCCGTTGACAACGGGCGCGAGCTGCTTGAAGAGAACCGCAGCCTGCATCAACGCGTGTCAGCTCTGCAGGGGAGCGAACAGGAGCTCCTCAAGGAGAACCAGAACCTGGCCCAACAGCTGGCCACCCAGAAGCAGCACCATGAGACACGGCGCCGGCAGTGGAAGAATGACCTCTTGCAAAAGGAGCACATGTTCGAGGCCCGCCTCAGGGGCTTGGAAGAGCAGATTGCCGAAAAGGAGAGGGAGCTGATGCATCTATCGGCCGCCCAGTCCCACAACCCGTCGCCCGCCCTAGCTCTGGCCGACCATGACATCGTCTCGTGGTTCTCGGCGAGGACCACTGCCTGGCACGGCTGGGCTCGGGACTTTGCCCACCCCGACCCAGACCGCGTCCGGTCCGCCCTCCATCCCAAGCAGCTGGCCGAGCTGTGCGAGGGAGTCAAGGGCTTCGTACGCCTCACCGACGACGGCAGGCTGCCTGAGGAGCTGCTGGCCAGCGCAGGCGACGCGGCCGGCAGGACGACACAGGTGCTCCTCCACGGCCTGCTCGCCAACTTCGTCGTCACCGAGACGCTGCAGTCGCCCTTCTGGGTCTTTGACGCCCTGTCCACAAGCGGCCTCGAGCTCGAGAGTCCCTCCATGCCGCGCGGCAGCCCCATGTCGCCTGTGGGATTCCGCATGGACCTGGCAATGTGGAACAACGTCGCTCCCGTCCGGTCCGCCCGCCTCCCCCAGCCGAAAACCCCACGCATGGCACCAGAACCCTTCAGCCCTCGCCGACTGCCACCGCTGGTCACCTCGATGAAGCCGGCCAGCCCCCTCAACCTTACCAAAGTAGGCCTGCCGGGCCCCTCGTCGAACCAAGGCCTGCCTGCGAAGGCCGACATTGAGAACTTGCACTTGCTGCTGTCCCATGGTATGTTGATTTCCCTGCCTTTCTCTGCCTCCCTGTCTGGTCCGCTAACGGCCCCGCCACCTGGGTACTAGTCCAACAAAGCCAGTCAAACACGAACAGCTGGCGGGCGCAGCTGATGCAGATCCTGTCCGAGGGCGGGCTGAGCGTGGAGCCAGAGAACGCCATCGGCGAGGGCCGGCGTGTGCTGGCCGAGGCACGCCAGAACTACGCGCGCAAGCTGAAAGACCGCTTCCTCAGTGGTGCGGCGCGGTTCCTATTGCGGGAGCAGAACCAGCAGGAGCAGGAGCAGAAAACCGAGGCTACCACCGGCAACAACAACAACAGCATCGAGAAGCTCGAGCGCCACCTCGTCAACGAGTTCGACGCGGCCCTGCGCTTCTCGTGCCGCGTGTGGTCGCGCCACGACCCGCTGCGCCTGCGCGGGCTCTCGGACCTCGCTGCCGCCGCCTTCACGTCGTCCAACGACGCCATGGACCTCTGCCAGGCCCAGGCCGACGCGCTGGCCCTCGCCCGCGCCCAGGCCGGCGACCAGACGCCGCGGACCTTTTCCGTCCGCAACGGCCACGAGGGCCATTCGGTCGTGGTCGTGCTGCAGCCCGCCGTCGACACCATCGTCACTGCCCCCGAGAACGGCGGTCAGGGCCAGCGCGACGTCCCCAGGATGTGGTCCAAGGCCCGCGTCTTCGTCGCCCCGCCGCGCCTCGTCATGCCCGCCCCCGCTTGCGTAGCTGACCTGACCTCGCCGGCTCCTGTCACCGCCGTGCTGATCGGGTCGCGCCAGTCCAAGGTCCCGCTGTCGGCGGCGCCCGTGACCGCTGTGCTCGCCGGCCCCTTGTCGCGCATCCCGCTCTCTGCCGCGCCCGTCACCGCTGTGCTCGCCGGCCCGCTGTCGAGGATCCCCCTCTCCGCGGTACCCATGACTGCCGTGCTGGCTAGCTCGCAGCCGCGATTCCCGCTGCCCCCGGTCCTTGTGGAGGAAAAGGAGGAGAAGGAGCCGGCGGCTGCAGTTATGTCAGCAACACCGCCGATCTCGGAAGTGGCAGAGGGGCTTCTGCCCGCGGCGTCTTTCACCGACCCGTCCAGCCCTGCGCCCGCGAGACAGTTCTCCAAGCCGCCGCCCATCGAGATCCTGGAAATGCTGCCGAAGCTATCGTACGCGGGGTCGCCTATCTTCTTCAAGGTCACGTCGCCCGAGGACCAGGCCGAAGGTCTCTGACGCGCCGTTCCTGTTCATTGTGTCTTGCATTGCGAGGGGGAAAGGGGGATGAGGTGTCAAAACATGGGTGGCTAGGAATTTGTTTGTGCTCGTGTGTTTTTGAAGTCCGGTTCTTATTTAGTGATTTATGCGCGGTGTTCTGGGGCATGGTTGCAGACGAGCAGGAAAAGGCGTCTTTGCTTCTTTTGCTGATGTTTAGGGTTCAAGCTAGAAAACATACGAGAGTCATAGTAATCGCGAGACGGGACAGATTTGAGTGCCTTAATAAATAGTTGGTAAATACGATTGCTATTCGCTTGTTTATACCACACATCGACTTGGTTGACTTCAGCATTATTTGTTGACATAGTAGGGCATTTACCTTTTATATTTTCAACCTTGCAAACATTAAAATGGTAGGCGAATTGTATTAGTGGTGTAAGATACGCTTGTTCTTGTTACGATAATTTTCGGTATCTAGGGACTCGGACACTGGCGGGCATTATGGCCTAAAGAAGGCAGCTATATAACAATATATAGGGGTATCGTATCGCCAAAACCGGTAACTAGAAGAAATCACAAACATGGAACCAAGAAATTAATCCCCAAAAGTCGTTGTCTAAAAGTCGTTGCCCAAAAGTCGTTGCCTAAAAGTCATTGTCCCTGAATCGATAGAATATGCGGAGCCTTGAGCCTCGCGTGTTTTAAAACCAACTCCTACTAGCATAACAAACAAGGGAAAAAGAGACCAGAGTCTAGAAAGAAAAAAATGAAAGCAAATACCGCACCAAAAGACGTCCGAGGCTACGTATGTTATATGAGAATTGAGCTTTTGGTCCCGCCGCGGTCGAAAGGCACTGTCAGTGCCTGGACACGAACGAGTCCACATCATACGTTGAAGGTTTGCGACTGCCTCGGCCCGGTTCTGTCAAAGGCACTGCCCGAATGGATAATGTACTAAGAGCTGCCACCCGATCGTGAATGGACACTGCGCGCAACCTCTGATACCATATCACCGCGCTGGCCATCCTCGTCCGTTGGATAGGTCTCGCTGCCTCCGTCCTCCGGCCTGACTGTCCTGTTGTTGTCATCGTCATATCGAGAGTCCAAACTTCCCAGAATCATCTTATAAATGTTTCCAGTTGCAGGCTCGTGGTCGATAATATCTCTGTCAAGGAAAGGACGCAGTTTAGAATTTGTGTGCATTTTGCTAGGCCGGACTTGAGGACGGAGGCTCAAGGGTGTGGACACTTACGGAAGCTGTTCGCCATTCATCGTGCTGAGTTCTTTATCCATCCAATTCAGTATCTCGATCGCCTTCGGGTCGTCTCCAAACCGCACGAACTGGATACTGAGCCCCCGGCTTCCGAGTTGCTCCTTTAGGGGGACCTTGTCTTGCCACTTTTCGAGAGCACGGATGATCTCGTTCGCCACGGTCTCTTTTTTACTGATCCCGGGCCAGACCCCATCGGTCAAAATGATCAGGGTGAGCTTCTTCTTCTCCTTCTTCGCATGCTTCCTGCCCCACTGCTCCAGGATCTCTGCTAGACTTTCTCGGATATCTTCCTGGTCAAGCTGATTTGACGAGGTAGTAGATGTTGTTTCGGTCTGCATGATGAACGGGCTGCCTGGCGGAAGAGCTGAAGGGGTAGACGCACACGGAGATCTGCCTGGACGAGATCTTGGCTTGGGCTTCATCCGGCTCATTGCCTCAACGAACTGTTTTGGCTCGTGAAAGCTACCGACTGGTGCGCGGGATGACGTGAAGTAAAGCTCCATACCATCGTCGTCCTGCCCGTAGAGAAATGCCACAAGTACAGAGACGAGATCCATGGCCCAGAGCCAATACTCGTCCATGCTTGACCCATTGTCAATCAAGAAGGCCTGAATCGTTATTAGCTATCAGACTTTCCCCATGTATTGGGCAAGACATTTACAATGTCCCTTTTCTTAAAGTAAACGTCAAACTTGTCAAATCTGTGCTCCTCGGAGATAACATGATGCGGGCTTAAGGGATCAGCAGTTGTCCCCTCAGCCTCTTGTATAACTGTTGCCCCTGGCCGTTCGACACTGGCGTCGACTTGTCTCGGGACCGATGGAGACGGCGTGCCGACCGTCGGCCTTCTCTTCTTGGAAGAAAACCAGGAACCAGCCGTAGTTTTAAGAAGAGATAGGCTGGAGCGGTCAGATCCGCCGGTCTTCTTCGGAAGAGATGGCTGTTCTGAAATGAACAAACCATCAGCAGGTGATGGAGAAACTAGGGTCCGGAGTGATATGGAACTGGAAACGGGCGTGTGAGACTCGTGGAAATAGTCGGGCAACTCAAGCGCGCCCGGTCTCCAGCCAACGTCATCCAAGAGCTTTCGAGCGCTTGAGTAGTTGGCATATGATATGTCAGAAGGGATCTGTGTTTTGCGAGGGTCGTCTATGGGTTGGAGGTGTGCATCTCGAAAGGTGCTGCTCGACCCGCGATGTAGCGGCATGCCAGCAGGTATGGTTGTTCCGCGTCGAAGTCGCAAATCATCAATAGAGGACTGATCCCAAATGAGCTCGCGACGATATTCGCTGGAGTAAGTCAAGTCTTCGACCAACCGGCCAAGAGGCTCCTTAGTAGCATCTATGAATGCTTGGGATTTGTACTTGTCTCTCCAAGGCTCGTCCCCGCGTGTTGTGAGTCGCTCTCTAACGGCTGCGGCTTCGACTTCCTGCTCCCGATCGACGGCGTCTTGGAAGTATGCTGGTGGCTTGTACCCGCGACCAGAGTTTATCTCTTCCGCAACCTTTGACTTGGCTTCGGTGAGGATGGCCTTAATCATTGTGGCCAGCTGCGATGCATCAAGACGCTTCGCTGGATCGCCTTGCAGCATATAGTCCTCAACCATATCCAAGATTTTGGCCGTCACAAGATCGGATGACCGGAGAGCGTGCCTCAGGTGTTTATGCCAGTCACTGACCGTCTTGGACATCTCATTTCCATCGTGAAAACAGTCTGATGCCGGGAATTCCTTCGTCGACGCAACGCTAGAGACGCTTTGGTAACTGCCCAAGGGAGTTGAATTCTGGGACGTGTCATCTCCAAGTTGAAGTGATCTTCGAACGTGTTTGAACAACTCGACGCCGCGATGACCCAGGATGACCCATGTGGCAGCTTCTGAGAAGACGCAGCCAAGCGACCAGACGTCAAAGCGCTGGCTGATTAGGGTCTTTTCGTTTTGGGAGAGCTCTGGTGCTCCTAGTTATTGGGTAAGCCAATGTCGTAAGAAACACCGCAACAGACAAGACAAACCGTAGCTAGTTGTGCCTCCCTTGAATTCAATGACAGGAACTCCGTCCTGGAGCTTTGCCTTGTCCTTCAAGACGAAGGTGGCATAGCCGGGGTCTGCAATCTTCCACTCCCGTTGGTGGCCGCTTTTGCAGTAAAGTATGTTTCCAGGCTTGATATCACAGTGCCAGCTATATATGCAAACGTGGTTAGAAACGACACAACGACCAGACAAAGGCAGGCATAGAGATTACCCCAACCAGTTATCCTTGCCGTCAACCAAATCGTGGATCTTGCTCAGAGCAAGGATGATGCTACTTAGAGCTTCCCAAAACTTTACGATGCCATCGGCTGTGTGCTGAGGGGGATAAAGCAGAAAGAATTCCTCGAGGTCGTAAACGCCCCATTCCTTCCGGAACACAAACATTGTCAGCCAGGGCTCATGAATCGAGAGGAAAAAGGTGGATATTTGGGAAATAGGATGCCAGGTTCTTGTGTTTAGTTCACTAACCAGAAGAAGGTGGTATTCGTTCTCTCGGGGAGAAGAAGACCGAGAGTATATCCAATCACCAAAGCATTGGACAATGCCATCTTGGTTCTCAAGAGCACGATACGCAAGGGTTTCGTTATGGTAGGAAGCTTTATGGCCGAGAACCTTGAGTGCAAACTGATGGACCTAGGAAGTATTAGAGAGAGTTCCGGGGTGGAAGCAAGCACATAGACTTACCTGGCCAAGTAGATTACCGTCAGAGTCGTATGTGTTGTATGGTTTACCACGAAGCTTGGCCGCCAGACTCTGCGGGATGCACTCGCAGGGGACCTCCACAATGTAGATGGTTCCAGAACCGCCCTGTTTGCGCATTACCTTCTTTGTTATAGGCAATATCGTCTCCTTAAACATGTAAATGCGGTTGTGAGGTTGGTGGAAGGCCTTTTGGGTGCAGAACTGCCATTGGAGGTCCCAAAAATGCTTAGCGGCTTTAGTTTCTCCTAGCCCAAGGTGGAAAAAGATATTTTCCAGTTCCGACTGAGCAATTGGTAGGTGCTTGTCGACTTTGTCTTGCTCAAAGAAGCGATGAATGTATTTTCCCAGGTCGTGGGTTGCGGCATCTTTGTTGCCGACGAGCAACAGCACGGCAAACGTCCGAAGCCAGCACTTCTCGTCCTCTTTCCTCATTCGCGGCAGGAGAGGGCTCAAGGACCACCTGGTCGAGCCGGCCCAGAAGGGATTCCCATAGACAGCCTTCAGAACGCGCTCGGCGTTGGTAGGCTGGTTCTGAGGATCGTTACCGGGCGAGGCGCGTAGCCAGTCGGCGACACGGCTGCAGAGGACGAATTCCCGGTCATCGATCTGCGATGTTCGTCGCGCATTGTCGATCTGGACAAAGAACTCATCTAGGGCATTGGACGGTACACTTGAAGCTGCGCGGGAACTGGAGAGGCGGACTCGGCGATCACCCGAAGTGCTGTATGGCGAAGAAGGGCGTTCTGGCTGGGATTGGGGTGGTTGGGACTCAGTCGGGAGCGCAAGGCGATCCATTCCGTCTGGTGCACGTTACCGCCGCGCGAGGCTGCAGAGTTCGGACGGGGACGACTTGAGGGGCAGATGGCGGGCTTTGCTCTGGCGGCTGGAGGGACCAGTTTCGAGACGGCCTTTCGTCGGCTGGCATTGCTGGGGCTGATAGACCACGCACGCGCAGTGATCTGAGTAAGGTCAAAGTCTCATTGTTGCTATCATCGCAACTAAAGTCGTTCGATCGCAAGCTTCAATTGGTTGGATGAAAGATGGCGGGGGGACTGCAGGGAGTGGTGGGGTTGCACGTTTGCCCACCTCGATCGACCTACCTTGTGGGCTACGGAAGGTAAGGTAAGGCAAGGTACAGTACCTTAGGTGGTAAGGAAGGTACGGAGTACTCCGTACGGGATGGACAGTATACTGCGTAAGGTACCGTTACATCAGATACTTGGGCTTGGGACCATACCTCAGGAAATGAATGGGGCCCCGCTTCTATCCCTCAATTACCCACCCACCTCGACCAGCATATTGAACGGCACAGTGCCTCCATTACTGTATTGTTCGTACGACCCGGAATATCCGTACATTCTCTCGCTAATTCTTATAGTTAGGCGGGGACACGATTCTCAACCCTAGCTAACGTACCTCTATGTTCAGAAACATGGCCGTCGAGCTTGGGTCGACATTAAAAGCGTGGCGCTTGACTTCCCGTCTCCCGAAGGTCTCCCGTATAGTTAGGGTTCGATCTATTCTCCATCTCAATGATTGGTAATACCGCCGGGCTGTTCATTAAAGAGCCGATACTGCTTGGCATTAGCGATCTGGTCCGCTCTTTGCCGCACCGGTCCGCTGTGGAGACAATGGGCACCCGACGGTTCGGATAAACGTCCACAGAGGCTCGATTAAGGTTCTCGGGCTATTTCCAACTACACCTAGATTCCTAGGGATTACGTCTACATATAAAATTATTGCTTGATTGTTGGAGAGCTCGGAAGGATTGCTCTAATTAGTTCAGAACACTTGGGATGCTTTGTGATGAATTCCCTGTTTGACGGCTACCTTCGTGTATGGCATCATCCCCGCCATCTCCATCACGAATATCGCACTGTATGTAATTCGTAAACACATACATTTTCAGCCGCATACAGTCTGGAGGAGCGAGTTGCAATGGTCCCGTGGCCTTGGCGCTCTTGTCCGCCGCCGGCCGCCCACAGCACACCCCACCTTCGTCTGGTCGCCGAAGCAGGCAGCTGAGGCTATGCGATAAATCGTGCAGGGAAATAGTAAAGAGCACACAAGATGCCACAATCAAGTTTGGCAAACCTCATCTGTTTCTCGACACGTCCCCCACTGCTTTCGTCTGTGCCCTGTTCCCACGTGTTTGTTTCTGGTACGCCCAAGTACGCATTTTGCAATCATCTCGATGCCTTTGTTTCGCAAGATCTTCTCGGGGGGCTCCTCCCACGGCTCGCCTCCGCAGGCTGGAGCCTCGTGGAACTCATTGGAAAGCACACCCACTACAAGCTCGCTTCCAAACCCTTCCCCAACGAGTTCTCTCCTGCCCGCCACAACGACCGAGCCACCAACAAAGACGACGGTGACCGCTGAAGCTCTCACAAGCCCTACATTTCTACCGTCCGGTTCCATCTCACCTCCAGAATCTCCACCAGCGACCGAGACGCCGCACGCCTTAGAGCCCGTTACCGAAGCCCAAACGTCTGGCTCTGGTCAAACCCCTGGCCAGTATGCGACTCGTACCTTAGCCAATGTATCCCCCCGACCACCTACGGCTGGGGGATTCAATCCGTGGTACCCTCCGAAACCACGAGTGGGGTCTGAGAGATCGACGAAATCCGAGTTGAGCGCATTCAGTGGCTCGCCGGTTAGCTCGCGTTCCAACACGGCGTCGACCGCGGCCACCAGCATATCCTCAACCGCGACGAGCATACGAAAGCTGACGACGAGGGCCACTGCTGGGTTAGACTTGCGTAAAGAAGCCCGGCAGAATCGGCACCCGAAGAAGGCCACTTGCGAACAGACATTCAGCACGTATTGCCTTGAATGGGGAGCATTGCGCGAATGGCTCCATCGTCGTTTTGAGGGTTACGACTTTGACGAAAACGAACTAAGAGTCCCGGTGAGCAAGCCCATAGCTTGGAGTGTTAGCGAGAACTCATGGTCCCAATTAACGCATCGGATCGCGTGCTTATCCTCTAGAACGTCGAGCACGATTCTTACAAGTTCAACACGCCCGAGCCACTGACCGCTGTACGGACGAACCCTTCATCCTCGTAGCCACATTCCTTCAGTCGGATTGCTAACAAGCGCGGCAGAAGGATAAGGCCGACATACACAAACTCCGATGGGATTATGACTCAAGCAAAGAATGAGAAGAGATGGAGCCATATTCCAATTCTTATTGTTGTGGCTTGCCCTGATTTGGGCCACCTGGTGTTGACCTGGGGTCCCGGCGTGACGTTTTTCCTCGATTCGAGGATTTCCCAGTTGGTTAGAGGGTGGCTTTTCCGTTGCTTGTTGCAGCGGTTGGGTGGGATTCCAGCAGAACCCGTATTCAACAGCCGTACCCAAACTGTCCGCTAGCTATAGCCGTCTGTAATTATTCGATATATTTATTGATCGTATTCGCATTTGTTGCACTGACACAACTCGGTTTTCTCTTAACGGAGATGGTGGTATGTGCTATACAATGCAGTTCGGCGGAGTCGATGACCCTCGCGTGGACGATACCTAAGGGACTGGACATTTCAGCCCAGGAGGGCGACGCTTGATATTTAGGCACTTTCATGCCCGACATTGCGGGGCAACAGCGCCAAAGTTCGGTGGCCGCCCAGGCTGGTGCAACTACATCGCCCCCAGGCCCGATTGGCGCCACGCGGGAGGTGTTTTAGACCCAAGGTACCTTAGTATCCCCCCTCCCGGGACCCGAATCAACCGTGTCGGGCGTAAATTTCAGGCACACTGTGGCTGGGCAGATTCTCCGACACGGCATTAAAACATACCGGTTCCCGTTTAGGCAATCGTCGAATGTTCCCTGGTCATCCTTCCCAAGATCAACACGCAATAATTCCAAGGGCAACACAAACTTCCGGCACACAGATCAACCCGACTGCATCGCCATCACGTCAAAAAATACCAGGGGCGCGCCACTGATTCATGGCAATCGTCGGCGATACGCAAAAGTTCAGCGAGTCCTGCCAAAAAGCGGACAAGTATCCGCTGAATCTGGTTCTGCAGGGAGCCAGCACTGGGAGCCTTCTCGCGCAGAGAGCCTTTCTCCGCGAAAATGCTGGCGACCTATTTCTCCAAAAGAGTACGGATGACCCTAGCAAAAGAAAGTTCTCACCGCCTTTGCCAAGATCTCGCCGCTTCAGGCCTTACCCACTATAATTATAGCGCCTTCCATTGATCTGCTCCTACATACTCATTTTACCACTTTACAGCACTGTTTCCCACCTACTTTACAGCCCTGTTTCCCACTTTACAGCACTATTTCCCACTTCCTTTATAGTACTGTTTTTTACCTACTTTGTGTCACGACCAGGGCAAGGCATTGAGGTGAACTCAGTCCATTGGGTGCTATCGACGAAGATTCTAAACTGAGGAAGGAAATAAGGAAAAGTCCACCAACGCGTCGCGTGCTCGCGAATAAGTTTTCATCTATCAGTGGGGTAGGTGGGGCCTCGAGGCGGCTTCTGATAGGCCCGGGGTTCTGGGCGGCTCTGGCTGCTTGAGGGCCAGTTTGGTGGACGGGTCCTCACACTTTGTAATACTACTTAAAAGATTCAACTAACTTATAGTATTTTATTCTTCCTATCTATCTAAATTTCGGTTTCCTCAATCCAAACATCCTCTTCTAATTCGGAATCTTCCATCAGATTATCTGAATCAGTACCTTCTAAACCCTCTTCTTCCTCCTCTAGAACCTCTATAATTGTATTGATCTCACGGCTCTTTAAATAACTGGGCCGCCCCTCCTTGTATTCGTTGCCTCCTTCGCAACGGATAACTTCATTAACGTGGTATTGGATTCGCTGGATCCACTCCTGTATCTTCTGCTGAGGCATCTCCTTCCAGGCCTTCTTCCATGCAATTTCCGCCTGCTTCCGACTTTGTGGTGCACCTTTCTGTTACAATCTGGACAACAGGTCCACGGAGCTAGGCCCGGCCTAGGATTGTGGGGGTCTGGACGGCAGGTAGGAGATGACAGGAGACAAGGAGTATCGTGCACAGATTGCGAAAGACAGGCTTTCAACACACAACCAATGTATGCTTAACCAGATGCATTGATAGCTGCAGAACCGTTCTCCAGAGAGAGCGTGCTGCCAGCTCCTATATAGAACTATGAGCAACCAATCAGAGTTCCTGCCTTACATGCTCAGTCGTGCTCAGTCCTAGACGCACTGATCCCCACTGAGCTCCCTGCTCAGTGCGCTCAGTGGGTCTCGGCACTGATCCTACTGAGCTCAGCCATGCTCAGTGCACCTTGGCAATGGCCCCACTGAGCACTCCCTAATTGGATGCACCTTCTCTTAGCGAGAGCCCCACCCTAAGTGCCGTTCCAGCCAATCCGCAGCGGGCGGGCAACGCCCTCTGCACCTTTGAACCAGGATCGTAACACTTTCTTTGTGGTCTGCCTCTTTAGATAGAACCATGTAGGCTCAATCATATTAAGGCCTAGCGAATTTAGAACCCAAAGAAGGCGTAAAACGTGTACAGTAGAGTATACTACGCCTTGCGCATGGTGAGCATGTGCTGGAGCGCGATCTTCCTGTACAAGGGCCTGAGGGCCACACCTCTGCGCAAATGGAATTAACTTAGGAATCGTAACCAGTTTTTAGTAACGATACCAGTCAATTCCAGTCCCTTTGCCGCGTGTTAATTTCCCCGTTTTCTTTGTCCATTTCCATTGCGGAATTCGCCCTGGAGTGCGACGGTCGATTCTTAAACGAGACATTTGGATAGTAAGCTCCATTCAGCTTTCATGATCGGCTCTAACACAGCATTCATCCGCTCCAAATCTTCATCAGCCAACTTCCTATCAGCAGGAGTCTCTGCCTTCCAAATATGGTATGGCCCCTTCTGGTTATGAGAAAAACAACCCCAGAACATGAATTCCGAATAGCCTTTCCACCGTTCGCGGATACAAGTCTTCAAGTGCCGCTCCTCTGACTTTCTCCAAACCCGATAACCACCACGGCGAAAACCCAATACAACAAAAGTCTCATCAGACCAAATCACGTATTTCCAATCCTCCAAAGTCCAATCTTTATGGGCTATGCACCATTCCAAACGCTCCTTTTTCATCTTCGCTGTAAGCCCTGGCTTACGCGTGGGCTTTGTTTTGCGCATGCCAGCTTTCCGAAGGATACGCCAGGCCGTCATAGTGGAGATCCGGTTGCCTGAATCCGAGGCAATTTGAGCAGAGGTTAACTCGCGCCCATAACGGCTTTTGCGTACCTTATCAAGCACCTCTTCTTTAAAGGCCTCTTGCTTCTGTGGCCGGCCGGATTTGGGGGAATTCGCAACATATGAATCTTGGATCCGGAGTTTGCTAGGCTCAAATCCGCGTTCGATAGCACGGTCAAGTAGCTTGTTGAGGGCCCTCGCTTTAATGCCAGTCAGCTTCTCAATATCTTCATTTTTCCACCCGAGGGCTTGTAAAGTAAGGGCTTGAACACGAGATGCAATGTCGGAATATGGCATTTTGTTTAATGATAGCCAAAAGGATGATGTTACAAGAAAGAGGGGAAATTCTGGGCTTTTGGGTTAGATATTATTTACACCATATTGCTGCCCAACGTGTTGCGTCCTTCCGAATTAGGGCCTGATTACATATGCTATGGCCCCCTATAATGGACTCTGCCAGCAGAATTGGTATCAGGGCGGTGAGAACTTTCTTTTGGTAGGGTCATCCGTACTGTGCCCTTACTCGAATTCCGGGGGGAGAAGAGCATCAAGAATTCAGGTCAGGCTCCATCAATTCTCCATTCCCTTAACTCACATTTTGACGGCAACGTTTCGCCCTTCTCTTTTGGCACAGGCTGCCTTCACCTCTCATCTTGACGGCGCTGTGGAACGCGACTGACATGGCAGGGGAATAACCCCGAGAAAATGCAGTCACAGCAAAGATACTCAGGTCTGATGAGGACTTCAAAGACCAGTTCTCCGACCTCACAAACAGGCAGCAATCTACCACGCGATGCAGATTTGTGTATGTCAATCCCACGTTGATGTTTAAGAACCATCGTTTAATTCCTTAGAATATTTTGCTTATTATGAGTCCGGTCTTTAGATTCTTGCAGGCGGCCAGCAGTCAAGCAAAGTTGGACGTGCGTCTCGCTCACGCCAAGCGCATTTCACCTGCTTCCAGGTGATGCCGGCGTATATAGATTTTGTGTCTGTCTTCGCTGTCAAAAGGGCGGACGAGGAAGACATTTCCGACATCCGCTTTAGTAGCTTCCGGGAGCACGTGAGCCTCTCTGATGAGATGCGTGGGCTGAATTTGCCACAGCTCGGTCTCTCTGGGCGCGGCTATCAGCTTAGCTACAATTTGAAGAGCGTTGCCAACACGGCAAAGGAGTAACCAGCTAGGTGGACCGTTGTAAGAGACAACAGAGAACAGTGGAGCTGGTCAATCCGTCAAGCCGTGTTTCACCATCAGTTCGACATAGAACACGGCACGACACTTTGGATCTTGACAACGGCAAGGAACTATCCCCAGACGCGAGTCGAACAGCTTACTGGTCAGACGCATAATCATGCCAAAAGTATCGATGACGAGACCGACTTGCTCGAGCCAAGACCTCAAGATCGCGACTTCTCTACTATAGAGGCTAGCTTCCGGGCAAGCCTCGCAGTTCATTTAGTCCTAGCACAGTACGCAAGCGAATATTGGGGAGGCTACCTTCGGTGGCTAGAGGTAATGATCGAGAAAATGGTAAGTACTATCGTTTATATTTTTTGTCTAAGCAAGATTTTAGTGAATTCTTATCGTCGCGTATGGCTAGCGAACCTCTAAACGTTGCTGACTTTTTCAACCCTGAGTAGAGCGGATCTGCTCTGACCATGACCAAGTATAATCCAGACATGTTCAAACTGACCGCTGTTCAAATCACCGAAGATAAGATCAACAAGGCGGTGCTGACGCTGAACGCCAACGCCCGTGTGCTGGAGGCCTTAGACAGCTTCTACAGACTTCTCTTGGATCATCCAGAGTTTCAAGCCAACCCTCGGTACAAAGGCTACATTGACCACTTTTCGATGCAGCTGCGTGGCTATGTCTACGACACGAGCATGTTCTCGGAGCGGGCGCAAACCCTGGGCAAGATTGTTGGGGACCGCAAGAATCTGGTAAGCTACTTGAAACCAATCTCTATTCTATGAATACAGAGAACGACCGACCACAGACGAAAGTCAGAGTGTGAACTTAGCTATATTGAAAGATTAGCTGCCTGCCTACTAGAGAGACGTACTGATTCCAAGAAATTAAATAGGTCCAACAACGTCTACAAGCCCGGGCGACCGACCGCGTCGAAAAGCTTACGTTGCAGCAGCACATGGAAGCAAAATTATGCGTGTCATCGCAGTCATGACGCTGATCTATCTACCCGCGACTTTCGTTTCGGTACCCCTCCCCCCCCAGCCAAAATATATTATCATTAAATAAGAGGCAAATGGGGGTATGCAAATATCACCACTAGTACTGTACAAAATTAACCAATCGCCGCTTTCAAACATAACAGACCTTCTTTAGCACAGATATAGTCAAGTACCAGAGCGGTGGCGGAAGCGGCGGCTCGTCCGAACCCAACGACAGATCGTCGTCCGACAACGGGAACGACAGCACGTCGTTTTCAGGCCTCGCGCTGGCGCGCTGGTTTGAAGTCACTGTCCCCCTGACCGTCCTCACCTTTGGCGTCGCGATATGGTGGTACTACTTCTGGGAGCCCCGGAATGCGCGACTACGGGCCTGGTGGAGAGGGGAGGATCGTCCAAAAGACCCCGAGAAGATGATTTGAGACTTGGTGAGAAGTTTCGATCGGTTGTGATTTTCTTGATTTCTTTGCCTTGTTTTCGAGCATCTCATAGCGCTGGTTTTCTTGGCTATTGGCCGAATTGTATTTATTTGTTGTATCAAAGGCTTTGGGGCAGAACTGTAACGAGAGGATCTAGGAGGGGGGTGTCGAAATGGGGAAGCAAGTTACAATAATTGGGAAGCGGCTTAGCAGTTTTTAGGGTAGAATGCTGGAACGTGGTTCAGACTCGGTAGACTGTGGTATCTGAAATTACTCGCCGCAGACGGTATATGTATGCTCATATCGCCCTAAAACAATTTCGAAGACTAAAGTTAAACCTAACTTGCAAAAATTGAATCTGTTGAAGTTCAAACACACCCCCTCTTTGTGGCTCATTCGAGCAACCATCTCGGCCTGTGTAGCGTTAACCCTCTTCAATAGTAACACGCAGCAAAACACGAAAACTATCGAGGTGGCTTTCATTTCTCACTCTTCATCAGTGCAGAGCCAGTAGCTTCCAGGCAGGCGTGTAAGCACTATGATCTGGGTTGCCAGAATTTCCTTATGGAGTATCTCCATTTGGCATCATCTCCTTAGGCCAAGATTCGAGAGTGACAAATGGGCACATGACAAGAAGGTGTGCGCTTCCAGGGCCGGTGGTGAAATTACAAAAGAGATGGTGGCTCTCCACGCCGGTGCCAGTGACTGCGAGTGGCTGTGCTGCAAGCTAAACGAAGCACGTTGTTTGTTCCCAAATCATTACTATGGCCAACAAATAAGTATGAAAAACAGTTTGTGGCTAGCTGTGGTTGTGGTTGCGGTAGTCGTTGTCCTGCTTGGGCTGGCTTTTAACGGCGATCCCCGCAGTGGTCTTGCCCAGGGAGGCTTTACCAACCCATTCAATATTGACCCGGCTACCAACGAGCGCAGCTATCCAGCCATCACTTCTTATGCAGCCGCTACGGCAAGGAGGAACCTGGAGGTTGTCACTGGAGCATTGGGGATAGTAAGTTGCTAGAAAGCCTCAGTATCTCGACTCTCATCCACAACCCCAACGTGGGCGAGAACTTGCGACACATTATGCAGCCGCTCAAGTGTGTATTCTTCCTCTTTATACCCGCCACCGCGCTGCCGAGACCACGGTTAGCGTGAAAATTGTTAGACTAACTCGCAATCCTAGATTTGAAGTCCAACCGGAAATCACCACGAGCGACGACTTTGCTAACCCGGCCGTGCTCCAAGCCGCCATGGACGAGTATGTGGCGACACGCTCCGGCCCACTCACGGTAGTCAGCGTGAGCTCAGCGTTGCTCTCACTCCCACAGGTCGGCGGGTCCTACTCGGCCCTGCGCGAGAACCCAGAGAGCCAAGCGTTCGAGGCCGAGCGGCCCGAGTTCGCGGCGCAGTACGCACTGCTCTGCGAGGGCCTGGACGTTCAACGACACGGCGACCCAGGAGATCTCGCTGGCGGGGGGGATCTCACCGCAGCTATCGGCAGATAGCGCGCGCGTGTTTACGAGTCCGGAGACAGACACAACTACTACACGCTGCTACGGTGTCAAGGGGCTGCGGGTGGTGACTGTATTGCTTGTAGGAAGTCTAGCTATCTAGGCTACGGCGGAATATCTATATAAAGGTGATGGTCTAGAGTAATGGATCCCATAGATCCACTTATGCCTCGGCCGCATTCGCGGCCCGGGCTGTTACGGCACGGCCGAACTATGGTCCGTGGTACCGCAACCATATCCCAGCTGCAGGTACCGAGGCTGGTGATGCACTCTAAAACCTGACCGGTAATTCTTTCCCGAACCATCTCCCCCTAGACTGGGACCCACGTGACTTCTACACGTAATTATATGAAGGGTACTTCGCTACTCCCATGTCCGACCGGTACGACGTGCAAACCCTCTCCGACACGCTTTTTCGAAGATTGCGCTACTCCTCTTAGTGGCAGCCCTTTTTCAATAGTACCCTCCATCCGAGTGGCACGCTCTTCTCATCATGTCAAGCCCCGCTCCCATCATCCCAGAGAGTACCGTATTACGGTCTTGGACGCAACGCCTTCGACTATGCAGGAGGGAGTGTTCCCGAAGGAGGTTTACAAACTCGAATTCGAGAACTTGGCCGGCCTACACGGACGCCGGTTGCAGTTCCTGAACGAGGCACGGCCGAGGGCCCGTTATATGTGGTGGACCTTCCTCAGCGCCATTACCCAGCTGACCTGGAAGGTGGGGTCGGTTGCAAGCCCCAACTCGTTAGTACAGAAAGAAGTCCTCAAGGGGACAAGGTAATGGGGCACTTACGGAAGATACGTGAAGAAGAATATGCTCCTCGGCTTCATCAACGAGATTGGACACGACATCAGCAATATCGCTGAGTCCATCATGGAACACGCCATTGAGGAGGAGAGAGGACCTGCCAATCCGGGGCCAGAGCAGCCAGGGCTGGCCATCGTCGCGGACCAAGTCGTCCGCCGGACACAAGAATATGATGGCTTTGACTATGAGGCTGAGCTGGAGGAGGATGAGGGTAAAAGAGAAGATGACTAAAGGGGTGGTCACTGTGCTGAATCGGCGCGGTGGTGGCGGGCATGGCTGGGACGTATTTGCTCTTGTGCCCTAGATTTTGCCGCCTTTCAGGACCTTCCAGTTCTTCTCGTTTTGGAGCGGGCGATACAGAATTAGTTGCATTTGATTATGTACCAACCCCTATCTCGCAGGTTCTTGCATTGCCACACAGAATGCCTATCTAACGGGTCGGTAAGAGTTCTCCTATAGACCTCGAAATTTGGTGAAAACCACCATCTTACATAGCAAAACTACTAACAACACTTGACTAGCACTTGGTACCTCCCCTTACGGTCTCTGATTCTCCTTCATAGTCATACCTGGCGTTGCGGGAGTAATCGGTCCTGTGGCTAATGCACCGGCCCCCTTCGGCGTGGTTAAGATTGGCGACACAGGCCGCCGAGTCTCGGTTGCCGAGCTTTTAAGATTGACGGTTAACACCATCTGGGGGCCCTCGCCGCTACAACAGCACATCTTCAGTTTCTGTTGGATTCACCAGAGTACCGGTACTATAATCAACAGGGCGTGACTGCACGCCGAAAAACTGGTGGTTCAAGTGATGGATTGTAGATGTATATATTCTTCTTCTGGCTTTCTGGCAGTGCCAGGAAGCCGCCCCTTTTTATACTGCTATTGTGGTGGCGAAGTAGGTGGCGAAGCAGGTCGCGAAGTAGGTGTAAGTGAAGGCAGGTAAGACTGATCAAGGTGGTTACAATGAAGGTACTGAAGAGAGCGAGTAATGACTGGTATTGGTAAGAGACTTTAACCTGGCCCCCGCAAAGAGAGGGGCGAGGGCCACTGCTTATATACATGACATGACAGAGTGCAGGGCGGGCCATGACAAAGGAGTGAGGTCTTGGCCCGCTCGGTACGCGTGTGAGTTGGTCGTGTGTGGGTTGGTGTGACGGCGCCAGCTCACAGCACCCACTACCACTGCGCTAGAACCCCCAAAAGGATGCCAGAATTGCAAGTCGTCGACTTGCAACCTGTAGTGGGTTATAGTGTGCTACGGCCGTTGCGCGCCGTGACATTTGGGACTCTTTCCTTACAGTAGGCTCCAAATCCTTTGCCTAGCTCCTTCGAGGCCCACATTCCAACAGTTTCTCTTTATCTAACGTATCTGTTGGAATATGTCAAGCAGAAGGGCCTCGAAGGTTCTAGATAGAGACTTCGCCACCCACTTCGCCACCACAATAGTAGTATAAGAAGGGGCTTTCTGGCACTGTCAGAAAGCTAGAGAGAACACACACATCTACAATCCATCACTTGAACCACCAGCTTTCGGCGTACAGTTACGCCCTGTTGATTCCAGTACCGGTACCCTGGTGAATCCAACAGTATCCTAGCCCGAACCTGGTATCAAATTAGCACTACAGTTAGTTAACAAAAGTCTGACCCAAAGCCTTATTACACCAATAACTCTAACTTTCCTACTATAATATCTCCTCTACCTTAACTCTAAGAATTATCTAAAAATATGTAAGTAAAGGCAGGTACGCCTGATCAAGGTGGTCACGATGAAGGTACTGAAGAGAGTGAGCAATGACTAGTATTGGTAAGAGACTTCAACCTGGCCCTCGCAAAGGAAGGGGCGAGGGCCACTGCTTATATACATGACAGAGTGCAGGGCAGGGCGGGCGAGAGGTCATGACAAAGGAGTGAGGTCTTGGCCCGCTCAGTACGCGTGTGAGTTGATCGTGTGTGTGGGTTGGGGCTCTTTCCTTACAATCTCGTACGCCGCGGTTATTATTGTGAGGGCCTGGTCCTCCAGGCCTCCCAGACGCTCTGACTAATCAGACGCCAGTTGGGTGGATCCACCCGACCAGCCAGAGCCCCACCTTGAGACGCCCTGGAAGAATCTCGCGAGGGGAGGCTTTTGAGCTTCTTTTCCCTTTTCCCTTTAGTTTAGAATCTTCGTCTATAGCGCCCAATAGAGGAGTTCCGCCCTCATTCCAAGCCGGCCGTGACAATTATCTCACGCATTATTGGAATCGCATTGGTGGCGAGCTAGGAGACCTTGATTTGCTTATACTCGTACCCTATGACGTGAATGAACTGCCCCTCGGAAACGCCGTCTCGGAAGCAGAAGACATGCTGTGGGAGCCTTGACTTGGTGGGGCACCCATTCAGTGGCCGCCTCGTATTAAGCCGCCGGCGCCTAGACATAGCCGACCCTGCCAGTCGTGAGGAGGGTGTTATGGATGTTCCGCAACATGTCGACCTTTGCGTTGAATATCTGGCCGCCCGGGACCTCCACGAGAAAACGGTCATTATCCTTGCCCTTTGGCCCCTGTCTCGGGATCACGTCGATATCCCCGACGATGACGAGACCGCACCGCTGGCGGGATAGGAGAACCGTCAGCCGGTTCTCATTTGCCATAAACCCCGGACCAGAGGCCTGCGACGTGCCCATTACCACAAATACGATGTCGCTCTCCTGGCCCTGGTATCCATCCACTGTGGACACTGGGGCCATCGCCGACAGGGCACTAAACTCCGGTTCCCTGAGACCCCGCTCGATCAACGCCACGTTGGACGAGTATGGCGCTAATATGACAATGCGCCTGGCACCCACACCCGTCTGGACGAAGTCTTGGGCTAGTTTCAAGGCCGCCTTAACCTGCGTGGCCGACCGCCGGGAGCCGGTCAAGGCGTCTACCTCGACCACGGAGCCGGAAACGTGGACGAAGAAAGGGGAGAGCCGCCCGGTCGGCGAGGCGCGGGCGCGAGGGAGCGTGCCGAGGAGGAACTTCTCCAGGTCGTGGCCGATGTCGAACTTATCAAGGCCGACGGCGCACGAGGGCGCGTATGTAAAGTCGGCCGACGGGTAGGCCTCCTTGGCGACCATGTCGAAGAGCCCCTCGGCCATCCGGAGCTGCTGCGTGAGACGGTACACGGGCATCCCGGCGGCGTGCAGCACATCGAGATGGGAGATGGCGGCATCTTCGGCCAGCCGGTGGATGACGTGGCCCGAGCTGTCCTTCTCGCCCGCCGACCCGACGAAGGGCGGCAGCTGCATCGGGTCGCCCCCGAGCAGGCAGGGGAGTAGCGTATTTCCCCAGAGGGATACCGAGTCACAGCGGTTCATATTTGCCGCTTCGTCAATGCTAACGCCCTTGGCCAGTTTCGTCTTGAAGCTGCGGTACTCTACGACCTTATCGGCGGCGGCGAGTGTCGTACAGAGGAGGTCTGCCCGCGCGAGGATCTTGCGCATTAGTTCGAGGGTGGCGGTCTTCGCCGCCATGAGGTCGTGCCCTTCACTCTGGAACTCTTCCAGGGCTTTTCCCCCGACTACGACCCGCCGTAGCTCGTGTAGGACACCAGGGTTGGCCGTGATCTCAGCCTGGAGGTCGCCGATGATTTTCGCCTCATGGGCCCTAGTGCTCCGGACTGTAGGCGATCCGAGGACGACGAGCGTCCAGAACGCAAGCGACAGGTGTAGGCGCCAGTTGGACGCCTTGCCCAGCTGCTGCCGGCAGTAATCCTCGCCCCCGGCTAGTCGGGCGAGTAGGCAGGACACCGCCGCGAGCTCCTCCCGGATAACATAACCCCGGATTACGAGCGCATACCGGGTATGGCGGTTGCTGGGCTGCCGCTCGTTATGACGATCCGTCACGGTCGTCGATACGCGGTCTAGGCACTCCGCGAATTTAGAGGTGGCGACGTGCGACGGCGCCGAGTATAGGACCTGTCCTAGGGACCGCTGCATACCCAACGTAGCCACGGAGAGCGCGGTTGTATTGCCGAAACCAGGACCCTATATAAGATATAAGGTTAGTACGAGTTACGCAAAGAAGTTGGAATAGGCTAGGAGGGGGACAGAAACGTACCGCAGTAATGATGCCCAGCCCGAGGACGCGCTTAGATAAATACTGGTTGAACCGAGTTCGGTCTAACGGCAGGGCCTCCTCCAATAGGGCGTCTATCCGGTCAACGTCTATCGACAAGAAGCTGACGACCGGTAACGCCCGGACGCGGGACGTTAGGCCGAGTCCAGCCATGAGCTCTACCAGGTCGGCCGTATTCTGAGCTGGCCATGTCATCCAATCGTAGAACCCGTTCCCCCTCAATAATGCGCTGTGTAGGGCCATACGAGAGCGAAGCTCGTCGTACTTAGCCACCCTCTCCGTCAGCGAGAGGTCCGAGACGTAACCCCAGGCGATAGGGTTGGTTGGCGGGGCGTGAGGGAGGAACTAGCAAGCGGCGTTGACGCGCTGCTCGACCTCCGCTAGGCCAGCGTCAAATTCGAGCGCAGCGTGATTCTAATTCGCCGCGCTCGACTTGAGCGCCCGGTTGGCCTGGTCGCGGCTGCCAAACACCGCGAGGGTCTGCGCCTCCCCAGAGTCCGCCATTGGCGTATCCCTACGAACCGTCGTCAGGACGAGCTCGTGTGCCGCGGTGGGGTGCGACGCGAGGGCCCCGTGATTGCCTAGGTGACTAAGGATTGTGCATTCCCTGAGCCGGGTTAGCAGGATGTAGGAGGGAGGGGTTAACACGACCTTGACTTACCACCGCTTCGAGCTTCTGCCCTCGTTGTCTGACGACGGGTATAGGTGGAGGTACACCTTCTCGCCTTTTACCAGCCGGCGCCAGGCGGCATTGTGGGCGGTCCGCCACTCGGCGGTTGGCGGCACGACCACGTAGAAGGACCTGGCTTCGGCTCCGTGCTCGATGGTGGTGGTGGGTACGAAATAAACCCGCCACTTGGTAGCCAGGATTTCCCGGGCCGCCTCGTGGAGCCAGAATACATCCTGGATACAGGACTGCGTGACGACGGCGACTTGCGAGTTCTCGTCATCGTACCTAGTTAAAACCTGGAGCGTTAGCGATGCTCTAATCAATATAGGAATAGTCGGAAAGCAAGAGAGTCGACTTACACGCAGGCATGTCGGAACTGCGGACCCTTGTGCTGCGCATACAGCGCCCGCAAGCGATCGAGCTTCTTGCGGTCGAAGCTATGCTCGGTCCCGTAGGGGTACTCGAACGGGGCCTGTAGCGTCTGCCATTGGTGGGTCAAGGTGTTTGGGGCTTGATGGACGACCAAGGTAAACTCTTTGGACGTGAGGATGTCCAAGAGCGTGGTGTCACCGACAATGGGAGCGTTATCGTTGACCCACCGGTCGACCTTGGGGTCCTGGGTATTCCGGAATGGCGTGCCAAACCCCGTGATAGTCGCATCGGCGTCGGCAGCAATGGTGACCGACAAAGCCGCAAGACCGTTGTGGTTCATCTCGGGGAATATGCTCAACATCAAGTCCGAGGGCCTTTCGATGGTCCACTTGATAGCTTCGCCGCGAGGGAACTTTATCCGGACCTAGTGGCTCCGAGCAGGCTCGTATCTCCCGCCAGGTTTATCTATAACGATTAGTAAATATATCATGGAGAGTGTAGCCTCGTCGGCGGCGTGGGAGTGAATTACGGAGAAACTGGAAGCTAAATCCAGTCCGCTCGTTTTCCTCCTGATCCATAGGGATCTCGAGAATCAATCCCCTCCAGGGATGGGTATCGGGAGACCTCGATACGTAGAGGCGGCACTTAATAGGAGCATCGACGCGTAAGTTTGGGCCACAGGCAAAGAGGGCGCCGATATCGGAACAGAATAGGGCGCAGTCCCGTGAGTAAGTCCTGTATAGGACTGCCGATCCCTTCTTGGGCCCTGGCTAGAAACGGGGGGCGGTAGTAAGTATCAAGTGCAATAGCCATTCGGCCGGGGAGTGGAAGAGGCAGGGTAGGATATAGACTTACCTTATTTGTAGCCATGGCCGGCACGGCGGATGATTCCGCCTTTTCTTAGATATGCAAAAAAAGCGAGGCGACTAAGGTGCGAAGCGACCTCGGTCGAATGATGCAAGCTCTAGAAAGAGCGAGCAAGGCGACCAAGGTGCGAGGCGACCGAGACCGAATAATGCAAGCTCACGGAAGAGTAGGTTTAAAAAGGCAAGGGCGAGGTGAAAACCAAATGGAGGAAGATGTCAATGTACGCAGGCTCTTGCGGGTGGGTACGCGCGACGTCGATTTTGGCGAGTGTTGGAGGAAATGTTGTTGAAGGGAGAGAGGTGGGGGGGGGAGGAAATGTTGCTGAAGGGAGAGAGGTGGGAGGGGAGGAAATGTTGTTGAAGGGAGAGAGGTGGGGGGGGGAGGAAATGTTGCTGAAGGGAGAGAGGTGGGAGGGGAGGAAATGTTGTTGAAGGGAGAGAGGTGGGAGGGGAGGAAATGTTGCTGAAGGGAGAGAGGTAGGAGGGGGGAGGGCTAACGTGTTAATATTCTTGTAGTAGCCATATGCCCGTAGGTCAGGTAACCCAGCTGTCCCAGCTGTCTGGAAAGTAATCTTCAGATGAAAGATAGGTAAAAGTTTTTCGCGATAAGAGGAAAAAAAGAGAGAGAGAGTCAGACGAGCTAATGCTTATCGTCGGCCCCTAGAGCACGGGCTATTTAGATACATGCGCGCTGCTGCCATAGTAACCAACCCCTTTCCATCCGATATTCAGTGCGGCGCCACCAGGCACCGACCCGCTTATTAAGCTGCATCCGACAGCAAAAGTAGCTTATACTAAAGCAATAGAAAACACGCTTACCGTCTGACACCTGCTGGTATAACGAGATCTGTTTTGCCCCGCCTTTACGGAGCCGCCGCACCAAATGGTAAAACTCTCGTATTACCTTTAGCTGTTCTGCGCTCGAGGCGAGTGGTACCATCTTTCGGCTGGTTCGTAAACTAATATACCAGACTCTCGAAAGAGCGAGGTTATTAGTACGTGAGAGGGACGGATTTGATGCCTAGAGGTAATATTAAGACTGTGCTACTTATGGTTCTAGCTGTGGGGACCTAATGAAGCAGGTGCGGGGGGCGCCCGCGCAGCACGTTCCTCCGTCACGTGCCTGCGCACCTGACCCTCTCCACCCTTTGTTCCATGGCCCAAAGTGTCGCTATTCCAACAATAGGATTATATAGGACAATGCCAATAAGATACCGTATTTAGTTGGCGTAAAACTAAGCTAGAGAAGAAAAAGAAAGAAAGAAGGATCGCAGGAGCTGCGATCGGTAGAAAAAGGTTTGTGGGTAGAGTTTGCACGTGACCTACACGCTAACCCAATTGGGCTTCTTCCATGAAAGAAGGTTTGCGGGCGAAGTTTACACGTGACCCATAAACTAAGTCTAATTAGGTTTCTTAGAAGATGACATTACACGATCAGCGACAATGAACTCGCAATGCGCTGTGCCGTGACAATAATCAATGCGCATATAACTTTAAAATTTCCCAACTCCCCGTAACATCTTTGTCCTTTTCCACCATTTTTCATCTACATGAATGAACGTACTATTCATCACCCCCCCTAAGGTTGCATCGCGACACAACGCCTAGGCACAATCGTGGCTAGAGCGCCACGAACACCTATTAACCGTGACAATTATTTTAATTCTACAGATTTCGTCCTATCTTTGTTTCAATTTCCTTCTCTAGTATTCTCTCCGCGATAGGTAGCCGTGCTCGTATTTACCTGCTGACTTATGATTAAGCGCATTGATCCTACTCGTCTACCACCCTATCTCGTCTTTCCCGTCTTCGCCGTTCTCAGACGTCTCGATAGGCCCATCAATCGCCAGCTTCCTACGTTGCATCATCTCTCCTTCCTGCTTGTTCACTCCTCGCTCTCTCGGCAGCCTACTTTAATGAGCTTCGGTCGTCGCCTTGCACTCGATCGCTTCGCTCTTCCGAGAGCCTAGTACTCTTGACCTCGGTCAAGATGCCACGAACCAAGCAGACTGCGCGACGCAGCACGGGCAGTAAGGCGCCCAGGAAGGGCCGCCGTCGGTGGCGGAACACCGCACCCAGGGCGGCAAGACCGTGCCAGCGAAGACGAGACGCCGGCACAGGGTAAAATCGGGAACACGGGCGCTCCAAGAGATCCGGAAGTACTAGAAAGCAGTCGACCTCGTCATCCCCAAACTCTCCTTTATAAGACTAGTAATTATGATATTACTCCGACTACACGTATGGTTTCGTATTTGGCTGACGGATATTTAGGTCCGCGAAATCATAGTGGATGCTTTGACGGGCATCGTCGATAACCTACGCATCTAAGGGCCGGCTATAGGCGCCCTCCACGAGGCAACCGAGGCATATATGGTGGAGCTCCTAGAGGACGCCAACCTCCTGGCGGTCAACAGCAGTCGCATCACTCTAATGCTGGTAAGAAGACGCCTAACACATAATATGTATATTACCTATTAACCTGTACCTAGAGAGATGTGCAGTTGATAAAGAAGCTGCGTAGGCGCACGGAGAAGTGGCTGCAGCCCTGAGGGGGCGATGAGTTAGGCGAGACGCTGGTGTGTGTACGTGGGCAGGGTTAGGGTTATGTGGGCTACAGTATATGGGGGGGGGGACGTTTCAGCAATCGGAGGAGACTCGCTCTTCCATAAAGGATTAAAAGTCAAACAAGTTCTGCCATTCTCATGTCCCTATTTACATGAAAGTGTCTTTTTACTGTCGGCTATTACGCTGATTCTCCGAGCTTGCAATGATTGGCTGTCCTACCCAAAGTAGGGACATAATTATTGTTGGATTTTACATTCAGACCGAAAAAAAATATGAAGTGTTGTGTTCTCTTCAATTTCTCCCCTCCTCTGGCATAGCCAGAGGTGCAGGTTTTATACATATGAGTGGTGGCGAGCTGTGTGGCAATTTTGGCTCACATCAGCTGAATAATCTAGTATTTATCATCCACTAGAAGATTCCATATGGTGAATTCAACAATTATTTCGAGGACTTTAGCCGACTCCCTTACCTCTCTGCACCCGTTGACCGTCGACGCAGTCCTTACACACTTTGACGCATTACCACTAGCTGGTCGCCAAAAGAAATGAATTGTAATGTAGATAGAACACTCTGAAGTACTCTACTTCAACAATTATTCAAACCTGCGCAAGGTTGTTAATTCCTGCACTCGAGGCACTTGAGACTAGATTCGAGGTTTTGTACTATATAGTCGACAGTGATACGCAAATCATAGAGATTAGACGGTGCTAGAAACAATACCAACGGCTTTGGAAGAGAAATCTAGTTGTGACTAGTGATGAGCATAAATGTAGATGACTGAGCACGTGAAGATAATTAAAGCTCAGAACTCTGAAACCTCGGACTCGGAGAGAAATGCCTAATCCGGCAACATACCACATCTAGTGAGGTAACATCAGCGCCTGCAGCACGGCAGCACAAAATCGTGGTCTCGAAGCCTCGTTGTACGGAGCGCTTGCACAAGACACAAGGCGATGCCTGGCCACTTGAAGTCCTGCAAGCCTGTCATGAAAGCGTCATTGCAAAGGCCACAGCCGTCTTTTAAACAGTCCGCAGGTAGTATTGACGTCAAGGTACGCATTCGCACACCGAGATCGATCTCGGTCGAGAAGCCGTCACCAAGTGATTTAGGGGGTGGGAAACGGGCTGCAATTGGACGCGTCTGTGGCAAATATAGCGCATGATAAGGGGGGAACCAATCGGCTCAGCAGGCTGGGGACTCACCCGCACACAAACATGAGAAATGCAAGTTCAGCTTGCAACGTGCCAAGATTTTGCAATTCTCGACGAGCCGTGGTAAGACTGCGACCGTCTCCCCTGCGGCAAGAAGCCCGATGCCACTGTTTAACCCGTTTCCATTTCTTCAAATGCGTCTCTCCACTCGCCGTGCGCCATGTCCTCCAGAGGCATCGAGCCCAGCCAGCCGGAGCACAGCACGCTCGAGGTCGACCCATGGTCGAGAAACGATCCGTACAAGGAGGTCGTCCCGTTCTCCGACGGGCTGCACGTCGACTATTATGGCGGTGGAACGTTGCGCGGGCCGGGTGGCCCCGCGCTGGGGAGCGGGAATGGGAGCAGCAGCGCCACCAAGCCCGCAACCATCATGGGGCTGAAGAGGCGGACCTTCTTCATCGCCACGTGGATTCTGTCGCTGCTTGTCGGCGTTGCGATTGGCGCTGGCGGCAGCCTCGGGGCGACGATGGGATCGAGGAACTCGTGCGCCGCCCCCGCGCCCGCCCTCGAGACGCAGAACGCCGCTTCGCAGACTACTGCCGGGGGGGCGAGCCTGCAGAGCCGAACTGCCTCAATATCGCAGAGCGCAGGCACCTCCCTTGGAAGCACAACCGCGCCGTATGCGCCCCCTCTCTCGGGTTCGTCGTCGCAGAAACAAGCATGGCCCTCCTCGTCGTCGTCGTCGTCGTCGTCCTCCCCGTTCTCGTCGTCCTCTTTGTCCTCCTCCTCGTCCACGTCACCGCCCTCCTCTTCCCCTTCCTCAAGAAGCAGTGCAAGGGCAGCCTCTCCCTCCGAGTCAGCGACCCCCGGCGGCGGACGCTGCTCGAACAACTGGGGCCTGGACTGCGTCTGCCTGGACCAGGGACTCTGCGAGGCGCGGTGGAAGGGCAAGCCGTACACGGGGTCTGAGGGGAACTGGCCGTGTCCCAACGAGCCCGACAACATCATGGCCTGCATCATCAAGCCGTGTCTCGGGCAGGTGTCGCCGACGCAGTGCATGTGGAGGGAAGGGTGCAACAATGTCACGACCGGTCAGTTGATTGCTGTTGAACTCTAGCCTAGACAGGTTGCAGTGAGTGCTGACTTCTGATTTCTGATGATTAGCGGTTGATTCGAAGCTCGTGTGTCCCGGGGAGAGCGACTACATCTGCTGCGGCCATCGGTGGTGATGGCGACAAACAGGGCCGACGGCTCTGGGGAATGGCACAGCCGCACAGGGGCCTGGAATAGTATATATCGCATGGATGCTGGTGATTTGGGTGCGGCGTCCGCTGTAATTAGTCCATCTCAAAATCCGATATAAGTAGTTGAACAGTATGGCGGCATTTTGGGGACCTGACTTCAGATTCTGGACAGAGACGGCCGGAGTTAGCATTCAAAACAGACCAATGTGGGACAACGAAGTCGACAACGAAGTCGACAACGAAGTCGACAACGAAGCGAGGCTCTATTCTTTTCGTGCTTATCTGGATAATTTCAGTCGGAATTTTTTCATAGAAGCCATCGCCTCTCAATTTTGTTCCTTGGTGTCGCGCAGGATGAGACGCCGAGACGGGCAGCGAATGTTGGACACTTAAATTTCCTGCTGTTTGGATTTAACGATCGTTTAGCGCGGTAGATAAAACTGCAAAAATTTTCACTGCAGGGACATACTATAATTACATACTGTATGTACTAGCCACTGCTAGGGAAGTTGGAGCTTGGGCAACTGATTCTTTGTATACCGTATTAGACGATTCCATGTGGCTGTGAATGAATACTGATCGCTGAAGCAATATCCACATCCTTGCCTTGGCAGACTATACTGCCTGCCCCGTCCATTGTTAGCGTACTAGGTACAGTACTGTACTATACCTACGGCGGCACAGAATTGGGGTCAAGAAATGCCCCATCATCGACCTGCCCTTTTCAGCCAAGTCCTCCTGCCCCGCTCAGCGAGTCGTCATGCCCCACGCCAAACAAAAAATGATGGATGCCCATCGTGGAACACTACGCGCCATCTCACAGCTGTTGCACCGACGACAAGTCGGGTGCATCAGAAGCACCATTGCTAAACAATGATTACCGACATCATCGCCATAGCCTGCCTGCTGGGCCAAGCGGCAGCCCAGTTCCCTCCTCGGCCCGAGGGGGTCACCGTCTTGCGCTCGAAATTCCATGAAAATGTCTCTATCTCCTACAAAGAGGTGATTTTCACTTGTTCCTCGAGCTGCGAAAACCGTCTTTATGTCGCCGTCCCTAGTTGCTGAGCTGACCACCATAGCCCGGCATCTGCGAGACCACCCCCGGCGTCAAGTCGTACTCCGGCTACGTCCACCTCCCGCCGCGCTTCCTCGACGACGGCAACGGCGAGGTTCAGGACTACCCCATCAACACGTAGGCATCCCCCTCCTCATTCCCACCCGTGGCATGCAGGCCTCGCGCTCATTAGACGGACCCAGCTTCTTCTGGTTCTTCGAAGCCCGCAAGAACGCCGCCACGGCCCCGCTCGCCATCTGGCTCAATGGCGGTCCCGGCGGCTCCTCCATGATGGGCCTGTTGGAGGAGAACGGCCCGTGTTTCGTCGCGAACGACTCCAGGGCCACCTACCTCAACCCATGGAGCTGGAACAACGAGGTCAACATGCTCTATATCGACCAGCCGAACCAGGTCGGCTTCTCCTACGACGTGCCCACCAACGTCAGTCTGCATCCGGCCGAAAACGGATTCGGCTATCATGCCGTGCCTGCCAACTTCACCGACGGGCTCCCGGAGCTGAACTACACGAGCTTCGTGGGCACCGTGAGCAGCCAGAAGCTGCTGCAGACGGCCAACACCACCGCCCAGGCGGCCCACGCGCTGTGGCACTTTGCCCAGACGTGGTTCTTTGAGTTTCCGCACTACAAGCCGTCCGACAACCGCATCAGCCTGTGGTGCGAGAGCTACGGAGGCCACTACGGGCCGGGCATCATGCGCTTCTTCCAGGAACAGAACGACAAGATCGAGAAGGGAACCTCGAAGGAGAAGGGGGCACACCCGCTCCACCTCGACACGCTGGGCATAGTGAACGGCTGGGTCGACCCTCTGATCCAGGGCGAGTGGAATTACCATTACGGCTACAACAACGTGAGAGACCCTCATCGAATCGCAGCAGGACGCACACCTTGTATTTCTGAGAGCTGCTGACACCACTTTACACTCCCACAGACATACGACATCCAGCTCTGGAACCAGTCCACCTACAAGGCGCTGCTCCACAACTGGACCAAGCCCGACGGGTGCCGAGACCAGCTCCAGCGGTGCCAGGACGGCCTCGAACGCCATGACGCCCGCGCAACAAGCTCAAACCCAGACACCACCGCCGCCTGCGTCTACTTTGAGAAGAACTGCGAAGAGTCGCCCGAGCTCAGCTACAACGGCTCCCTCCGCAACTACTACGACATCGGCCACCAGGCCGAGGACCCTTCGCCAGCGCCATACATGTTCGGGTACCTGACAGAAGCAGCAACACTAAGCGCGCTCGGCGTGCCCGTCAACTTCTCGTGGATCGGGTGGGCGGTCAACGACGCCTTCGTGGGCGCGCGCGACCACCTGCGCGGCGCGGGCTTCGTCGAGAGCATCGGGCTGCTGCTCGACCACGGCGTCAAGGTGCACATGGTGTACGGCGACCGCGACTTCTCGTGCAACTGGATGGGCGGCGAGGCGGTCAGCGCGGCCGTGCCGTGGCGCAACAGCACCAGGTTCGCCGCCGCCGGATACGTGCCGCTGCTGCTGGCGTCGGAAGTCGCCAAGGAGCGGCCCCGCTTCATGGCCGGCATGACGCGCCAGGTCGCCAACTTCAGCTTCTCGCGCGTCTTCCAGGCCGGCCACGAGGTGCCTGCGTACCAGCCCGCCGCCGCCTATGATGTGTTTATGCGCGCTACTTTTAATCGTGACATCGCTACGGGGCTGACGCCTGTTACGGATTCGCTAGCGACGGTCGGCCTGGGCGATACCCGCGGCATCAGGAGCTGGCAGCCCCCGCTGCCTGCCCCACAGTGCTATGTTCTCAAGGCCCGCAGCTGTCTGCCCGACGTCTGGGCGCGTGTCGTCAACGGCACTGCCGTAGTCAAGGACTGGATCGTTGTTGGAGCGACTGGAGACGAGTCGTTACTCTCCGCGCATGAGGGAGGGGATGGGGATTATGTCGAGGACCTGTGATGGGTTTGCAATTCTGGCTAGGACACCCACGTGAAAGGGTTTGGATAATACCTGGTTAATCGATTTGTTGGCTTGTGCCGGCTGACACCTTCCGAACCCGGGCTGCTGATGGGCCCGCATACGAACGGGGATCGGCGGTAAGGCAGCTTACGGATCCCGCGGGACGGACGCTGCACTTGGATGTGGTGGTGGGCAAATCTCTTTTCGGACATGGGAATCGGCGAGCACAAAGGGATCACCGCCGCGATTGGGTCCGACCCAATTACGGAGTATCACGGTGGTGACAGACGGATCTCAGGCGAAGACGGTCACATCGTGCATGTCCTGATGCTACGACACAGATAAGTTCCAAAGGCGAGCGGGCCTGCGAAAAAGCACTTCTCGCGGCTTTGATCCGTTGAGTGCTGTTTTTTTCCTTTCACGATTACAAATATAGACATTAGCTCCAACCTCACGGCTTCCATGTACTACTAAGGCCGGACATTGAACGCGTACCCGAGAATACATTCAACCGTGCATGGCCGTTGCCAAGACCTCAGCAATCCTTCTGGGCGTGGGCGGCCGACGACAGCGCGGCGGTGTGATCGATGGCGGAGCTGTTATGCGGCGGCCCGTCATTGGGGCGTTGGTGCCCATCTCACACGGCCGCAGGGGGCCCAGGGTACCGGACCCGCAGCAAACAGCAGGCCGCTCTACTGCGCCAGCACCCTAATGCTGCCTATTTTCAGCATCCGGGACCGCCGTTGCGTTCGTTGCTAGCCCTACCGTCAAACTAATCCGCAACATTACGCCCAACGAAAGAGCAGACTGCTCTCTTCTTTGGAATATAATATCAAGAGTTCCTTGAAATTGTACGCCAAGGGACGGCTCTCCGACAACTCTCCAGACCTGACAGCCCCTTCCAATCTCGCGGTGAAACGCGTGGAAAACTGGCTGCTCCCTGCATTAGTTTGGTTTGGTCAGGGTTGAGGCCAGGTTTGGCTAGAATCCTTTGTTGCCAGGGTCCCCTCCCCAGCAGGGCAACATGCATAAATGCCAGGCGGCCAAACCGTCCTCGTGCAAACCGCCCCCCCCCCCCCCCCCCCTGGGGACCAAGCAAGAAAGTCTATATTTCGCCGGGGGCCTAAATCCGACGCCCTTCCTCGGAACCCGGGTGCTGATTGGGTTCCTCGACCAGGGGACTTGGGCTGTTGCACGGGCTTGCCCTTCTGCAGTCGAGAGGCACAGAAGGGCCTGACAGCCCCCGGAATGCCCTCAGCCGGAACAGCGGACTGCCAGCGCAGTGGCCAGGCTGTGGCCCTGACAGCGACCTGGCAGCTGGTTCGCAGGAGTCGCCAGGGGCTTTTCCGCGTGTTGTTGCTACGCAGTGTGTAACTCTTACAGAGCTGCCAGCATGAGCCCTGCTGCCAGCATGCAGCCCTACCGCCAGCCACACCGTGGTCAGTGGCATGGGATCGGGCTCGCAGACCCGGCGCTCTCTGCTACTTTGGGGACGCCTCGAGCTCGAAACGGTCGCATGACTACGCTGCTCGAGACGCTATGGTTATATGCCTGGCCGGCCCGGATCGCAAGCTCGTGCTCGGTGTCTCCCCCTCTCGGTTCTAGTACACCACGGCCCATGCACGTGTGACAGCGCCGATATCGAGACACGATGCTGCTCAACGTGCTGCCGCTGGCCTCGCTGCTCGCCTCTCTCGCCGCCGGGTCGCGGCTCCCCCCGCTCCAGGGCCACGTCTACCGGGCAGCCGCTGCTGATCCGCCTCCAGCAGTCTATCTTCCCTCGCACCACGTCTACGACGCGGCGCCGGCGCTGGAGCGGCGGTTCTCGGCCAACGACACGTTCGACTTCAACTTTGGCTACACTAACAAGAACCTGTGGAAGGGGTTTGTTCTCTCGTCTCTTTTGTTCTGAGAGCTTGATGGCTGACAACTCGCCCCAGGACATGGAAGGGCGGGTCTGCGCCCATCCCGCCAATCCCGATCGGCCCGATCCCATTGACCATCAAGCCCGAGGGCGCCGTGTCGCTGTCGCTCGACTGCAGAGAGTGCCGCACGTACGGCACCGTCGACGTCGAGCTCAGCACCGACGCCGGCCTGTTCTTCCTGCTGACCTTCCGCGACGCTGGCGCCATCGTCGACCTCGGCGTCACCGCGTCGGCTGCCCTGACCGTCAAGCTGCAGCTCGGCGGCTTCTTCGATCCGCACAAGAACTTTACCGTGGGTTTTTCGTGTCTAGTGTTTATTATCTATGGAGCTGACTGGACCGCAGGCGGGCTCCTTCAACGCCACGCTCGACCTCGGCGTCGAGCTGGTGTTATCGCTCACCGCCGGCACCACGTTGTCGGGCGGCTTCCAGCTGTGCATCCCCGACGGCGCGCAGCTGGGCTTCGACATTGGCATCAGCCCGGACCCGCAGACAGGGCTGCTGACCACGGACGCGTCGCTGAAGACTCTGTGAGCTTCCATCTCTCTCCTGCAGCCAGGCAGTCACCCGCTAACATCCCCATCCAGCCCCGGCGCCAACTTCTCACTGCTCCCGCTGTCGGTCGACACCAACGTCAACGTGACGGCCGCGCTGATCCTCAGCGCGGCGGCTGGCATCGACGCAGCGCTGGGCCCCATCACGGGCAAGATCGGCGCGGGTGCCACAGTCACCCTAATCCAGCTCAAGTTTGGCGAGACGAGCCACGCGGGAGCCGACACGGGCCAGTGCCCACTCGCGCTATTCGTCGACGGCGAGTCCAACGGCGGCGCGTCCGCCAACCTGGCCGCCGGCACGCGCAAGCCGTTCCTCGACAAGGCCGCGCACACCGTGTTTGCCACCGCCGGCGCGACGACCTGTCTGTTCAGCAAGCCGTCACCTGTTTCTCTGCCCTCAGAGACCCTCCCGCCGGCGCTGCTTGCCCCACAGCCGACGCTTGCCCCACAGCCGACGACGAGCTGTGCGCCCGGCGCCGCGCTGGTCACGCAGCTCGACACGGTCACGCACGTCAACACGCTGACGTCGTGCCTCGCGCCCGTCGTCGACTGCCCTTCCTCGCTGGCGCAGGTCGTCGTCCTGACGCAGACCGAGAAGGTGACCGCGACGCGCTGCGCTGATGCCACTACCACTACCACGCCAGACTCTACACCATTCTTATTGCAGTCGGCGACTACCACCATCACAGCCACCACCATCGTCACCATCCCCAGCTCATCCACGTCAACAACATTAAACAATATCAGCAGCGCCATCGCCCAGCCGCCCGCGGCAGCAATACCAGGCGGCGGCGGCGCGAGTTGCGCCACGTCGGCCGTCGGCCTCACGCCGCTGGCGTCGCCTGTCGTCACGGGCGTGCTACCGCCGCAGTTCGCCAACGTCTCGGCCCCTGCGAACGCCACTGTCACGGCCTTGGCTGGCGTGTTCCCCTCGGGTGCTGGGAACGGCAGTAGTGGCGGGCAGGTGCCGGTCACGGCGGCGGGCGCGACGGTGCGTGGTCCCGTTGCGGCGGGGCAGAGCGTTGTGTCGCTTGTCGTGGGCGTTGCGGCGTTGGTGTGGTTTTTGTAAGTACTTCATAGTATGGTGTTATAGGTTAGCATGTTTTTGCGGTTGCAATTTCTCAGGGCAAGGGAGCGGGGTCGTGGTTTCAATTTATTTACTTCTTTTCTTTCTTTCTTATAGGTACTTATCATGATACCCATGACGGATCATTCACGGCTAGTCTTCATAATTTCACTTTACCTAGGCATCTTGGTAGCTTAACGGAGAAGGATATGAAAACGAGGTTATTGAAGTGTACATGCACATTTAGTTCTACGCCCAAGTTTTGGGGATGTTGAAGATGTTTTTGCCTGTCCGTTCCAAGCACACTAGGAAATCAAGGTTATTTCGAAGACTGTTCGATGTTATTGTGTGAGAAACATTATAACAGCTGTGACAGATGGTTACTTATTAGCCCAGTTAGGGATCTACAGTCCAGCCCCTGAATGTTTGTTAGCAGGAACTCTCCATATGTAACGGTGTGCCGTGACGCCAGTAGACACAAACCAGATAACTGTTGCCTGGCACTCTGGGCAACAGCAGCTCTTATAGAGACCTCCCATTATATGGCCACAACCCCCACCACAATACCGTGCCTCAATGTTTCAGCGCTCGGCCTAGCGGTTTCTCGCCGAGGGGTGCACTAGCTATTAGAACCCCTATTGTAGAATCATGGAGGTCTGCAGCAAGAATGTTAAGGGGTCAGGAGTAAACTCCTCCCTTGAAAAATAGTTAAACAAAGCTCTCGACTGATGGCACAAAACAAAGAAAATGGGTATACGCGCCCCGTCAAATCCCCACAAACACTTGTTCGTCTCCCATAGTTATACAAATACTCCTTCATTAAAAACACGCCTTCCTCGAAGACCCCCTCCCTTGCTCTCCGGCACCTCCTACTTCCACGACCACCGCTGGCCCTCGTCGTCGAGGTCTGGGTGGCGGCGGGCGATCTCCTCGCACTGCTCGAGCAGCTCCTCGCCGACGGGCCGATAGTAGGGCAGGATATTGTTGCTGGTGATGTCCAGCTTGCTCTGCCCATGGAGTGAGGCAGCGCCGGCCATGTCGTCGGCGGTGCGGTGGGGCCAGACCCAGTGGCCGTGGCCCGGGATGAAGCGGAACTCGACGGTGCAGTTGAGCTGGTGCTCCAGCTCGCAGAACAGGTCGATGGCCTTGACCAGGCACGGCACGGCCATCGTGGCGTTGATGCGCCTCGCGGCGTAGTCGCGCGAGCACTCGTCCTCGGCGTTGACGCCCCAGCACTCGTCCCACAACAGACCGGAGAGCCCCGCGACCAGACGATCCAGCACCGCCAGGCAGTCGGTGAAGATGGTGACGCGCAGCGGGCGGTGCAGGTCTGCCGACCAGCGCGTGGCGCCGTGCACGCCCAGGCGCAGCTCCACGGCCGTGTTGAGGGCCTCGCAGACCCCAAAGAACTCGGGCTGCCCCGGGTTGTACACGGGCAGGTGCCACGACGACGCGCTCCACGCCGCCTTCTCCGTCTGGTGCGGGTACACCACCGCGTACCCCCCGCGCTGGGGCAGCAGCGGCATTTGTGGGACGTCCCGCATGCTGCCGTCGGCGAACACCCACAGCTCGTCGTCGCTGCGGACCAGCGCCGCCAACTCCGCAAACGCCGTCGCCGTCTCCCGGTCCGTGTTCCGGACCACGCGGTCCTCGCCAATGCGGCGGAACCCGTCCGTCCGCACCACCCCGGTGAAGAGCGGGCGCGGGTCCCACTGGTCGGGCATGGTGTCCTCTGTGCATGTTTAGACGAATTAATTATCCGATGTGTTCGACCATGGCGAGAGAGGCGCCGACGGGTGCGAGGGCAGCTTACCGTGCTCCTCCTGCATCTCACTGATTGGCAACTAATTATGCCACGGGTTAGAGATTTCGATGGTGTATTTTGTCCTGTCTTCCTTCAAGACTTACCGAGAAAGAAGACATTTCTGTAAACTGAATCAACGTTAAGAGCTTGCACGAACATGGTGATCGAGGCGGGAGAAGAGGGGGATGACGAGGCCAGAGTATAATATGAGGCCGGGGGAGAATGGTGTAGCTAGCTCTGAAATAACAGCAGAAAGAGAACAACAACAATATTTGTTGTATATTTATATTCCGTTTCGTCCACTAGAGGCGTGACTTCCGTAGTGAGTGCTATCACCCCACACAGACACACACTGAAATGAATGAAGGAGTATTGAAAGAAAGGCTACAGCTTGCTGAAGCCTGCTGTGCGAAGAGAAGAGGGGTGTCAAAACGCCCGCGTAGAACGCTGCAAGGCTGACAAGCGCAGGTGTGGAGGTGTGAGAAGACGTAAAGTTAGGCGTTGAAGCCAACCAGGCAGGACAACGCAAGAGGGAAAAAGAATTTATCAACTTACGATCGACGAGGTAGGTGAGGTGAAGATGCTGCGTTTGATGATTAGGTGAGGGGCTCCTTTTTATGCCGTAGGGGCGGCATAGGGCAGGAGTTGAATGTACTTACGCTCAACGAAATATCGTGAAGGTGCTGCGTGCGATGATTAGAAAAGGTCACGAACCGAAGAAGAACGCGAGGGCTTTTTCTTGTGCAAACAAGACACAAGAAAAGAAGTGGTATATACTTACGCTCGAAATGCTCGATGAAGGTGTGTTTCCTGTAGAACTAGAGGTCAGAAAGATCGCGAGCGAAGGCATAGTAGGTGAAGACTTACTCGAATCGTGCGTGGCCGAGGAAGGAAAGGGAGAGAGGAGCCGCGGTGTGCGAGAAATTTGTGCTTAAAAAGGTCTCGCCCTTGACGCGCTATCAACAATAAGACTTTCGTCCGATCTCACATTGGCGGCCAAATCTGAGGGGACGCGTTGGTTTCTCCTCACTTGTACCTTGGATGCGCCATGCGGCGGCCAGTACCCGACCAGCGAGGCTGTTCTGTCCTTGCAAGCTCTCTAACACCAGCAATACCATATTCAAATACATTTCATGCCCCGCACATACAACATCTAAATAATCACAATATTGAATTCTTATAGTTCGTGTTCGCCTCTGGAAGTACGTCTTTACCGACTGGGACAAAAACTCGACCTTTCACCACCCCGGCAAATTTCCGCCACGACGCGCATTTATGACTTTGTTAGTAGTCGACACTTTGAAGGAAGACCACCCGCCGTCTAGAGACACGGAAAATAAAGCAGCGCGGCAGAGCACATCAACGAACGTCGTACTACTAACATCGCATCAGCACCGCCGGCGTAGCGCCCGGGTATGGATGAAGCCCAATTCGACGTAGGATGAGTCCCTGCTGTCACTCATGTTCGTCGTTCGCCAACAGGAGCGGGGCAGGTGCATAATTGGACATAGACACTGGCGAGGTAAAAAGGGAATGGCCATGTAAAAGACGACGGACGGAAAAAATTGTATTGATTGTAGAAGCGCCTGGGTGATAACATAACTTATGGCTGGAAAACGACCGTTACGGCAAATATTCCTTCGTCCACTACATAGTAGATAGGTTTGGTTGCAGATGTCTAGGGCCTGCACATGGCAGTACAAGCGGAGGGGGGCGTGCAGATAACAGGCACGTAACAGGCGAGGTAGGCGTAGACCTACCTATATCTAGGTCTAGGCTTGATTAGATACCGTACCTGCCGGTAGTAAGGCGGCGGGCAGGTGGCTGGCAGCCACAGTCACCGGGGGAAGAGACTGCAGATGCCAAAATTGGTTTCCCAAATGTTGCACGTGATCGTAGTTGACAGCGCATTGAATTGTCTGTCTAACAAAGGTCTAGAGATACAGGACAAGAAGGCCCTATTTATACCCAAAAAGTAAACCAAGGATATCTAGTAGTACTAGGAAGTGAGCGTTATAGAGGCCTTCTTGAGGCTCAACTCGGTTGTGGCTCGGTTGTGGTTTAAATCTAGACGACATCAAACAACGCCCCAGCAGTACCTTGCCCTGCCCACAAATTTTGCTCCTCCTCACCTACTCACCTCCAAACCCCAAACCTTCCAACACGTCAAGAAAAACAATGCAAAACTACTTGGTTATTCAATATCACGAACTTGAAGCCTCTGCTACCAGTCATCCACGGCAACAAAAACAGGCCCACTTCTAAGCCAAATAAATGCCTACACCATTCTCTCTTCCCTTCGGCTCGACGTGGTTCCTCTTCTCTCAGACACAAAAAAAAAAGGGACGCCCACACCAAACACCCTCTTTCAAACTCCGTCTGCAAATCATCAACCATCTCTCATCTCTCCATCTCTCCATTAATCCCTCCCACTACCCACGCACGCCAACACCAAAGAATGACACCCCTCCCCGTCGTTCCTCGCGCGCCAGAGATGGAGAGCAGAAAAGACCAAAAGCTCTCTCCCCGCTTCTCATTCCCCACGTTCCATCTCCCGCCGCGGCCAGCAAGAGCAAAAGCACAAACCCGCGACCGGCAAGCAGCCTCCATCGTGACATGCCCTCCAAGCTCCGCAAGAACCACTTCGTACTGTACCCTCGATCCTCAATCCCAGTTCCATAATCACACCGTCAACGGAATTCTAACTTAACCCAGCACCAGCGACCCGCGCGGCTGTAATCATGCGGATTCAGCGCCCGCGCCCACCCCACCACTCAGCCCACGAGAGCCGCGGCCACGCACGACACTTTCAGCATTTGCCGGACTCGGTTTCCTTCTGACCAGGGGGGGCCACTCTGGCTTCTTTCTGGTCGGGGGGGCCGGCCTGGTTGTGTATGAGTATGACTAATTGATAGCGAAAAGAGTAAAGAAGCAACACCTGCATGGCGTGAATAGTGTATTGTATAAACTTGTATTACACCTTATAATTTACAAGAGGTGGCGTCACTAGCAGGCTCGCATCACTGGTCAGGGGGTCTAATTTGGCCTTCTAGGCGACGGGTTTCCGGAACGAAATCCACGTCTTCTAAGAGAGCTTTGGTAAGCTTTGCCACTGCTTTCTTCTACACGCATACATGAGGGAAATAATAACTCGAGAGACAGGCTGTAGCGCCCTCCCGCTCAGAACGAGAAGACCTACTGGGTCGGTGCCCAAGCTTCGTCAACCGACCTTCTCTTGCTAGTCGGTTTCCTTCTGGCTAGTGGGGGCCGGCCCGCGGCCACCAACCCCACGTGGGAGGCCCTCAGACGGGTGTCGGCTTTTGGCCTTTGCCCAGCCCAACGACGCTTCAGCGGGAACATTCATGCTCGTCCCGATTCCACCCCCTCCCATTACTGACCTCCTACTCCACCTTGTGGTTAGCGTGTTTGGGACGCCTCTGGCCTGTCTACTCCGGCCCAATCATTGCAATCTGCGACCTACTATTTGAATCTGAGTGAGATCTGCCGTATGGTCCCTCTGTGCTTGCCTTACGTCGCTTGGGGCGACGTATTCCACTTCTCGTGCTTTATGTGGCTCACGGGCGTGAGTACGAGGCGGCCCCTGCGAGATTCAAGTTCATCGTGATAACGATGGTCAACGTATGAATTGTGCTGAGCACAGGCCAAACCTGGCCCAGCCGGGTCCAACAAATGGCCCCTGCGGATCCACTTATCCATGCCACATAGATTTCCCGCCTGCGGGCCGATAGATTTAGCTTCCCCAAGCAATTCATCACCTTTCATGCATCCCCGCGCCTCGCATATGAATATTCTTACGTGGTTCGGTCGCCTCCACTGCCTCCAGTAGTGCTTCTTCCCTGCCTTCTCAAGGCGATGGAGGAGACTCTATGTGGGTGTAATTTTTTCTTGGTCAAACCAGCGCCATGACGTACAGATACACCACTTATTAGAAATATTTTGACGCCTCTAGTGGGAGACTACCGCAATCCTTGGGATTAGAGCTCTGCTGTTTGCAGCGATTTTGAATTAAGGTTATAGTTGTATTCATGAACATGAATTTTCTTCAGTATATCCTTGGCTCCGGTTGCTATCCTTTTCACGAGCGGTAACCACACATCCCTGACACAAAATTGAAGCAACGTAGCCCTTGTAATCATTTCATCTTCTATCACATTATAAAGTAATTACATTAGAAACTTATGTTTATAATTAACCCCTTGAAACTTGGATGGACTTAGTGAATAATTAGTCCTTAACCAGAATCCACCTCTTCAGTCGCAACCTCCGTCCCGGCCACAACTTCTTCGTGCTTTTCCGCCTGCTCTTGTTCGTTATCATTCGATGTATTCAGCCATTCCCCGGTAGAATCAAGATCACCAGCAGCATCTTCAAACAAGACATCCTCACCAAACTCATCTGTACCCTGTGGTGCTATACCCAGTACAGATCCCTCAACGGCCTCGAACAACTCCCTGAAGGCGGCAATCTCGACGTCCCTTGGCTGTCTTTTGCCAACAAATTCCTCATCTCTGCACTTTCCCATGCAGTCGAGGGTATCGTGGCCGTTGTGCCCAGCGTAGACATCGACAGTGGCTAACCTCCCGCCCCAGGCAAGCTGGGTCAGTCTTTCCCACCACTCAAGCGTCCCGTACCACGCGGCAAGGTGTAAGATTGTCTGACCGCTGTAAATGGTTCGATCCAGCCGCGCGTTTAGGCTGACGAAGAAGTCAAATAGCTCTATATTGTTACAGAATAGCGCCTCTAAGACAGGCGTGTATCCGCTTCTGCAGGCCTTCTCGATGTCAGCCCCGAGATCGATCAGCTCCAGTGCGTTTTGCATACTGCTGGAACAGTTGCCCTGGTATGCCTTAGCTGCCGCATAGCATAGAGGTGTAGTACCATCCTCGTCGGGCGCATTGGGATCGGCCCCGTATCGCAGTAATAGCTCGATTGTACGCGGGCGGTACTGCGTCGAAAAAAAGATGTTGTGGATCGGTTGGGCACCCCCGATGTCGGCTGCATCGACGACGGCGCCATAGGCCAAGAGCTCCTCGACACAGTCGTCGTCGCCGAACGCCAAAGCAGCATGCAGCGGCATCCAGAGAGAAGCATCGGGCTTGTTGCAGTCGGCACCCCACCGCAGGAGTATCTTCAACTTGGCGATGTCGCCCTGCTCTGCTGCCCACCATATAGGCGTACGACCCCGCGAGTCTACCATGTCAATATCTTTGGCCGATAGGCCGAGTTGCGCCTCGAGATCGGCCGAGTTCAACCCCAGCACAATCCGGTGGAGCGGGGTCAGATTGACGTGGTCATAGATTTCGTCGTTCCCATAAATGGCAGAGAAATGGCACTCCCAATAACTCTTTCGGGGCATATCCCAAGGACCATAGCTTTTCCAGCCCCTTGGCCGTCTTGCCCACCGCACCCAGCAACGCCAGCGCGCTTACTGCGATTGAGAGGGGATTCATATCGTGATGGGGGAATGTTGTGTGGTTACGAATATGTTTGCGGATGATGAGGAAGATGTCATGGGAAAAAAGAGGAAGCAGGGTGGCCATTCACGAGATTGCAGGCACACCCCCGCCTGAAAAAGAGACGGCCATTGGTGAATACGCCAAGGCATCTTGCAAGGCGAATGGTGGGTGTAGGGGGACTGGCTGTCTGGTTTTGGTCGACATTAGGCTACCAATCGTTGGGCGAGAAGGCCATGCGCGGATGTGCTGCAGCCCTCTTAACTCTTCCAGTCGCTATCGCAGGTGCTGTCTCGTTGAAAAGGCAAGATCAACTCCATTTCGACACAAATGATCCGCTATACATGCCTTCCATGCTGCTGCGTTTCGCGTCCAGGCAATCCTAGGTACTAGGATCACATAAACTAAGGTACTTCGGCAACCAATTTCGGTGCAATACCGCCCCTACCAAACGGACTCTTGGAAGACACCTCACTTGATTTTTTCCTAAATTCCATCCTACATACTTGCTAAGCCACCACACAGTCAGTGCAGCCGCGCCGTTGCGCGAATCATGCGACTCTGGCTTGAGTAGCTACTGTATGTACCTGCGCAGTGCCTCCAGGCGGAGCGAGCTCGTGTACAACCTCGCCGATATGTATGTACATGTACATACCTAGTATATCCCATACCTGACGCCGTAACAACCGCTGAAAGAGACTTATGGCGGATTAAAGTTCGGCCGCTTCTGCATATCCATATGGCCTATACGTATGGCACAAATTGCCGCGATGTTGTATGCTCTAGTTTATTCAAGTTTAAAGTGAGGTGTGGCACTCGGAAAGGGGCTTCATTGGGTTAGGTGAGTCTGCTTCACGGACAGTAACCGCTCATGTCCGTCGCCGCCAGAACCTTACTGCTCCTGATTACGTAGGTGACTCAGACCGTGGAACACCCCAGCGGATTGAACCCCGCCATCCGATAAGGAACGTTCCATGCTTATCAAGCAAGAAAATTATTCATCTTGCCCCTCCAGGCACCTTGAAGGCGCGTCCCCGCCAAAACGGCGTATTTTAAAAAGACATCCGCCAGGCCAGTCTTGCCGCCGTCTCATTCACTCGCCATTCGAGCATCCCAGCAACTACCCCACCCCATCCCGAAGCGCCCCGAGCGAGAAAAGCAACACGCGCAATGCCGGCTTCAAGGCCCCCGCAGAATGGCCCCGCCGCCGAGGGCGAGGGCGACGAGTTCGAGCCCGCCATGCTGGACGAGGACGAGGCGCAAGAGGTGGTCGAGGCGGGCGACGACGACGGCGACGTGGCCATGGACTCTGACGGAGAGGACGACAACGGCGGCGAGTACAACGGCGAGGGCGAAGAGGCCATGACGCTCGAGAACGACAGCATCGCCTACATGGACCGCCACAAGGACTCGGTCTTCGCCATCGCCCAGCACCCGCTGTACCCCCACCTCGTCGCCACGGGCGGGTCCGAGGGCGACGCCGACGACGCCCCCGGCAAGGGCTACGTGATCGACACGTCGGCCGCCGCCCCGCGCCCGCGCCCCGTGCTGCCGCCCAGCTACAACGCCGACGCTGGTGCCGGCCCCGCCCCGCTGCAGAACACGGAGCTGGAGCCCATCTTCGCCATCGACGGCCACACTGACAGCATCAACGCGCTGGCCTTCACCCAGCCGCGCGGCGAGTACCTGGTGAGCGGCGGCATGGACGGCCGGCTGCGCGTGTACAGTGTGGCCGTCAATGGCTCGACGGGCGCCGCCAGGATCGCCTTTGTCGGCGAGTCGCAGGAGACGGAGGAGGTGACGTGGCTGGCGCCGAGTCCGTCGGCTGAGTACGCCAACACGATCGCCTTCGGCGCGTCCGACGGCTCCGTGTGGGTGCTATCCATCGACGCGGCCGCCGAGCCGGCGATCCAGATCGTGCAGTCATACTTTTTGCACACGGGGCCGTGCACCGCCGGTGCGTGGTCGCCCGACGGCCTGCTGCTGGCGACGGTCAGCGAGGACGGGTCGCTGCACGTGTTCGACGTGTGGGGCGCCGCCGCCGCCAAGTCGCTCGTCACCGACAACGGCCAGACGGTCGTGTCGCTGACCGAGGCCGACCAGCGCTTCGCCGTCGAGGGCGGCTTCTTCTCTGTCGCCGTCGCCCCCAGCGGCACCTTCCTCGCGGCCGGCGGCGCCGGCGGCGCCATCCGCATCGTCTCGCTGCCCCGCCTCACCACACCACAAACATCAACAACAACACAATCACAACACCGCGGCGGCTCCGCAACAACAAGCGACCAGTCGTCGCACGTGGCGGGCACGATCCTGGCGGGCATCAACACGCAGGCGGACAGCATCGAGTCGCTGTCCTTCTCGCCGGCGCCACGAACACTTTTGGCGGCTGGCAGCGTAGACGGCAGCATCGCCGTGTTCGACACGTCGCGGTCGTTTGCGCAGCGGCGGATCGTGCGGGCCGCGCACGACGGCGAGCCGGTAGTAAAAGTCGAGTTCGTGCGGTCGGCGCCCACAGCCGCGGCTGCCGGCTGGCTGCTGACGTCGTGCGGGCTCGACGGCGTAGTGCGCCGCTGGGACCTGCGCGGCGCCACGCCGTCGCAGAACGCCGTGTCGGGTGCCGAGGCCACGGGGCTTGTCAAGGAGTGGCGCGGCCACCGCGGCGGCGGCGGCGAGGGCGGCGGCGTCCTCGGCTTCGTCCAGGGCGACACGGGCGAGCGCGTTGTTACCGCTGGTGATGATAGTGTTGTCTTGGTCTTTGAGGCGTGATGCTCCCCTAGCAAGTTGCGTGCGGATATTAAAAACAAAAGACAAAGAAAATAAAACTTGCATGGATGGAGCCGAGTAGCGACCAAAGCCCTGTGCGCTCTGTCTGCGGTGCGGTCTCGTCTAGAAGGGAAGGGGAAGGGGAAAGGGGGAAGGGGGAAGGGGGAAGGGGGAAAGGGGGAAGGGGGAAGGGGGAAGGGGGAAAGGGGAAAGGGGAAAGGGGAAAGGGGAAAGGGGTGGCTGTTTACTGCATTAGCGAATCAAGTTTCGGGAAGTTGCCTGCCTATGTAGCCACAGCTGGAAAATAGGCCTTGATATCCAGGGGGGTTTAGATCTCGACGTGTTTTCCTCTGGGCTAATTTCCTTTTAATGTCTGCACTCCCTCTGGCGATATGGGAAATAAAACGGGAAAGTAATTACCTTGTGGTAGGGGTGTATTCGCCTGGCCAAGTAGATGGACATATGATCTAGAATTGCTGAGCGTTTAACCGTATGAACACTACATCATCTACCGAGATGTCGGTGTGTTCTTATGTCGAGATTAGATACCCTGGTTGGTGGCATTCCGTTAAACGACTTTTGATAGACAAGGTAGTTCTAGCACTTTCACATGGCTAAGTACATACCACGAACCAGAAGTATTTCCTTCTATTCTTTTGGAGATCCAACATTGTACCCTGTACCTAGCAAAAAGTCAAACAAGACCCAGTCTCGATCCGCGAACGTAGAGATAACGAAAAGCACGCCAGACTGAAACAAGCCAAAAAGGAAATACCACAACACCACGTTCACACGCCCAAGTGTAAAACAAGTCAAATGCGAACCCAAATCCTTGTTGAAAAGCAAGCCTGGTTTTCCGTCTTCTATATCCCCCGACTGTATGGTTGAAAGACACATAGCCCCTGACCGCCGCCTCTGTCTATGGGTATTTATCTGGGTTGAAACCTTTGTTGAAGAAAGTGTGCGTGAAAATCCCCTACCCTGAACCCACCCCGCTGAAACACTGGGGGCTCCCAAACAAGACGACGCCAAATGACACAAGACACAAAGACGAGGAAGATATCCTGCCGTAACTCCGTTTAATATGCGGCACCCTCATCGCTGCTATACTGCGATTATCCTTGCCATGGCGCCAAGGCCGAACCTCGTGGAAGCGCTTGCAAACACCCGGTGAACATCGCAGGCCGTGGGTCGCTCAGTCCTCCTGGACAGAAGAAAGGTGGCCGACAGTCGTGTCTTCCACCGGCGGGCATGTGCAAAAGAGGTTGAGGTCGCCATAAGCTAAACAAAAAGGTTAGTATCAGAGTCGCGGAGATGATGGGATCTGTGCAGCTTACTATCGTCCACCCTAGCAATAGTAGGCCAGAACTTCTTCTCTCTCAGCCAAGGGAGTGGATAGGCAGCCTTCTCGCGAGAGTACGGCCTGGTCCACTGGCCACCCGCCTCACCATCGCCGCAGATAATGTCCGAGAGCGGATGCGGCGACATCTTGAGGACGTTGCCTTCGCGCGGAGCCTTGCCCTCCTCTATCTCGCGGATTTCTTGGCGGATGCTGACCAGGGCTTCGACAAAGCGGTCGAGTTCCTCCTTGGACTCAGACTCTGTAGGCTCAATCATGAGGGTGTTGGTCACGGGCCAGCTCATGGTGGGCGCGTGGAACCCATAATCTTGGAGGCGCTTCGCGATGTCGATAGCCTCGATACCAGCTGAGTTGTGGAAGGGACGGGCATCCAGGATGAACTCATGCGCACAGCGGCCATTCTCGTTCACGTACAGAATCGGATAGTGCGGCTTAAGTTGGCTGAGAAGGTAGTTGGCGTTGAGCAGGGTGACCTTGGTGGCGTGCTTGAGCCCCGAGCTGCCTGTTCGTACAAGTCAGCTCAACCGCTCTTGGCGATATCAACGACAGACAGTGTGCACTTACCCATTAGAGCGTTGTATGCCCAGCTGATAGGCAATATGCTAGCGCTTCCATCCCGCGCACTGCTGACTGGGAAGTTCGGGTCATCCTGTTTTGTCACGCGCCTGGTAGGCAGATACTCGACCAAGTGCTCCTTGACACAAATGGGTCCCACGCCGGGCCCGCCACCGCCGTGCGGGATGCAGAAGGTCTTGTGCAAGTTGAGGTGGCAGACGTCTGCGCCAATCTCCCCGGGGGAGCAGAGGCCGATTTGTGCGTTCATGTTGGCGCCATCCATGTACACCTGTCCGCCGTGGCTGTGAACAATCTCGCACACCTTCTTTATATGAGGCTCGAAGACGCCAAACGTGCTAGGGTATGTAATCATCATTGCAGCAATCTCATCCGAGTACTTCTCGCACTTGACCTCGAGGTCCGCAAGATCTAGATTGCCCGTCTTGGTGTCACATTTAATAGGAACCACCCGCATCCCCGCCATGGCCGCCGATGCCGGGTTCGTGCCGTGTGCCGAGACCGGGATCAGGCATATATCGCGATTGCTTTGACCCTTGCCGTCAAGGTACTTGCGAATGGTGCGAAGACCAGCAAACTCGCCCTGTGCTCCCGAATTTGGCTGCAGAGAAACGCCGTCCATGCCAGTGATATCCTGTAGCTGCAGTTGCAGACTTTCGGTGAGCAGCTGATAGCCCTGGGTCTGTCTGGGGAGGGCAAACGGGTGGATGTTTGCAAAGCCTTTGTGGGTGATCAGTGACATCTCGGCGCTGCCATTCAGCTTCATGGTGCACGATCCAAGGGGGATCATGGAGTGCACAAGGGACAGATCTTTGGACTGGAGGTGGTGTATGTAGCGGAGAAGCTCGGTTTCGGAATGGTGCGTGTTGAAGACTGGGTGCGTCAGATACTCTGACTTTCGTCGCAGACCCTCTGGAATATGCGCCAGCCCATCGGGGGATGACCAAGATGCCGCTTGGTGCACATGAAGAAGCTTCCGAATCACCGCTTTGGCACTTGGCTGGGGATTATTGCCATCTTCATCGGACATTCGGCCGCTCCTTAGAGCAATTTGGCGCAGCGCATCGACCAACTGGTACAGATCTCCCTCCTCCATTGTCTCATCGAGGCTGATGCTGATCATGTTTGCGTTCACGTATCGCACACCAATGCCTTTGTCATTGAGCCAGGTGTAGAGTAGGCCGGCTTCGTTGTGGCACATAATGGTCACGGTGTCGAATGGCACAATCTCGTGTTCGGCCCCGACTGTCTTGAACGTTGTCCAACCGTAAATATTGGCAGCAGACTGCAGAACCCTTGCGCTCAAGCTGATCCTGTCGGCGATGGCCCGCAGTCCTTGTGGGCCATGGTAAACAGCGTAGAAAGCGGTCATGTTGGCGAGCAGGGCCTGGGCAGTGCAAACATTGCTTGTGGCCTTCTCTCTCCGAATATGCTGCTCTCTCGTCTGCAGCGACAGTCTCAAGGCCCGCCCGCCAAGACGGTCCTTGGATACGCCAATCAGGCGGCCGGGCATCTTGCGCTTGTGCTTCTCCTTGACGGCGAAGAAGGCAGCATGAGGACCCCCAAACCCTAGAGGAACACCCAGCCGTTGAGAGTTGCCAAACGCGATATCCGCACCCCAGTCCCCAGGCGGACTGAGCTGAGTCAAGGCTAGCAAGTCCGTAGCAGCGCTGAGCAAGGCGCCCTTTTCGTGCACGACATCCGCGAGCTTCTGGAAGTTCCACACCTGGCCATATGTGTCTGGGTACTGGACCATGGCGCCAATCAAGTCGTCGCCCAGCGCTTCCAGCTCGGAGAGGTCGTGCCTGGTCAGATCCATGACGGCGATTCTGATGCCGAGACCCTCGGCACGGCTGCGCAGAACCGACTTCGTCTGCGGGTGGACTCTGTTAGAGACAACATAGGTCCGGCCTGGCCGCTTCGCCCTCGAGGCAGGAAGGGCATTCAGTGAAAGCGTCATGGCCTCGGCGGCGGCGGTTCCTTCGTCCAGCAGACTGGCGTTGGATATGGGCAAGCCCGTCATGTCAGAAACAAGAGTCTGGAAATTGAGCAGGGACTCCAGCCGGCCCTGGCTAATCTCGGGTTGGTAGGGGGTATAGCTAGTGTACCAGGCCGGGTTCTCGAGTACATTTCGCTTGATGACCTCGGGAACGAGAGTCCCATAGTATCCAGCACCGATGAAGTATTTGCGGTTGTAGTCGTTCTTCTCGGCCAGAAGCTCTCCCATTTTCTGGACTTCCCATTCCTTGTGGCTCTCCCTGGTGGGAATGTACATGGCCTCGCCGAAATGGATGCGACGGGGTGATTTGGAGAACAGCTCGCGGGACGTCAAGATGTCTGGGGGAATGACTTGCTCGACGAACTCGTCGAGGGACTCGACTGGAGGGGAGAGGGCCTTGAGCATTTGGGCAACACTCTCCTCGTCGGGCCCGATGTGCCTCCTGGCGAACTCATCGTGGGTCGTCGCCAGCTCCGGGAAGCGTAAGAACGGTTTCCGGACAACCCCGGCGTCTGGCAACTTGGAGTCGGGGGGGACGTCGCCGACGTCATCCCACCCATCCTTGGAGACCTGTGCGGCCTTGGCTTGGGTTGTACTGGCTTTCCTTATGCCCGCGGCAGTAGTGCCAGGGGAGAGAAGGACATTGCCGGTCCAGGGTCGCACCAGGCGCGTGGCTTGGCGAGAAGTGACTATCGAAGCTCCGCCGATGTAGCTAAGGCGCCTGACTTGCCGCATCGCGGCCATGGCAGCCATCTTCGCAATAAACAGGCGATCAGTCCACAAAGCGGAACGCAATCAGGCAAAGGCTCAATTGCGAATTGAAGCCGAAGCTCTCTTTTCTCTGTGGCCGAGCCCGGAATGGACGAAAATGGGCGTGGAAGGGGAGGATGGCGACACGGCCCAAGTGGCCGATCGGGACGGGCTTGACGTGGAGTAGAAGCGGAGGGGCAAACGGTCTGGTCGGGGGATCCGTAGATTCTTTGCCAGCACGTGGTACCTGATTTGGTCCTTCAGGGGCAAGAGGCCATTGCGTGTCCACAGGGTCCGCTAGCGTACAAAATATATGGATCGAAGACGGTGAGCGGCGGAGCGACTACTAAGGTACAGCAGGTAGAAAGTTGAAACGGCGTTGACGCTAAGCCCTTTAGCACTGGAGGGAAGCAAAAAGAGGCGTCTCAGCTGCAATTGAGGTGAAGGAGACGGCAGAGATCCAGACCCGGATCGACTTCGTTTGCACGCGCCGCAGTCTCAAGTGAGCACAAGATGCCAATTGTGTCCAGAAAAGAAAATGTAAGACAAGACGCTGTGTGGAATGGAAATCAGAAACACACCATGACCTGACCTGACCTGACCTGACCTGGCCGACCCTGTTCACAACAAAACCCACCGCTATCGGTCCACCAGATAACAACTTTAGGTGCAGATATCGGTAAATACTGAATCCAGTATCGGGTATTCTCGGGCGGGGCAGTTGGACGCCTGTTGACCTCCGATACGCAGCCGAGCAGACGCCAAGGCTATTCGACGCTGCAACATGTGGCGGTCTGCAGCGGAGCCTCAGGAAGCCCTTTGCTTACCGGGCTACGGATACGGATACCCGTACACTGGGCATCCAGACCGTTGGAAACCTCCACGGCCCTTTGTGCACAAACGCACAGTACTAACAAGCAGATAGAGGCACATCAATGATTAACAATTCACATTTAATCTCAATTTCTAGAACCGTGAAAGGAGCAATTCCTGACAAAGAGAAGGGACCTAGACGTTCGAACCCAGGGAGCTCAGAGCACCAAGTGCTCTGATGTGGATTTAACGGGGAATGATTGGAGTTTGGTAGCGGGCGTAGCGGAGCTGCAGGACCCCTGCGCCGCTCCCGAGCCCCGAGCCTGCCACTTTCCCCTTCTGAGCCTGGCGTAGTTAGGCGGCGGGCTAGGTAAGTTGGGGAAGATGGAAGAACTCCAAAAAATTCGGCCGCTTTGTTTCGCGATCTGGCCAAGCAAGCAATCGAATCACACTCAACCTCAACCCACAGCACCATCAGCCCAGTTCCATACGCACTCCCCCAGCCAACACTTGCTGATATCCCCCGCGCGACCATTTCAATAATTCCGCAAACATGTTTGGAGGATGTGAGTTCTCCCCAGCTCCAGACAACAGCAGCGGGAAGCTTGAAAAGCTGTCAAAGTCTAGAGGCTAATAAAACGCACCCGTCGCGCAGTCCAACCGCCCCAAATCTCGCCCGAGGAGCTCCAGGCCGCCGAGGCCGAGGCTGCCTTCACCGTGCAGCGCGCTGTGGCCGCCGCCGCGGCGCTCTATCTCTGTGAGCCTGCCTACCTCCGTGCATCCAGGGCCTACTCCAGACCAAGGGCCCTTCCTTTTTGCTCATGTGCAAGCCAACATCTGCTAACCCGTCCTACCAAACGCAGCACCCTTCGTGATCGACGCATTCTGGAAGATCTTCTAAACCTCTGTCGGACACACAACACCCGAGCGACCTCACTCTCTCAACCTGTACGCGCGCACAAAAGGCGAACGCTCATCACGTCTGAAAGGAAACCAACCGCGACTGTTATCGGCTCGCAAACTCTGTAATAAAAAAACAAACAATGACAACAACCTGTACAAAAATAAACCCCACCATGGCGTTGCGCTTCGTTGCACGATAGAGGGATGATGGATGACGAGGAGGAGGAGGATGAGAAGGGGGTTGTTAATAGACGGCTCCTAAACTGGTCAGGGTTTCTTTTTGCTTATCATAGCGGCTGAGCCCGGACAAAGATATATGGCTAGGAGTTTGTTTTCTGGGCCTAACTAAGCCTGGCATACCGGCATAGAGAATAGCATCTCTGTCCTCACTCATCGATCACCCCGAGAGTTTTGAGACCAGGTATCTCGGAGAACAGTCACACCACACACTCTCGTCATTCTTTGTCCCCGGGACGTCGACAGGAGTTGATCTTTTTAGTGCTTCCTTGCATAGGAAGAGACCATGGGAGTTTCAGGGTTTAACATTTTCATCTGCCACGAGGGGCAACATTTAGACCGCCATTCTCCCCTTGTTTTTTCACTAGAGGAAAACCCACAAACCCCATTTCTGGTAAACCCTCCCACAGGCCAACGCCTGTCATGAAAAACTCTTTCTCTCCCTTCCGGCATGCCTCGTCCCAAATTTATCACCACCCCTTTTTCTCAAAAAGGTAGTGAAATCCGCAAAATACCTAGACTAAAAGGCCTATTCAATGCAAGAAGACTATCAAGCACCTCGGCATATTACTTGGGTATCTCAAGGCCGAGTTAACTGCCGGGTTAACTGTCGAAAGCTTTTCCCCAAAACATTATTCCAAATAAAAACAAGACCGGGTCCTCGTTCACTTGCCGGATGAGGCCCGTGATGGCGCGGGGGTCGGGTTATGCTCCTTCTCCCAGTACTGGAAGTCCTTCTTGGCCTCCTCAACCTGTTTCTTGAGGTGCTGAAGCTGCTTCTCGTAGTCCTCCAAGATCTATGCAGCGTATTAGCACTCAAAAACAGGAGAAAATGACATCGCCCGAAAAGAGAACAAAAAGGAAGGAAACCCAACCTTTTTAGCCCTTGCCTCGATCTCCTCACTCAAGCCATCACTCTCGCCCAAGCCCGGCTTGTTGAGCTCATCCTTCAGATTATCGGCGTAGCCCCTCAGGATGATAAGACGGCTCCACAGCTCCTCCATGCGCGCGCTGAGCGCCGGGTCCTGTATGCTCTTGTCGATCTTCTGCAGCTTCTGCTTGAGCTCGTCCTCGTCGCTGCTCATGGCGTAGCCCCGGTTGCGCATCACTTGCACCTTGGAGGCCAGCGTCAGGCAGCGCTTGCTGATCTCGGCGTGCCGCCGGCGCGCCTTGAGCGCGCGCACCGAGTGCTCCAGGTCGTGGCGCGACAGGATCTCGTCCAGGCTGGCGTTAATCGCGTGCAGCTTGTTGTTGTACTCGGTGATGACGCGGCGCTGGAGGACCAGGCGCGCCACAATGGACGGGAAGCCGGCGCAGAGCACGGGGATGTAGTTGGGCGCCGGCTTCTGCTGCAGCGCCTCCTCCCACTCCTTCGGGTCGTCGTTGGGCTGGGGCCCGTACAGCGGCACCGCGTGCTCGTCGACTTTGTTGTAGAGGTACGTCTTGAAGACGCAGTTTGGGTTCGACGGGTCCCACTTGTCCGTGATCATCTTGATCTGCTCGGGGATCGGCTTCTGGTCTGTTGTATGGTGCGGGGGAAATTTAGTAAGAAACATTGTCTAGCTGGCATCGCCATCCGTCGAATCAAAGACTCCGTCAGAGACTCCGTCAGAGGGAGAGAGAGAAGGCCTACAGTTTGCAAGACTCCCGGGTTGCCACAGTGAATTGCCAAGCTGCTGCTGGTTGGGGTTTGCTTGGAGCTGACCGAGACCCTGGGCGCCGGGCTGTAGCTGCTGCTGTTGTTGCTGTGAAGTTTGCTGTTGCTGTTGCTGCTGTGAAGTTTGCTGTTGCTGTTGCTGCTGTGAAGTTTGCATCAGTACCACACTCTCCTTGTTTGCGAAAGAACGGGATACTGCAGAGAGCTCACGTTTTGGTTGGCAAGCGGCTGACCAAACCCGCCCGTGTTGCCGCCGGCAAAGACCGATTGGCCCGCGGGCCGGAAATTTGAGGACGAAAACATGGTAGTCGCAAGGTGAGGGGATGTCAAACAGGTGAAGAGGTGAAGTAGTGAATTCGTCGCGAGAAGGCGCGCAGGTATGGTGACAAAGACGCCGCCCGTCAAAAGGAATCCACCCGAGTTGTGGAATGCGGCTGCCGTCCAGGAGACCAGCGAAGCACACAATATATATGTATAATAGCGATCCGTCAAGGTAGGTCAACTGGCGGAAACAAAGGCAGGCGGCATAGGTAGACCAAACACACAAAAAAGCGGGAGTGGAGGTGCTTGAAAGACGCGCCGCTCACCTTGCTTCCATCAAATGCGATGCGCAGGGCAAAAAATAGCCTCGAGACCGCTGAAGGAAGGTCCAAGCTCCCTCACCGCGTCGTAGCCTGAGGCCCCCCACCCAGCGATGGGCTGAAGGACGCCAGCAGCCAATCACAGGCGCCAATCCGTGACCCACAGCTATCCAGGAACCTGAGCCTCCATCTCGCCTCGACGGGAAAGCTCCAAACCACGCATCGCAGCTCCGCATTGACGACAGCGCGCCCGCCGGCACCGACAAGATGTCCACACGAAAGCCCGTGTAGGTGGCCCAACTATCCCCCTTGCAGCTTTTCCCGACCGACCGAATTGGGGGCCTGAGCCGCCGGATGATGGAGAGAGGAGAGGGTGCGGGCGCAATTATTGTGTCGTGCTGGAGCCGCTTCGCTGACACCCCCACGCAACGCATATAGCTTCAACCAGAAGGTCCTCTACGACACGACGCCCCTGCCCGACTCGATCCCCAAGGTCAAGGAGCTCGGCGCCAGCTCGGCCCCGCTCCTGTCGGCGTCCTTCTTCATCGGCGCGCGGTGCGGTGCCTACAATGACGACTTCATGCAATGCAAGACCGACAACCCCGGCAAGGGCGAGTTCGAGTGTCTGAAGGAGGGCCGGAGGGTCACCAGATGCGCCCGGAGCGTGTATGTCCATTCAGCTTCGCCCACTTCTGTCTCTCTGTCTCTCTCGCAGCTGGGTCTGCTCTTTTGCTTCCGGAATGGGGGATTCTGGGATAGAAGGAGAGTGCCAGCTGCGAGCAGTGGCTGATGATGATCCCCCCCGCTACACTACTAGGCTCAGACGGCTGACCGCGCCGTCTACTACAGGATCGAGGATATCAACAAGTCCTGCCTGGAGCAGTTCCGTAAACACTGGGAGTGCCTCGACAACAACAACCAACAGCTCTGGCAGTGTCGGCCAGCCGAGTGGAAGCTGAACAAGTGCGTGTTTGAGAACTTGGTACGTCAGACGGATCATCTTTTCAATGTTGCCGTGGTCTAGTTTTGAGATGCGTCCACGACGAGGGCCTGTTTCCCGGGAGGCGAGATTGGTTATGAGCATCTCTTTCCGTCCTTCTACACATAAAACAGCGTGGCTAACAAACCCTCTGAAGAAGCTCGAAAAGGTCATCCCGGACCAGCCCAAGAACTCGACCCCGGTGCACCTGAGACAAAAGCAGATCTACTCCCACCATACCATCCCGCCGACCGCCGAGCCGTTCATCGCACCCAAGTCTGCTGCCGCCCCGACATCGTGAAGCGTGGGCTAAGTCGCGGGGTATTGGGTTGATGCGGAGCTAACACACGCCATAATGCGCCCGTAAAGACGACTCTCACCAAGAAATTGTGGGAGCCATGTGTCCGGCCGTGCTTGGGGCGTGCATTGTTGCGCTTTTTTGTGTGTATGGGTGAGTTTGTTGGGATCTCTGTACATACCTAGGTAGTGACCTGCTACTGGAAACAAGAACGAAATGGAACGAAAGAAGGCAGATGGAACTGAACCAAGCAAGCAGCCGAGTCTACTCTACTGGGGCTGTGCCTGTGTACAGGTGTTGCTCATCATTCATTCCGCTCATTCTTCTCTCTTCTTCGGGGAACTATCTAACGCACGCGGTGGCAAACCCGGACCTGTTTGTCACTCCTTGCGTGCTATCTACATGAGATACCCCGCGCCTCGGCCTTGGCTTTGGCGCTGGCTGTGTGTCCCGTCCCTTTTGTATCTTGGGCCGAGTTTGAGCAACAACGCGACCCTGCCCTGCGCCCTCGGAGGGTCTTCTAAATTACATTCTCTTTCGCCTTCTCCTGTCTACCGTTCCCTTTCCCTCGGAACTCTCCTCTTCCGGGCGGCGGGTGGGGTTACCAGAGTGCTTATTACCGGCCGTTCTGGCATCAAAGTCAGACAAAGGCACGGTGGATGGATGGGCTGCGCGTCGTCGTCGTCGTCGTCGTCGTCGTCTGACACGCGCCGGCTGACTACTAGTACTGTGCCTCGCCTTATTGTCTTACGCTCTTTGGGGATGCGGAGCATCCAGTCTGCGTTTTTGGAAGTGCCTGCTTGCTGTGAAGGCGCTATCTACTCTATATGGAACGGGTGTGTTATTCGGATACGTATGGTCTCCTCACGGGTTATGGCTGTCGCATGTGTGCGGGTATGCATCTTCATGGATGCCATGTGCATACAACGCACGTCTGCCCGGTTTGTTTCCTTCTAGGTGGTAGCTCACAGCCCTGAGCTGCTGCTGGTGGAATTCGGTGGGAATGTGTGGGTTGGTTGGTTATATCATCCCAACCATCTTGTTGTTCGGACATCAAGACTGGCCACCACGTGCCTAGTAAGTGCAAGAAGCGCAGGGAATGACATGTAGACTCGACTCGACATCCGGGAAGTTTACTCCGGGGTCTGTCAGTCCCATCGCTATATTGATCAGGGTCTGCTATGAAATAGGTAGAACAGCTTGTCCCCTTCGGCCACTGCCTAGACCGGCCACACTACATCCAGAGACAGGCTGTAAGAGAGGAAAATCCCGCCAAGCGGGCACCATGGGTCGTGCACCACGTCTCACGACGGCGGCGAGGCCGGGCATAGGAGCCAGATAGAAGCGGGGGGAAAGGAAGCCAAGTCGTCATGGACATGTGAAAGAAAGAATGCCATATTTTGTTGGAAACTCGATCCCCAAAAACCTCCGACGCACGGGGCTGAAAGAGGGGTGTTGGGGAGAATGCTGTGTTTGTGGCAGACAAAGCAAAACAGGGCGGTGCGCCGCGCATTATGCTATTACGGACAAGAATCTCCTAAAATCTGGCCGGGAGGGGTCCGCGTTACTCAAACTTAGCCTCCTGGCCGAGAGCGCCCGGTATTCCTACTCGCGGATGAACGACATCAAGGCCGTAGAATGTGCCGAGAAAGGAGTTGCTGGCCTGCAGGGAGAGCTGAAGGCCGCTGCGCGCAAAGAGAAAATTCGAGACCGGAGAGGGCGAGCAATGTCTCGGCGTGTCACAAACGGTCGTCGTACAACGATAGACAAGAAAAATGCACTGGAGAAGTGCCATCCTTAAACCCGAGATCCCGCAAAAGATTGCTGATTGGGGGCCTAGTGCCACATAGACATGTATATCATCGCTGATCACCAAGTGACACCTCTTCCAACTACTCGGTCGTTCGGCGCTCAATGGCAGCAGACAAGCCAGGCTTCCAGAACTGCTGAAAGCGATCCGGCTGACAGCTCCGAGTGATTTGTTTGGTCGTCCAGACAGAAAGAAGCACCGCAGACAAGACCCATGACGCTAAAGAAGTACAGGGTAGCGGACGATGTGTTTGTTCTGTGTCACCACGGAAATGGGCGGCGAGCAACGCTGCCGACGCCACGCAATATATCCCTAACAGACGGCTCGGCCAGTAGCCCGGCTCGCATTCGGTATGCTGCATACTCCTAAACAGCCGTTGGGAGCAGGGATGAAAGGGAATCCAGGAGAGTACCGGCAGTCCGCGACCTCCCGGACGTATCGGTTTGCGGAGGGAAGAAAAGGCGCATCAGTGCGTGGCAGAAAGCCGCTCGCACACATGGGATACAGATTCAACGTGTTAGGTTGAGAGGAGAGGTTTATGCGTTCACTCGAGGTTGGACACAGCACGTGAAGGCCATGAAACGAAAGGTGGGTGTCCTTGGGGGCTATTCTGACTCCCCGCCAGAGTCAACACCGAAGACATGGTTTCGGTTCTGAGCTCGAGAAACAGAGCACGTCACTTGACAACCAACGTGGATGATTGGCGATATTCCGAGTGAAAGAAACAGGACCCGGATCTCTGTCTCGTGTTATCTATTGGCCAAGCGAGCATGAATTAGCAGGAACGGGTCTTTTAATGTGACAAATCGGATCCAAGACTATGGCGGCATCTGCAACCAGGCTGGAGAGAGGGCGAGATATTTCACCTAGACTGCTGATCTGTCGACCACGACCACAAGTACATAATAGGGGTCTCGAGGCAAGACGATGTGCAACCACACGAGAAAAGTACAAACTGTGCAACTCTCCGATCTCGAGGCAGACCGCGTGGTCTTGCGTCTCATTGTACGTTCCTGGCGTCAGGCCGAGGCCCATCAGCTGCCTCGAGCAGGCGATACGCAGGATAACGGCGTATACACGAGTATAGCCCAAATACGCGAGGGGTCGCCAGTGCTGGCCCGACGGTTCGATGATGGGCCACGGGTCGCGGGTCGACGACAAGAGAAACTGGGGGCCGCTTGGCCTCGCAAAAGGGGCCCCCCTGCAGGGAGGTGATTTGACGGCGTTGTTCTTGGTAGCACAACTTGAGGTTTGGACTGTTTGTCACCATGGCCAACCAGGCCTCAGGGCTGCCTGGTCTGCGTAACCACCGCCTGCCCCAGATCTGGATCCGGGCTGACTGTGCATTTTATTTTACCACATGGCGCTCATGTTGAGATGACCATGGAGTTGGTCGCTAATGGCCGGTCCCGGTTGCCTTGCATTGGCCATAGTGCGTATCCATACCTAGGTTGGGATGATGACGAATGCAAATTCCAATATGATATTAACTAGGCAGGCAGCGAAATCTAGTGCTGGCAAAAGTAGCGCAAGGAGTGCATGCATGGGAACGTCTGAAACTTGGAGCCTCTTCCTCACTCCTGGTAGGCGGCGGGGATGGGCTTGCGGCGAGGGAGGAGTGAGAACATGCCCTGACTCCCGACTCTTCCAGGTTGGGCTTGGGTATAACGGGGACGCGGATGCGACAAGAGCCAGTAAGCTTCTTGAAGGTCATCTCATCTCAATGTTCGGGCAATTGGTAATCCAGACACGTCACCGAAAGGTGCGCTTTTGTTCAACCCCCACCATCGCCATCGCTCTGTGTGCAGCATGGTTAAAAAGATTTAGTGCAGGTTTGGCGCCCTGTAACAGCTGCTGTTTGTGTATGGCAATGAGCGTTTGTAAAATGTCTTGGTTTCTCAGATAACCCAAGTCAATTTGCAAACCCTCTTGAGCATTGCACAGGGAAAGGGACAGTAAACTGCCACCAAATGAGCGGCAGCAATGGAAACTTTGTTGGTCAGGTTGATGTCAAAACAGCAAGTGGGGTGACGGGGATCTGTCTCCAGCCCAATTTGTCGTGATCCGGGAAGGAGATCGATCTGGAACAGGAGAGGAGAGCCCCACTATTAGCCCCTTTCTTGGTGGGGCACATTCCCGTTTACCGATTACTTTAGCGCAGGACCTTTCACGTTAACAATTTCCTCTTGGTTATTTTAGAGAAATTCAGCGAGTAATCGTCTTTGCTATTAGGCGTCGGATTTTCTAAATTACAGATTGAGATAACATACCGAAGGGAAAGGCGAAGCAAATCGTGTTAGTCGAGCCGCGCCGCTGGTGACCTACTCCACGGGGGCCTAGCGCTCGGGGTCGGCAAGCCAATTAATGGGGTCCCCGTTAAAATTAAGGCCGTTTCATTTCAAGAGGGCAGCTACTCAAATCCGCGATCGCCTAGGGATCACCGCTAGATTGCCTCGTCCAGAGTCCAGATCTCTTTGGCGGCCCAGTATTAAATAAATGTTCCCAAATGTCAGTCGATGCCTAAATATTTAGAATGTGAGTTGACATTCCCTTGATCGTCAGTTTTGCGTGCACCTCTTCAGACTTCAGATGATTTGGGGCTGGACAAAATCCGGGGGAGCATTAAGAAATCTCCCTGGCCCATTGGTCCCAACGCCCTTCGGTGGCTCCTGCAAGGCACAGGCACCAGATTGGCTGGATTGGCCTGGGGCAGATTGTGGGGCCGGGCGGCTGCAGGGGAAGAGGAGTCGCGCCAGGGATTTAGGAGAACCGTCAGTGCCTACCTCAGTGGAGTCGTTAGCGAAAAGAGACGACAGCGCATTCCGTCGCCAGCTTTCCCACCACTGCTGGCCTGCAAAGCGGGGGGCCAGTCTCAGAAGTATGGGATCAACTGTGGCCGTGGCCCTCAAGCCAATTGTCGGGCTGGCGCCAGACAACCCTGGATCAAGAGGCCAGCACAACGGCCGCCCTGAACTGCCCATTGTGGCCCAATAGCCGATCCACAATACGCCGTGACCCTTCAGAGTGCAGCGGTCGTTTGCAGGCCCCGGGAATACATATGCGTCTGATTATCTTCCATCTCTGCTTCAATCGCTGGGGAAATGATCTTGCTCTGTCCGCAAAAGTTGGGGGATCTGCTCGGCCTGTTTTGGCTTTTTGGCTTCAAGCTTCCCCAGCCGGGTCAGGAAGGAACTTTCTAGTGCATCGGCCCCCAGAGCCTGCCAATTCCACAGCCCTTATTGTAGACCAAGCTTGATTTGCTAATTTTACGCCCCACCCACGTTTGTTGAAGATTGCAGTGACGTGCAAAGGGTCGACCGCTGGAACCGACGTGCTGGGATTCTTCACTGCGCTTGCCTTGGGGTGTCCAGGAGCCAGGGTTGTCCCGTGAGCACCGAGCTAGACCCAACTCCGCACCCGCCTGCTCTCTGTTACGATTTGCGCCCTCCCTTCACCTGCTTTCTTCTTCTTCTCGCATCCATCCCATCTTGCCGGCCACGACGGTAACCACGCCGTGCTCGAGCTTCTCGCCCGCCCTTCTTTTGGAGTTTTTCTCCAGTCCATTCCTTTAAACAAGTGCCCTTCGTTGATCGCCCATCTTTCTTTTTCACCACACTCATTCCTCCCCGGTCCTTCACCGACCCCACGCTCCTTGAAAGCACAACAGCGTCGTTATCGGCATTTCCACCCTCCCAAAACACGTCGATTCGCGCTTTCTGAGTCTCGGTCTGTCGTCCTTGACTTTGCGGACCCCGCTCTCCAGTGCGCAACCTCGGCCTCGTGGTTTTCGTGCCTTTCGTGGACCCTGATCGAGGCGGACGCCCAGGTTTCGCCGCTGTCTCTCCTCTTCTCGTCACTCCTTCCACGGGCACTTTCCAAACTTAGTTCCTCGGGGCAAGAGAAACAAAAGTCATCTCGATCCAGCCAGGCTGCTGTCTCACCACACTCGAGTGCACAATCCCGTTGGCGTCCTTGAAGGGTCCAACATCAGCAGTGCTGCCACCAGCTGGGTTCTGAGTACATAACCTCGATCCTCCCCGACAAAGGCCACCAAGACGACGTGTCTTTCTGGATAAGGTCATTCATATCTCGCCACGGCATTCATCAAAACGTACGTCGATCATCCCTTGTGTTGCTTTAGTCGCCGAGTATTGAAGGATCACTGCACCGCGGTCCTCCACTATCCGGACAAGAGGATTGTTTTAGGGGGTTTTTTCGCTCGGGACAAAGCTTGTGCTTTGTTTAAAAGATTGTTTCTCGCTGCAAGCCTTTAGCACTCTCAACAACAATATCCCAAGCTTTCTTCTTTTATTTTGATGCCGGTCGTCAATTCCTTTCCCAGTCGTGTCCAAAAGAGGCTAACCAGACAAAAAGACGAAGATCTACCAAGTGTTAGCAAACAGAACAAAACAATATGAAATCCTCGATCTTCATTGCCGCTTCAGGCGCCATCCTAGCCGCTGCGAGCCCCATGCTCGAGCGACGAAGACTGTTTGTCGAGACCGAGGTCGTGGTGCAGTTCGTTACTGTGACGGTATCCGGTGGATCGACGATTGCCGCCAACCAGGCCAAAGTTGTTCCGCCCGCCACTTCCATTCCTATCCCCGTGCCGACACCTGCGCCAGTTGTCGTCGCTCCGGCCGCTCCTCTTGCATCATCTCCTCCGCCTCCGCCACCCCCGCCGTCGCCATCGCCATCTCCGCCTCCGGCACCGGTTGCGCCAGTGGTCGTCAAGCCCTCGCTGTCACCCTCTCCCGCTCCCGCCGCCTCTCCTCAGGTCGCAGCCGCCGCGGCGCCGGCTAATGACTACCAGGCCATTGCTCTTCAGAATCATAATGTTCATCGATCCAACCATTCGGCGGGCGACTTGACGTGGGGCGATAGTTATGCTGGCTTCGCCCAGCAGCTCGCGTCTAAGTGCGTGTTCAAGCACGACCTGTAAGCTGTCTTTCCGCCTCATCAATGTTCAAGAAACAAACTAATCATGTCGGTAGTGAAATCGGCGGAGGCGGTTACGGTCAGAACCTTGCCATGGTCGCCAGGTCTAACAGCCCAGAGGAAATTGGCCCTAACAATGCTGTCGGCCAAGCAGCCTCTAACTTTTGGTACAACGGCGAGTTCAACTCGTTTGTCGAGTACGGTAGCCCGTCACCAAACCAGGATACCTTCAAAGACTGGGGCCACTTTTCGCAAGTTGTCTGGAAGGGCACTCAACAAGTCGGCTGTGCTTCCCAGTTCTGCCCAGCAGGAACCATTGTTAAGACGATGGGTTCCTGGTTCACTGTCTGCAACTATTTCCCGCAGGGTATGACAAGCATCTTCGCACTCTTTGACTATTCGCACCGCTAACACATGTCTTACAGGTAATGTTGGTGGATCCTTTGACAAGAATGTGTTGCGTCCACTTGGTCGACCCACTGTCACTTTCCAGGAGTCGTAATGCAGCATCTCAACTCGGAGCCCTCATTTCGACGCGCTTCCAGAGTTAGTCTGCTATCAGCAAGGCCGCTTTGCTTTGTCTTTGTGTAGAATATAAACTTTGTACACAGATGGTGTGTTCGCCTGGCCAGCTTTGTCCATTTCTATTTTCTGGCTGGGACTGAGAGGGGTCTATTTTTGGGGAGTTCGTCGCCGTTCAGCAACTTTGCTTATCGACGGGGCGCAATACGTGCATCATTTGACGACGGATAAAGCGCTGGACCAGCAATGGTACCACGGCAATGATTTGGGGGTCGCGAAAACTATCGGGAAATTTGCATTGGTTCTTCTTTTTCACTTCGATTCTTTTCGAGACTTGGGGAGGAGCATCTTGTTCTCGGCCCTATATCCATTACGTTGGTTTTCCGGTGCGACTCGTACATACAGTACATCTTCGATTCTCTTCTGGCGCGGCGGGCATCATTTGGACGCAATTAGGCCGTCGTTATCTTAAGCCAATTTCCTGATCATTGGGCTTTTCGTGAATGGCCAGGGTGAAATGGTGCCATGGTGTTTCGTGTTCTGACGGCCAGCTCTTAGTCCAGTTCTCTGTTCGGTCTGCTGTGATGTCTTTTCTGTCGTATTATAGAAAGACGGAAGTGGAAGACAGAAGGCGGATGATGGGAGACGGAAGGCGGAGAGGGAAAATTCGCGGATGTCAAGTCAAGATTGGGGGAGTCGTCGGATTTGAACATTTTTACCTGCGCCCCGGAATGCTGAGAGCCGCAGTCCCGCCAAGATTTCGGAACTGGGCCTCGGGCTCGTTGGCCGTTGTCTGTGCGGCGTGTGCCCCACGCGAGAAAAAATGATCGGCATGGGAATCTGACAATGCGACATTGTCTCGCGGCACAGCAGAAAGAAGAATTTAAGTCTAATTCCTGCCGCGAGGTCGAAATAAGCTCATCTCTGCTCGGCCCAGGCTAATATGCCTGCTTGCCTTCGCTCCCTCCCTCCCTCCTGTCGGGTTTTCGGAGATAGACGGGATGGTTAAAGTGAAGTGGCCGTCCGTGCCTTGGCGAACAGGAGGGATAAACCCGCCGGTAGGAAGCTGTTCAGCCGCGCCGCTCTATGCGTCTTTATCTCACGGCCCGGTCGATGTCGGTGTGCAGTGCTGTACTGCTATTCACTGTTGTTGGCCAGTTCATCCGGCCGGCTGTGACAGATTAGAAGGGCTCTGCCAGCTAGAGTGTGATGCCTATCTACCTATGTGATGCCTATCTACCTATGTACATGCTATTCGGTCTGTAAGTGTAGCGATTATTGAGTTTGTAGATACTGGTTAGGTTTTCTTCTTGTTCGGGTTTACTTTCTTATTTCATGTACGAAACGGTTTATAGATGGCGTGGAAAGTCTCTTCCACTTTTTTGGTTTATACTCCACGTGTTTGTACTTAAAACAGTTGCACTGCTGTTTAGGCTTTTTTTCGCCTGGATATCTAGGTATTCTACTCTGAATTTTGAGTGCTTCTGGGAATTTGAGAATGTACGTAAGGTGATAATTCTACTTAATCTCTCGCTTCGATTTCTGTTTCATAGGTGGTGAACATCTTAGTTGATGGGGATCGAGCAGTATTTCGCCCCTTTAACACCTTAGGCTTGGAGCGGAATCCCCACACAACCATGTTATTGAATGCCCAGGTCTTCGTTTGCTTGGGTCTGGGTATGTCGCGTGCTCAACTATGCGTCTAATCGTCAGTCCAACCGTCCAGCTGCCCAACTGTTGGAGCCAAGTCCATGGTCCACTAGTTGAGGTATGATCTGGCCCATCGATGTATACCAGCTTTTAATTGAATATACATTCGATCTCGTAAAAAAGATATTACAGACCAGGTCTTGTGGTTTGGGTAACTGTTGTTCACCATACTAGAGATGGTAGCGGAAACAGATTTTTGTTAAACCTCGCCCATTGAGTCGCTGGATGGTGTTGCAAAGTTGTCAACCTCGAAACTCCTAGACTGTTCGCGGGCATAGATGAAGCCACTGGGTGCTCAGACGACCTAGACGGTCTGGGCAGCTGGTTTTTATCCATGGTTGGGTTTGTCGGCGAGAAGAATGTTGAGGATAAGGCCGATAAAGAGAAAATTCCGAGTTAGTAATTAATGGGCACAATCGACATGGTAGGGTCTACAAACTGTGCTAAATGAGTAGCTTGGCGATTTAGGTAATAGCCAATTTTCACCGACATATAAGTTTCTTTTATGTTCTTCATTTGGCGGCTACGGGGTTGTCGAGTGGTTGCGGAAATAGGTACAATCGTAGGCAACACCAAATTGAGCCTTGAAAGACTTGAGTGATCCACTACGGCCACACTAACTCACTCCTGATCAACTCTTTGGTCGTAGAGAAAGGAATTAAGTTCTAGTGCTTGAAATTTTGCTTGTAGAAGACCAGGGAAACGTGGAATTTGAAATACTCCAACTCTTTGAGCATCTGTCCGTGAGAAACTTGGCCGACTTCGAGAAAAGTAAATGATAAGCCACGAACTCATTATAAAATTGCTATTAGAAAGGAGCACACACAATGTCCGTAGGTCGTCCATATAAGTAGAAACCTAGCCACAGTCCCATTCTCTTCCTTCTTTTGACATGTTCGACATCTCGACCTCACCAGCACTCATACCTCTACTCCATCCACCCCTCTCATCCACCTCTTTCTCCCCCCTTCGGCCTGATCATGTACACCTAGAATCTACCGGCCACCAAAATGTCTGCCGCAAAGCACCAACGCGCTGCATGCCGACAAGCTGCACGCCATTACGCCACATTCGTCGCTCTCCTAGACATCACGGCGTAGGCCAACTTTGACCCCGAGCTGTTCACCGTGGAGTACTTCCGATACCGGGAAGACCGTCCCTGCCCTGCCAAGGCGCCATACCTACTCCTCGAGGGCACTATGGAAAACGAAGCGGCATTGAAAGAAGCCATCGAAAGGGTACCCGGCCTCCGAGTCTCAATAAGACCGGAAATCAGCTATGTGTGCTAGGCAGAGACGGAAAACGCAGCAAGCATAGAAGCCTTCTAGAAATTTAGGGACTGGGAGAACAGGGTCAATTTCGATCCTCAGGGAGATCAAGAATCTGGGGCTCGAACGCCAGTTCGCACAGGAAGCAGCGTTCAGAAACAGGAAAGAAGCCCGGACGCGACAACAGCACGACTCGTTCGTGTCGTCGATGGCCAGAAACCCCCTCCCTCCTCCACCACGCCGGCCGAGGCTAGCCGACTTGCAGGGGAGCTACCTTGTCCAGTGCCCGGAACTGGAGTGCGGCTGGGACACTCGCGACATGACCCTCGACATACTAACTACCGGACCCGCGGAACCCGTCCTGCGTCCTGGCGTCGTTCGACTTCAAGACCCTCAAGGAGACCATGATCCTGGCGCCGGGCGACAGGATGCTCTGCAACGCGCGACGGCAGCAGGAGAAAATCGACAGGAGTTCTTCTCGAACACCCGCTCGAACGCAGGAGGAAGCAGAACCATCGTCCCGGATGCCGCTGTCACCGCATCCACCGACGCCGCCGCAGCAGCAACAACAACACCAACAACCGGCGCCGCTAGCAACACCAACGCCAACACCAACACCCCCGCGGCCAGCCACACCCGAACAGGTCACACTACCCTTCGTGCGCCTGCGTCTGCAGTGGGTGGGCCGGGCACCGGTTGCGCACAACATCATCCTTCCGGACCCGGACCACACGCACAAGGGGTACCTCGACTTTGACTCCAGTAGCAGCATCAGCCAGTGGAGCAGCGCGAGTGGCCAGCTGGACAGCCACTTCATCTTCGAAGACAGGGTGGCGCCGCTGACACTAACTCAAAGTCAGCGACAGGCCGCGGCCCGGGTACGAGCCTGTTAGCATAGCCAAGTTCACGCTCGAGAGGGCATACTATAGGGAGACGGGCGCTAAGTTGTCGGATCTGCTGCCCCCTGACGAGGGCGAGGGCAGCGGAGAGGAGGTCGAGTGGTCGTTGATGCTTGGCTGGTGAGCGAGGAGTGGAGGTTTCTAGCTATGATAGAATTCGTGGTAAATAGATTGCCAAAACAGGTACGATCCATTCCCCCCACTCCCCTGAATGCTTGCCAGCGGCCGAGTTTCCCTGATACCGCGCTAACAATCATTCTAGGCATTGGATTGCATATTATATAACTGAGCGTGCAGGCGTTTGTTAAAGGAAATACTAATAGAGGATGGTGAAAAAGATATTTAGAATGGACGCGAGAGGCGCTAAGGGAAGACGGAAATATTCTTATGGTTACAAGCAAACAACCCAGTGGGAGGTGGCTGGCGGTACAATAATATAGCTCCAATAATGGGGTCCCCTAGGTGATAATGGTTTTATTTGTTCATGACTTTTTGGATAAGCGAAGTTTTGAAACCCTAACAGAGATAATTTCCCTCGAAATGTATTATACTTAATTAACACCGTATTATTACCAAGACCTGTTAATGAACAATCTCAGACTACCCATTTAGATCTATAACTCGTACAGACTATTATTAACAACGCAACCCCGAGATAGAAGAGCGTCTCGCCGGATTCATTCTCATGCCATATTTATGCTACAAGTCTAATATCACTCAAACACACATGACTAGGAGATTAAATCTTGGATGAGATGGAAGTCAGGGGCCAATATACCTGTTAACCTCATCATTATAGGCCGACTAATTAACACAGACGCTGAAGGAGTACTTTTTTAGGAAAATGGTCTCACCCATTCTTAAGAGTGACTCTTATATGGCGGACAATCTCATAACCTTTCAAAAATCGAAGACCAAGATCGAGCATCCAATTCCTAACGAACAACGCAGCGTCAGCAACCGACATAAACAATAGAGTCGGGAGTACCCCTACGAAAAAAGCCGTTGAGGGCAACTAGTGCTATGGCCCTTTTTCTCATCATTAGCTGCTGGTCAAGGACCGTCGGTATACCACACTGAAATTTAGGAGCTTGTCGTTTCTGCACGGAATAATCAATCGCTTCAGCATCAACTAGCTGGATTTTTAAGAGGGTATAATACTAGTCCTGATCAATGCTAAAAAGAAGTAACTCAACGCCTCGCCAACCAGGGACATGCTGTCTGCGGCCCGTCGAGGTCCGCGAGGCATGCCCAACTCCGATGCATGGCTACGACGGAAGCTTCCTTTCGTCGCTCCGGAAAAGGCTAGTCTAAACAGGCCTGCTACCATCCACCTGGGGATATGGCTTTTTCTATTGACTGGTCCTTTGCTCAGCGCGAAATCGTGGCCGTCTTGCCAAAACGGCCCGTTACAGTATTCAACCCTAAAACGCTCGCGCTTCTCTTGGTCGTCGTCATTGACTCTGGGACTTTCGATGTTCTAGTCGTGTCGGTCCTATTTTCACAGCCCTCTCTCAATCCACCCCTTCGCATAAGCTCGGGGACATAATCAACGCACCGAGTTTCGTCTCCAGCGCTCACTCAACCTGCTTCTCGCAACCAATGCGTCCCAGGAGCTCCTTGCGGTCACTGTGACCTGGAAGGCTGACTCCAGAGGTTGTTGCGGCCTGTCTCTTGACGCCCGTCCTCCTTTCCCAGTTCTTCAAGTCGATCTCTTCCACGCCGACTTCCTGCTCGAGGGGCACAGGCTCCTCTTCAACGGCTTCCGTATCTTCCTCTAGCTCATCTTCCGCCTCATCGTCGCTTCGGGTGTCCTCGGCCCTCTCTCCCCTGAGCACCTTCATGGCAACTCGGATGATCATGCCGAACCACATGATGGTCAGACCCTGAAGAGCAAGTAGTAAAGACAAAAATGATATCATGGTAGTCCGGTTGTAGCAAAGTATGCCCTCCGAGTCCCAGAGGGGCTCCAGAAGAAACATCATACCTTTCTCGGCAGGCAGCTCGAAGGGCCCAGTAACGTTGTTGATGGGGCCTTTGAAGCACGCCCCACCGGTGACCTGCGTAGAGTGGGCCCAGGTCGACCAGCACACGATGGGATAGAGAATGTGTCTCGCCACAATCCACGAAAACATGAAAACGCCGAACATCCAGTCGCAGAGAGTATTGTAGCCGAGATATTTAAGGCACTTGGCAGACTATGTTTTATCGAGTTAGTAATTTCGTCGCTGGTGCAGAGGCGGTAACACATACCGGGAAAAAGAGGTCGACGACGTCCATCAGAACTAGGACAAGATTTCCGACGCGTGTGAATCCATATCTGTACGAGGCATACATCAGAGAGACCGTGATGATGTGATGAGTAAACATCTGCCAGTGGTCCTTGCGACGATCCTCAATGTTGATAACGAGAATCTGCTGCAGCCAGAATGCTAGCTGAGCAAGTATGTATCCCTTCATCAAGCCAGCCATCTCGCGGTTGGGCCAGTCTGCCCAGAGCTCATGGAGATTGAGGTAGGCTGGCGACGTGTAGTAGATGTACTGGGTCAGTGTTAGTAAACATGCGATCTCAAAATAGCGGAATCTCGAGAGCACCAAAGCGAACATACCAGGCCGAGGAACCAGAAGACAAAGTAGTAGATGACGAGCCAAGCCTGTTCGCTGAACCGCGTAACATCTTTCCTCTTGACGATTCCTTGAGACTTTGCAAACGGAGCGAAAATGTACTCCATCGTGGCCGCGCGCAGCCCCGTGAATAAGACAATGCAAAACAAGATGATGTGGCCATCATCGCCGCCCACGCCGTACTTCCCCGACGTTGGGCTGTAGTACGAGAGCGTGAAAAATCTGGTGGTGTAGTCGCGGGCCCGAGGCATGCCGTGGGCGAGGAAAAGAAGGGCAAGAAGGTTGAAGGACAGCCCTATACGACACAATGGTTAGCTCGTGCACAGGTTCGCAGCATGGTTCGGTGAGAGCCCGGGGAGTCCGTGGCGACAGATGTCTCAGGAGGTGGACGCCGCAATGCGAGACGTACCGATTTGGTTTTCGACAAACCACCTGGTGAGCTGCTTCAAGGGGCCCTCGCCCTTGGTCTTCTTTATGGGGCGCACAAGAACGATTTTGTTCGAGGCCTGCATGTAGAGGGGGCCGTTCATCGTCTCATGCTCGACAATGCTGTCGCGCTTTGCGGTTCTCCGCGGCGGGGCGGGAACGGGCGTCGAGGAAGGACTCGAGCCCTTTGCGGGACGCTGCGTGGGTGCATCTGGGCCATTGACCGGGCTCGGAGCCCGAGGGTCGCTCATGGTCGGCCTAGGATCTCGGGGCTTGACGACTGACTCGGCCGCGCTTCGGTGGGCGGCGGACGGTGTGCGGTGGGCGGTGAGCAGGAGCGGCGTTAGATTGCCGTTGAGTCTGTCGCGCTTCCTGCGGCCAAAGCAAGTTTTGGTACGGATACGGAGTACCTAGCGAAGGTTGAAACCCTACAGCGAGGGTGAGCTCGAACCTCGGCCAAACAGAGTTTGCCCTGTGCAATTGAGGCGCCGAAACGAGTGAAAGGGCAGGGCGAAGAGATGCGATCGAACGACGCAGAACGCAGACACGCAGCGAGGGGGCAGCTCAAGCAGGAGCTGCGGGTTAATCGCGACACTGGGAGAAAAACGACTCGGAATATCTGTCTGTGGTCGATGGCTCTTTCCTGCAGCCAGCAAAATGTTGAATGTGAGTGGATCCACTTGTGAGCAGACTCCAGGGTCTGGCGCACTGTTCAAAAAGGAGGTGTCCCCGATTTACAGGCAATTTCGGATGAGGGAGGCGGGGCAGAGACAAGGGGCCTAGCTCCTCCCGCCCAGCTGCCGCTTTTCCCTGCACAGATCCCGTGGTCTTCTCCGAAAAACCCTTCAACGATGGTGGAATCCAGCAAGAAATCTAGAATGGAATGAAGATCTGGTGCTATTTCTGCTGCTACGAACCTCCTACGAGCTTGAAGTTTCTCAATTGAGATGCATTCACTAGGATGGAGCTTCTTGCTTCACCTCGGAATAGTACAAGCACTCGGCCGTTTTGGCTGCATGTTGAGGTGGTTGGGGGAAACTCTTGGGTAGGACAGCAGGAATCAGAGCAGCTCTGTGCGTGGAATGAGGGGCTGTAACAAATCAGCACCTCAACCACGGCGCAGCTCGTCACATCATACATACTGAGTACATATCTTGGAACTCCGGTTTTTATCCCACAGCAGTACTTCGTTGCTCGCATAGCCGTCAAGTTTCCATACTTTGCGGAGTGGTTTGACCACCAAACCCCATTGATCTCGATTTCAAGGCACACAGGGAGTGCAGACAGAGATATTTCGGGGGTTTTCCGTATAAGCAAAGGTCACTACGGAGTAGTTAGGTACCGTACAACCAATTCTGACGTCTGAGGAGAAAGGATCATGCCAAGTTGGACAACTAACCTTAAACTTGAAGCTTGTACGGAATATGATGTGAAGACGCCGCATTGTGGCGTATGTGTTCCTTGATGGATGGGAGCAATTAAGACCCTAACCCTTATCCATACTTTGAGCTTTACTTGGCCTTGCAGCCTTGCAGCTTGGCAGGCCCGGAAACTCAGCCTTCTGAGCTTTCAGTACCGCATTTCGCATTTTGCATTCAACCCCGCGGCGCGGGTAAGAGAAACAGAAAGGGCGCGCAAACACAATACCAGGACCCAAACAATAATGAACCAAATACGCGCCATCCAGGCGCTCAACAAGCGCGAGATCGAGAATGGCGTGTCGCCCGACGCATCATGGCACATCGACTACCGCGACACGGCTTTTGTCTACTTTGGCGGCCTGCCCTACGAGCTGTCCGAGGGCGACGTCATCACCATCTTCAGCCAGTTCGGCGAGCCCGTATTCCTCAAGCTGGCTCGCGACAAAGAGACAGGAAAGTCGAAAGGGTTCGGGTGGCTCAAGTACGAGGACCAGCGCAGCACAGACCTGGCCGTCGACAACCTGGGCGGGGCCGAGATCGCCGGGCGGCTGGTGCGCGTCGACCACGCGCGCTACAAGCTCCGCGATGACGAGGATCCCGAAGAAGGCAGGGTAGGCTGGGAGGACATTATGCGGCGCGAGCGGGCCGAGAAGGGCCAACAGGCGTCAAGCGGGGGGGAGAGCGGCGAGGAAGACACAGACGACGACAAGCGGGAGAGCAAGCGACCACTTCTGAAGGAGGAGAGAGAGCTCCAGCTGCTGATCCAGAGCCACGACGACGACGACCCTATGAAGCAATTCCTCATTGACGAGAAGAAGAAGGAGGTCGAGGATGCGCTTCGGAAGGAGAAGAAGAGGTCCGAAAGACATAGTAGCAGCAGGCACAAAGATGGTAGTAGATCGCACCACCATCGATCACACCACCGATCAAGAAGAGACGACCGTGACGATGGCGATAGGGGCGCCGACCATGGGCGCGACAGACACAGAGACAAAGATAGGCGCGACCCTGAAAAGAGTCACAGGTCCCGAAAAGAACGGTCGCATTCCGTCCACGAGCGCCAGGAGGGTAGGGAAGACGACGACCGGCGTGAGAGGCGTCGCAACGATTCTCGAGACCGAGGCCGAGACCGAGACCGAGACCGGGATACCCGGCGTGAGAGGGACGTAGATCGCCACCGCAAAGAAGGCGGTAGCACCGGAGAGTCTAGAAAGGATAGCGAAAGTTACCGGAGACGTGATCGCGAGGGCTCCGGCCGGCATCGCGAACCCGAAGACCGAACTCGCGGGGACCGAACTCGCGGGGACCGCAAGAGGACCCGTAGCACGTCGCCACGACGTTAGTGATGAAAGGGAGACAGGCAACTCTTGTATATACACTTAACGGGAGCTGCTCACGCGAAAACCGGCAAACAAGATACCCCCAATGCATCTTAATTAGCAAATAGAATAGCCGCTCTTTCTGTAAATACAGATCACCAAACCAATATCCCGTGCTAGAACCTCGCTCTAAAAAAAATCCCTACCCGCTGATGCCAGTGAATAAAATGATAAATAAAAAAAAAAACCTAGTCACCCCATTGTCTGTCTGCATTTGCCCTCTAACGCCGTAAAAGTTGCCGTGAAAACTGTAAAGAAGAAAAGAAAAAAAAAGAGAAACTCAGGCGTCTGGAAGATATCGCTTCCAGCCCTCTCTGACGCACTGGCGCCGGCCGTCGGGTCCATTCTGAACAACAAACTTCTCCCAGCGCGCGTCGTTGCCGGCGCCGACAACCAGCAGCGTGTCATCCGTCAACCAGCCGATGATGCCCTTGGGCGGCCGCGAGGTGCCGAGCGTGGTGCTCTCGGACATGGGCAGGCCGCCGACGAGGGGCTCGTCGCCGGCCTCGAACGGGGCCGAGGCGAACGAGTAGACGTCGGAGAACAGGCGCGGCATCAGCGGGATCTTAGACAGGATCCCCCACTTGCCCTTACCGCCGCCGTCCGTGCCGCTGTTATTGTTGTCTGACGAGCCCGAGCTGCTTGCTTGCGGGCTACCGCCGCCGCTCTGCGGTGATGAGGATGATGGTCGCTTGGGATGCTGCACGTCAAAGATGTGCAGCGTTGACTTGTCCGACGTGCACGCCAGCATGCTGCCCGACGGGTTGAAGGCCAGCGAGAAGATGGTCGCAGGGTCGATGCCCCGCCTCAGCTCCACCAGCCGTGCGCCGTTGCTCGTCGCAAATATGCGGATCAGGGTTCCCTAGAAGCAGGCGGTCAGAAGTGACACTCAGCAAGACAGAGGCGAGATATAATAGATGGTGCAATTTTCTTTCTCTAGAAGTAGTAGTAGTAGTAGTAGCAGTAGTAGCAGCAGTATCACTTACCATTTCACTGGCTGTAGCCAGCATCTCGCCGTCGCGGCTGAACTGCAGCACCTTGACGGCGGACGAGTGCGCCGGGATGATGGTCACGTTGCCGGTCTGGGTCTCGACGAGCTGCACGTGGCCGGTGGTACGCCCGGGGAAGGCGATGATACGCGGCGAGAGGCAGCACACCCCCCAGGAGTTGTTGGCCGTCTCGTACGACGACACGAGGTTGGGCGGTTTAGCGAACCGGTAGACGCGCACGCTGTTCTGCAGCACCACCACGATGCGTTCCTTAGACAGCTGGACGCCACGGACCGGCGTCAGGGCGCTGATCTCGAGCGCCGATTTGCTGTTGCGTTCGTCCCAGAGAATGAGCTGCCCGGCCAGTCAGTCAACACTGATCACTAGGACCTCTTTGGCGTTCCGCGGCGAAGAGGGTAGGACCAAGACGGGGGCGGTGGGAAGAACTTGCCTTGTTCGCGGCAAACTTTGGCTGTCTGCCACCACCGACGAGGGCAATATAATTAGCCTTGCCCATCATCTGCACTAAGCCTATGCCTGCATTGAATTCTGCTCCGTACCAACAAATTGTTTGTTAGTAAGTGACATTAACACCCGAGGAGGGCCGGAAATAAATTACCTCGTATTGTCTGAGCAAGGCATGTCTCTGACTCAAAGACTGTGTGACTTGTCAGCGTAGAACAGGCGAGCACCAGAGGTTATTGACATAAAACGGACGTACTGAGGAAGCCGGTATTGAGACCGACGGCAAAGTTCTTGCAGTCGTCATTGAAGGTTATAGAGAGAACCACGGTTGAGCTGGGACTCTCCAGAGGAGGTCGTGTATTCATCCTGATGGCTGTGATGTGGTGATGATATTGATGAATGAAGGAAGACAGCTGTAGTTGTGGCGTTGTTGGATACGGAAACAGAGGAAGCTGTGGAGAGTTTTTGGAGAGAGGCCAGAAGGATGGGAAGCTCGGAAGCTTAGATGTTTAAGGTAACGATTGGAACTGAACAGCTGAACAGCATCTACTGTTCAGGCTGACTGAAAAACATATACTGGTCAAACTATGTTTGGGAAGGTGTATGATAGGAGCAACCACATCATCGGACGAAAGCACAGATGGTGTTTGGCCGATGACAAGCTCCGGTGGCGATGAAATCTGCGCTCAACGCAAGCCACGGTCACACCGGGTGTTGCTGGTCGATGTCTTACTGTGTAGAAGACGTTAAGAGCTGAGCAAAGCAGAGCAGATCGGCCGGAGGCTCCAACCGCCCGCAGATGCCGTCCGTCTAGGTTAGACTTGCCGGGAAAAGTCGCCCAGGCCCGCCTTGACAGTTCAGATAGTTAACAAAACTCTACGGAAAGGGAAGAAAAGAAAGGAAAAACCATAGGCGTTGGTAGTATAATTAAACTGGTCACAAGCGAGCCCACGCGCTCTCATTCCCACGGCTGTCACGAGTCGCAGGCTGCTCTCGCCTCCCTGTAATGACCAGCAGTTCGGGTCTTGTTGGATGGCCAGGCACGGAGGGGTAGGTTCCAGGCACTTGGCAATGGTAGGAGCTGAGCCACACAATTGCGCCTCGAGCTAAGGTGTTCTGCCAGCTGGAAGTTTGGAGTCAGACACCTGGCAGACGGCTGCATCCCGTGCCGCAGAGCTCGCGCCCAAACAGCCGACCTTGCGTCTGGGGTTTCTCGTACGAGCTATGCCTCATATGGCCTAGGGCACGAGAGCTAGCGTGCGGCCCCTGAATTTGGAGTGGGCCGTGCTCTCCCAGTGATTGACAGCTCTGAGGGTGCTCTGTGCTGAAGGCCACGGCCACGGCCACCCCAGTTGCTGGGCGCTCCTCCTTGCCGTTTGACACGGCAACAAATTGTGAAATTGCATTTTCTACGACGTCCATCCCGACCTCTCCTTTTCCCCAGCTCCGCACCTCGATAGCTTCACGGACGCGCGACCTCGAACTCGTCAATCGCTTGCTGGGCTGCCTGTCTTTTTTTAACTCACCGAACTGCCGAACGCCTATTTGCCATATCTTTCGTACCGTTCTTTGCTGTGTGAGGTCGACACTCAATTTTTACCCGTCCCAATACAACCCAAAAAAGCCGAAACCATGTCTTCGCCAGCCGTACGTTGCCTTGAGTTTTGCCCGCCCCAGTGCCGCGTTGCTCTCCATTGCACTCCCCCATCCATTCCTCGTCCTCCATATGCATCGCGTCAATTGCAGCAGGCACAATGTTCGCAGACACGACGAGAGCTGACACGCGCGACTTCAAACAACAGAAGATGATCCGCCGGAAGAAGAACGTCAAGAAGGGCATCCAGTTCTGCTTGATGGTCTGTGGCGCTTCGGGTACCGGTACGACCTCTCCCTGCTATGAAACTCTGCCACCTCGAACCGTGCGCTAACCATCGCCCGCTATCTTGCAGGCCGGACCACCTTCGTCAACACACTTTGCAACAAGACCGTGCTCGGTCACAAGGAGTCCGATGACCCAGCCAACGCTCATGTCGAGGAGGGCGTAAAGATCAAGCCTATTACCGTTGGTATGTACTCCGGGCTACGGAAATTGCTGGTTCGGCTTGACTTGGTGATCTGACCCGTTTCTAGAGCTAGAGTTGGATGAGGAGGGCACGCGCATCTCCCTCACCATCGTTGACACACCGGGTTTCGGAGACCAGGTAGACAACGAGGCCAGGTACGAAGCCCGTTGCTCATCCGCTTGCTAGACCGGGATTCGCTGACGCGCCGTTCCTTTAGCTTCTCAGAGATTGTCGGCTACTTGGAGCGGCAATACGATGATATCCTTGCGGAGGAGTCGCGTATCAAGCGTAACCCCCGTTTTAGAGACAATCGTATTCACGCCATGCTCTACTTCATCACGCCCACAGGCCACGGGTACGTTGTTCCAACCATTTTAGTGGAACACGGCGACTAACTAGAGACGCAGTCTTCGCGAGTTGGATATTGAGCTGATGAAGCGCCTGGCGCCCCGAGTTAATGTCATCCCTGTTATTGGCCGAGCAGACTCCCTGACGCCCGCTGAGCTCGCAGAGTCCAAGAAGCTCATCATGGAGGACATTGAGCACTACCGAATCCCGGTCTACAACTTCCCCTACGATATCGAGGAGGACGATGAAGACACGGTCGAGGAGAACGCTGAACTCAGAGGCCTGATGCCTTTTGCCATCGTCGGATCAGAGGACGAGGTCACTATTGATGGCCGCCAGGTCCGCGCTCGTCAGTATCCGTGGGGCATTGTGGAGGTCGACAACCCGCGCCACTCGGATTTCCTAGCCATTCGTTCGGCCCTGCTGCACAGCCATCTTGCTGATCTCAAGGAAATCACACACGATTTCCTGTACGAGAACTACCGTACTGAGAAGCTCAGCAAGAGCGTCGAGGGAGGTGCTGGAGTGTATGTTATCCATCACCGCGGTGCATCGTTTTACGAGGTCTTTTTTTTTTTTTTTTACACAAGCGTCGGTCTAACCTGTTTGCAGCGATTCGTCGATGAACCCCGAAGACCTTGCGTCGCAGTCTGTGCGCCTGAAGGAAGAGCAACTCCGCCGGGAGGAGGAGAAGCTCCGCGAAATCGAAGTCAAGGTGCAGCGCGAGATCAACGAGAAGCGCCAGGAACTCTTGGCCCGCGAGTCTCAGCTCCGCGAGATCGAGGCACGAATGCAGCGCGAAGCCGCAGCCGTGGCCGCCCAACACCCGGGTGGCAACCACGCCGAAGCCAACGGCGACCAGGATGGGAACTGAGCACTCCAGACCCCATTCTGTATCCATCTATGACACATCGACGCAGTTGTACTGATGCGAACATCTTGGCCCCTTCCAAAGGCGACCTGTTCTTTCTGTGTAGGCGTTGGTTCTATCGTTGTTTTGAGAGACAAAATATTCCCCCTTTTTTTTTGCTTTTGTATTTGAACGATATTCGCTCCGGAGGGGACATGATGACGACGAAAACAAAAAAAGGCGAGACAATATCCAATCAACGGTGGCCTCGAGACTTGGAGCGGTGGGAAGCTGCCTGGTTCATGAAGGAGAAATATTCTACCGACGGTCTTCTGGCTAGTTATGAGGTTGAGCTGAGCATCGTTGTCGGCGTCGTAATCTGAGCATGGGCCTCCTAACGAAACAGACTCTACGCAGCCATGTTAGTGGCAATAAAAGAGGGGGCTTGCAAAATGGCGGCTAGCAATCCGTCTTGGATTAGTTCTCCTTACACCATGTCGTTTATAGCTTGTTTCTACATCCTTCGTCTCTTCTATTTCCTAATATTTTTTACTGGCCTTCTAATGCAGATATCACCAAATTCAACTTTTCTAGCCTCTAAATCGGATGACTTGACATTGTAGTTCATAAAAGTGCAGCGTGCAAGGGACAGCAAGAATTGGCCATAACAAGTACAACGCTTAGGTAACAAGTCTACGCCCTGGACTAGACACGTCATCTGGTGCCATTGCTCTATCCCACCCGCAAGTCATTGTCGATGGCAACTAGGGACTTTCACCAAGACCCAATACAAGTGATGGCCGAGGGCTCATTCCGTCCTAACCAAACGGTCGAGTGCGTAGTAAAACATTGCCCATCCTGATTACAACTCATACCATAACGGAAAAGAAAAAGAAAACAGAAAAAAGCAAAATACCACTCGATTCCGAGCAACCTGAGTGCGTGATTAGACTGCAACTACCCGATAGAAGCAAAATAAAGCACTCGACTATATGGAAGCGCGCAACACGCCTCCTCTGCGAAGATCGGTCACCCTGGCAACTACAACCTCGACCGTCCTCGGCATTTCCTCATCTCCCCGCAGGCAGCGGCAATCTAGTTATTAGACTGGCTGTTGAGGATGCGCAGGATGGCGAGGAACAGGTTGATGATGTCGAGGTAGAGGCTGATGGCGGCGGCGATCTCCTCCTCGACGTGATGCTTGCGCAGGACGAGCTGGGTGTCGACGAGGATGTAGCCGCTGAAGACGAGGGCGGCAAGGCCGCCGTAGATGAGCTCGCCTGTGCTGCTGTAGGGCATGAAGGCGGCCATGAAGCCGAAGAGGATCAGCCCCCACAGCCCGCCGAACAGGTACGGCATCCAGCTCGTGAAGTCGTACTTGGTCTGGCAGGCGAACGCGGTGAGGAACACGAACACGCCGCCCGTTAGGAGGACGGCGTTGAGCACGATCGACGTCTGGTAGAAGGACACGATCACAGAGATGGTGTACGCCTCGAGCAGCGTGAACCCCGACAGGAAGAGCAGGTTCGTCGGGTACGAGTGCCGCTTCCAGTACGTGAGCAGCATGAAAGCCATGGAACCGAAGAGCTGCGCATTTCCGAGAGTGGTTAGCATTCTTGTCTCTTTCGCACGGGGCCACTGAAGACTGGGGACATGTCGTGTTCAGACAAAACGTACCGAAAGCCACACCATGCCCGGGTGGCTCTGGATCCACGTCTTGTAGCCCGCGCTCATGAAGCTCAGGGCGCTCACGACGCCCGTCACGAGCAGCTGCACCGTCAGGATCGTGTACACCTTGCGAATGAACTGGTGGCGGATGTCGATGGTAGCCTCGGACACGGACCCGCCGAACTGCACGTACACATCGTGTCAGCAATGGTAAATAATGTTATGCCGATTACATGGCGGCGTGAAGCCGGGCCGGATGGGACGGCGCGCCAGAGTGCAAGGAGGGCGGCGGCTTTACTTTGAAGTCGTCGGGCACATTGTCCTCGCTGCTGCGCGGGCCACCGCCGAACAGACGGGCCGCGTCGTCGTCGATTGCGGCAGAGCTGCTCTCGGCCTGGTATGATGGAGGCGGCTGCGCATAGGCGTCCTCTTCGGGGTCGTGCTGTGGAGCAGGCGTGTACTTGGTCGCGCTAGACATGGTGTTGTTGGCTGTGCTGGTTCTGGCGGGCTAAATCGGTTGGTGCTGCCGAGAATGGTCAGTGTCGGTGTCGAGGTTGTCGACTTTGATATCCGTGCGACGGAGACAGGCACTTGAAGGAGCGGCGACTCCTTAGGGTCGAGGTAAGTACCGTAGGTGTTTGGCAATCGAGAGGTGCGGCGACAGTTGAGCTTCTTTCGTTGGGGTATTACCGATGGTGACGACTGTGAGTGGGGAAACAAGGTGGCGTAGTAGTAGTCCACAGCTTGTGAGCAGGTGACAAGGGGAACCTTCCAGAGGCTCGTAGCCACTGAGCTAGGCTGTAGCGGGCGATTCTGGGGGTTGGGGTTAATGCAGGTTGTTTCACCTCGGAGACGCGCCGAGCTTTACGTGCTTCCGTGCCAGGTGGTTGCAGGTGGAACTCGGGTGGCAGTCGCAATACCCCAGACTAGCGAGAGGACCTTGCATAAGTGAGCTGGAGCGTGCCAGTGCCAAATGGGACCCTGAAGTAAACGCGGACTCCAGCGCAGAGTGGGCAGCAAGCAAGCAGCAACAAACGGGGCCACCCACCACACTGGACTGGACGCTCTAATGACAGCAAACTGGAGTTGGTCCTAGATTCTCGACTGCGGATTCCGGATCCCGGACCTCTGACGGCCAGCCCACGAACCCACGAGAACATGAACCACGCACAGCGACGGCCATTCCCGACAGCAGCGACACAGCCAGCGCCAGCGCCATCACAGCCGCTATCGCAGCACCCGAGCCTATCGCCGCAGCTATGACGGCAAACGTAGCAAACGCGAACCGCTTCTCCACCTACACCACGGCCTCGACCGGCTCCGAGACCAGGAACTTGAACAATGGCGACAAGAAGGATCTCTGGAGCTCCATGCTCGACTCGGTCGCCAGCGGCAAGCGCCTGCCCGAGAAGAACCTGCTCGTCCTCGGCGGCACTGTCGATTCTCAGCGCGAGTTCTTTGAATCCCTGTCTACCACAGAGCTCCGCCGCACCCTTGACCGCCAGCCCTCCAAGAAACCCCCCGTTGCCAATAGCTTCGCCCTAGGCTACACATACTACGACGTCCTCGACGCCGACCAGGAAGACACGCTGGCCCGCATCTCGCTCTACACCCTCACGAGCCCCGAGCCAGCTTTCGCCTCCCTCCTAAAGCCCCTCCTCACGCCTCAGTCGATACCAAACACGCTGATCGTCGTCCTCTTGGACTGGTCGCAGCCCTGGAAGTGGATGCGCCAGCTCCGAGAATGGATCCTGCTTTTGAGGACCGTGCTGGTCTCCCTGAGCGACGAGTGCAAGTCGACAATGGAGGAGGCCATGGTGTCGTGGAGAGATCGCGGCCGCGGTGGCGGCACAAACCTTGACGGCACCGCTGTGACGGCGTCAGACGGCGATGTCTCTCTCCCAATAGGCCCGGGCGAGTGGGAGGATGCGCTGGGCCTCCCGCTGTGCTTGGTGTGCCAGAATGTAGGATTGGAACCCTACCCCTGACGTCTAATGTCCTGAGAGTCTAACGTGATCTGTAGGCTGAGAAGATGGAATACTTGGAAAAGACGCAGGGCTGGAAGGAGGAGGAATTCGACGTAGTGTTACAATTCCTACGGACCATCCTCCTAAGACGTACGTCTTCACCTCTCGTCTGCGCCTAGAAACTGGTTGTAATCTCGCTGACAGGCTCTGTAGATGGCGCGTCACTAATATACACGACCCCTTCTTCACCATCCCAGCTCCCTAGCCTCATACACGCCAGCTTAGGGATTCACTCGCTTCTGAAGAAGCACCCGCTCAAACACAATGTCATTGACAGGGACAAGATAGTCGTCCCGCCCAACTGGGACTCGTGGGGCAAGATCCGGGTGCTTAGGGAAGGATTCGACGTTGAGCTTGTCAGCAACGCGTGGGCGCTAGATCTGGACCAGCCTTTCCCCGCGGAGCAGCACGTCAATGGAGTTGTGGCACAAGACGGCCATGCCAGTGAAGCCCAAGAGGACCACGCGGCAGAGGCAGAACCCGAAGGGTCGGTCGTGTCGCTATACGAGTCGGCCGTGCAGGATCCCACAATGGACGCGCTGCAAATAGCAGGGCGCAATACATACTCGACGAAGCTCGAGGTCGAGACATCCTCGACGCAGAACTTTCTGGGTCAGCAGCTCAAGATCCTGGAAGCCTTCCGTCAAAAGAACGACGAGGCGACGCGCGAAGAGTCTCGGTCGAAGCCCTTTAAGAAGGTAGAGGAAGAGGAGTTCAACGGCTACCTGAACCATCCAACATCTGAGCCGCAAGTGCTCGATCAAATCGGTCCCGTGCAGTTCAACATGGGCGGCATCCAGGTCGATGCCGACGACATGGTGAAGCGACTCAAGGTGAGCCTCTCCCCACCTCGGCTTTTATATCACGTATGCGCATGCTGACAGCTGTTTTGCACAGGACCGCCAACACTACGGCTCCTCCCCTGAGCCCACGAGCCCGAGTGGCGAGAGCGGCGTCGAGGACGCGCCGCAGATGGACACGGAAAACCTGCAGGCCTTTTTCACGGGCCTGATGAACAAGAGACCGGGAGGTAGGAATGCCAAATGACCAAGTGTATAATTACCGTCGATATGATGCTCGGCGGGCATCAAGAGCTTGCCACCGTTATGTCCTGGCTCCGAGGCTTGATCCCCGTCCCTCCTAAACCTTATGTGTACAATGTACTTTTTACCACACGTACACCTTGGTTCATGGCACGGAACCGGGTCCTTCCACTACCGTTCTTGTATCACGGTGTACTTTCCCCGATAGACATAGCCGGGGGTGTTACAAAAGACATGAGATATAAAGGGGTAAAAAACGAGCCGCAGCTTAGGCCTGTGGAGTGTGGGGGATAAAAATGAGAATAAGAAAAGAAAGGGTTTGTAGATTAGATACCCCACGTTCTTGCAGATCATTCATCACAGGAATATTGACTATCGTCGTGACATGTCTTGCTGTACCTCCTTGCTCTTTGTTTATCTTATGTTCCCTGGTGGGTGGGTATTCGGTCGGCGAAAGAAAGACGGGGGAAGAGACAAGACGGGAGGCCCGCCGCAGGTTGTCTCCACTTCCAACTGTACCCCGCGCAGGCAATCGGCAAGAAGCACAGGCCAGCTAGCGGTTATCTGTATCCGTAGTTCTGCAATTGGTCCAGGATTTCAGGATTGAGGTGAGTGATTAGGGCAAAACGGAGCGAGGTCCTGAATTGGAACGAAGTACTCTGAAGATACCTTACCTAAAACTAAAAGACTAGTTCACCTACTCTCCTCGTTCTACACTAAAGCTTGGCTAGCTCTACTTTAATAGATTGGTATAGAAGCTGCTAATACCATATTCGCATACACTATACACTCCGTTGGGTGTTTTATGCAAGCTTGTCGGCCTTGAGAGCTCTTCACCGCCAGACGCACCCTCGGACTATGGGAGCCACTGTATCTGGGAAGTGTTCGTTTGGAATCTCGACGATCAAGACAGAAAATTTATTTCTAACTTTTATAAATGAAACTGCCACCCTTCTTCCAGGCCTACAGGGCCACCATTTTGACATACAGACGTCATGTCATCTTTCCCAACTCCAAGACGCGGTCTCCTCGAGGCGATCCACAAATATATGGTATGTAGCAATTTTGCAAGCACGTAACGCCTGATACGAGACCATTAGCAGAGACGCTTTCCAGGACCTCGCGGCGACTCTGCCATGAGATTGCTCCGGCTGATTGAGGCAAGGCACGAGCCCTTTACGCCGTCGGCCGCATCTAAATAGGAGGGTCGCGGGAGCATGTTGGTCTCACCGGCTACGTTTTGAAGATTGCTCTCACGCTGCCAGCGAGGCCTTGTGGCATCTGGGGTTTGGTGGAATTTTGTAAAGAGCGAGAGAGAGAGGCGCTGTTTTGAAGCGTCGTTTTCGGCGGAGCTTTTGAAAATCATTAGGTCGAGATCATTGAGTTCTCGCACAACTTGATTGCTTATCAACCTCCCCCTTCCAGGGCTCAACTTTACCAACTCATCAACAGATTTGATATACATGTTCGCACTAGAACACGATATGACTACTGCCGCACTGCGGATAACATGACAGGCGATATAGTGCTAATTGCCACATTGTCCTGATCAGTAGAAAAGGAAGAACAGAGGAGCTCTATTTATACAAGAGAAAGAACACCGGAGGAGGGGATCTACAGGGCGCACAGGGCCCTCGTGGGCTCCCTCTCAGCCCGTTGGACAGGGGTATTTTCGTCCACGTCACATGCTGTCCAAACAGGGGCCTAACTAGGACGGTCTCCGAATAGTGACCAGATTAAATGTATAAGGCGAGGGCCCTTCGAGCTTTGGTTCCGAAACCTTTGCTGCTCGGAACTGGTTCTTGACCTGAACGGAGTACTCGGCAGATAGTCACAGAACTCGTTCACCATCTTCCTGATCTAGGGGAATCCTGCTCAGCTTGACATCAATACATAATTGGTCAGATATATAGAAAAATTTGCTCTTGAAATGGAAGGAACGTACCTAGGGATGAATATTCCGAGGTGATTGAAAGAAAACTCTTCTAGTAAAGTGCGTTATCTTAGGTACTTAATCTTACTGCCGCCTAGCTTTAGCGCCGCGTGATTAGTATAGTTATACGGCAGCCGCCCCGCACCCCACATCACATCCCGGGCAGCGGCCTAGACCACCTAGCAGGGCATTTGAACTTTGGAGGATTGACAGCTTAGGTTCGGCGGGGCTCCCTCTCATTTCAACGTCACCGTCCCCCGAGCGCGCGCATTGGTTTCCTCCCGTCATCGACTCCCATCGGCCCTAGAACCGGCACCATGATGAGCGCGCGGCTTCAGCAGCAGCAAGACGGGGAAAAGCAGCAGCCGGGACACACGCAGCAGAACCAGCACCAGATAGGCCTGCAGCTACACCTAGAGCAGCAGCCGCCGCAGCAGCCCAACGGCGCTGTGGCCTTCCGCACCGCGCCCACCCCGACCCCGCTACCCGCCTCGTCGGGCATAGCAGCCGCCGCCATGGCCGCCGCGTCTGGCCACCCGGCCTCCTTCCCGTCCCTACGGAACCGCGCCGGCGAGAGCCAGAGCCCCTATGTCCGCCAGCATGCCGATACTCCCGTGCTCTGGCAGTTGCTCGATACCGCCACCCTCGCTCGGGCCACGGGCGAGAACAAGCCCGTCTTTATGCACATTGGCTTTCAGGCCGATCATTGTAGGTTCCTTTGCCTTGCCTTCCTCCTGCCCTTTATATGTCTATGATAAGCACATACTTACTTGCCTTCTCTTCTCGCCCCGTAGACTGCCGTCTTACCACCCAGGACTCTTTCTCCAACCCTACTGTGGCCGCGTTCCTCAACGATGCCTTCATCCCTATTCTTGTCGACCGTGAAGAGCGTCCCGATCTCGACACAATCTACCAGAACTACAGCGAGGCCGTCAACGCTACCGGAGGCTGGCCCCTCAACCTGTTCCTGACCCCCGACCTCTACCCCATCTTTGGCGGCACCTACTGGCCCGGCCCGGGCACCGAGCACAGTCTTGCCGGCGACAGTCTACCCGGAGACGGTGGCGGCGACGAGACGTATAATGACTTTCTCGCCGTCTCGCGCAAGATCCACACCTTCTGGGTGGAGCAAGAGGAACGGTGCCGCCGCGAGGCCTTTGAGATGTTGTCCAAGCTCCAGGACTTTGCCCAGGAGGGCACGTTTGCGGCCGCCCTGACATCCGTCTCCTCCATCCGGCGGCCCATCAGGTTGACGGTGACCGGGCTGGCAGACCAGCAGGACGGCCTGGCTGAGAACGCGGACCTCGATCTTGACCAGCTCGACGAGGCCCTGGACCGCATATCCAAGATGTTCGACCCCGTCGACCTCGGCTTCGGCACGCCCAAGTTCCCCAACCCGGCGCGCCTGTCGTTCCTGCTGCGCCTCGCCCGCTTTCCCGGCGAGGTGCGCGACGTCGTCGGCGACGCCGAGGTCACCAACGCGACGTACATGGCAATCGGCACCCTGCGCCGTATCCGCGACGGCGGCCTGCGCGACCACCTTGGCGCTGGCTTTATGCGATTCAGCGTCACGAGAGGCTGGAGCATGCCGCACTTTGAGAAGATGGTCGGCGAGAACGCCCTGCTGCTGAGCGTCTTTCTCGACGCCTGGCTCGGCCAGCACCACGATGCCGGGAGCAAGGTCCTGTCAAAGGACGACGAGTTTGCCGACATCGTCTTCGAGCTGGCCGATTACCTTACCAGCCCCCTGATAAGCCAGTCTGCCGGCGGCGGTTTCGTCACGAGCGAAGCGGCGGACTCCTTCTACCGCCGCGGCGACGGCCACATGCGCGAGGGTGCCTACTATCTCTGGACGCGGCGAGAGTTTGACAACGTTGTTACCCAGGGCTCGAGCGACGAGCAGCTCGCTAGCTTGGTGGCTGCGGCATACTGGGACGTTCAGGAGGACGGGAATGTGCCCCGCGACCAGGACCTGTTCGACGAGTTCATCAACCAGAATGTGCTCTCGACCGACAAGGACGTGGGCGAACTGTCCCGGCAGTTCGGTATCCCCGTCTCGGAAGTCAAGCGCATCGTCGCTGCGGCCCGGGAGCGGCTGCGCGCTCATCGCGAGAAGGAGCGGGTCCGCCCTGCCCGCGACGAGAAGGTGGTCGTCTGCACCAACGGCATGGTGATCTCGGCCCTAGCCCGCACTGCCGCGGCGGTCAAGTCCGTCGACCCCGAGAAGGCATCGTCATATCTCCAGGCCGCGAGAGAGGCTGCCGCGTTTATCAGAGACAACTTGCTGCTTGGCACGGGCGACGAGAAGCTGCTCCGTCGCTTCTTCTTTGAGGAGCCGAGCCACACCCTCGCGTTCGCAGACGACTATGCCTTTTTGATCGAGGGGCTGTTGGACTTGTACGAGGCGACGCTCGAGAAGGAGTGGCTGGCATGTGCGAAGGAGCTGCAAGGTAAGCAGACAGTTTTTTTTTTTCCTCTAGAGAAGGCCACATATGTGCTTGGTGCTGACAGAACCTAGACACTCAGACTCGGCTCTTTTACGACTCTCCCGAGTATACGCCAGACCTGGCGTCGCCTCCCCGTCACTCGGGGTCCGGCGGTTTCTACTCTACCGAGGCCGAGACGCAGAGACACACGATCCTCCGGCTCAAGAGCGGCATGGACAAGTCGCAACCGTCAACCAACGCCGTTGCCGCGTCTAACCTGTTCAGACTCGGCGCGCTCGTCGACGAGAGTTCCTACATCTTGCTAGCCAAGGAGACAATCAACGCGTTCGAGGCCGAAGTCTTGCAGTACCCGTGGCTGTTTGTCAGTCTCTTGACGGGCGTGGTGGCGGCCCGTCTCGGTGTAAAGAAGGTCCACGTCACGATTGGCGGCGGCGGTAATAACGACAGCCGTCTTGTCGACTACTATACGTCCCCGCGTGGCGAGACACGAGCACTTGTTGTGAGCTCGGCCGGAGCTGAGGCGGAAGCTGGGGTCAAGAGCGAAGAGGTCGAGGCCCAGGTGGCAGAGGCCAGCTCGGAACTGCAGGAGCTGAAGCTGGTGTCGGAAGAGGGCAGTCCTAAAGACACGGGTGCCGGAGAAAAGGCTGCTACCGAGCACGCTAGTGAGCCCGCTGCCGGAGATCCGGCTGGAGTGTCCGCTCCGGAAGTAGTAGAGAAGCCGGTGGAAGTACAAAAGCTAGATGTCGAGTAGAGTAAGGCATCCCCGGGGTTTGAGGAGAAGGATACGGAGAAAGCAAAGGACGAGCCCTCCTCGGCCAGCAAGGCAGAGGAGAAAAGTTCATGACACGACCTTATGCGCCACGAGACAATGACGGTCGTACACGAATGGACAGGCAAGAGGAACGAAGGGAGGAAAGGACAAATGGACGGAACGGAACACCACATGCGGAGGGGATACGATGATGATACCAAGGGGCTCTCGGTTTTTTTCCCCCCCCTTTCTGCCTTCCTCCATCCTACTCCTCAGAACAAGGCTAATACCTAGATAAATTCCTTACTGCTCTTTTCTCGGCGCCATGATACCAGATCTCATTCTCTTCTCTCTTGGGGGTGTTTTTTTCTCTATCAGTGTTTATATGTGTGACGAGTTTATATATGTGGCGAGTTTTTCCTCTCTATATATATTGCTTTGTTATTGGGCCTCAGTACAGTGGCGGTGCGGAGAGGGTTGTTCTGTGACGTGTATATTTTGCGGATTCTTTTCTTTCTTCCTGGGCGCATGTATCATGAGCTCTTATATATAAACTCCTAAGTAGAACGGAAGATTGCTTTGTTAGGTCAATTCTTGGCTGTAATTACATCGAGGGCTAGAGCTAGCTAATTAGAACGCCAGTGGGATCTACTAAATAAAGTGGCGTGTTGAATGGCTATTAGGTGCTGTTCCTACCGGGAAACAGCTACCAACCTTCGGCATCGAGGCATGGTTGTAAATAAACGGGCAATCAATCATCAGCGGATGTAGGTATTTAATTATATGTGTTAGCCCCTGTCAGAACAGTACCGTTTCCTATTCAATTGTTTGATTTTTTTTCCTATACCGCGGCAAATGTTGAATTGTGTTAATTCTAGACCTAGGCTTTATCCATTTATTCCCTGTTGGTAATAATCCAATTAACTGTGGATGTCGCTCCTCGAGCAGACGAAATATCATATCACATGTTGTTGACCCCCTTCTCGGTTATTATTTACATACTAGGTGAATGTTACTCCATGTTGCGACTATTGTTAGTAGACGCTGTTCTGGGTCGGTAATTATAGTACCTGGTCGATGGTGAATGGATCTCGTCCTTCTACTAAAACCCATATTTACCTAGCTAGGCGGGCATCTAGATATTAGTGCAATGTAGTGTAACCTGTGTTTCAGAGGGGTAGTATACTTGAGTATTACGGCCTCCTGCTGGGAATATATTTTGCTAGTTGTGTTTGTCGCGATGTTCTTTTTATTCCCTTCTCTGGTCCCTTGGTTGGTTTGGCTTTCCTATCCCTTCTATCGTCCTATGCTTGGTTTCAAACGACTCTTTCGACCACGGGGCTGTGAATCATGGTGCTGCACGAACGAGCTCGATTGCCTCATAAAAATTGGATGTTTGGTCCTCAAGCGTTACCTATAGAATGGTTGAAGAAAACAGAAGCTGGCTTGCCGTGTCGAGACATCTTGACAAGCATCATTCGAACTTCTTTGTGCTGCTGCGCTTGTTTGTCCATCTCAACCCTATCACGGGGGTTCCCGTGCGTTTCGAAACCGAATGCCCGCTCCACCAGACTCGGCGTGACTTTACTTTATTTTGCGGACCTTACGAGATGTTTTTTTTTTTGCCGACGGCTGGCCTACCGAGATGGGAAGATACTCGCCCGTTCGCCTAGAACATTATCATGCACGAGTAGCATGAGACTAGGTTCCTGAACTACGAGTTTGAGATCTACGATTCCTAGGCTCTCAACGAGAATGACTGGTGGCACCGAGAGTGCCGATCGCCAGCATACCATGAGGATGGGATCTTGCTGACACCATCGGAGATATCTTTGTGCTCCAAGCTCAGAGGTTTAAGGGTCGGGCGCCTGATAATTGTTATAGCTTGAAGCTACCGGGTTTCACCCGACATGTCCTGCCAGAGCTTAACCCTCGCCACATTCCTATCCCGAAACAGGACAGATTTGTTCCGCTTATGCCATCTCCGCAACGTTAGCGACAGCTGGACCATTCAGCGGTCATAGGGTTAGGGAGTTGGGTTTCGATAAGTTCATGGTTTAACTCGAGCCGGCGAGTGCCAGAAGTTTGTTGTCGGAGAAAGAGCTGTTTCCACTTTTTAACCTTGGGTTTGTTGAGACCACGGCACCGCAACCTATTTGAGTCACGGCGTTACGGTTGCGAGAGAGCCTAATTCGTAGTGGAGCGGCTGTTTCGGAGAAAGCAAACTGGCACTCTACATATCTGACGGCGTCCTTTCCCTCTGTTTCCCATCTCGCCAGACAAACACCCATCTCTTCACACCTTGACTCACAGTCTCGCACCAGGACCAGCCTACACACTCTTTTCTGCCTACCCACGCAGCTAACAGCTTTCTACACTCTAAAACTCACTCGAGTAGAGCATAACCTCTGGCTCACGCGCGCACGTCAGACGCCGTTTGACGGCCTCTACCGCACACCAACCACCACCCACCACCCACCACACGTTCCCAGCTCCGGCATCCTCGCCCAAGCAATATAAAAAAGGTCGCGAGTAGTGCATCGGCAGGCCTCACGTCTTCTCAGAAGGGAGGACGCATACCGCCTGATAGAAACCAGCCAGCTACCGACAGACCTCGACTACTCGCCCACCCGCACCCGCACCCTCTTTCGCACCTCTATTCGCAACTTCACTTACACCCTCGCCAGCACCCGCACCCTCACCCTCACCCTCACCGGTACCCATCCGACCAACACCCGCACCCGCACCCACCCGCACCCACCCACGCCCAGACCCAACCGCCTCTCTCTCTTGTTCCCCTGCAAAAAAGCAAAATGGAGTTCACCAACGAGTCCGCCCCTGCCTTCTCTCCCGCGGCCCAGGCCTCACGCTGGGCTGCCCCTGCTGCCCCTGGTTTTGATCGCGCCGCCATGGGCCACAGTGTGGACGAGACAGCGCGCTCTTCCCCCCCCGCTGCGTCCGAGCAGCAGCAGTGGCAGCGGAACCGGCAGTGGCGACGGAATCGGCAGCAGCGGCAGCAGCTGTACCTGCGTCAGCAGCAATGGGTGCAACAACTGGGACAGCAGCAGCGGCAGGTGGCGCAACTGGCGCGGGTGGCGCAACTGGAGCAGCAGCTGGCGCACAAGCTGCAGCAGCAACAGCGCGACCAGGAGCTGCTGGCGCAGCTGCACGGGCAGCGGCAGCGGCGGCTACGGCAGATGTACCAGAAGGCGCAGCAGCACAGGCAACGGCGGCAACAACGGAACGAAAACCAGCAGCTGCAGCAGCACATCGTGCAGCTCCGGACGCAGACCCGGCATCAGGAACAGCAACAACAGCAGCCGCCACAGCAGCACCCGCACTCGGCCCGCGAAGCGCTAGCCATGGCGCATGGTGACGCAGCCCTCGCCCTGCAGCTGCTCGACGGCCGCATCGACGCGCTGAGCCTAACCCTCGGCGACGCGCTGGAGGAGACGTGGCGGGCGGCCCGGCGGGAGGCGGCGCTGCGGCGGGCGCTGGAGGGCGCTGTGGAGCAGATGTTTGTGCAGGCCGAGAAGGTCGCCGAGCTCAGGGGCACTGTGGCGCACTTGCACGGTGCTGTGGACGCCGCGCTGCAGTGCGTTGCTGTACAGGACGAGAAGCTCGGCGTCTTAGGTGAGGCTGAGGATGCTTTGCAGGCGGCGGTTTTGAGCGAGGAAGGGGAAGAGGAAGTGTCAGAGGGTGAGTCTGGCTCCGAGTCTGGGTCTGGCGACGAGTGTGATTCTGGGTCTGAGTCTGGGTCGGATTCGGACGTCGGCTCTAATTCTGGTTCTGGTTCCGAGTCTGGTTCCGGATCCGAGTCTGGCTCTGACGATGATTCCGAGTCTGGCTCTGACGATGATTCCGAGTCTGGCTCCAAGTCCGAGTCTGAATCTGGCCCCGACGCCGACACCCTCTCGTTCCTCTTCTGCAACTGCCCCGTATGCGTGGAAACTTTTGGCCCCTCGGGTGACTGCCCCGTATGCGTGGAACACTTTGGCCCCTCGGGTGGTGAGCAAGTCATCGTCAAAGAAGAAGAAGAAGACGGAGACGAAGAAGGGGCCGCCGCACTATCCCCCCACACGGACAGTGAGGGCGACGCAGACAGCTTCGAGAGCAGGGGGAGCAGTGACGACGAGGAAGTGGGTGCATCGCTAGACCCCGGCAGCGACAGCGACGAATACATCGCCGTCAGTGGAGAGGGCAGCTCCAACGGCAGCTCCGACGACTGGGAGATGCTCTGATCGCCCTCCCTCGCTACCCAGAGGCACCCGTGCACGCCGGCCGGGGGACGCAAAAAGAACAACACGGCTTGTCCTGTCCTGTCCACGCAGCTAAACGACAATCTGGTCACACACCCCCCGACGCACGCACTATGCTCGGAGGCGCATCGACTCGGCGATACCACGCCTCGGAGGCTTAGTTTGACGCCTCTGGCGCGTGGCGATATGTCTGGATAAGAGATAGACCAGCGTTGGTATTTTCTTTTCTTTTCCACAGTCTTTTTCGCATATCTTCTTTTCCCTTGTTATTTCTAGACAGCGAGGCATGGCGGCATGGCGGGCATGGCGGCATAGCGGGCATGGCATGCGGATTTGATTGAGCCCCAATGGGGAGGTAATATCTAGCGAGTTGTCTTTTGCATTTGCTGTCTTGGTTTTGGGACCTGGTGGGATTTTTTTGGATTTTTGGATTTTTGGATTTTTGGATTTTGGGATTCTTTTTTGGCAAGGCTCTGGATATTATTCAAGACGCACATGCACATGGGAAAGGCGTCGAAGAAAAAAAGTGCTAGAAAAGGGGGAAGAAAAAAGGGCAGGGTGGTTGATAGTGGGAACTGGACCTGATATTGGGTATGAAATAGATACCTAGATATAATTAATGAACATGTGTTTCAATAACTTTGCTAACGGCGTGGAGAAAATTCGAAAGAAAATAACCTTTAAATAGTATTAACGGCTAATCATCGAAACGGCTCGCCGTTAGACGTTATCCGTTATCCGTCAACCGTTCACAGTCACCCGTTGAATCGTTGAACCGCTGAACCTATAGCCAAAGCTAACTACACAAGCCACCGTAAACGCATAGAGCCATTCTCAGAAGAGCTAAACATAACCTCACCCTCCCCCCTGACCCTGGCCAAGCCCGCCGCTCCCATGACCGAGGTTCAAATCCTGATATGTCCGCTGCAGCAGGCCGTCGGAAGGGCTCTGCGGGCTGACACTCCTCTGGAACTGTGGCGGCGGGTATCCCATGTGGCCGCCCGGGGTCGGCGTCGGCAGGGGAGGCGACGGCTGGCCGAGCGACATTTCACGGCTGCTGCTGCCGCTGCCACCATTGAACGACCCAAAGTCGGTTAGCGCAAACGACACGCCGCCGCCGCTCCCGTTCCCGCCCAGACCCAAGTCGCTCGGGATCGAGTACGGCCTCGCCGTGCTGGGAATTGGGCTTGGAATGACGTGCTGCTGCTGCTGCTGCTGGTAGTCGGCACCCAGCTCGGCCGGCCCGTTCATCTGCGGCACGGACAGCGGCTGCATCGTCGAGCCCATGGCGTCGTACTTGACATCGGAGCTGCTGTACCCCGGCAGCTCCGAGTGGTGGCTGATGGCTCTTTGGTGCCGCCTGGCTTCGTCATCGCTGCTGCCGCCGCTGCGCTTTCGGCGGAATAGGAGAAACAGACCGGTGGCCGTGGCGAGGAGCCCCAGGAATTCCAGCGTCGCGCCGACTGACGCCCCTATTACCACGGACTTGCTGGTCCCTGGCGACTCGCTGCCGACGCTGGGACTTGGACTTGGGGTTGGCGATGTGCCGTTCGTGGCGTTGGCGAGGACATAGGTCGGCGTGTAGGCCGGACGTTGCAGCGTCGGGTTGAAGACGTACTGCAGGTACAAGTCGCTCCAGACTTTCGGGCTGGTGATGTATGCGCCACCGTCGGGCGTGCCGCCGATGGCGTCGACGACCTTGCTGGGCACGGGCGCGGCGCGGGCGGCGCCGTCGGCATCGAAGACGCCCGTATAGTTCTGCAACGCCAGCGAGTAGATTTCTGCCGGCATGTGCTCGGAACACGTGGCCACGTCGCCGCCCTCGGGCTTGGTCTTCATACCGCCGACGACCAGCAGGTTCTCGCCGACGGCGTGGCACGTGTGCCCGTAGATGCCGTCCTGGCGTGAGTGTAGCAGCGTCCACTGGAAGGTCGGCACCGTCAACACCCAGATCTCCTCGGTCGTGATGTAGCTCGCGTACGTGTCCACGCCCGCCACCATGTAGATGTTGAACGACGACTTGTCCTTGGCCGCCACCGCCACGGCGCAGATGTCGGACCGTCCACTCGGGATCCCGTCTGCCAGCCCAAACGTCTGCTGTCGGAACCAGAAGCCGCTTTCGATGTCGTAGATGTCGACGTACGACAGGGGGATCTAACCCACAGTCAGCAAGCCATTAAATAACTGTCATTGTCTGTCGAGGCAGGGGGCGACGGACATTGGTGTTCCCGGCGTTGGCGTTTGCAATGGCCCTTCCATAAGGGGTCGGGTTCGAGGCCGTCTGCCCGCCGATCTGTACGAGAACGCCGTACTTGCCAACCGCGAGGTGTACCATGGCGCCATTCATGCGCGGGCCAAGATCCTCTCCGTCCATTTGCTGCGGCACCGAGATGTTGGTCAGCGTGGGCTTGGCGACGTCGCCGCCCGTGTCGAGCGACAGCATCCCCTCGAGAACTGGGCAATCAATACATGCGTCAGCCTGCTAGTGTCGTGTAAGCCGTGATAAGCCGTCAAACCCCGGCAACCTAGAACTCACACTTGAACTCAGATGACGCCGTGAAGCCTGTGTATTCCTGGTCCGAGCGCTGCTGCACGTAGCCCTCAAAGATGAAGCTCCTGTTGAGAGAGGGCACGTCGCAGCTCGCCGCGGCGCCCGGCCGCTGCACCTTGGCGCCCGTGTCTACCAGCGCGAGGTCATCGGCCTCGGACCACGTCTGGGCGTCGATGTCGAACTCCCAGACAGCAGCCAGCGGAATCTGGGTCAGGTTCTTGTAGCCAGGATCGTTGACATTATTGAAAGAGAACCAGCCGCCGAGCTGGTAGATCTTGCGCGTGGCCGGCGAGAACCACAGCACGTGCTCAATAAGTGAGCTGGGCACGTCGGGCCCCTTGTGGATGGACGAGTACGGGAAGCTGTCCTGGTTGGTGAAGTTCTTGGAGAGGTCGAGCACGACGAGGTTGTTGTCTAGCGAGACAGGCAAGCAGGGTTAGTGACAGTCGCAAGTCAAAAGGTCGAGGCATCGCGGCGCGACGCATGTTATTGCTGGCGACGGACTCATTCCCTTGATAAACGCCCCCGCCGGCGTGTTGCTGAAGGAGCCATTGGCCCGCGGCACATACGTGTTCCCACCGTCAATGTAGACCTTGCCGTCGGCAAAGACGCCTGGAGCACAGTGGTCAGCCAAAGCAGAAGCACAGTGGTCAGCCAAAGCAGAGGAGTGGCGTGGACCAGGAGTATCACTCACTGGCGTGTCTGTAGACACGGCAAAAGTGCTGCGAGATGTCGTAGGAGCTGCTGTTGATGTTGGGAGAGGAAGATGCCGTCGGGGCAACAAAGACGGATGTCGACGATGTCGTCGAAGGCGGCTGTCGCGAGTCGAGACGGGCTAGGGAGCTCTGGACCGCAAGTAGAAGTAGCGATGCCAGCACTATTTGAATTTTCATGGCAAGGGCCGGTGGTCACTGCTGCGACCGGAACCCGAGAGACGAGAGCATCCGCCCGGTGTTTGACTTGGGGAGGTTTTGACTTGGGGAGGTTTTGACTTGGGGAGGTTTTGTCGGATCCGACGGACGAGACGTCGACGGACGGTGGGCACTGGGGCCTGGGGCGTTGCGGTCGGCGAGTCCCATTTGACTCTCGAGTCTGCTGCTGTCGGACGGTCAGACTGACCGGAGTTAACCAATACCAGTAAACCCTTGACTAGGTGTGGCCGTGGGTGGACGGCGGCCCGCGTGTCTTTGGGGCGCCACAAAGGGGAGTGTGTGCACGATTCGACGTTAGCTGGCCGCCGCGATTCGCTCCTGCATTTGACCTTGGTTCGTGGCCCTGCCGCGCCGCCGCCACCAACCCGCTCGTCTGTAAGTTGGCCGGCTTGAGCCAAGGCCGAGATTTGGATAGCTGTCGGTGCCGTCCCCCCGCCTAAGATCAAGGGTCATTACCGCCACCCGTGAGATTTCGCTGTTTCGTGTGATAACAAAGGGGTTGCGCGATGCAACGGCCCCGTGGCAAAGACGGCTCGACTCCTTTTGCACTCGGCGGGTTTCTTTGTCTTGCGCGGCAGACAGACGCAGATGCGGTCGTCGTCCAACAGGAAAACGGTGAGTAAGGTAAACTGTGAGGGCTGGGTAGGGTTGGTTTCGGGGACGTCTTCCGGGTGCAAGGGTGCTGTTGGTTGGTTCGTGCTTTTGGGGCTCGGGCTGCATGTTGGGCCTGGGCCTGCATGTTGGGCCTGGGCCTGGGCCTGCTGGCGGAGATGCGCGGGGTGCGCCAGGTCCTTCGTCGAAGCTGGCTTTTCATAGGCAGGCTAGGGCTGAAGGTCCCCTGTTGGGCCTCATCGCCTCCGCGACCGGGCTGTGGTCATGGAGCTTGCCTTCTAGGGATCCTAAACTTAGTAGCAGTACGAGGGGTACCGGCAGGGCTATGGCTATGGCAATGCATGATCCATCTCGAGTTTCTCGGCTGCTGTTCCCGGTTCACTGGCGTAGCATTTCAGCCTCTTCGTAGGGAAACAGCACCCCATTAGATCGTCAACCCGAATGCTAGGAAAGAAGACCTACGCATATATTCGTTTTGCGAACATGGAAGGACAGTGGAACCTGGGGCAGTCTCCCGGCTTGGAAACTACGTGGGCGTAGGAGCTAGAAAATCAAAGGCACCTGTGATGGCTTCCTGCTGCGTTTTGTTTCTCACGACTTCCATGCCCTAAGCACCGATTTCGTGGCGTCTGGCATCTAGAATGGAAATTTGATTGGCAGGACGCCCTCACAAACTGCAAATCAAGGGGGACAAGACGATCCCCCGTCATCCATTGCGCCAGAGGGACACACACTGGACAGTGAGTGCAGAGAGGCAAGCGGCGATGAGCATCTGCTAGTGACCAATCCATGACAACGGAAGCGAGACTAATGGGGATTCTTCTTCACATCTCGAGTCAAAATCCAAGAATGCAATGAAAAAAAAGGTGGCCACGCCGCTTGGAGGTAGTGTAATACCAAGGGCATGGCGGTGGGTACAAAAATTGCATGGTGCCCGTGTTTAAACGGGCGGGATTCCACTAGACATCCCGTTTCTCAGGCTGAGTAAAAGGCAGCGAGGGAGGGAGGAGACAAAAGGAAGAGGAGACAAAAGGAAGAGGAGACAAAAGGAAGAGGAGACAAAAGGAAGAGGAGACAAAAGGAAGAGGAGACAAAAGGAAGAGGAGACAAAAGGAAAGGGAGACTAGGTAGAAGGCTCGGAGCCTGTATGAGGAAAGAAGAAAAGAAGGGAAGGAGGAGGGCTGCCGGGAGGTGTTTTTTATACACAGACGAGGTGGTCCTTGCACGACTGCGAATTTTGGGGGACCCAAAGGCCGCGAATTTCCTGTGCTGCCTCCTAGTTTCCAAGGCAGCTGGCTGGGCCTGGACCCACCCGCTTCCTCGACCTGCCTTGCGAGTGCGAGTTCAGACGGGCGGACAGGCGGGCAAGCGAGTAGGCTGGTACGGGGGGCAGGAAGTTCACTGTACAGGCCCTCCGCGGCGTATTAAGACGCCGATCTGGGTGACTGGGGAGCTGAGGTATCTCAGATTCCAGGTAGAGTGCGAGAGAAATCAAAGACTTCATGGATTAAACTTGTTTTATTTGATCTTCTGTCTCTTCATTGTGTCTAGATGCTATTAAGATCTCTCTATTACGCCGGGGACTTAATAAGACCACTCGCGATCGCCTTAAGGTATAACTTGTCACGGCCGGCTTGGAATGAGGGCGGAACTCCTCTATTGGGCGCTATAGACGAAGATTCTAAACTAAAGGGAAAAGGGAAAAGAAGCTCAAAAGCCTCCCGTCGCGAGATTCTTCCAGGGCGTCTCAAGGTGGGGCTCTGGCTGGTCGGGTGGATCCACCCAACTGGCGTCTGATTAGTCAGAGCGTCTGGGAGGCCTGGAGGACCAGGCCCTCACATAACTCAAAGTCCCGAAGGTCTATAACGACTTCGTTAAGCTTTTATAGAAATTGAGTAGCCCTGGTAGTTATTAGCCGAGCATATCGTATAGCTATATAAAAGACCGTATAGATAGTGTGACGGCCTGCCTAGGAGGGTTAGGAAGTCAGAGGTTAAATGCAGTAACGAATGTGGATTTAAAGCTAAGGAAGGAAAAGAAGATCTATCGCAGGGCCCGCGCAGGGCGCGGGGAAGTCGGTGGTGGTGCTGAGCACGTGGGTGGCGAGGCCTATGGGCTACAACCTAAATACAATGTAGCCAATAGAATCAATCCTGTTGTGAGGGCCTGGTCCTCCAGGCCTCCCAGACGCTCTGACTAATCAGACGCCAGTTGGGTGGATCCACCCGACCAGCCAGAGCCCCACCTTGAGACGCCCTGGAAGAATCTCGCGAGGGGAGGCTTTTGAGCTTCTTTTCCCTTTTCCCTTTAGTTTAGAATCTTCGTCTATAGCGCCCAATAGAGGAGTTCCGCCCTCATTCCAAGCCGGCCGTGACACCTGTCACATGAGCCCTGTGGCGACCGTGACAGATAGGATAGATATTAATACTATTAGCTAAGTAGAGTACATTACGAGCTCAGAAGACGAAGAGCCTCATCGCGACCGTAAGCACGTTAGCAAGTTCGCGATACCATATGCCGAGAAGGCTCTAATAGATTAACAATTCTACGATAACCTGTTACCTGTCTAACTAAGCGGTCAAACAACGGCCAAACAAGACCGAGGTGCGTAGACGAGACCGAGGGCGTAGACAAGACCGTAGTCTAGGGACAAGACTAAGGGGCGTAGACAAGACCGAAGGCGTAGTCTAGGAACAAGACCAGAGGGAATAGAGGTGTGGGCGACCAAAGGGAATAGAGGTGCGGGCGACTAGAGGGAACAGAGGTGCGGGCGACTAGAGGGAATAGAGGTGCAGGCCACTAGAGGGAATAGAGGTGCAGGCCACTAGAGGGAATAGAGGTGCGGGTGACTAGAGGGAACTGTCACGGTCGCCACAGGGCTCATGTGACAGGATTGATTCTATTAGCTACATTGGTTTAGAGTGTGGCCTGTGCGCACTGAGCACCACCACCTATGTCCCCGCGCCTTGCGCGGACCCCGCAATAGATTCCTTTCTCTTCCCTAGCTTTAAATCTGTCACGGCCGGCTTGGAATGAGGGCGGAACTCCTCTATGGGGCGCTATGGACGAAGATTCTAAACTACAGAGAAAAGGGAAAAGAAGCAAAAGCCTCCCCTCGCGAGATTCTTCCAGGACGCGTCTCAAGGTGGGGCTCTGGCCGAGCTTCCATTGGTCAGTCGGGTGGATCCACCCGACTGGCGTCTGATTAGTCAGAGCGTCTGGGAGGTCTGGAGGACCAGGCCCTCACACTACCCCCCTCCAAGCCGCGACTGCCGTGACGGTGGTTGTGGCTTTACAGAGCGGATTTAAGCGTGCCTTCTGGTGTACTTCCTCTTTTGCCTTGCCTTATACCCTTTGTGCTCTGCCTTGTTGTCCTCTTCGTGGTCTTCCGGATATTCGTCTTCTGCTGCTGCCTTTATCCAATCACGCAGCCTCACCGGAGGTCCTGCGGCGTCGGGGTATTCTCGATGAAAACTATCCAACGCCATAGCTGCATTCTTGAGATTCTCTGCCTTATACCACGTATCGTCGGGGTCGTGCCCCTTCCAGGCAACTTGGTATTGTAGGGTCTCTCGTTGGCCAAACAGTCGAGAGGCATTAATCCTGTCAACTTCCCACTCTGGCTCCCCGTTGATCTCCTCAGGTGGTTCCGGTAAGCTGGCCTGTTGGGGCAGGGGATTGTCATCGGCCTTACGCAGCCGATCTGCATGGAAGAGGTTTGTGCCTTTGACATAGGGCGGAATATCCAGCACAAAGCTATATCCTCGTTCCTCCACGATCGTCCACGGTCCTGCCCACTGTGAATCCAACTTCGTACTCGGGGCCTCTGTCCTCATGCCCTTCTTGCTCACGTATACCAAGTCTCCGATAG